GGACATGTTGAGTTTAAGATGTCGGTTGGGCATTTAGTTAAAGATATCACAAAACTAGAGATTAAGAGAGAGGTTAGGGCTGGATGGGTAGATCTGAGAATCATCTGCATAGAGCTGATAATCAGTTCCATAGCTTCTAATGAGATCTCCAAGCAGAAGGGCCAGTCTGCTTTGTCATAGCCTTGATGCTTCAGACTGCAACATCAAAGTTCTGTCCTTTGTAAGCATTTGAAAGTCCACTAGCAATGAACCAGCTCACTCAGACTTGGAATCACCCACAGGTACAGGCCTGGAACAGAGTGAGAAAAAGAACAGTCTTCTGGCTTGAATTGAGCAAATAGCTGCAGGCAAAGGGGCTGTCCCCACGAAGAGACTGCTGTCTTCAAAGCAGATTTTTTTTTTAAGGCAATTGGGGTTAAGTGACTTGCCTAGGGTTACACAGTTAGTAAGTGGTGTCTGGTCTGAGACTGAATTTGAACTCAGGTCCTCCTGACTCCAGGGCTGGTGCTGTATCCACTGCGCCACCTAGCTGCCTTCCTTCAGAGCATATGTTAACAGTCTCTCCCCGGGAGGTAAAAACAAAAAAGCCCAGGTGGTAGTCATTGCACATCCCATAGACCCCACTGAGCAGGTGGTCTTCCTACCTGCCTTCTGCTGAAAAACGAAGGTTCCTTATGGTATTGTTAAAGACAAAGCCAGACTTGTTCACTTAGTTCATACAAAGATCTGCTTAAGCTTGTCTTTATGCAGGTTACGCCGAAGACAAGGGAGCCAGGCTAAGCTAGTGGAAGCCAACAGAACCAATTCTAATGACAGATATGATGAAATACATCGTCTCTGGGATGGCAGCATCTTGTGTCCAACATCAGTGGCTTTTCTTGTCAAGCTGGAAAAGGCAAAAGCTAAGGAACTTGCAGCCAAACTGGGTTAAATATATATGGGCAGAAGAAAAGGCCGAAGAAGGGATAGGGATACCTGTGATTATCGGTTGTGCCCTAATGAAGAAGATTCTGTAAAGGAGACTGAGGAGTGGGCTGAACCAGCAGAGAGCAGTGTCCTGAAAACCTAGAGAGAAGAAAGTATCAAAAACAGTGGTGGGCTATAGAGAGGTCAAGGATGATGAGGACTGAGAAAAGGGGATGTGATGATTGAGGGGTCACTTAAGTTGTTCTTCATTTCTTTAAGGGGCATTGTGTTTTTGTTTTTTGTTGTTTTTTTAAAAATTTTATTAATTTATTTTGATTTATCAACGATCACTTCCATATGCTTTTGAGTTTAAAATTTTTCTCCCCCTTCCCACCACCCTCCCCAAGACGGTGCACAATCTGATATAGGTTATACATTTACATTCCTATTAGACATATTTTCACATTAGTGATGTTGTAAATAAGAATTAGAACCAATAGGAGGAACCACCAGAAAAAAGAAACAAAACTCAACAGAAGAGAAAAAAATAGCAGTTCAACTTTCATTGTTCTTTCTTTGGATGTGGATAGCATTTTCCATCACGAGGCCTTTGGAGATGTCTTAGATCCTTGTTATTGCTGGGAAGGGTTAAGTTTATCAGTATTAGTCATCGAACAACGTGCCTGTTATTGTGTACAACATTCTCTTGGTTCTGCTCACTTCACTCAGCATCAGACCATACAAGTCTTTCCAGGTTTTTCTGAAGTCAGCCTGTTCATTTCTTATAGCACAATGGTATTCCATTACATTCATATACCACAACTTGCTCAGCCATTCCCCAATTGATGGGCATCCTCTCAATTTCCAATTATTTGCCACCACAAAAAGAGCTGCTATAAATATTTTTGTGCATGTGGGTCCTTTTCCCATATTTATGATGTCTTTGGGATATAGCCCTAGAAGTGCTATTGCTGGGTCAAAGGGTATGCACATTTTTATAGTCCTTCGGGCATAGTTCCAAATTGTTCTCCACAATGTTTGAATCATTTCACAACTCTACCAGTGATGCATTAGTGTTCCAATTTTCCCACGTCTTCTCCAACATTTAGCATTTTCCTGTTTTATCATGTTGGCCAATGTGATAGATGTGATGTGGTACCTCAGAGTTGTTTTGATTTGAATTTCTCTAATCAATAACAATTTAGAGCATTTTTTCATATGACTATAGATGGCTTTAATTTCTTCACCTGAGAATTGCCTGTTCATATTTAAGGAGCATTTTGTAATTAAATCTTTATGAGTATTGGGTGCGTATTATGAATTGACTTCTAGATAACTTTATGAATTTTTAGTAATTTTCAATGAAAATTTTCTTTCTAGTATTGCCTCTTGGATTTTGTTATTATTACTTAGCCACGATGTTGTTTTCTGGGTATATTTTGTAGCCTATACCTTTAGTGAAGCTATTCATTGTTTCAGTTATTTTACTTTTTGATTCCTTAGAATTTTCTAGTTAAATCATCTTGTCATGAATAAATAGGAATAATTTAAACTTCTCTTTACCTTTTACCTTTCGTTTCTTTTCCTTATCTTATTGCTAGCATTTCTAGAACTATGTAGAAAAATTGTCAGAGGAAAAATTATACACCTAAAGTATAATCAACCTAAGAGCAGAGAGGATTAACAAGCTGAAAATGTATTTTAAAAATTAGAAAGCCAACAGATAAATGCAAAATAGATGTAAAAGGCCATCTTGAAGACAGAGGAGAGATAGATAAATTGAAAACCAAAAAGACCAGAAAATTTATAAACAAACCTTAGCTGGTTCTTTGGAAAAGACTGACAAAATTGATAAACCTTTATATCTAATTTGGTTAAAAAGAAGAGATCAGAAAATTTACAAAATAAACAAGGTGAACTCGCAGCAAAATTTGAAGAAATAAAAAGAATCATCAAAACACCTTCTATACAATTGGATGCCAACAAAACTTGGAACAGGAAAGAAATTGAAGTTTACCTTCAAAAATATACAGTATTCCACCTAAGAGAATACCAAATTGAGATCTTAATCTAAACTCAATAAAGGAAGTAAAACTAACTGCAGAGGAATCACCCAAGGGTGGGGAGGGAGAACTGGGCCAGATGTGTTTACAAGAGAATTTTATCAAACTTTTAAAGAACAACTAACACCTGCAATATACAAATTGCAAGAAATTGAGAAGGTGCTCATATGAGATCTAGTCTTGAGGAAGCTAGGGAAGGGTAAAGCAATGAATGAGAACTTTAGGCCAAAATCATTCATGAGTAATGATTCAAAAATTTTAAATAAAATCTTGGCAAAAGAAAACTAATTAATTTTTTTAAAAAATGATTTATTAAGACCAAGTTGGATTTATACCAGTGATGCAAGGGTGTTTTATTTTGAGAAAATAACCAACCTAATTAATCATGTTACAAACAACATCCCAAACTAGATAATTATCTAAGTAAATGCAGAAAAAGCCTTTGACAAAATACAACAGTCATTGATGCTAAAAACCCAATAAAGTGTAGGAACTTTATACAACACTGTGCTAGGAGCTGGAGAGGTACGAGATTTAATTAAGATGGCATACTTGCCCTGATAGGACTTATATTATACTAATTACATAAGGTCCCACCAAAGATCGCACAATATTACATGATAACTACACTAGAGAATTATAAAATAAAAGTGGTCGGGGGGGGGGAAATGCCATTACTTAGGGGGTTTGGAATGGGAATATGGCCAGGCTTGCTGGAGGAGGTACCATCAGAATTGGCCTTAAAGGAAGGGTGGGAATTCAGCAAATAAAGGAAGGATAGGGAGTGGGAGAACATTTTAGGCATGACAAACATTGGAAGCCCAAGTATAATAGGATGAAAGCCTGTTTGGATGGCAGGGAGTTAATCATTTTAGTTAGAGGTTAGAGTATGTGAAGTGTGTGGAGTGTATGAAGGAGAGTAGTAAAAGATAAGACTAGAATAATAGTGGGGAAGTATCAGATTACGCAGGGCGTGGGATGCCAGGCAGAGGAGCTGTGAATTAAGGATTAGCTGTTAATAAGCTATTACCATTATGATTATTCATAACATTCATATTTATGCAGAGCTTTATGAAGTGCCATCATTAGACCATCACAACTGCACTGTCAGGTAGATAGTGTAGTTGTTATTATTTCTATTTTATAGGTTAAGGATGTTCTAAGGCTCAGAGACATACAGTAACTTGTCCAGGGTCACAGGCCTAGCATCTGACGGAGCCAAGACTCCACCCAGAATTCAGACACCAAGGCCAGTGTCTTCTCCACCACACTAACGTCCCTCTCAAAGATACTGAAAATAAGAATTTTTAATTCTGTGTCTTGATCTGCCACTAGTTCACCTAGCTCATCCATGTCAAGTCACATGGCTGCTTTTTGCCTCAAATTACATCAGAATAGCATTTTGCCCAAAGATCTCAAAGCACCCTTCAAATCTCCCCCCAATAATCTTTTCTGTTTGGCAACTGTTCTTCTGGACTTAATTTAGTTAGGTTTTTTTTTAACTAACTAACAAAACTGGGTGATTTGTTTTATTAACTACTTGGGTTTACCTAGCATAGTGCTTTATACATAGTAGCCTTAATAACTTAATGAATGTTTGTTGAATTGCTTTTAGTAGGATTAAAAACACTTAGCTATATTAAGCATTCTATGACACTTTGTTAATGCTGTTGGTCCTGTTGTTGTCTGACTTGTTATCCTGCTTTGTGGCTTTGTAAGAGACTGGTCTTAATGACTAAACAGAATGTTTTGTGGAAGCTGACACATTGTTTGCCTGAGGCTGTATTTAAACTAAGACTGTGTTTGTGGGTTTAGCAGTAGCAATACTATCTATATAGACAGTCCAGTTTCTTTTCTTTCATTTATACTCTTTCTTCTTTTTCATATTCACTCTATATTTGATATTCATTATGAAAAACAAAATGTGATCAAATACAGTTTAGCCTGTTTGATCATTTTCTCCTTATACGCCTTCATTGACAGTTTTAGTCGTGGTGTGTTACTAAATTTTAAAACTTTGAAATCCTTTAGCCCTATAGATGCTGATTCTCATAATGGATCAAAGGAAAAATGATAGCTTTGTCCCAAGTATCACTCAGTTGGAAGATTTTCTGACAGAACATAACTCCAATGTGGTGTGGCTTCTTGTTGGTAAGTGAAACTGATTCTATCTTACCATGTTTCAGGTGCATTGTTAAATGCAAGAAACACATATACTAAGATGTTATAATTTTTTCTTAGCTATATCATTGCTTGAAGAAATGTATTTTAATTCTTCTTTTGATTCTGCCTCTACTGAGAAGACTGACTGACTCCAGGAGTGCTTACGAATTGTTCTGAGAGAGGGGGTAGAAAAGATGCTGCCGGGTGCTATCTTATTCTTCACACTCAGCCATGAAAGTATGTTAATAGTACCAGAAAGTAACACAAATTTTGGTTTGCAGTCAGCACTTAAATCCGCAAGTACAATTTATGGAAGACCATTTAGTAGTTCTTCATGATTGTTTATTTAGAGCAAGAAATAAAGAATATGGCTAATATCTGATTCTGTGACTGTTTTGGTTTGGGAAAAATTCAAATCAGATATGTATTTGGGACTGAAAACATTAAAATAAAACCTTCCAGATTAGTAAATATAGTCGCTGACATCTAAATAGTATTTTCCCTGACTCAGTCAAAAATTGATACTTATGTAGATGCAGTTATGTGCTTACCTATAGTGATGTAAAATATACTATTCACTGTCTCTGATGTTAATGGGGAGGTTAAGGCAATTAGATAATATTTATGTACAACATATAGATGTATATAGTTAAGTATGACACCTCAAGTTATCATAGTTACCAGTATATCCATCCTAATATCCCATCTTGAGTCTGCAAAAATATAATCTTAGGCAATGCAGTGTCATAGGAGCCATAAATGTTATTCACGTAATAGCATTTAATAGACTGATAGTCAGATCAGCATCACCATCGCTGCCGTGAAGGACGTGAGAGTCTACCACCCACTGGCTCTAATCATAATCCCTGTGACTCATTTGCTGACTGTCTTAAGCCAGAGCTCGATTCCCTGGCCACTTCCCTATCCCTCATACTTCAGTCAGTCAATCAGTAAACATTTATTAAGCACCTACTATGTGCCAGGCACTGTGGGTATAGATACAAATAAAAACAAAGATATCCATCCCTTCCCCTCAGGGAGCTTGCAGTCTAATGGAGTAAAGACAGTACAAAAAAGGAAGCTTAAGAAGTGGGGTGGGGGCAAGGAAGAGGCATGATAAAGACTTCCAAAGATGTCCAAAATCCATGTGGCTAGTGGCAAATGGGGAGAAAAACTGCGGAGCCCCCTCTTTAAATGGAAGCCCTCCAGGCAGAGGTGCAGAGGGGACTGAGGACATGTGAGGGTCAGACTGAGTCAGTCTTGCAGGATAATGAGATTTTCCTGGGGAAGGATGGGTTGATAGAAAGGTCAGAGGTTCACAAGCAGCATGCCTAGTGGGAAATGGGGAGAAAAATCCTGGTTAGTCAATCAGTAAATATTTAAAAAGCTGAAGATGCAAAAAATGGCAAAAAAAAAATGGTCCTGCCCTCAAGGAGCTCATAATCTGATAATGTGAAGAATAATCGTCATCATCACCATAATAATAATGTGAAATTTTACATTACATTTTACATTAAAATTTTAAAAACCAGTCTTAGATTGTGAGCCATACAAAACAAGTGGCAGGAAGGTCTGGCCCACATGTCATCGTTTGCTGACCGTTGGCCTACATGGCTGCTGAAGTCCCTCTCCAGTTGTAAAATCCTGTGATTTTGTGTTTCAAGACGTCATAAATATGAGTATTTCTGAGCTGTATTTTCATTGAAGAAGTAGTCACATTAGAACCTCACTTTCACTATCTTGTTCCATGACATTTCATTAAAAGTAGGTTATTAGCTAATTAATGACAAAACTTTGAGTACAAGGCAACCTATATTTAATATAGGTAACTTTTTAATTAGGCTGAAGTTGCTCTTATTTCTGTCTTGGTGGTGGTATAGCCTGTTGATTAACTATCACCCGAAGTTTCTTCCTTTTTCTTGTTTAATGGTGGCAGCCTCATTGGGAATTGTAATTGACCCTGGGATGTAGACGTGTGGCTGCATGGAGGTGGACAGAGTCGTTTCTACTGGGCAAGAAAAGTGCAAGTGAGGCTCAGAGAGAAGATAGTGCACAGGGCTGCTCCGAAGGATCTGCTCTCAGCCTTTTGCTTTTCCTGACTAATCTTTGAAGGAAAGGGAAAGAAAAATAGACAAGGCAGAATCACCATGTGGTTCAAAAGTCCCATTTGTTAAATTACGTGCAAAAGATGACTACAGCAAAAATAAATTGAATTGCCATTCTTTTAGATGGTTTGAATTTCTTCCTTTTATTAACTCCTTAACTGCCATGTACAGTTGAAAGTAATGTAAACAAAAATGCATGAAAATCTTGTGCGTTTTTTCTTAACAGCTACAATTTTGTCCTGTGGATGGATTATATATCTCACTTATTATAATTCCCGGAATGTTGGACTTATTTTAACACTAGTTCTTAACAGATGGTACAAGAATGGCTACATCCACATTGGTAAGTTCTCCTTGATTTGTTGTCTGCCTCTGTGACTCTGGGCAGGCTCCTTCACTTCTCACGGTCCCCCTTTCCTCATCTGTAAAATGGACGGGTTGGCTTTGACGACCCTTCTCACTTACAATCTCTGATTCCTCGAGCTATTCCTCCTGCTCCTCCCCCAGCTCAAAGTATATAAAACCATACTTCTTCACATTTGTTTTGAAATTTTACCATTTCATAATGGTCAGACTGCTTTACTGGAGTTGTTCCTACACAGCCTGTTTCTTATTGGTGGTTGTCTCAGTCAGTCACTGGAGTAGAATCACGTGTCATTCACCCCTCCTCTCGTTATTGTGGTTTGTTGTTCTTGAGAGAGTGATAGGGAACAGGCAGTGGGACTGCTGGATGGTGGCAGGCCAAGACGTGAGGAAGTGTCATCTAGGAGGAGACATCAGGCTGACTGTGTGTTTTTAAATTGACAGGCTGTCTGGAAAGTTGTGGAAGTGGGGTCCAAGTAGGTCTTCAGGACATAAGGATTGAAAGTTTGCGCTCTGGGTGCTGATGAGAAAAGAAAAGGTGCTCAGTCTGTGGCTGATACAACTAAATAAGTCCAAATTATGGATTAGAACAGAGACACCAGCAGAGAAGACAGATCCCCTGTAGAGAATCAGCACTTTGTGCTGATTTTTGCAACCTCTTAGAGCTGTTTTCTTGGAAATTTCTATCTTTCATACTTTGGAAAAACCTTTTTTTTTAAAAATTGCTCTTCTAGATCTAGAAATGAAAATGGCCGTGATCAAGTCAACTTTTTTTTATTTTTAAAAATACTTTCAATTCATACATTTTATTATAGATTTTCCATTTTAATGGCAACTTGAGAAAAATTAAACCTCTCTGTACTATATATTCACAGTGTAGTAAAAGTTGTTTAAAACCAGTCTTTAAAGTTTTTATGGGGGGTGGGGTTAACATCTCTACTTTTTTCCTAGTAAAGACTGAGCCCCGAATCTTGGGTCATGTTTTCTTTTCGGCGTAACTCAAAGTCCTAATCTGGTGCCTCCTTTTGGTGATGAAGTGATGCCCCCACTCAGAGGCCAGGCCCGTGGAGCTCAGGTTCTCAGCAGCTGCTGCCAAGCTTGAGAGGGTTCTCGTGTGGGCCTCTCCATGGCCTGTTTACTTGTCCTTTCAGAGTTAGCTTGGGTAGGAAAGACTGCTCAGTGGGTTGGTTGCCATCAGATGAAAGTTCCTCTCCCAGACAATGCATTGTAGAAGGGTTGAGATCTTTGGTGGTCTGAGTACTTACACCAAAGAAATTGTAGATTGGTGAGGCATGAAAGTATGTACCTGTTAGTGAGGGTCTCTGTCTTAAGGAAAAATAATTTAGAAGTATATTCTAAGTCCTACACTGCTGACTCATTAAGCCTCAATAAAGTTTTACTAATTCTGAGTTTGAAATAATTCTAGTCTCAACTGTAATATCCAATGCATCATTTGGAGAGAAAATAAAGGCGATCATGGCTGTGAGCAGGAGATGGCTGGAGTGGAAGTGATAAGAAGCAGCCCGAGGGGACACATCCTTAAGATCACTTTGGAAATAGACATTTAGTGTACAGTATCCTAGTGTATTTGGGAAGGGCGGTGTTACTTAGATGGTAAGAGAGCACAAAGGAACATTGGGAATCGTCTTGTCCGACCCTGCATTTTATAGATGTAGAAGCTGAGACTCCTGGAGGCGACGTGACATACGTGCCCCTAATCACACATCTAGTTAATGGGAGAGCAGGGATGGGGCCTGCCTGGGGCTAATGTGTCCCACTTTGGTGTGATTTCCTCTTCCATTCCACTTAAGCAAGTTTGGTTTTAAGGGATTTTTGTGAAAGGACATTCTTACCTAGCTTGAATTCTAATTTTTATACATGCTTGAGAAGTAATGAATTTGGATTTCTTTGAAAATATGAAATAATTTTATCTTTACAGTAATTCAGACTTGCATTTCCATTTACTCTGAATTAGTGGTATTTTTACTGTTTTAAAACTTCAGTAGAATAGGAAAGAAGATGAACTAACATGGAAATTTAAGAATTTATTTTTAAAGTCTTTAATGTCTTTTTGGGGGGGACTCATAGTAAAGCTTTATCCAAAAGATGACTTTTTTGGCCCTTTTTCTTCTGACAGGTTCATTTTCTTTCTCTGTCCTTTCTGGAAAAGTGATGGTCCGAGAAATCTATTACATCACGGAGGATCTGTCTGTCAGGTGAGAACCTTTCTTATGAGGCCAAAAAAAAAAGTTTGTAGCTTGTGCAAGTGAATGATGACTTGACGTAAGTTCCTAGCTGATCCATCTGTGCCTCGTTCCATTGTAGTATTAATAATGATCTCTGGTCAGACTAACTGATTTGCACCATCACATTCTTGACCAATTCTCTGAGACTTAAGTGTCTTGATCATTCGTTCTTTAGTAAGTAGAGCTCTGGCCTGTAGGGTTATCAACTAAAGGCAATTTAATGTAAAAAGTAAACTGTTATTGATAGATCTCTGAAAATCACATTTAATACATGCTTGGAGAATCTTCCTTCTTTTGAAGCTTAGACTCACAGCATCCCACTTGCAGAAAGTGTTGTGAGGAACCTCCGAGGTCACTTAGTCCCAGCCATACCTGGACAAGAATGCTCTATAAGTTACCTAAACCATTCCCCTTAGCTTCCCAAAGGAGCCTGCTCTGCTCTGACCAGCTCTGAGGGTTAGACAGTACCATGTCGTCTTCTTTTCTCCACTAACTTTCAAAAGATGGACGTTTGGTTAGCAATCACATTGACCTCCTGCGGAATTCCCATTCTGTTAAAAAAAACAAAAAAACAATAAAAACTCTTCTTTGTATTAGACTTCTTATTATCCTCCTTCCATTTTCTTGTAATCACAGAACCTGTTGCTCCCTAGCTGACACTGCACTCCAGGCCATGGTTTTTTTTTTGTTTTAATTTTTTAAAATTTATTTTAATTTATCAACAATTACTTCCATAAGCTTTTGAGTTTTAAAGTTTTCTTCCTCTCCTTTCCCCCCTCCTTCCTCAAGACAGTGTGCAATTTGCTATAAATTATACGTATACATTCCTATTAAACATTTTCACATTAGTTATGTTGTAAGGAAGAATTAGAAGCAATGGGAGGAACTACCAGAAAGAGGAAAGAAAACAAAACAGAAGAAAAAAAAAGAGCAAATAGTCTGCTTCGATGTGCATTCGAACTCCATAGTTCGTTCTTTGGACGTGGATACCGTTTTCCATCATGAACCTTTGGAGATGTCTTAGATCCTCACATTGTTGAGAAAGACTAAGTCTGTCAATGTTAGTCATCGAACAACGTGCCTGTTATTGTGTACAACATTCTCTTGGTTCTGCTCACTTCACTCAGCATCAGACCATACAAGTCTTTCCAGGTTTTTCTGAAGTCTGCCTGTTCATCATTTCTTATAGCACAATAGTATTCCATTACATTCGTATACCACAACTTGTTCAGCCATTCCCCCATTGATGGGCATCCCCTCAATTTCTAATTCTTGGCCACCACAAAAAGAGCTGCTATAAATATTTTTGTACAAGTGGGTCCTTTTCCCATTTGTATGATCTCTCTGAGATATAGCCCTAGAAGTGCTATTGCTGGGTCAAAACGTATGCACATTTTAATAGCCCTTTGGGCATAGTTGCAAATTGCTCTCCAGAATGGTTGGATCATTTCACAACTCCACCAACAATGCATTAGTGTTCCAGTTTTCCCACATCTCCAACATTTATCGTTTTCCTGTTTTGTCATGTTAGCCAATCTGATAGGGGTGATATGGTACCTCAGAGTTGTTTTGATTTGCATTTCTCTAATCAGTAGTGATTTAGAGCATTTTTCATATGACTGTAGATGGCTTTCAATCTGAGACCTGCCTGTTCACATCCCTTGACCATTTATCAATTGGGGAATGACTTGTATCCTTATAAATTTGACTTAATTCTCTATATATTTTAGAGATGAGGCCAGGCCACGTTTTAAAGGCGGGCACCTTCCTCCATCCCCTTGAACCGAGGGGCCAAGAGGAGGAGTGAGTGAGCTGCTGGGGCCTCTCCCTACCACTGTGTTCCAGCAACCTTGGCTCTTTTGAGGGTCACTGGTCTTATCTGTCTTAGCCTGCAAAGGCAGCTGCTTAAAAAGCAGAGACCAATGTGAGGTAGAGAGACCTGCAGGTCTATGGGGAGATGGAAAAGAATCAGGCAACAAGTGTTTACTCAGCACCTCCTTTTTCCCAGACACTGGAGATTAGAAGCAGTGAGTTGTCCCTACCTGCCAAGTGCTTACATTCCAAGGAATGATGAATGATAATTTTAGGAGGAGGGTCTGATGGCTCAGGGGATCAGGAAAGCTTTCATCTGAGAGCGCTTGAGCTGAGCCTTGAAGTAAATTAGAAATTCTAAGCTAGGGAGGTGAGGAGAATGTGCATTTGCCAGGGCAAAGGTCCAGAGACTGGAAGTAGAATGTTGTATGTGGGAAGACCAGCTTGGCTGAACTAGCGAGCTGAAGGAAGTAATTAATGTGTAGTCACGCTGGGAAAGTAGGCCACAGCCAGATGGTGAAGATTTTTAAATGCCAAACAAAGGAGTTTATATTTCATCCTGGAAGTAATGGGTGCTGTATCCCTGCCTGCCTGTCCTAGTATTAAGTGAACCTTCCTCTCTTCCCCCCACCTTCCAGTCCCTTGGAGAGTTAGCGGAGTGTCAGGCACATTTCTGCTAAGTCCTCACTGCCTCCTCTGGGTCGGTCAGCCGTCTCTAGGGAAGTGCTGGAGTTTGTGATGTGGCCCCTCCTTGGAGGGCTGACTGCAGCAGATCGAGGTCACTTTGAAGCTCTTGTGGCAGTCCAGGGGAGGAGTGCCGAGGGCCCCAGGACGCGAGACGTGGTACACCAGACAGAAGGCCAGAGATGAACGAAGGGTCTTTGTTTCTGTGGCTTGGGGACGCCCTCTGTTGCTGCTCAGAACAACCCATCCCTAAAGGAATAAGTAGAGTCTCAGAACATTTTCTGGTCCCCAGAGGGGTGATACAACTTTGTGAGGGTCACACAGCAAACATAACGCCAAGCCTGTGCCCAACCAGAAGCTTGTGTGGGAATTGCAAGGCATTTTCCTCAGCTACATTTTCATTCTGATTATGTTCTCAGTCAGTGGCACAAAACAGTAATTTTCTACTTACAGTATTAATTAGACTGTAGAATATAGCCACCACTTATACCAATTTTTCTTTGGAAAAATTATTTCAGACATTTGGTATCCTAGGAACACGTCATCTCTCTTGTCACCCCCTTGTGCCATTGCAACGTTAGTAAGAGGATCAAGAGAGTCCTTCTTCCCTTCTAGGCATTGGACGTGAGGTCAAAGGTCTCTAGCAGAGAGGAGGTGGTTGAGGAGGGTGGAGAGGAAGGCTTTGGGGCAGTCGAAGCTGGGGCTTGGCCTTCTAGTATATGAATGAAGGGGCAATGGCAAGGTGAGAAAGGGTCTGGGAGCTTGCAGGGAATGAGTTTGTCATCTCTCCTTTCTCTTCCTACTTCTTTCCCTTTGTAGGGAAAGCTCAGAATATACGCCATCCCCTCCACTCCCCCCCCCCCACTCCCTTCCACTTTACCCCTCATTGTCTGCTGTCAATGTCTGAACACTGGGGCTGTGAGAGTAACAGTGAAGTCCATAGGCATCAGTAAGACAGAAATGTCCCCTCCTTCTCCCTGCCCAATGGCTTCCTTCCCCTGTAACATTTGCCAAGCTCTAGGACTGAGTGAGAAGCAGGGCTGCCACATAGGGGCAGTGAGACTGGGTGTGACTGGAGGAAGAGTCAGGGCCTGCAGGTGGGGGTGGGGTTGGGGAGAGCAGCATAGTAGCAGGGAGGACAAGGGACCTCCCAGTGGTAATTTGTATATAAGGGCCTTACGTAGGTTAGATGTATCTTAGGTCAGTATTGCCTGTTGGCACAGTTAATTGTAAATCATATTTAGGTAGACAGCTTCCCAAATATATCTCTGTGTGTGTGTGTGTGTGTGTGTGTGTGTGTGTGTGTGTGTGTGTGTGTGTGTGTACATACATCTATATTTATGTATTTGTAATTTATTTTATTCAGAATTCAAGATGGATTTATCATTTTTCGGTGGTGGAAAATGTATAACCCGAAACAGAAGCAACATGGTGAGTTTTATCATGGCTTTTTAACTGTTCAGTCCTATTCCATGACATGCTTTGAATTATCAGATTTTTTTTTTTAAATTTAAGGCTATTGAAGTGTTTCACAGTGGGTTATAGGTGGAAATGTTAATTCAAAAAACAGATACAGGGCAGTTTGAGTATACATTCTTTGCCATTTTTAAGAACTTAAGCACTTATCTTTTCTCATTTATTTAAGGAGAAATTTAATGTGCCTTGCTTTTTCATTCCCTTACAAGACTACATAGATTAATTTTTTTCTCTTTTTTTGAGTATATATATATATATATTTTTTTTTTCCTATGCTTACTGACTAGTTGAAGGTTAAGAAAATTGAGAATGGTCAGGAGAAGTGAAGGAGGCTCGCTGGACAGTTGGAGTGCTTGGCCATTAGCGTGGGAGGACCGGGAGAGATGGAGGGCTGCTAGTGCCTGGAGCAGACCTGTTGTGGGGGACTTTTGAGAGCTCATGGGTCAGAGCCAGCAGCATGGGAAGGCTCACATGGTTTGGGATACACTTCAGTGAGGGGAACTCCCAGCTATCCATTAGAAAATTGTAAAGAATATTAGCATTAATGTGTGTTTTTAAGACCACTTTTACATCGTATATTTTTTCAAAGTGAGAGGTTTATTTTAGTTAAGGGGAATAAGCATTTATATAGCACCCACTGTATGCCAGGCACTGTGCTAAAAGCTTTACAAATATTATTTCATTTAATCCTCGCAACAGCCCTGTTCAGTAGTTGCTGTTATTATCCGCATTTTTACAATTAAGGAAACTGAGGCAGAGCGGCTCAGTGACTTGACCAGGGTCGCACAATAGGAAGTGTCTGAGCCTGGATCTGAGGATTTAATGACATCAGTTGTTTGCTCTATGGAAACAGAGTTCCTGAAATAGTAGATTGGGATATGGCCATCCATCATAGTGCAAGTCCAGTTGCCCTTATACTGTCCAGATTCCCAAGAGCAGGAGGGAACACGGCTACAAGCGACTCTGATTCTCTACGATTTGGTTATCTTTGAGCATGACGCCCCTCCACCCCACCATCTCTTCTCTCCTTTCCCTTCCTGGCTTTCTGAGAATGAACACTAGCTGATTCTCACAAAAACAGAAAACGTTGGCACACCAAGCTGTCACTGAAATGTTTGTTTTTAATATTACACATTCAGTTTGAAAATATTTTCCAGATTGAAATACTAGTCCACTCGATTAAGAATGCTTTTAACTAAAATTTGGAAGGGAATGATATTGGAGAGAAAAACCCTTATACAGTTATCCCTTCTACAATGTGGGAGCTCGGGGCATGGTGCTCCTGAGATCTGGAAAATCCACGGAAAAGTTTCTGGCCCTCCCTTCATACCAGAGAAGAAGTCTGGATTTTTTTCTTTTTCTTTTATGGAATATTTTCAGTACCTTATTGTAAAATTTGGGTTGAGTATTTGGTCATAGGCTCTGTGTCATCTGTGGCTTTCGCAAAACTCCCCCAAATTCCCATTTAATTTCTTATGCCGAGTCACATGATGTTGAAACTGCAATAGGGAAAGGCATGATGTGGAAGGGATAATTGTAATGCATATACAGATACTGTGGAGAAAAGACAGTTGTGATGCAGACTGAAGAACTGAAGGACAGCCCAGGAATCTTAGAAAACAACAGGGAAGAAAGTCAGCGATGACTTCAGACGTCAGGGTGCTAGCGCACACAGCAGGAATAAGAGAGAATCCGCCACGTGAGCATGGGCGGTGAGCCGGTACTGTAGGGAGTGTAACAAGGAGCCATTGGAGGTGACCTGAAGAATCATCGTTCTGTGGCGAGGGCCCCTTTCAGACCCTCAGGCCTCTTGCTTGTACCAGCCTCGTACGCTGGCTTCCTGCTTCCAGCCTCTAACCTCTCCACCCAACTGCCAGAGAGATACGTCTGGGGGGCAAGTCTGACCGTGTCACCCCTGCTTACAGAGCTGCACGGGTCAAACAGGAGGTCCTCTGCTGGCCCAGGGTGCCAGACCCCACGGCCTGGCTGCTGCACCTTCCTTGGCTCACTACACTTTACTGTCCCCTGCTCGTGCAGTTGCTCATCTTCCCGCACAATGGCCCATGTCCAGTCTTCCTTTGAATGGGCTGCCCATACATACACTTGGAGTGCCCTCCCTGCTGACCTCTGCCTCTGAGATCCCTCACTTCCTTGGTTCTCAGCTTTGGAGGGGTGCTACCTCCTACGTGGCCTGTGCTGATCCCTGGACGACTAGTGCCTCCTCCCACAAATCACCATCCATCCCTCCATCCCAGATCCCTCCTTGTCTGCCCTGCCATGATTGTCCCATCTCATTACCTGGAGTAGCACCTCTGGACCACCCCACCAGGCATATGCGCCTCCTTGCGTCCCTACCTTTGCCTCCCTGCCCAGGACCCTCATCTTACAAAATGTGGGTGGATAGAGCCCTGGACCTGGGGCCAGGAACCCTGAGTTCAGATCCAAGCTCTGACACGTCTAGCTGTGTGACCCGGGGTAAAGCACTTAGTTGTTGTCTGACTTGGTTTTCCCTTCTGTAAAATGGGGATGATAACAGTACCTACCTCCTAGTGTTGTTCTGAAAATCAAATGAGATAATAGCAGAAGTAAAACTATAAAAGCTGTTGACTTCAAGATGGGTGTCGAGTCAATTATTTGTAAGCTTTCTTTCCCTATTTGATTTTTATTAGGCAATTGCAATATATTGTTTGAACAAAATGAGGTTTGTTTTTATTTTGCTACTTGGCATTTCCTGTTATAGGGACAGCTAGGTGGCGCCATAGTGCACAGAGTGCCGGGCCTGGAATCAGGAAGACTCTTCTTGAGTTCAAATCCAGCCTCAGATACTTACTAGTACTAGCTGTGTGACCCTGGGCAAGTCACTTAACCCTGTCTGCCTTAGTTTCCTCATCTATCGGATGAGCTGGTAAAGGAAATGGCAAACCACTCCAGGATATCTTTGCCAAGAAAACCCCAAATGGGGTCATCAAGAGTCAGGCTGAAAAATGACTGAACAACAAAAATGTCCTGTTATCTTCCACAGCAACTTGAAAAGATTTTGAATGATCTGGTCAGAAACTGATAGACCCTTTTTTAAAAAAATAATTTTTATTTTTAGTTTTCAACATTCACTTTTATAAGATTTTAAGTTCCAGATTTTCTCCCCCTCTCTCCCCTCTGCTCACCCCAAGAGAGCGTGCAGTTTGACATAGGCTGCACAGATGCAGTCGTATTAAACCTGCTTGCACATTAATCATGTTGTAAAGAAGAATTAGAACCAATGGGAAAAAACCCTGAGAAAGAAGAAATGAACAAACAAACAAAGGAGCAGACGACATGCTTCGATCTGCATTCACATCTGGATGTGGATAACAGCGTTCTCCATGCTGAGCCTCGTGGAGAAGATAGAAGTCTGTCAGAGTTAGCCATCACACGCTGTGGCTGTTACTGGGTACGACGTCCTCCTGGTTCTGCTCACTTCACTCGGCGTCAGACCACATGAGGCTTTCCAGGTTTTTCTGAGGTCCTACTCCTTATCATTTCTTTTTGTTGTTGTTGTTGTCGTGAGGCAATTGGGGTTAAACGACTTGCCCAGGGTCACACAGCTAGTAAGTATCAAGTATCTGAGGTCGGATTTGAACTCATGGCCTCCTGCTTATCATTTCTTCTAGCGCGATAGTATTCCATTACATTCATATACCACAGCTTGCTCAGCCATTCCCCAGTCGATGGGCATCCTCTCAATTTCCAATTCTTTGCCACCACAAAAAGAGCTGCTATAAATATTTTTGTACATGTGGGTCCTTTTCCTGTTTTTATCATCTCTTTTGGGATACAGAAGTGGTATTTCTGGGTCAAAGGGTATGCACATGTTTATAGCCCTTTGGGCATAGTTCCAAATTGCTCTCCAAAATGGTTGGATCGGTTCACAACTCCACCAACAATGCATTAGTGTTCCAGTTTTCCCACATCTTCTCCAACATTGATCATTCTCCTGTTTTATCATATTACCCAGTCTGAGAGGTGTGATGTGGTACCTCAGAGTTGTTTTGATTTGCATTTCTGTAGAAACTGATAGACTCTTAAAGAGGGTATATCGTAATGAATACCTCTTTGATTTTTATTTCAGTATGCTGTGGTGACAAACAGGGCAGTGCATAATATTTTCCAAATGAACATATCTTTAGTTTGCATTGAATGTCAGTGAATTCTGGCAGTGGGATAGAAGTATAGAGATATGACACAAAACAAAATAAATCTACTAACATAAAACTAAATGAGCACATTTCAGAGAGCACTAACGCTAAGAAAAAACCAACTGTGTCTTTTTATGTGTACATGATTTTTCTTTTTTAAAACGTGTGTAGCTCTTCAACTTATAAAATTATTGTCCCTTCCATTGAAAAAAAGAAAGAAAGGCATAACCCTTAGCATAAATATGTTTAGTCAAGCAAAACAAATTTCCATGTAAGTTCTGCCCCGCAAATCTCTTATTTCATTCTGCATCCTGAGTCCTTCACCTCTGTCAGGAGATGTGGCATGTATCGTCATCATTCACCTCCAGTTATACTTGGTCATGGTATTGATCAGAGTTTTTAAGTCTTGCAGAGTGGTTCATTTTTGCTGGTTTGTTCTAAACATGTCTTATGCAGTTATCCACATTGATGTATGCTTTTGGATAAAATGTTTTCTCACAAGAAACAGATATTGGTGTATCCAAAGTGATAATTTTCTGTACACACACACACACACGCGCGCGTGCGCATTTTGCATCCAGGCTCTGATTTCATTTGTATCAAGACCTTCCATTACTACTTCAGGTCAGAACACGATATGTAACTTAAGAGTCATAGAAAGGTAACTGGGCCACTGAAAGGTGAAGGGACCTGTCCACACCTTGGGTGTCTGAGGCAAGACTTGAAGCCAGCTGACTCTTTTCATTATTGCCATTAACTTGATTAAAAGCAATAGGGCCTTTCTTTAAAACATGAGATGTTCTGGAGTTTACAGAATTAAGTATGAGGTTTCACCTTGCTCTATGCAAGTTAGCGAAGTTGAAAAAAATAGGAAGAGTCAGTACTGGAGAGCCTTGGAAAGACAGGCATACCACACTGGTGCAGTGTTGATAGATGTGTGAAGTGGTTTAACCTTTTTGGATATAATTTTGAAATAATGTAAGAAAGGTGATTGAACTGTCCATGTCTTTGTGGTAGCAAAGAACTGGAAATCTGGTGGGTTTCCATTGATTGGAGAATGACTGAACAAATGGGTATTTTGGATTTTGGAGAACCTTGGAAGATTTGTTCAGATTGATGCAGAATCAGGAGAACAATGCATGGTGTCCACAGCAGCATAAATGAAATGATCATTGAAAGGAAGTTGAATGTGGAATGACGGGAAAGCTAGTAAAGGTCCTGGATAAAACATATCTCTTTCCCCATGGAAATGAGGTGGGGATTACTGTATGAGATGTGCTTTATTGTTGTTCTTTGTCACAAAGGAAAGCATAGACAATGACAAAAGATACAACTCTGTGTGTGTGTGTGTGTGTGTGTGTGTGTGTGTGTGTGAGACACACACGCACACACATTTTAATTTTTTTTTTTAATGAAAAGAAGTTAATCCTGATATGAAACAACTACCAAGTTGGGAATGCAGACCATTTTGTTTCATAGTATGAATCTCTTCATTAATGTGCTTAAAGAAGTCTGTCTTTGGTTAATTTTATTATTTTGCAAATTCAGTAAATGTGGCTTAACTATTTTTATTTTACTATAAATCCATAAACCATTATTAGGTCATTCAGTAACTAGACCATGGAAAATACATTTAAGCATTTAATAGTTTTGCTATGCCAATATTTAAGGATATCTGTTTTCTTTTTTGTTGACTTTTTAGAAACTTATTTGCAAACGTGGAGAATTCTTTGTTATCTTAAAGTTAGAGGTACTGGGTTTGAATCCTAGCTCTGGCCCCTGCAGACTTGTGACCATGGACAAGTAACTCACCTCCTTGCGCATCAAGTAATTTTCTCATCTTTAAAATGGGGATAATGTTTGCACAGTCTCCCTTACAGGGTTATGAGGGAAACACTCTGTAAGCCCTAACACACAAGAGAAATGTGGGTTATTATTGGATGTGGGTGTGGGTGTGCAGTTTTTGTCTATTCATTTCTTGCTCTGGAACTATAATTTCATTGAACTCCTGATGAGAAAGCTCTCTTTACCGATGCATATTGACAACTTTTAGAATTTATAATCTCAGAGAATCTGGAGTGGGTAAGTGCTTAAATTCTGGTTCATATTCTTACAACCCATATGTCAGAGATGGAATTTGAACTTGGAGCTTCTTGAATCTGAGGCCAATTTTCCAATTACACTACCTTTAACCCCAAGTGTAAGGAAACTATGAAGAAGGTACTTGACTGAAAAGTTTAATTTAAATACATTTTTGTGTTCTCTGTAGATCCAAAGGCAGAGACTAGATTGTACATCACAGTGAATGACTTTGAATTTCATGTCTACAATCGTTCTGATCTTTATGGACAACTTCAAGAATTGTTTGGTTTGGAGCCAACCATAATTCCATCCAAAAAAGATAGCGACAGAGTGCTGGAGAATGGGAGAGAGAGGACGCGGTCCAACATTGAAAGGTTCGAGGCCATCAGCGTTAAATTTTATTTATTAATTGTTTTATTCATCTTCAGTGCCTTCATTACAGAATGTCATTGAGTTTCCATTTAATTTGTTTCTATTTAATTAAATTTTGTACTTTGTGTTTTAAAGTGCCTTTAGACAATGTGGTCTGAAACTAAGTTATATATAGATTGAATATAAGGTCACATTGACTTAAGTAAGACCACAATGTAAGTTATAGAGTTCCTTGTAAATTTGCCCTGAGCATGAGATTTTTCTTTACATTTTGCCCTTTTAGTTTTTCTTGTCTTTTTTTCTCTTTCCACCCCTGCTCCCATTTCTTTGTGATTTTAGATGCAGTTTCAGTGAATTGCTAAAGGTTTAAAGTTGTCCTATGATAGTTGAACTGAGATTGTGGTCAGTGCATTGATTGAATACATGTACATTAAATAGGTACTTATTGATTGATTGATTGATAAGTGAAGTCCTGAATACAGAAGGTAATTTTAAAGAGAAAGAATTATTGATAGTTACTGCTGAGTGTGTTTAGAACTTGGCATCATGCAATTCTACCCTGAAGCTTTAGGGAACTGTCAGAAGAATGTATTTTTATTTTTTGCATTCCAGAGCAAAGTCTTGTATCTTGTAGTATTTTGGACTATCATCGACATAGAGGATTTAGAATGGACAGGATGGTAGTGGTCATCTTATTCAGACCCTTCATTTTACAGATGAGGAAACTTGATGAAGAAAAAAGCCAACACAACTGATCAGTACATTGAAAAAGTCCACACATTTGATGTGTAACACTGCCAGTCTCCCATCTCCACAAAGGGACGCTCGGAGGTGTCCTCTCATATCTCTTTATTCAAGTCTCTTTGTTACATTTACTTTATTTTGGGGGGGCCGTGCAGTGTCATTCTTGACATTTACATTGCTGTAGTCATTGTCTATGTTCTTTTCTTGGCTCTGCTGATTTCACTCTTTCCGTGTAGATCTTCCCATGTTTCTCTGTCTTCATCACATTCCTCATTTTTTAACAGCCTAATAATATTCCGTCACATTCATGTACCACAATTTGTTTATCTATTCTTTAAACTGATGGGCATTTGCTTTGTATCCAGTTCTTAGCTCTCACAAAAAGTGCTGCTATAAACATTTTGAAGTATGTAGAGACTTTCTTCTCATCAGTCATGGCTTCCTTGGGGTATAGGCCAGTAACATCTCTGGTTCAGAGGGTACAGATATTTTAGTCACTTTATTTGCGTGATTCCAAATTGCTTCCCAAAATGGTTGTACCATTTCACAGCTCCACCAGCAGTGTATTTGTGTGCCTATCTTTCAACAACCCCTCCAGCTGTTACTGTTTTGTGGTCATTCTTGCCAGTTTGCAGCATGTGCAGTGAAACCTCTGGGTCATTTTGATTCGCACTCTGCTTACTATTAGGTATTTGGAGCATTCCTTAATGCGCTTGGGAATACTGTGCAACCTTCTTTTGAAAACTGTTCATATCCTTTGACTACTTATCTATTAGGGAATGGCTGTTAGTGTTATTCATATTTATTAAATGTTTGTATCGCTTAGAAACTAAACCTTTATCAGAAAAATTTGATACAAAGATTTTTTTCCCCCGTTTGACCACTTCCCTTCTTATCCTAGATGCATTAATATGGTCTGTGTGGAAGCTTTTAAGTTTCAAGTAATCAAAGTAATCTGTTTTTGTCTTTGGTAATTGCCTCTGTCTCTTATTTGATTAATAATACATCTCCTACCCATAGTTGTGAGAGGACCACGATCTATTTCTTTTCTCATTTTTCTGTAACAGGATTTTTAGTATCAAGGTCACATGTTCATTTAAATGTTATATGATAGCTGTTATAATAGTAACTTAGAGTCACTCCTAGATTTTAAAGTCGTTATAATCATCAGTATTAGCTTTGGGACTTGACAGTGTATAAGCCCTGAGAATGCTGTGGGGTCTGTGACATTGCCCTCTGCTCAAAACCCTAAAATGTGGTTAAGGGAGTGGAATGATTGGTGCTGGCAGTAGGACCAATATTGTAAGTTCAGAATAGTAAGAGAGCTCTTGGAATTGGAGAAGTCTTCCCAGAGGAATAGGACTAGGTTGGTAGAAATGGGAAGGGAAAGGAATAGGTAGATACAATAAATGTGAGGAAAGAAAAAGTTAAAGGCCTTGGTGACCGACTAGATGGCTATCCAGAAAGGTTAAAAATGGGAGCATTGAGGTATCATTTACAATAATAGGGCAGTACAAGTGTGAGAAAGTTTTGGTGAAAGAGAGGCCTGTTGCTGTAGGTTTAAGAGTCATTTGTTGTAAAAGTGATAGTTGAGTGAATGATCACTTTTAGGAAAAGTTATAGAGGTGTTGAAAGGTTATACCTCATAGGATGCTCCCATTTTAGGAGTGAGTGGAAGAAGTGAGATCAGCAGAAGAGTCAAGAAGTAGAACAGGAGAGTGAAGCTAAGGGAGAAATTTCAAAAATGCAGCGGGTAGGAGAAGGTCTGGAAAGGTCGAGGGAATCAAAGTTAGGAAAAGGCCACTGGCTTTGGCAGGTAGAGTGGTTTCTCGGTGACCTTAGGGAGAATGATTTTGGTAGTGGTAGGTAGAAGCCATATTACAAAGGGTTTAAGACGTGAGTAGGTGTTTGAAATGTTATTTTGGCATTGAAAGGAAAAAGAGACATAAGATGTTAACTCACGGTTGTAGTGAGTTTTGGGTCATAATTTTTTTCGATTTTAGGAAGCATTTTTCTAAGCAAAGGGGAAAGAACCATTGTGAAGGGAAAGATTCAATATGTAGTAGAGGGGATGCCCTGGAAGAAGGGAATGAGATCAAAGTGCTGCTTGAGAAATTCAGCTGGAAAGCTAGCAGAGAAAAGCTGCCCTCTAGAAGAGAAAAGGGAGCATGGTGGAGAAATGCAAGAATGCTATTTAATGAAGGGAATTTTGTATGTACAGAGGTGAACTGAGATAGAAAATTACCAGCTACCAGTGTTTTGTTGTTGTATAGAATGTACAGTAGCTCAGTTAAGCAGCATGTTCAAATGATAGGAACTGTTTGTCTCCCAACCAGTCTTGTATGCGTACAAGAATATACGTAAGTATACACATAGACGTTACAGAAAGAATCAAAAGCAGTGCCTACATTTAAATTTATGTACAAGGGCTTGCCAAAATGAAAATAACAGTAATTGTTTACCAACCTCTCCAAAGAATTCTTGATTGAATTGTAGAAATAAAACATAGTGAGCTTATGCTGAAGGCCTAATATTGGGAATTTTAATATTTAAATTTCTCCTGTCTGAAGAGTCAAAGCTTGTTAATTTGAACATCAGTATCACTATTGAGATTACTGAGAGTTTACATGTAAGTAAAATCTGTATCCTGCATTTAATATTGACATTTTACCTTCATTGAATTTTATATTTTGCCTTTAATCATGTGTATGCCATACACTTTTATTTCTCCTCTTCTTTTTTATTTCCATTGTATCAGAGAAAAACTATTTTAGCGCGAAGTGTTTCTGTGGCTTAATGAACAATAGAGCTAGCTAATGACTCTGAGCTGTGTTTTAGGATACCAGTTATTCATGCTGATCATTTCCATTACATGATTTGTGTCTTTTTCATTCATTACTTAATAATTTTGGCGCTATTGTTACAGACTTTTCTGTAGTAATGAGCATAATGGTAGGTATAATGAGCAGTATCTGTTTCCTGATGCATACATATGTTTGCCTGAATTTTTCTTCTGAAAAATTTAGAAGAATAGATTAAATCACTATATTTCTTCCCTTTTTTTGCTTTTGGTCAGGGGAGAGGAAAAAATAGAGATGCATAGCTGTTCACTTCAGTCGTTATTGTGTTTCCTGTTGCTTTCTCACAGGCAGGCTTGTTTGTGAAAATATCACTGGTTTTCAGAAGGTACACAGTTTGACTGAGTACCTTTGTGACTAAAACAGGAAACTGGAACGCCTGTAAAGGCAGTCTTTCTCCTTTTTTCTCCAAAGATACTTTGACCCAATCTAACTTTTTTCGCTCACAGAGTCAAAGTAAGAACAGAATCTCAGGATCCCTCGTCTTCATGGAGGTCCCTTATTCCAGTCATAAAGGTCAATGTGAGCACAGTAAGTAAAATACAACATAAAACATGTGTTAATAATACAGGATTTTTATTTGTGATATTTGCAGCCACAGTTTTCACTTAGAAAATTACAGTAATTTCATATAAGTGGGAAAGTGGGAAAGTGAGTTTTAAAATAGCTCTCTATTTTCAGCACAAATTTATCAGCTCTTAATGATCAGATATTCACAAGTATTTAAGGAACTGTAATTTACTCCAACACCACCATTCGACAAATAAGATCATTTGAATACAGTATCATTAAAGTTTGTTTTACATTCCAGGATAATTCCTTAGATAATAAAAACTGCTTAGGAGTTTGGGTTTGCAAAGCAGATTGTTTTGGACAGATCTGAGGAAGTAAGATGGGTAGTTCATGACCAGATCAGACTTTGAGCATTAATATGAAGCCTTTTTTTGTCCCTCTCTTTAGGGTCGTTTGGCATTTGGGAATCATTACCAACCACAGACTCTGTGTATTAACTTCGATGATGCTTTCTTAACATACACCACAAAGCCGCCATCCAGCCACCTTGACCAGTTTATGCATATCGTGAAGGGAAAACTAGAAAATGTCAGAGTCATGCTTGTGCCCAGTCCCCGATACGTTGGTCTTCAAAATGATGAGTAAGAGTCTTTTTAATATTTTGTTGGTATTTTTGCCCTAGTGTAGGCTACCATCCGTCTGAGGCGAGGAGTTCTTGTGTTGGCCAAGTCGTTTAGGCAAACTGTGTTGGCTTAAAAGCTAGAACAGCACTGCCCTGCCTGGCTGTATGTGAGTGGTCCACTGTTCTCCTGGGCCTTGGTTGGACACTCTGGAGCTGTCTTTGGGCTAAGCAGCTACAGAGGTTCCATTTCTATACCTTTCTGCCATATTCCCCCGCCTTGCCATGGTTCCTGCAGCTGCTGGTATCTCATCTGAACTTTGGTGATAGAGTGAGGAGGATGCATGCCCTCATCTCCCCTGCTACGTCAGTCCTCCCTAGATGTTGAAGTAGTCTATGTAACTCAGATACCTTCAGCCATTTACCATTGCTGATGGTCTGGCTTCAGTTGACTTTCATTGCTTTATTTTACTGAGAAGAACAAAATAGGAAAAGATGGTGATGTAAGGAGAAAAAGTAGAGGAGATTTCATTTCACTTTTAGGAAAAATGTTCTAGCTAAACTGTCCAGAAACTGGACAGGCTGCATCAGGAGGCAGGCAGTAAGTGACCTGCCACCTGAGGATTTCTAGCAGAGAGCAATGATTTTCTGTTGGCGAGATGCAGTGTCTCTCCAGAAATAATTCTTACTTAAAAATGAGTAGGACTTGATGTATCCCAGGGTCTCTTGCAGCTCTGAAAGTCTCGTTCTGTTAACATGAATCCTTTTCACGGGTAATATCCTGTTCTTTACCACCTCCATACACTTGCACATGCCATACCTCATCTTTCTGCCTGTTGGAATAATCACTTTTTAAAGTCCAGCGTAAATTCTACTTCTTTGATGAAACTTTTCCTAATTCTTGCAGCTGGAAGTATTCTAACCCTCCTTGAATCTGTCTTGCTACAAGACTGATCACATTCTCACTTGTAATGGAATATGCCGAATTTTAGAGATGGAAGGGACCTCAGTGATGCTCCAGTCTGACTGTGACCCCATTGGTTCCTGTTAATAACATCCTGGACAAGTGGCTTTTCAGCGGGGGGCATCTGCGAAGCCCTGGGGCCAGCCTGTTCCCTGTCTGTTCCCTGACATCAGACTTGAATTTACTCTTTTCAGCATCCATTTATCACACTTCATTCTACCCCCAAGAGCCAGATAGGCATTCTGAGACTACCATGTATGAACCTCCAGCTATCCAGAGGAGCTGCTGTGTCTGCCCAAGTTTTTTCTTTTTTTTTTTTCCCCAAGTTTTTTCTTCTGCAGGCTGCATATGCTGTGTCACTTCAGCCAGTCCTGATTTGCCTTGGACTGTAGGCCATCACCGTTGTGCTTCCTCTGCTCAAAGCTTTCCACCTTATCAGTTACCTTCCTGTAATTTGATGCTTAGAATGAAACATGGATTGCATCTGGGGTCTGACCAGGTCAAGGGGCAGTAGGCGATCACCCCCTCGTCTCTGGGGACTGTGCCCCTCTTCAGGCAGCCCGAGAGTACATAAGCTCTCCTGAGCTGCTCATTATATTACAACATATTGTGGGCTCATTGAGGCGGTGGTCCACTGTCACCTCAGATCCCTCGCAGAGAAATATCTAACCAGGTCTCTGCTGTCTTGTTTTTACAGTCAGTTTTTAAAATTCAAGTGGAAAGAATTTACTTTTATAATTGTTGAATTTCACTTGTTCAGTTCATTCTAGTGTTAAAGCTGGTCAGGATTTAGTTGGATCCTAATTCTGTCATTTAGAATGTTAGCTTTTCTTCCTAGCCTTGTCTCATCTGCAGATTTGATAAACTACTGGAGGTGCATTTATCCAGGTTATCAGTAAACATAGCTCTTGATTCACTGATTGACTTTTTACCAACATAGGGCCAAGCATTGATCCCTGGGGTGTAGAGCTCTTTCCACATTGACATGGAATCACAGTCGTTGCTCTTTAAATCCAGCCATTCCACTGGTTCTAGTTCCAGCTAATGGTGCTGTCATCTCGGCCGCATCTCTTCAACTTTTTAAAAAATAAGGAACATTGCATTTTACCAACACTTTACATGAGATCTATAGGTTTCCTTTTAACATTTTTCCATCCAGTTCCACTCTGAGCTCTCTCCAGCTTTTCCACACAAATAGCTTGAGATACTCTGTCAAATCCTTTGCTGAAATCTAGCATATGAACCCAGGGTAGCTAGATGGCATTGCAATGGATAGAGCATTTGGCCTGGAGTCAGGAAGATTCATCTTCCTGAGTTCAAATCCAGCCTCAGACACTTACTAGCTGTGTGATCCTGGGCAAGTCACTTAACCCTGTTTGCCTCAGTTTCCTCATCTGTAACATGAACTGGAGAAGGAAATGGCAAACCACTCCAGTATCTTTGCCGAGAAAACCCCAAATGGGTCATGAAGAGTCAGACAAGACTGAAACGACTGAACAACCATAACAACAAAAGCATATAAATATGCCCAGAGGCATTCCTCTGATCTACTCATGGAGGAACTTTGATCAAAAAACACAATTGGCTTAGTCTTAGTATAACCTATTCTTTCAGAAGCCTGCTGGTTCTTTGTGATCACTTCTTCCTTTTCTAGATATTTACTAATTATCTCTTGAATAATATATTCCAGAATTTACCTGGAAATCAGAGGTGTTGAGCTCAATGGCCTATAATTTGCGAAATCTCTTTTCTTCATTTCTTAAAAACATTGGGACATTTGCTGTCTTTGGTTCTGTGATACCTCCTTTGTTCTACGGTATCTTTTTGTATGTCACTTCCAGGGGCTCGTTTTTTTCCATTACTTGGGAATGTAGTTCCCTCTGGACCTGGTTTCTTGAATTTAATAAGGGCCCCCAGAGATGCTGGCTTGCTGTCTCTTTACTTAGCTTGATTAGACATTTTGTCTTTTACAGGTCACCATTTATTTTCATTGTCAGAGAAGTCAAAAGTAGAATTAAATTTGAGCAGCCCTGTCCATTTCTGTCGCTACCTTTGTGACCTTCGGCAAGTCTGTGTGTCTCAGTTGTCTCATCTATAAAACAATGGGCTAGGACTCGACCTCTGAGGCCCATTTCAGCTCTGGATCTCTGGTGCTGTGACTTTTCTCTGTTACCAGTTAGCGCTGTTGCATCTAGTTCAAGCAGTGGCTCCATCATTGTTCTCCCAAGGTAGCTGAAACAAAAGCAAACCTCATTTTTTTCTTGTCCTTAGCGTTCCTTATTCAGACCGTTCTAAGTGTTTGGCTCTCTTGATGCTATTCTTATAGGATCATGTCACACTTTTATATTCATCCTTTTTACCTTTCCTTGCTCGCATCTCCTGTGTATACCTTTAAAAAATATAAGTTGGGCAGTTGGTTGCTTGTGTCTTTGTGATTCCACAGTGGTCTCTTTAGATAATTTCTTAATGCCCACTCCCCACCCCGACATAGGAACTCGCTGTGTTCTGAGTTGGTCTGTTTTTTTCTAGGCAGAATTAATGTAATCTTCCTCCTCCTGCTTGTGTCATCGTTAGCCTAAAATCTGGGCAGTGGCAGGGAACAAGGACATTTGTGGAAAATCCAGTAATTGGTTCACTTCATCCGTGTACAGGAGCTGCCAGGTTGGCTCATAAATTAGTTGACCAGGCTTCCCAAACCCCCAGAAGACCAAACAGGACACAGTCTAGATGTTGAAGAAGTTGAGTAGTGGGCTGTACTGATTGACCTCTTTAATTCTCTTTAATAATTGGCTTCTTTAATTAAAATTGTCAGTATCATTTTATTGCCATTTAGTACCATTGTGGAATTTTTTATTGTGTGATAAATATTTTTCCCATAAATCATTTTTCAAGGAGTATATATTATAGCACTTAAATTATCTTCTTTTTGAACTGTTCTCACTTAGAAATTAACAGAAAATTAATGCTTTCCTTTTACAAAGGTTTACATGTTTGGCATTTTTCCTTCCCGTTTGTTAGGCCACCAAGATTAATGGGAGAAGGTTTTGTTGTGATGCAATCCAACGATGTTGACATTTACTACTATATGGATGAACCAGGTAGATTGTTACATGTGAAAAATGAGCAAGATTGGGAAAGGGGGGTGCTTGGGGGAGGGATGTCTGATGTTGTGATCTCACTGGTTTATCATTCTTGGGAATTCTGGTGGGAAACTCCAGTGCAGGCCATTATAGTGGTTACTACTGCCACTCTAGTGCAGCTGAGTTTGGAGTCCCAGAGAGTCGTGCCTGGTCTTAGAGCTTAAGTGATTCGTGCAGTCCTAGAGTCCATGTGTATTAGAGGCAGAACTTGAATGCAGGTGTGCCTGCCTCTGGCCCTGGCTGCCTACACTTTGCTAACCACGTATAGAAGAGTTTGACGTGCAGATTAGTAGTTTTACATGTATTGTTATTTATCTTCTGTAGAAATTAAAAGAAAAGTTTGTTTTTCTTTTAGAATGTCAAAACCTATAATCAAGTCAACAAGACTCAGGTTAAATACTTGTAGACTGGCCCCTTGAGGTTTGATTGAATGTCTTCTCATTGATAGATTATAAAAGACAATGCAAAAATTTCTTCCAGATATGCCACTTTCCAGCTGGTACCCCAGAGTTTTCTTGACACTTTAATTTGATGGAAACAAGTGTTCATAGAAGGTGAAGCTGTTCAACACAGCCTAAGCATCAGTTTTAGAAAAATCTGCTTTTTTGCATGCCTTGAGCCTTGAAAAGGCTTGTAAGAGTCATCTTTATTTCTCTTATTTTGATTCAAGATAAAGGGTTTTAGGTTAAGCATTTATATATTTACAATTTCTAAGTACTTAGGGGCAGCTAGGTGGCGCAGTGGATAGAGCACCGGCCCTGAAGTCAGGAGGACCTGAGTTCAAATGCGGCCTCAGACCAAACACGTGACACTTACTAGCTGTGTGACCCTGGGCAAGTCACTTAACCCCAATTGCCTAAAAGCAAAAAATAAAAACTAAAAATAAATAAATAAATAAATAATAAAAAATAAACAATTTCTAAGTACTTAGCTATGGGGGGAAAAACTTTCATGACTTTTCTAAATAACTTTTTATTGTGTTCTGCAACATAGGCCTGGTCCCAGAAGAAACTGAGGAAACTATTGAGGGAGAAATGAGCAGTGAGGATAGTAAATTGCAAGACTTGCCTCCATGTTGGGGATTGGATATAGTTTGTGGTAAAGGAACAGATTTCAATTATGGACCCTGGGCTGACCGACAGAGGTACTTGAATCAAACATGGCCAGTATGCCTTTTTGTTTGCGTGAATTCTATTTTATTTTTTTCAGTCAGAAAAAATCTACACCTTGCAGGTTTTGGTGGCCCCCTTTGCCTTTTTGGCCCCCTTCCTTTTTACTGCTGCGTGCGCGCCTCCCCCCCCCCCCCCGGCTTTTCTCTTTTGTCTTCCTCAGTAGGGTGTCAGGTCTTTGAATAGAAAGACTGTCTTTCCTTTGCCTGTGTTTGCATCCCTGGGGCCTGGGATAGCATCAGTGCTTGATAAGGGCTTCTTGATTTGAGCCCCTTAGTACATGTAGAAAGTCAGACCCAGAATGATTCAGACTGAACTGTGACCACTGATAGTTGTACGCCCAGACTCTGATTTTCCAACCTCAGGTCAGTGTCATTAAAACCTTTTTAACTTTGTTGGAAAGTGTTAAGAGTCCCTTCCTCAGATCTTCTCCATGAACCAGAATTTGGCATAAGTCCTCCAACATGACAATGAAAAACAAACAGCAGCAGCAGCTTTCTAACAAATAGACAATTGACAGTTCATTCCATAGAAGTCAGGCATAAAATTGCATTCTGACTTTCTCTGATCTTCCTCAGTGGTTTGTTTCTCTATGCTTTGGGCAAGTGTTGTACAGTTAGTATATTTAATACATTTTTGAATGCAACTTTGAAATACAGTACAAGGAAGAGTGTTAAAGTGTTCTGAATGAAAAAAAAGGCTGTCTTTGTAAATTTGGATCTGTCAGTGTAACACTGGATTTTTTGACAGCAGTCTTTCCCATACTGACTTGTCTGATGTTATAGCACTTGCATTGTTCCCTCTGTGTGATTTTTTTGTTTTGTGTAAATGTGAACATTTAGAGGAGAGGGTCATTGGGGCTAATGGAAAGGGTTAGGGTGATACAGTGGGTATAACATGAACATTTTTATTGGATGTCTACTAGACTAATGGGTTGTGAACTGTTTTGAGAAATTAAGGAATTTGGCAGATTTTACCTCATTGATTTGAATAATAGTTTATTATTCTTTTTATTTTATAGAGACTGTTTATGGAAGTTTTTTTTCCCACCTGATTACCAAGTTATGAAAATTTCTGAAATTGCTCAGCCAGGGAAACCGAGGCAAATCCTTGCTTTTGAGCTGCGGATGAATATCATTGCAGATGCCACGATTGATTTGTTGTTCACAAAAAATAGGGTAAATAATGGAATGATATCTAGTAGTATTCATGTTGTATGAGAAATTATTGTATAAAATGTTTCATTATATCTACCAGGAGTAGATATTCAGTCAAAATGGAACCATTTTCATTTGTACGTTTTCAGTTGTTTCATAATGGGAGAATTCATGTTTCTCCTTCTCCATACATTTTGTGAAATGGCAATTGACTGAAAGAGATGAAAAAATTTGGAATAAGGAATTTCTCATTTATTCTTCCAGTTAACATCTTTTACATAAGACTTCTTTATTTAGGGTTTATTCTTCATCTGACTTTTTCCAGAATTTCTCATAGGTCTATTATAAATTTGGATTGTTCTACCTTGCATTTTTGGCATCTTGGAATGGGTCTGTATTTTAACTTACCTTTTTATTCAGATATCTACTTTCTTGTATGACATTGAATTTTTAAAAACTTGAGACTTTGTGATAAATAATGTTTTATTCCCCTTTTCCTCCCCTCCCCCCCTTTTTTTTGTAGGAAACAAATGCTGTACATGTAAATGTGGGAGCTGGGTCATATTTAGAAATCAACATTCCTATGATAGTTGGGGAAAATGGTAAGCTGATATTTTACTTTTATCTTTAAAATAGTATACAAATAGTAGAATAATTTTTGCTATAAAATATTTATCAAAAGAATTTTCATTTTAGGCCTTTAAAATATTTTAATATTACTATCAGAGTAGCTATAAGTGTTGTAACTCTATTATTTTAACGTAACTATTTTGGCCCTGTTGATTACCTCCTTCTTCTGGGTACTTGTGACCTTGCCTTGTTCTATCTGAATGTCCTTTTCTCAGTCTTTTTGAGCTGGATTATTACCATCCTAACTGTGGGGTTTTCTTATGGCTCTGTCCTGGGCCCTTTTCTCTTTCTGTAATTTCCTGACGATCTAATCACCTTCCATAGGTTCAGTTATCTCTATGCAGATGATCTCCAGGTTTGTAGATGTAGCCTTAACCTGTCTCCTGGTGTTCAGCCCTACATCATTAGATGCCTGTTGTACATTTCCACTTGGTATCCTTAAGAACTTTTGATTCTGCGTGTCCAAGTAGAGCTCATCGTCTTCATCCCTGAGCCTGACCCTCCTCTGAACTTCCTGGGAAGTTGTTGAAGCGCACAGCCTCTATTCTTCATTCATTCTTTACTCCCCATGTCTATAGTCATTTGTCAGGTCATATTTTTCCACTTCAGTAGCAGCTTTCCCTCCTGACCTCTCATTCCTTCCCATTCCTTTCCAGACAGTGGCCTCTCACCTGCATTATGGCACCAGACTCCTCATTGCATTCACCACTTCTAGAGTTGGCTGTCCCGGGGCTAGACTCCATCGAGCTGCCCAAATAACATTCTTTAAACAGGAGGATTTTGTTGGTTGTCATTGTCATTTGTTTGTTCCCTGTTCAAGGATCTGTTGCAGCTCCTTATTGCCTTTGAGATTAATTATGGACTCCTCCGTGTGGTGTTTAACCTCTTTCATCGGTTGACTCTAGGCCTACCTTTCCGGGCTTGTGCTCCCTGACTTCTTCTCACAAATTTCGGGTTCCACCCAGACTGGCCTTTTAGCTCTTACTTAATCTTCTTGGCAGGCCGTCTGGAGTCCACACCCGTCCCTCCATGGCCTGAACATGTTTTTTCCTTGCTACTTTCTGCCACAAGGAATCTTTTGAATCTCACTGTTAGAGGTGGCGGCTAAGTGTCTCAGGTTGTCTTATCTGTGCACGAGGTGTTGTACGCATGCACGAGGATGTAAGCTCCTTAAGGTTAGGCAGGCACTGGTTTTCATTGTTGACTCTCTTCCCCAGTGCCTAGCTCATGGCCTTGCATCTATCAAAGGCTTTCTCAATGGAATTGAAGACTGTGAGTGCCTAGCAGGATTGTATTAGTTTTTAAACCCTTGGTAATGCCAGGGCCTTAAACTTAGTAACAGGAGCATCTTATGAAGTAAGTTACTGAAGAGTTGTAAACAATATTTGCTACTATGTGAACATGAGAATTCCTAAACATTATTATATTTTATTAATAATTCATTTTACGTATGTTAAAATTTAAGCCAGATTTACCCTTGTCAGTAAGTTGTACATTTGAGGAAGCCTGACTTTCAGGCTATCAGAGCACCTTTTTTAGGTTATATTCAGTTTTATAGTAAGGAATGTCTAAATTGTCTCTTGTTCTGTCTGAACTAATAGTGTCTCGTGGTTCTTATATAGTTGAAGTCTCTATTAGTTACGTGTCTGAAGTCTGCGTATTAATTCTTTTCTCTTATTAAATTTAGCTGGCTTTCACTCTCTTTGTTTTTCTTTGTCTTTGTTTTTCCCTCTTACTGCATTTATATTGAGAAAAATATTAATGAAATTCAACTTTGGTGTGATGAAAATGGAGTCCCATGCTCTCAATTTTTGTGCTGCAGGCTCGTTTTTTTAATCTAGCACAGTATAGCAGCAGTTTGCATTTTGAAGTTGTATTTTCTTTGAAGTGGTCCCAACTTCTAGGGCTTTTAACATTGGTTAAAAGTGATTAGGGATAGCTAAATTTCCATGTAAGATGACGAGTTCTATTTTGGTCAAGTTGAGTTTAAGATACCTCCAAGAGAGTTAGTTTGAGATACCCAAGAAGCAGTTGCTGATGTGTTACTAGAGCCCAGGAGAGAGCTTAGGACTTTATATGTGTATCTGGGGATAACTTTGCCGAGAGAGAACAGTCAAATTTATAGGAGATGACGAGGTAGATTACCAAGAGAGATAGCATAGAGGGGGAAAAGAAGAGGGTCAACAAGAGAGTCTTAGGAGACACCCAGGTTGGGGCGCATGCCTTGGACGAAGATACAGCAAAAGAAGGAAGCAGATTATTAACCTGCCTCCGAACAGCCCTGGTGACAAACTTTTGTTTTTCTCCAGATTTAATATCCCCAGGGTGATGCTTTATGGTATGGTAAGCTAAAATAGGACTGCCAAGAGACAGCTTGAATTCTTGTTAATTATTTTCTTCCATCTAATAGGTTATACCCCTGCAATTAAAGGACAACTTTTACATGTTGATGCTACCAGCAGTATGCAATACCGGACCCTTTTAGAAGCAGAAATGTTAGCAGTAAGTCCTTAGTACGTGATAGTGTGCATGCCCGGGTGATATACAGAATTTGCTTTAGGGCTGGGGTTCTAACCATGTGTTGTGGACCCCTTTGACAATCTGGTGAAGTCTATAGACCCCTTCCCTTCACAGAATAATGTTTTTAAATGCATAAAATAAAATAAATTACAGAGGAAACCATTTATATTGAAATACAATTATCAAAATACTTTTTAAAAGCAATTTCTTGGACCCTAGACTAAGAATCTCTGTTTGAGACTGTCTTATACAAGTCAAAGCAAGAAGGTAATAATCATCCAATAAGGGGCTTACTGTTTGCCAGGCTCTGTGCTAAGCACTCAACACTCAACATAGAAATACAAGCCAAAAAGAAAGATAGTTCCTACCTTCAAGGTGCCTGCATTCTGAGGGGGGCAGATAGTACCTAAAAGGGAGGTGAAAAGTTGAGGAGGGAGGTGAGGTGGAAGAAGAAATAATACCAAAGTTTGGAGAGTCAAAAGTACTGCCAGGAAGGGAACAAAGCTTGGCCAGCCTGCGCCTGTACCTGGTCCCAGAATAGAGGCCTTAAACATGATGGTGCAAGCTGGCTTGCTACAGACATGTCCCAGAGTCCTTATGGGAAAATCAGCTTGGATGGAGAGAAAGGGCTTTAAGAATTTCTGTTATTTCTAGACCTAAGAAATGTTACTGGGGGGCCAGTGTCTGTCCATGCACTCCTAGGCCCAGCTGTTATCCTCCTAGGTAGAAGAAATGGAATCCCCATGGACTGGTTCAGTCATGAGCATGCAGCTGTTTGTCATTGGGACAGAACATAGATAGTCACTTGAAGGCCATTAATGTTATTATTTTTTGCTTATAAGGATTTAAGTTATTACTTTATGTGACCAGACTAAACTCTGATGTGATAATGAAATTATCTTTTTTTTACTAAATTCTTCTTTATTACTTTTGTTTTTTCATGGTTCGAAAAAATGAATAATATTGTGGGAGTTTTTATTTGCTTTGTAAAAACCCTTGTGAGAGACTTAATTCAAAGAGATTCTGGAAAAAAATATCACTACATAGATGAAATACTACTTACACAGGACAAGATGCTGTAATGTAAAAGTATTAAGAATCTTGTGGTGCTCGGCTTTGTCTCGTGTGATGAAATGATAGCAAGTCTGGAAGCTAAATATTGAGAGTTGGGCATATTACAAATGTGTCTTGTAACTGTAATTGGCAGCCCTTGTGGATAGATAGTACCATTAGCGGGCAGACCCTCGCGCTTGGGGAGGCGGCCTCTTGTCCTCGTGGGGCTGCCATTTGGCAGTTAACTTAGTGTGCTGTGAGGCCTGGGGGAGGATGTATAGCCACCATGGCAATGTCAAGTAGGATCCCGAGAGCCTGGGGTGCCAGGCGTCATTTGCTCTGGAGGGGAGGGAGCAGTAAGGTCTGTGCAGGAAGCTGAGAGCCTCATCTACCGCTCCAGATGGCCTCCCTTTGTACTTGATAAGTGTCATAACTTGGTCTCCAAGTTTTGTGAGTGCATTATGACTCAGTATTAGAAATTAATAATTAGATCAGTAAGCTCCTTGAATAAAGCAGCAAGTATTGACCTTCAGCCACAGAGAGCCTAAGATCCTAGAAGTGCCTTCTGTTCAGCTCAGCAGGAAAATAAGTTTTAATTACTCACCATTATACATGATTGACTCTTCATTTCTGATGCTGTTAACACATTGTCACATTTTAAGCTCTTATCTGGTTCACAGTTCCATGTCAATGCCAGCTATCCCCGAATATGGAATATGCCTCAGACGTGGCAGTGTGAGCTAGAAGTTTACAAAGCAACTTATCACTTCATCTTTGCTCAGAAGAACTTCTTTACAGGTAATTTGTTTGCCTCAGAATCAACTATGAATAAATAAATGTGATTGCGTCTGGCAAGTTTTGTTTGGCACTATTCAGTAGAGTTTGTTTGCTTTTGCTTTTATCCTATTGCTCTTACCCCACAGAGAAAGTCTTTTAAAGATACTTCTCTTCCTTAACCCAAGGAAAAGAAAGAAGAAAGTTTAAAAGAAAGGGAACATCTTAACTTTGGCTGGTACTTTGTTTGAATAGGAGAGATGATAATGTGTGCATCTCCAGTATGGAGATGGCAGTAAGAGGGGCTTCCCAGTTTCTGGTGGTATTATGTATCATTCAGTAAACATTCATTAAGCATCTACTGGGTACTGGGTTTACAAATGTGAAAAAAGAAAAAGGAGCTCAAATCTAATGGGAGAAGACAACACCCAGACGGATGGTGGGAAAGTTGGAGAAGTGCCCAAATAGGGCCGCCAATCAGAGGGACAGAGAGTGGCGAAGAGTTAGTGCCCCAAAACTGGGGGCGTCTCTCTGGGGCCAGGTGGAGAAGAGGAGGTGCTATCAGTCGACAGTGGAAGGATCCAGATGGGTAAAGCTAGGACATTCCATCTCATTAGTTTAGATGTTCACTAGTAGTCTTTATTAATTTAATCCAATGTATTATGGAATCTGAACTCCAAGGTGAAATGTTAGAAAACAAGCACAGTCTAAATCTAAACAGAAGATTTGGATGACCTGGTTTTAGACTTGATTGTCTGAGCCCGTTTTCCATTTCTTTAACTTAAATTGAGTTGATTCCTTTTGGGAAAAAATGCTTTGTTTTTCCAAGTATCTTATAAAGGTTTCATAGTTCATGAACATAGTACCATAGAGTGTTTAAAAAAGCCATAAAATGAGAATATTTCCTTAATTTATTCTATACTGTTAGAGAATTTCACTAAAGCAAAAACTCTTTTTCATTTCAGGTAGAACTTTTTAGAATGCAAAATGTACAAGCAATTATAGTGAAACCTAAGAACACTTTGAACGTGGGCAGTAATTCACCTCAATTTGTTATGAATAATGATTTTTTTTAGTCCAAAGGAAGCCCAAGTTTTACTCAGGTCTGAAAGCCAGTAAGCTGTTTGGATGGTTTCTTGGGGCTAGTCTAGATTCACTCTTCATCCATTTGTGTGTCAGTGTGGCTTAGGAAAATTATCTGTCCTAATGATATCACTAATACTAAGTCATTAAACTTTGTAGGATTGTGTATAGCTTAAGTCCAGTCTCAGTGTGGGAGATGAGGGGTGCCAGATGATTAACATGTGCCAAAGCGGGAGGGGTCACTAATAAGATTAAAAGAATGAGGCTTAATAAGAAGGGGGTCTACAGGTAGAGGTGGAAGTTAATAGCATGCAGCCACTGTAGCGGTAGGGTTTTAGTTGTGATAAAATAAATGGACAGTCATCTGAGATAATATAAAATATACAAAATGTATTTGATTTTAGATTAAGAAGATATAAAATATCAAATCTTTGTAATCTCAGATTTGAAATTTACAGTTTTTTGTTTGAGAGAAAAGATGTTTATCAGGGAAGTAGTAACTGTTATGACTTGTTAATGCTTTCCATATGGCAGGTTGAATTATCAAGAAATATTACAGTTCATCTTTAGATGTTAATTTTAAATCATCACCCTAGTGTAAAAACATAGCAGAGTTCATGCCTAGACACCTCACTGAATGAATAGTGTGTATTCCCAAAAGGATGTTACTTTTTAGAACTTGAAGTTAGGAAATAAAAGTTGGGGTAAAATTAGTAAAGTGATTGATGATTGAATAACTCATTGTTGTAAATTTTCATTAAGCAAAGATGTTGATGTAAATAGGCTGGAAAGAAAATAGCTCACATTTTGGGACAGAGTTAATTCTTTGTCATCAAGTTAATCAGCTTTGCAAACAACAGCAGTAACTGGGTAAATCTTCAGCACTATTGTCATATCTCATAACAATTCAGCCAAATTCATCCCACAGTTATTAGGTCTCTGTTTGATTTCATTATTTCCCTGGTGTTAGGACCTTGCGGGGGTCTGGCTTGGAGTTCATGCAGTCAGAGAGGTTGAGAGAAAGTGTTAGTGAGAGTGGCTGAAGGTGAGGAGGAGCAGAAACCCTCCATGACTTTCTGAGAATCCCCTCAATTATTTAAGTTAAAGAAATGGAAACATTCAAGACAGACAATCCAGTCTAAAAACAGGTCATCCAAATCCAAATCATGCCACAAGGACGCCCCTCAAGGATGGGAGTGGGGGAAATGTGTGGACTAGTTCTGCGACCCCTGGTTTGGAAGTGTCGCTTCTTGGCCGGTAACTGTTATCTTTTACAGTTGTTTAACCTTCGTAAATCTGAAGCTGTTTGGTTGATTTTCATGTTTGTGAGTCTTCAGCCCTTTGTCCTCATCGCAGGATCACCAAGTCTTTTAGTTGTTTGGGTTTTTTTCCCCTGTAGAGTTCTTGTTTCCAAATACTTAGATCATTTCCGTGAGCTTTTTTTCTGGAAGGTCAGATTCTTACCATATTTGAAGTTGAGGTTTAGACTGAATTCTGTTATTCCAATGGAAAACCAACTGCTTACTCTCAATGGGTACATCTCATTTTAGGTGCTAGTTTTTGTGTTACTTTGAACAGATAGTAGAGTGGCCATTTTGATGATGGCATTCTGTTGATTCCACCTTTTCTCATGAGGACTTGTTATACAATTGTGTGACTTGTGTTTGTGGAAAATCTTTCCCATCTCTCATGGTTCTTCCACACTGCAATAGACTATTAAGGGGCAGTCTATGTGGTGGGTACCAGGCTCGGCACAGGGGATGCAAAGACAGAAACGAAACAGTCTGTGCTCTGGAAGAGCCACAGTCCAGATGTCCATGCAGAGGGCTATAAAAAAGAGACAGAAGTTAAATTTGAGAGGTGGCAGTAGCAGCGGGGACAAAGGGATATCAGAAAATACTTCATATAGAAGATGGTACGTGAAATGAGTCTTGGAGGAAACGAGGCACATCATAGGAGTGCAGATGGCCAGTGTAAAGACAAGGAGACGGAAGGTAGAGTGCTATGTATGAAGAACAGTCAGAATATGGCTGAAAAAGGAAATAGGGGCCAGCTTATGAGGCATTTTAAGTGATAAACAGGAGTCTGCAGTTTGTCCTAGAGGTAATTTTGCAATAGTCTAGGCAGGATATGATGAAGGTCTTACCTAAAATGGTGGGCTGTGTGAATAGAGTGAAGGAGGTAGACGAAAAGAGATACTTTGGAAGTAGAAATGCCAAGATTTGGCAGTTGATTTGAACACCAGTGAGAATAAGGGTAGAGGATGACACTGAGATTGTAAACCTGGGAGCCTGGAAAAATGGCAGTTTGCTTCACAGAGATAGGGAAGTTTCGGAGAGGGGTCGATTTAGGGAGGAAGATCATTCTGTTTTGGATATGTTGAAGTTAAGTCTATAGGACAAGGGGAGGATGAAACCAACCTGACAGGGGGAAAGGAGCATTCTTGCCTAGTTCTTACAACACACCCCTTTAAACAACATTAAAAAGCATGTCAAACTAAGTTCTGAGCAGAATAACCAACAAAACATCATTGTTAGTAATTTAGGAGGACAGAAAGTGAGTTCTGCATACAATGGAGTATGGACTGGTGGGGAGCATGGTGAAACAGAAGTGATGCCAGCTGTGGGCCGTGGTGGCGGCAGCAGCAGCAGTGGCAGTACCAGGAGCGACCGATGCACAGGGATGGTGAGGGGACTGAACACCGGATCAGGAAGAGATTCGAGAGAGACTCCTGTGCTAGGACCAGGCCTATGACCAGGTGCCGTTTGGAAGCACCATTATTGCCCGTTTCCCAGTTCTGGGTCACAGTTCCAGAGCAATGAGTAGCAGTTAGAGTTCTGAGGGAACAAGGATGAGAGTGAATACCAGAACTCTCCCCAGATCATACCACCTTCGAAGCATACAAAAGTTCCAGGCCCCCAGACCTAGCTAAGAAAGTTTCAGAACATAAAAGCTAGACCAGACCAAATACTCCACCTCGAAGGTGAGCAGAGCCCAACTCTTAACATAATGGCCAAGGTCAAGATATAGGCTGGAAAAGTGAGGAAGCAGCAGCAAAAAAAAGAACCTGACCATAAAAAGCTACTATGGTGACAGAGAAGTTCAAGTCAAACACAGAAGATAATGATGAAAACATCTACAAGCAAAGCTTCAAAGAAAAGATGCAAACTGAACAGAAGCCCAACAAGAATTCATAGAAGAGCTAATTTTTTTTAAAGAGCAAAAAATGATTTAAAAAATCAAATTAGTAATAGAATAAAAATGGGGAAAAGAAATGAGAGCAATGCAAGAAAAACATGAAAAGAAAACAGCTTAGTAAAAGAGGCACGAGAAATAGTGATGAAAATAACCCTATAAAAATTAGAATTTCCACTTCTTCAAGGAAAGCTAATGACTCCACAAGACATCAAGAAACAATAAAACAAAGTTGAAAGGGTGAAAAAAAAGAAGAAAATATGAAATATCTCATAGGAAAAATAGCTGACTAGGAGAGATCATTTAAGAATTAGACTACCTGAAAGCCATGATCATAAAAAGAGCTTAGACATCTTATTTTAAGAAATTAGAAAGGAAAACTGCCTGGATAACTTAGAAGACAAAATAGAAATTGAAAGAAACCACCATTCACCTCCTGAAAGAGATGCCAAAATGAAAACTCCCAGGAATATTATTGCCAAATTCCAGAGCTCCCAGGTTAAGGAGAAAATAATTGAAAACAGCCAGAAAGAAAGTATTTCAAATACCGTTGAGCCAAACAAGATCACACACGATTTAGCAGCTATACGTTAAAGGAGCGGAGGGCTTAAAATATGATATTCCAGAAGGCAAAGGAGCTAGTATTATTATCAAAAATAATCTACCCAGCAAAACTGACTATAATTCTTCAGAGGGAAAAATGGACATTTCATGAAAGAGAGGACTTTCAAGCATTCTGGATTAAAAGATCAGAGCTGAATAGAAAATTTGACATCCGAGCACAAGACTCAAGAGAAGCATAAAAAGGTAAACATGAGACATAAGGAACTTTAATAAGGTTAAACTCTCACATTCTCAGATGAGAACATGATACATATAACTCCTAAGAACTTTATCATCATTAGAACATCTACGCTTCTACACGCACCTGGTAAATCCTCTGTAGGAGCTTTGACCAGCTGTGTGTGGTTGTCTTCCTCTAGCGCTCTCAGCCTTACATCGTGCCATTCTCTACCTGTCTCCTCATTCACATTTTTATATTTAACAGTTTTATTTCTGGTTTGTTCATAAAAAGACGTGGTGACAGAAAATAATTTCTTTTATCAAGCATTCTAATAGCTGCACTTGGTCTATGTAATTATAGGTTGTTGGTTTTTTGTTTTTTTTTTCTCTCTTCTATGTTCAGGTAATGGCAGGAAATTGTAGATTAGCCACTTTGTAGTTTAGGTGTAGGGAATGCCTGGTATTTCTTAACAGCTGTTCTTTCACCAGTTATTTCCTTATTGAATTACATTAAATGAGTCCAAAGGGACAGATTGACCCAAAGATAAGACTCTTAATAAATACTGCAAGGAGCCTCAGGTGTAAAAGATTCAGTGTTTAGACAGAAGTGATGAGCTGTTCTGGGAATAAGTAGCTAGTTTGGAATTAACATGATGAAGGGATCAAAGGAAAACATAACGTAACAGTAACAGAAGGTCTAGCTATAGCTGATTAGTATTTTCTAGGTCACTGTGATATAGTTATAAATTAAATTCTGATTGTATCATTTAGGATTACATTTAAATATGTCTCTGATATCTTTTTAATTACTTTAAAGATGGTAATCAAGGAAAACACTCCCATGTTTAAGATTTTTGTTTCTGTATACAGAAATAAGAGAAATTGCATTTTCTGGTTTGAGGAAAGAGTAAGTAACAGAAGTGTTCATAGAAATTGGTTTGCAAAGCACTTTCCTCACAGCAAGTAACGTTAACATTTTGCCTATATTACATAGGAGGAAACTGAGAGCAGAGTCAAATGACTTGCTGATGAGCATGTAACATCTTTTGATTCACCATTCCAGCGTTCTTTCTACTATTAAAAAATAACGATGTTTTAAAAATCATTTGGTAATCAGAATGATCACTTATTTTCTTGTGGTAGACTGTTTTGACTTCCTTGGATTATTGTAGTTTGATTACATCATAGAACTTTTTACCTTTCTTGTTTGTTTGTTTGTTTGTTTGTCTTTTGGTTTTAGGCAATTGGGGTTAAGTGACTTGCCCAGGGTCACACAGCTAGTAAGTGTCAAGTGTTTGGTCTGAGGCCAGATTTGAACCCAGGTCCTCCTGACTTCAGGGCCAGTGCTCTATCCACTGCACCACCTAGCTGCCCCACTTTTTACCTTTCTTAAGCCAAATTAAGTTACCCTATAATTTATTTTTTATCTTCTGAGTAAACTTTGTCATGTTATTGATTCTTTTAACATGTACTTGCATATAAATATAGCAGTTAAATCTTAGAGAAGAACATTTGGAATGTAATGTGAGGTTATGTAACCTCTCTGTTAAAGACATTATATTCTATAGTTTCTCTCTTTCCTTGACCAATTACAAAACCCCTATTTTAAAAATAATTGTCTTCCTGGAAAATGTGCTCTGGATATGGGGAGGCCTGCTTCGAAGAGGGAAGGATGTGGGGACATTGAGACAGTCTGTTAATTATCTAAATATCTAAGATTGAAGACTCATCATTTTGGCTTGAAGATTCATTTATTTGTGTGAATCTTATGCTTTGGTCTAAATCGGAAATAACATTTCCTTTTAAAAAATCATTCTAGATTTAATTCAAGACTGGTCGAGTGATAATGCCCCTGATATTTTTTCATTTGTTCCATATACATGGAATTTTAAAGTTATGTTCCATCAATTTGAAATGATTTGGGCAGCGAATCAACACAATTGGATTGACTGTTCAACCAAACAACAAGAAAATGGTGAGAATTTTTTAAAGTAAAACTTAAATACTTTTCCCATTAAAAATAATACTGCAAGGAAAATTTGTCTTGATCTTTATTTCATGGGTACTAGAATTAAATTTTTTTAAATTTTCTATAATGAATGATAAAGCTGTCTAAAAATTGCTTTAGTTTTTGTTGGATTAAACTATTTTTTAAAATTTAATTTTATTTGGGGATTTATATTAGGAAAGCTTTTTAATTGACCAATATTGAATTAAATGTTTAAAAGAAATTCTCTTCTCTTTTAGTTTATCTGGCAGCCTGTGGGGAAACATTAAATCTTGATTTTTCTTTGCCTTTTACTGACTTTGTTCCAACTACATGCAATACAAGATTCACTTTAAGGGTATGTATTATTATTAAATCTTGATTTTTCTTTGCCTTTTACTGACTTTGTTCCAACTACATGCAATACAAGATTCACTTTAAGGGTATGTATTATTAAGTACGTAATTTACAAAAAAAAGCTCTACTAAGTTGTCTAATTGAAACAAATGTAAGCCTTATTTTCAAATACTTTCCTTCCTTTTGTTCAGCCTCACCTGGCATAGGGCTTTAGAAGTGGGTGCCAGTGCATCTTGGAGTCAGAAAAACTGTGTTTGAGCTGTGTCTCTGACACTTCTTAGCTTCTACTTTCTTCCCAATAAAATGGGAAGGTTAAACTTGCCGCACTGACTCCCTGATTGAGTGGTTGTCAGGAGAGGACTTGGCAAACCTTAAAGTGCTTTATGAAAGTGAGTTGCTGTTATTTTAGGTTGTCCATTTATCTTCTTCAGGGTCGCAGTTTGCAGCTTATGCACTAGCCTTGTTTTTATCATTTGCTGGTGATAGTTCAGTATTATCTTCGGCTCTTACTAAACTACTTACTACCTGTGAGGTCTTCTGAACTCCAAATTCGTTGTTGGTAAAGTGGTCATGTTAGATTATGGGTGGCCATTAGCAGCTGTGGGGATCAAGAAAGGTTTCATGTAGAATGTTAAGATGAAGCAGAATTTTTAAGGAAACAGGTGCTTCTGAGAGGTTGAGGTGAGGTAGAAATGCATTCTGGGCACATGGGACAGCCAGTGCAAAAGCTCTGAGTTGGGATAGGGAGGGTGCTGTATGAGGACCAGAAAGAAGATCAGTTTAGGTGGAGTGCAGAGTGTAGGAAGGGATATAATGTGGGATGAGGTTGGGGCTGGGATGTGGACTTTCAGAGCCACGCAGAAGAGCTTTTGTGTGATCCTAGAGGAAATAGAGAGCCAGAGGAGCTTACTGGGGGAGGCAGTGTCCTAGCCAGATTTGTTCTTCTGGAAAATCATTTTGGTGGCTTGGAAACAGCTAGAAGGTTCTTATATTAGCCCAGGCAAGAGGCAGTAAGAGCCTAAGGTATCAACTATATGAGTAGAGAGGAGACAGATGTAAGAGAGAATGTGGAAGGGAAGTGACAAGATTTAGCAAAGGATTGGATATGTTTGGATAAGAAGCAGTGAAGAGTCAAGAGCAGTGCCGAGTTTGCAAACCAGGGTGACTGGAAGGATGGTAGTGCTTTCAGTAGAAATGAGGAGGCCAGATTTCTAAAGGTTGAGAAAGGAATGATAGGAGGAAATTGAGAAGGAGCATGTGTGCCAAGGCATCTTTTTTAGGAGTTTGGCTGTGGAAGCTGGGGGGCATTTCAGACCATAGGAAGTTCAGGTGAGAAGTGGGTTTGGGGAGAAGGAAAATGTGTTCTGTGCTGGACATAGTGAGTTTTGAGGTGCCTGTGGAGCATCCAGTGTGATTAGGCGGTTGCAGGTGTGTAGCTAGAGTTCAGGATAGAGACTAGGGCGGATTATTATAGATATTAGATTTACTTGCCTGAAGCTGTCTGGCATTTAGATCCATAGGAACTGATGAGATCACCAAATGAGAGAGTGTGAAGAGGGAATAGATGAGGGCCCAGGCCAGAATCCATGGGGTATACTTATAGTTAAAATGTATGATGCGGATGATGAGTCAACAAAATAAACTGAAAAAAAAGAGTCATACAAGAAGGAGGGGAGGCAAGACAAAGCTGTGTCATGAAAAATTAGGAGGCTTTGAGATGGATGGAAAAGGAGGAGAGAAGTTCTCTCCAAAGAAATCCCTTTAATGTTAGCCTTCTTTATGAGATTTACAGTTGAGGCACTTGAAACTCTTTGAGCTGGGAGAGCAAGGATAGTTTACCTATCAGATTTATGGATAACAGAATTCATGACCAAACAGGAGATAGAAAACATTATGAAATGCAACATGGATAACTTTGATTACATTAAATTGAAAAGTTTTGCACAAACAAAGCCAATGCAACCAAGATTAGAAGGAAAGTAGAAAATTGGGAAGTAATTTTTACAACCAGTGTCTCCGATAAAGGACTCATTTCTAAAATATGTAGAGAATTAAGTCGAATTTATAAGAATACAAGTCATTCCCCAATTGATAAATGGTCAAAAGATATGAACAGGCAGTTCTCAGATGAAGAAATTAAAGCCATTTTTGTCATATGAAAAAATGCCCTAAATCACTATTGATTAGAGAAATGCAAATCAAAACAACTCTGAGGTACCACATCACACCTCTCAGATTGGCCAACATGACAAAACAGGAAAATGATCCATGTTGGAGAAGATGTGGGAAAATTGGAACACTAATGCATTGTTGGTGGAGTTGTGAAATGATTCAACCATTCTGGAGGGCAATTTGGAACTATGCCCAAAGAGCTATAAAATGTGCATGCCTTTTTCCCCAGCAATAGCACTTCTAGGACTGTAACCCAAAGAAATGATAAAAACAGGAAAAGGACCCACATGTACAAAAATATTTATAGCAGCTCTTTTTGTGGTGGCAAAGAATTGGAAATTGAGAGGATGCCCATCAGTTGGGGAATGGCTGAACAAGTTATGGTATATGAATGTAATGGAATGCTATTGTGATATAAGAAATGATGAGCAGGCAGACTTCAGAAAAACGTGAAAAGATTTGTATGGACTGATGCTGAGTGAAGTGAGCAGAACCAGAAGAACGTTGTACACGGTAACAGCCATGTTGTGCAATGACTAACATTGATAGACTTAGCCCTTCAGAGCAATGCAAGGATCTAAGACATCTTCAAAGGTCCCATGATGGAAATGCTATCCACATCCAGAGAAAGAACTATGGAGTTTGAATGCAGATTGAAGCATGCTATTTGCTGTTTTTTTTCTTCCGTTTTGTTTTGTTTTCTCTTTCTTGTGGTTCCTCCCATTGGTTCTAATTCTTCCTTACAACATGACTAATGTGAAAATGTGTTTAATAGGAATGTATATGTACAGCCTATATCAGATTTCGGGCCATCTGGGGAGGGAGAGGGGGAGAAAAATTTAAAACTCCAAAGCTTATGAAAGTGATTGTTGATAAATCACAATAAATTAATAAAAAAGACTAAAAATAAATATTACTTAAAAAATCAAGATATTGGGGAAACACTCTTGGAAATTTATTTTTATGGTTTTTCTTATGTGTAAGGGAGTTCTTGAACCATATGTTTTTGTATTTCATATTTTAATATGGCAGATTGACTGTTTGTGGTAACTAATTTTAAAATGTTAATTTAGGGAGAAGATGTCGATCTTCATTTATTTCTACCAGATTGCCACCCTAGTAAATACTCATTATTCTTGTTGGTGAAAAATTGTCACCCAAATAAAATGACTCCAGATTCTTGTATTCCTGCTGAGTGTCAGAGTGGCCAGAAAACAGTGAAACCAAAATGGCGAAACATCACCCAAGAAAAGTGAGTGTGTGCAAACGTTTTGGTTGGGCCTTCCTCCCCTTTGGAGGCAAGGTCAGTGCAGTGAGAATGCTTGTGATGGTTAGTGCTCTCCCACCATGCGCTTTAATGAAGTAGAAAATGATTTCTTTCCTTTGAACAGGGCTGGCTGGGTTGAATGCTGGACTGTTCCAAGTGTGATGCTTACCATTGACTACACTTGGCATCCAATCTATCCTCAGAAGGCAGATGAACAGTTAAAGCAGTCATGTAAGTATTTTCACGTGTGCTCCGTCTTAAGCCTTTGGATGCTTTTTGGTTCTTTTCTCCAAAAGTCAAAAGAATAAATGTAAGACAGTAATCAGTCCCTCCTCAAGCACTTATTAAGTCCTTACTCCATCTCTGTACTTGATGCTGGGGGTACAAAAACAGAAGCGAAAGAAATGGCACTTGCCCTTTATCAGGAGACAACTTGTGTGTAAAGTGACGGCGAGGTAGGTTTGGAGGAAGGAACGCCCGGAGGGTGGGGCGCCAGGAAAGGCTTCATGTAGAAGATGGCCGGGAGCTGGGCTTTGAAGCAAGCAAAGTATCCTTGGAGGCGGAAGTGAGACAGCTGTGCCATCCAAACGGGAGACAGCCAGTGCGGAGGTTTGGAACTGGCATAGTGTTTTCTACATGAGGACCAGCAAAAGGTCCTCTAGTGTGTCTAGATGCTAGTGTGCAGGAAAGGAGGGGTGTGGTATTTCATGAGGTTGGAAAGGTAAGTTGAGGCCAGGAAGGGAAGGACTTTAAAAGCTACCCAGAAGAGCTTCTGTTTGATCCTGTAGGCAGTAGGGAGCCATAGAGGGTTTTGTTAGATAGAGTAGGAGAGTGACATGGTCAGATCTGGACTTTGAGCTTTGTGGAGAATGGAATTGGAGTGGGGTCAGGATGAGGCAGGGAAACAATTAGGAGGCTACTGTAATATTATTGGCAAGAGTTGATTAGGGCCTGTCTATGGATAGAGAGAAGGAGGGGCTGGTTCAGATAGAGGTAGAAGTGCAGGGTCAGGGACAGGGAGGAGTTGAGGATAATTCCAGGGTTGCAAACGTGGATAACTGAGAGGATTGTGGTACCCCTAACAGAAGAAGCGATATGGGAAGTGTGGGTGGGTTTGGGGGGGCAATAGAAGGAATCCTGTTTTGGACGTAATTGAGTTTTGAGCTGCCTGTAGGCTCAGAATGGCTCAAAATGTCCAATAAGCATATGGCTAAGTGGGATCAGAGTCTACATTTGGGAATAATCTGGGTAGAGCTGCTAAGGTCACCAACGAGAAAATGTGGAGAGAAAGTACAAGAGGCCCAGGAAAGAACCTTTGGGTACATCCCTAATTCAGGGGGCTTGCTATGAAAATGAATCAAGAGAAGATGTTTATGCTCTTGTTTCTTGAAACAGGTATAAAATCTTTGCAAAGGATTTTGATGTGATTATAAATTATATTGCAGAATTCTTTATCGCATTAAGAGAATTTGTTCGTAATCGTGTAGAAGTTTGTAACTTTGTTAGAGATGCTAGGTGTAAAAATTTTAATGAAATACAGATTGGAGAGTGTTGGTTATTCCTGTTCAATACAACATACATTTATTTAGCACATATAACATGCAGGATACTCCTGCTTACATCTACATCCTGAACCTCATCCCATCAGATTTTTGTGGGTACCCTTTACGTGTAAAATACTTGCCTTAGTGACAGAAAGCAGTCCTTTCAGGACATCATGATACCGTTTGCAGTTAAATGTGTTCTGAAATTTTTTCACAAAATTGTACCTTGAAATAGCTAAGTTAGGGTAAATTTAAGTGATTATTTTGTTTGTTGTAAGCAAGTCAGAAATCTTTGACTATGACATGCATGATGACATTCATAATGTCATGTATTTGAATAGCTTTTTGTGATCAATTCTGCATGGTGAGGTTCTCCTCCTAACATTTATTGTCTGTGATTTGTGTACAGGTTTTTTTTTTCTCACTTTTTAAACCTTTGAGTCCTTTCTGAAGCCAATTAAAATACTGCAACGAGCTTCCTTAGTGACTTCTTTTTTACTGTCGCTAGAAATGTCAGCTGATTTGTTTGCTTCCCTAGTTACAAAATGACTTATTTTTAGCATTTTCATTGACTGCTTTGATGAAGTCAGCAGGTATTTTTGGTTGTCCAAATTAATTTTTTATTTGTTCTAAAGTGTCAGAGATGGAAGAAACAATGTTATCTGTACTAAGACCATCTCAGAAAGCATCAGACAGAGTTGTTTCTTCTCCTACAACCTCTTCACGCCCTCCTGTTGATCCATCAGAACTGCCGCCTGATAAGCTTCATGTAGAAATGGAACTCTCTCCAGATTCTCAGATAACCCTGTACGGACCTCTGCTGAATGCCTTTCTGTCTATAAAGGTAGGATCGAAGGAAGATGTACTTTCACAATAGTAGCTGAAGTAATTTAAATGTGATTAAAAATTGAAAGCGGTGCTCTCCATTCCCTGACCACTTAAAAATTATTAGCTTAGGGGTTTTTTTTAATAATTTATAGAATGATTTGACAAGATTTTAAGCAGATTTAATGAAGTTTTATTGCAAAGGTGTTTTTATGCCTTTTGGTGTACAGACTTTCAAACACCAAGTCGGCAGACCCTTACTAATCTTACTCAGAGTGATGGGAGGATGTTTTATGAGGGACCAACTGAACCTGTTCTCAAACTGTGAATACCTTTGCTTTAAAAAGTCATTTCAGCACAAGCATTTTTGATTGCAAAAGAGCTGATAGCACTTCAGTAAAAGCCAGATTTTTAATTGGACGTTTTTAGTGTTTAAACTGGGCAGGGAGTAAGGCTTTTTCATGCTCACTTCTCAGAGACAGCAGTTATTGCTGGCTTCTTGTTTCACCTCTTGTTCATGGTCTCTTTTTCCTTTCTGGGCACGGCAGTCACACTGAATACATTCTAGCTCCTTCCTTGAGATGAGTATGTGATCATATCTGGAGCAGTGAACAGGGAGTGGTAGAGAGGAAGGCAATTAGTTGTCAGTAATGGGGGAGATAATGTGTATAGCTTTGGGATAGGGATGTAGACTGGACCGCTGCTTTCATCAGTGTAGAAAATTGTCTCCAGTTATGCAGACTGACTCCTTTTGAGTCACTTAGAGCCTCTGGGCACGGGTTAGAGCGCTGAGAGGTTGGGCGCTCTGCCCCATGCCTGTGAGAGACAGAACTTGAATACTCGTCCCCCTGGCTTGGAGGCCAACTTTCTGTCTGTTAACTCTGCACCGCCGCTCCAGCATCTTGAGGAGCTCAGCAGTTTAGAGGACTCAGATACTTCAGAGCTTTTGTCTCCTTTAAATCAAAGATTGTCTACTCTAAAAACAGTAAGTGGTAAGTGAAAACGTTTTCAGTCTCTGTAAGGGAATGGTTCTTAGGACTAGTTTGGAAATGTATTGTGAAGCAAGACCAGCATGCAGATTAGAACGAGTACAAGTAACAAGGTGATTGTGATCTTCCTGTCGCGTTTGGTAGGTGCTGTGTTTGCTTGCTATCACTCTCACTGTGTGAAGTCTAATTCCTTAGAACAGGGGTGGAGAACCTGTGGCCTTCAGGCCACATGTGGCCTTCCAGATGCTTAAGTGTGACCTTCTGCCTAAATCCAGATTTTACAGGACAAGATGAAGGCTGCAGGTTCCCCACCCCTGCCTGAGAGCTTTGCCATAACATTCTATATTCTGTGAATTTGCCGTGAAAAAAGTTACTCCAAGATGTGGAAGATTGGGGCCTTCAGTACTGGACCTTCTTTGATGATATGTAGAACAGACTCGCCTGATGCTTACTCTTCCCTAACCAACGGTTTTTACTGTAATTCCAGATTTTACTAGTCAACTTGTTTATTTAAGGAGCTCTCATTTTAAAAGTACATTTTGTTTGCAAATTTAAGGAGAAAGCAGTGAATAAATTACTTATAACACTTTGATTTTGAAAAGTTATTTTTAAAGATATTTAATTGACACATATAAAAAGGCTAAAAAATACCATTCACAGTTCCCATGGAAGTTTGGCACAAGCTATTTTTGTGTTAGATAATTTAGCAGAGATTGGTTGAGTAGCAAAAATGAATATTCTTATGAACTTGTAATACTCTGTAGCTGTAATAGATGATGTCTCAAAAGTGTTTTGGAATACTTTGTATTTAATTTTGCATTTGAAACTGTATAGCATCTCTAAGAAAAACTCATGAAGACATGCAATTTAAAGAGTACTTTTGGTCAAATAATTTCAAAACCTGTATTTCTTTCCCACTAATGAGTTATCATGAATTTCTGTAAAATATATTAAAATTAGAAATTATATAGGATTTGGCCAATTATTATTTTTTAAAAATAAGTGCTTCTTCAAGTAGGAGAAAGCAGCAATAGAACAAGAAAAAAAAATAAAGACATTATCCAAAAAGGATAATTCAGAGAGTATCGCTAAGTATATGTGCACACACGTGTGTGTGCGTATTACTTTCTCATCTTTAGAAACCATGAGAATGAACTTACATATGCATTAAAAGTATCTGCTGCAAATACAAGGAAATAGGTTGGTTTTCTTAAATGATTTTCTATAGCATATCATTTCTTTATAGTCACTTGACTGAAGAGAATAAAGAAAAGATCTTCTGATATCTATTATTTGTTAGTTAAAAATTTTAAAATGGACTCAGAACAAAACAATAGCTGCTTTGTGGTCATGTCCATTCTGTCGTTGGACAACCAGAGTTCTACTTCTCTTCTTCCATTTCCGCAGGAGAATTACTTTGGAGAAGATGACATGTACATGGACTTTGAAGAAGTGATTTCCAGCCCTGTCTTATCGCTCTCCACTTCATCCAGCTCTGGCTGGACTGCTGTTGGAATGGAACATGACAAAAAAGACAATGAGGCATTGGCCAAACCGGTCCATCCCCTTACCTTGCGTCCATGGGACATCACAGTGCTCGTGAACTTGTACAAGGTTCACGGGCGCCTTCCTGTTGTAAGTCACGTGACGTGGTCCTCGGAACCAGGGCTTCTTCAACTTTTTCCCCTTATTACCTCTTCAGCACTTCTTAAACTGTGGGTTGTGACCCCCCCCCCCCCAATTCTTCATGTATCTGTTAAAAAGTTTCGTTTTTGCTTTTTGTAAACTGGGTGAATGACTTTTCTCTGTAGTGGGTGTATGTTCTATTTTGGTGTATATCATTGCTTTACTGTGTGCTAAGGGTTGTCTAGGGTATGGGAGGGCACAAAGATAGATAAGACATGATCCCCATCCTTTAGGAACTTCATAGTCTAATGAGGAAGATTATACAAATAAAGAGCTGCTGTAGTGTAAGATATAGATTGATAAAAATTATAAAAGAATTAGAAGTAAAATACTGTGTAGAAGTTAAAAGGAGGGAAGCATTACTTCTGAAACATTAATAGTTTTTTGAATTTATTAGGAATTTTTTGTGTACATTCCAGTATTTCTACTTTGTTTTGTCCCTGGGAGATTGCGGAACATTTTGTCTTAGTACTTACTGTATTTCACATCCTAAAATTGTCCTGGCCTTTGTTCATCTATAAAATGAAGGGGTTAGATTAGATCACCCATGGCTCCAAATCCTGTAATCCTAGATGTAATTTTAAACTCCAGAACCAAGTCCCGAACAGCTTCCTTGTTTTCTGTAGGTCCCGTAGGGCTTCTGTAGGCTGATTCGGAAATAGGATTTTCTCAGAATTTGTGTTCCGTAACAGCCCTAGGGGTGATCTTAGGATTTGCAAGATTGGCTAAGGATTGGGTCAGGTGATTCAAGGGTCTAGGGTTAGGCAGCAAGGCCTCAAGCACTCAGGCCAGATGTGCTCTGCAGTGGCTCAATGCCAGGAAACAGGGGGAGGCTACATATGGAAATTTAATTCTGTGAAGTCAGAGTTGCTCAGTAACTTTAATTCCCCCTTCATTTGCAAAGTAGTTATTGCTGACCTCAGGGAGATACAAATAAACTCCATTTTTATGGTATTTACATAAGAGTACTGTTTTTTTATTTGGCTACAGAAATAATAATACTGTGTCTTTCAGGTACATGAGTTGTTTGTATTCCTGATCACATGTCTGTGTTCTGATTGTGGCACTTTGTCTATCTTTCAGCATGGAAGCACTGATGGTCCTGAATGTCCAACAGCTTTCTTGGAAAGATTATGTTTTGAAATGAAAAAAGGATTTAGAGAAACCATGCTGCAACTTGTTTTGTCCCCACTAAATGTATTTGTGAATGATAACTACCAGGTAATACTATATGGGAGTGAGGATGGCCAAAAAATCTACTGACATCAGCTGATGTTCTTAGAATCCTTGTGATGTGATAGATCCAGTGTATGGCTGTGCTAGTGATGTCATCTCTCACTTGAATGCATTTAAGCTATTGAATGTTAAGTATTAAGAAGAGATGCATTTCTGTAAGCTAGGGTGAATCTGTAAATGGCGACCTTTTCCAGTAATTGACACATAATATGATATGTTAAAATTTAAGAAGGATTTTCCTTGCTACGGTTTTTTCCGACAAATAGCATTTTACCAATTTATGAATGAGAAAATCGAGAGCAGAGAGAGAGGCCTTGGATGTGGTCACAGAGCTGAATGTCTGAAAGGGCTTAGAACCTGAGTGTCTCAGTAGGTCTCTACTTCTTCTTCCACCAGACCATGTTAATTCTTTTATCAAGAGTCATTTTCGTTGTTGCTCTTGAATCCACTAATATTATACTTCTTTTTTTCCCCCTTTTCCTTCATTTTAAAGTGTCAGATGGATAACATTTTTTTGTCATTGAAAGTCATTTGAGTTAACAGTATGAAATAATGCTTTACAAATTCTAATCCTAGATGAAAAGCAGACCATAAACATATTGACTACTTTTGAATGGTGACTGGAATTGACCATCTCCATATAGGCAGTTGGTGGATTATTATATGGTTTACTTAAAAGATGTTTTTGTAGTTTTCTTGGAAGATTTATTTACTGCCTTTTGAGCTCGTTTTTGATTAACCACCAGCCTCGTTAGGTAGCCAGTATTGTCCATTCATTCACTGGCTGTTTAGATTCTACTTGAAGAAATGGCCTCACCCTAGGCTGCCTTTTTTGTTGTTGTTGTTCGAAGCACTGTATTGGGACACTCAACTGCCAGCATTAGGTGATGTGTTTTCTGGAAATCAAATTCATTTCAAGATCAGACTAAGTAAAACATAAGGAAAATTTAAATTCTAGAAAATTATAACCGCATATACATCTACATACACATAAGTTTTGGATCATTTCTTGGAGATTAGCACTATTCCCCAGTTTATTTCTATGCTGTGAAAAATCGAGAGTTAACTATATGTTGGAAAAAACATTTCTTAAAGAAAGATTAAGATAATCTTTGTGAAATGATGCATAAACCATAGCTAAATAATTAGATGAACCACTGTAGTTATTTTACATGGGAAGATGGTGGAGAGGCCTCTTGTTTCCTTCCTTTTGGAATTGAGAATGAAAGAACCTTGGGGGAAGATGAGGGAAAGAGAAAATTCCTCCAGAGGGACTGGAGTAGGTAAATAGGTACTTTGAATCCTGAAAGACATACAAAACCCATTGTAACTATTAGGGGAAACTTTTCCTCCCTCTGCCATCACTGGACTTCTCCTTTCTGTCTCCATTTCTTTCATTCCCCACTCAATGCTTTGCAGTCTGGCTCCTGACCTCACCACTTGACTCAAACTGTTCTCTGTGAAGTTACAAATATTCCCTTAATTACCAAATTTGATAGTCTTTTCTCAGTCTCTTCTCTCCTCACCTGTCTGCAGTATTTGAAACTATTGATTATTCTTTTCTTCTCTATACTCTGTCTTCCCCGGACTTTCATGACAGTAACCTGTCCTGGTTCTTCTCTACACACCTAACTGATCCTCAGTCTGCTGTGCTGAAGAGCACATATCATGCCTCCGTGATACAAGTCCTTTGGGTATCTCCCAGATATCCATTCTGGGCCCACTTCTCTACTCTCTCAGCTCTTTCTCCTGTGGTGACCTCATCTGCTTCAGTGGGTTTAATTACCCTACCTATGCTGAAAATACCCAGCAACGGTCTCTATCCCAGAACTTTATTTTTGCATAACCAGTGGCATATTAGACACGTCACGTTGGATGTTCTAGAGACATCTCAAACTCATCATCTTTCCACTGAGATTCACCCCTCTTCTAGACGTCCTCATTCTACCACCATTCTTCTAGTCACGCCATCCTCCATCTCCTGTCTCTGTGCCTTTGCACCAGCCACACCCGAGCCAGGAACACACTCCTCCTCACCTCCCTTTCACAGAATCCTTTTCTTTGTTCAGGCTCCAGAGCCACCTCCTTGTTGAAATCTTTCCTGAATCCCTCAACTGCTAACACTCTCCCTTTCAAACTACCTTGTGATTAACTCTGTTATCCTTCCTTGTGTTTATTCTCTCCATGCTTTATATGTCCTTGTTTATTTGTTCATCCAAATGTACATTTCTAGTAAGTAGGGATTATTTCATTTATTGTATTTTTGTCTCAAGCCCCAACCTAGTTCTTGGCACATAGGCCTATCCAACTTAATAAATGTGTTATTGATTAGAAAACACTTTAATAGATCTAGAGGAAGAAAGCCCCACAACCACACTTGATCAGGCCTGTTTATGGGTATTTGCTTCTGCCTTGGGCTTATTCATTTAGTTGTAGCTAGTGAAGCTTCAGTACAGAGGCCCATAGGATTATTTGTTTATTTAGGTCTGGAAGAGACCGCAGAGGCCACCTAAACCTAGCAAAGTATTACTATGCCATAGAAAAGGATCAGAATGAGGAATTCTTGAACTAATAAGAGTCTGAAGTAAGCAGAACCAGGAAAGTACACAACGACAATCAGGTGAAGTGGAAAGAACCACAAAAGAGCCATCAAGGGTGATTCCTCACTCCTTCTAGAGGGACAAACTACCACCTCTCTAAGGCAACCCAGACAACTTTTGGACACCTCTGATTTTTAAGAAGATTTTCCTGATGTCAGTGAGTCAGTTTTTATTAAGCACCTACTCTATCTCTGGCTCTGTGCTCAGTGTTGGGAATACAGTCACTGCCCTCAAGGAGTTTACAATCTAATGGGGGAAGAGAATCCACAAAAGGAAGCCAAAAAACAGGGGTGAAGGAGTTAAGTTGGCCTTTCTGCAGCTAGAGAGAACAAGTATAATCTGTCTTCTTCATCCTACCCGTTTGAACACTTTCGTGTTAACTCTGGAATCTTTTTTTCTCCACAGTAGATATCCGCATTTCTTTCATGTGTTTTCAAGATGTTTCACTCATATTTGACCTCCCTTGGATACACTCTAGTGTAAGAGTTTTCTGCCTCATAAAGTGTTAGTTTCGTAATATTTATTTTCCTTTGTTTTGTAGTATTTATTCAGAGGCATGTGGACTCAGATGATTTAGAGACCAATATTCCCTTCTATTAGTAATCTCTTACCTGTTTAGTGTAACTGTTTTTATTCAAGGTTATTAATTCATTTTTCTTCCTCCTGTGATCTTTGGTAATTTCTGCATTTTTTTCTTTATGTTCCCCTGTTGCTCACTCTCTGACTCCTTCCCTTTTATGTCACATCCCCTGATGACTCGACCTCAAAGCTCTCTTAGCCTCTTCACTTTTAATTGGCCACAGTCTTCACCCTCAGGTGACTTCTGGGGGTACAGAAGTGGCCTTCCTTCTGGCCTGGTGAGCCCCAACTGCTTCATTTCCTTCTGTTCTTTCAGTCTCAGGCTGAGCGTGCAGCTGTTTGTCATCAGGACAGAACATAGATAGTCACTTGAAGGCCATTAATGTTATTATTATTATTTTTTTGCTTATAAGGATTTAAGTTATTACTTTATGTGACCAGACTAAGCTCTGATGTGATAATGAAATTATCTTTTTTTTTACTAAATTCTTCTTTATTACTTTTGTTTTTTCATGCCTTCCTAGGCAGAGCAAGCTTCTGCTTACCTGTACCTCCACCTCCTCCAAATAGTGTGGGTGTTGGAGGGGAGGGGTGGAGTTGAGCCCTCTTACTTGTTGCCACAGAACAGTGGGCAAAGGGTGGGGGTGCTGCTGGCAGCAGCAGCAGGGGGCTTTCTGAGTGGATCCCAGAGCACAAGTCTATGAGTACGTTTTTTGCAGCATTGTCTAGGGGTGGGGAAGAGCTGTTGAATGAGCAGGTCAGGGATTAGAGATTAGGCTTCTCTGCTTTTAATTTAACAGATTGTTACCTCTAGAACTTGTTGGGGTTTTAGACAGTGGAAACACTTGAAATTAGTTAACTTCTTGGACATAATTCTTATTTTGGGGAGGTTTGAGAGGTCTTGACGATCAGAGAAAATGTCTAGTCCTCCGTCTCTTTGGCCGTATGATCTGTAAGTCTGACCATGTGTTTGGAAATGAAGGTGATATAAAAACAAAAGATAAAGTTTTCAGTAGTGTTTTTGTTGCTTCTTGTTGGTTTGCTAATGGGTACTCAGGGGTTACTAACCAGCAAGAAATTTGATTCTCTCCTGACTACTTCTTTCAGGGTCAGGGGCCATTCCAGAAAGTACAGTTTTATTGTGTATCTGCTTTGATAGTTTTAAGTTGTAATGACATAGAGTCTTTGAGTACTCATTGTGTTCTCACTGTCATTATCAGCAGCGACCTCCTGTGGATGAAGTGCTTAGAGAAGGTCACATCAGCTTGTCAGGTCTGCAGCTCCGAGCACATGCCATGTTTTCGGCAGAAGGTCTCCCTCTGGGAAGTGATTCCTTAGAATATGCATGGTTAATTGACGTCCAGGCTGGGTGTCTGACAGCTAAAGTTACAGCACCACAGGTATGCTCAGTGTTCGACATGGTCTTAACATTTCCTAATCCAATCTTTTCTCTATATTGAAGCCAGTACTTAGAATGGCTGGAATAATGGGAAAGAGCCTACTGTTGTTCAGTTGTTAAAAAATATTGATTCCCTAGGTATTGACTTTCTGTAGCTATTGATAAGACTGCTCCCTGAGTCCTTTTTATAGGAGCTATAACAAATTTAGAACTTGATTAGCAGATGGCGAAACAGAGAAGGACTTCTCTTTTTGAGGTACAGCTGGCCTACAAGGAATATGATATATTATTCTGCTTGATGCTGTCATCAATCTGAAACTTCCTTTGTTAGGAAATTCGTGACATCAGCCTGACATGTAAATCTGAGATGATGGAGCTTATATCAGAATACACAGTTGTACTTCTCCAAAATTGTAAAGAAATGTAGGCGTCAGTAGGCACAGTAAGATATACATTGTACATTTTGTGTGCTTTTCCCATATGGGGACATAGCATGGATCTCTCAGACAACTAGACTTTCTGGCCGGATGTATCTGTGGAGTGCAGAGCCAGAGAGCAGGGTTTGTGAGCTCTTAAAGGTTAGGGGACAGGTTAGGGGCGGGAAGGGTAAGTTTAAATCATCTGGGCAAAGCCATGATCTACCATACTTCTTGGAGCACTCTTTCCCAATACATCTCATCTTCTCTTTAAAGAGTTCAGTGTAGAATGAGCTAGTAGCTGCCGTTTTTTGAAGATGGGCCAGAGAACACAGCTCCTCCAATTGAGGACAAGTTCATGGACACACAGCCCTGTCCTTGTTTATTTTTCCTCTGTGAGCATTTAAAAGGAGCGAAATACTTATGAGTTAGTAACGGGTTTTGTCATTCTGTCATAATTATAGCATCAAAGATGAATGGTAGAGAGATGATCTCTCTCTATGGCTCCAGAGCGGGAAGGGATGTTAGCAGCCATTTAGTCCAATGCCCCCCATCTTATAGGTGAGGAAACTGAGGCCCACAGAGATTAAAGGACAGCAGGTATCATGTGGCAGAGCCAAGAAATGCGTGTGGAACCTCACATTCCTAATCTAGCATTGTGTCCAGTGCGCAGTGGCACTAGTTGTTCTGTGAGTGCCTTTCTAGCTTTTTTTGTGTGTGATCCTGGGCCTCTAGGACCAGTGCACTTCAACTAGACCACATTGCCTTCAAGTGTATAAGGTATCAAGCCAACGTTATTCACAACTGCTCATAGATCACTGAGCAAAATAAAGGAATTCATATTAGTTTAATTAGGTTTCTGTTAAATTATAAAACTGATTTTTCTTCATTGCCCATTGTCCGGGCATTGTCTTACTTAAATATGGTAATTAGGTATTATATAAAAGATAGGAAATCATAGCTTGGCATATTTATTATAAGGTACAGATTTGCTGTATACTTTTTTTTTTTGACAAGGCATTTGGGGTTAAGTGACTTGCCCAGGGTCACACAGTTAGCAAGTGTTATGTGTCTGAGGCTGGATTTGAACTCAGGGCATCCTGATTTCAGGGCCAGTGCTGTATCCACTGTGCCACCTAGCCACCCCGCCACCCCTGCTGTATGCTTTTAAGCTCAAAGAATTCAGTTACCAAACAGGAAAGCTTTGCCCTGAAAAGAAATAATTGCTTTAGAAATTGCTGAAGTGGATTGATTTAAAATTAAGATACTTTTCATTTTTTTTTACGTCACTTTGTCATTCATAAGTGAAAGACTGAAGAAGCAAAACAAACGATGTCAAGATATGAGAATCATTATGTTGGCTTATAGCGAGTAGGTTATTTGGTGGCAAGAAAATGACACTTTTTCTTGTTACTTCAAGCTCTGCTCGCCTTTTCGTAAGCTCTTGAACTCTGTTACCTTGTTTTCGATGCTAACGGTGCTGTCAATCTGTCACTGCCCTGTAGCTGGCATGTCTACTGGAATGGGGACAGACATTTGTTTTTCATGTGGTGTGCCGAGAATTTGAGCTGGAAAGACCAAAATCTGTAATATTATGTCAGCATGGAATTGATCGTCGCTTCTGTGAATCTAAGGTATTTCAGTCGTCATACTGGGAATGCTGGGAATACATAGACTCCTTAAGATGAGTTAACTTTTAGCTGCATGTTCTTTCCAAAGAAGGTAGAATCTAAAATCTAGTATTTTTCTCTGTTATTTTATAATCTGGAAAACTTCTTTTAGCTTAATATTATTATTTCTAAATGCTGAGAATATAAAATAAAATATCCAAAAATCTTAGAGGAAATTTATAAAAGTATGATTAACGCACTTTACATGGGTATGGTGTTTTTTGACCTTTCACATATATAGCTCATTAGATCCTTACAATGACCTCATAGGGCTGAGATTATTCCTATTTGATAGATGAAACAGAGGCAAAGATAAGTTAAATATAATTTTAAATTTCTCCCTACAAAATAGCTATTCTCCTATTAATGAAATGAAAATAATTTATATTACATGTAATATATATGTAGATATAAATATATAAACATCCACATCTGTATATTATATCTATCTATACATGAATGAATAAATGAGAATTAGAATAATCTATAAGGTCCCTTACATTTCTAAAAGTGATAATATTCTGATATTCCTTGTATTTCCTTTATTTAGTTTTGTGTGTGTGTGTATGGATAGATATCTGTCTGTATATTTCTATATCTGTCTATCTATACAGACACAGACACAGACACACACACACACACACACACACACACACACACACACACACACACACACACACACACACATATATATATACATATCTCCTTTGTTAACCTTTTCATTGTAAAGCATTTTTCCCCCTAAACTTTGTTAAAACTCTTCAGTTCCAATCATGAGATATACTTTTTTGGGTTTACCATTGCCAGCTCTTGCTTAGTCACACTAAAGGAGTGTTTCACTCAAATAAAGAAAAGTTTTACTTTAATACCCAAAGACCCCTTTCCATACCCAAAGACCATTCATATCCTTATTTCTAAAGCAGAAATGTAAAACTCATGGCCTCCCAGATTGAAAGGTAATTGTAAAATGTTTGACGAAAATAAATACAAGTACAATACAAGGTAGATGATGTTGATTTGTGGTTTTCTAAGTCAGTGTATGGCTGCAGGAATCCATTTCTATTTGAGCCTGATGCCCCTGCTGTAGAAGATCTAAGTGACACAAGAGGAAGGACTGGGGGTGAAGGCAGAGCAGAAGAGTGAGGAGACTGGTGGCTAGGAAGAAACCTTGTTATGGACTCCATATTGTTAGTCATGCCTCACAATAGAAACTGTTAGTAAAGCTTGGAGGCACCAAGAGGGAAAAGAGAAGCTGGGACTCTTCATTGGAAAGAATGGGCGCAGACAGCCGAGAAGCCGACAGGAAGACCCATCCTGGCTCTGCTGTGTAGAATTGACCTGGGACAAATCACGTCGCTTCTTCGGGGCTCGTTTTCTTTACTTGTAAAATGAAGGAATCGGACTAGTGCTGAGCACAGTTGCTGGCACATAGTGGACACTTGATAAATGTTTACTTAATTGACCAGATGGTCTTTAAGGCCTTTCTGGTTCTAAATCCTATGATCCTCTGCCCAAATCCTGAATTGTCATAATGAACCTTAACAATTTTCAAAATAAAATATTACACATTCAGCCACTCAGGTTTTCTCTTAAGTAAGGAAATCCTTTCATAAGTAGAATACTGACTGTTGGCAGTCTTTTGTTACTCTAGATGAGTTGTGTTCCTGGGCCTTGTTCAACCTCGGATGACCTGAAGTACACGATGACCCGCTTAGCGGTAGATGGTGCAGACCTCTATGTCGTGGAGCATGGCTGTGCTACAAATATAAGGGTAACCGGTTTATCTCGTGGCTGCAGTAGTTTAGTTATGATGGATGGCCCTTTTTATTTCCGGAAATGGAAAAATGAACCAATTCCTGCATGTTTTTGTTCAAATGAACTTCAGTATTGGTATCAAATTATGTGTGTCTTGTGTTTCTTTAAAATGCCATTGATTTTTACCAGATAGCTTTTTAAAAATCATTTTTTCAAATATTCCCTTTACCCTCAATTAGTTTGGAGGGTCTCTTTTACCACACAGTATTCTAAATCAGTCATATCTTCTTAATAGTAATCCTGCTGCCTTTCCTGCCCTCATTTCCTTTCCCTTTTTCCCTGTCTTATGCTCCTTTTCCTTGTAGCTTGATTATTTTTAGTGCCATGCGTTTTTGTTTTCATTTTACTTCTGTCGCTCTTCTTCTTGTTCTCCAGACTTTTTGTGCTTGTTCTTACTCTTTTTACCTATTTTTCCCAATACCCTTTCCCTGCTTTGTCCCCAGCTTTCTTCTGCGATCCCTTCCTTTTGTACCTTTCCTTCTTTTGCAAACTCTTCCTCCTCCCCCCTCCCTTTTTAATCCTTTATTTTCCTTATGAATTGTGTGAGTGATTTTGAGTAACTAGGTATAAATGGTGAACAATGATCTGTCTCACGGACATCTGTCAGAACATAACATCTGAGCTTGTAATAAGTGGTGTCTTCCTAATGTGCAGTAGATACCATCATGGGTCATTGCATAATATTTTATTTTCATGCTTTAAAAATATTTAAGAAAAGTGATTTGAGGAAATGAGAGAGAAAAGAGGCAGGAAACTCAGAATAAAGTTGGGCAGGGGAGGGAGAATTCCAAAAATAGGTGAAAAGAAAAAGAAGGAAACACTAATCACAAAAAGAAAGAAAATGGTAAAGACAAAGGAAGCAGCTGAACCGAAATGAGGAAAGTACAAGGAAAAAGACTTAGAGAATGAGAAAAGGAAACAGGGTCAAATAGGCATTGAAAGGCCCACTCTTTATTTATTCGTGATCAGCTGTGGATAACCTAAGCTCCCAGAGGCAGGGACCATGCCTTCTTTACCTTTATTATCTCCCACTTAGTGCAACACAGGACTTTTCCCATGGTAGGTGATTCATAAGTGGTCATTGAGTTTATGATTGAGTAAGCCTGACCTAGTGGCAGGAGGGCTGGGAGTCTGAGGACCTCCCCTCAGATCTTGGGCAAGTCCGTTTGCTCATCTGTAAAATAAAGGGAGGGACCAAGAGGACCTCTCACTTGCCTTCCAGCTTGTAAACTGTCCTGCCCAGTTGTGGACCTTTAGTGAAAGGACATAAAGCTACAGCAGCAGACATTGTTAGGGCAGTGGGGGAGGGAGTTTGAAGGGGATCTCTGTTTGGGATTGTCCCACACTCCACCCCATGTTTGATGAGAAGATAGACATGATGCCACTCAGATGGACTTGGCCAGGGCTGAGCCTGCTGCCTAAGCAGTTTTGTGCCCGTCCCTTCTCTTGTAGGAGCCACACAGTACAACAGCTCCTACAGTTTAACAGTCAAGCTCCTGATTTGTCACATACGCGAGTGGATTTACCAGAAACATTATTGTGCTTCCCATATCTATGGCTGTGATTTCAAAATGCTTGCTTTGGAGAGACAGTAGGCAAAGCAGAAGGGAGTTGGAAAGCAAACCGCTGTGTCTCTAAGCCTAGAGAGACATTGCTTTGCTATTTGATATGGAAAAATGTTGGCAGTGCTACTGGTTCATCTCTGCTAGTCAGAAGACAAGCTTTATAATGAATTTCTTAAGAGTGTGTGGAGAGTTTTATTTATTCAGGTGAAGTGAGAAACCCAGATCCTTTTTTAAATTAACCCGCTATTCTCCGATTTGTTGTGACTTATCCAGTTTGGGTTATAATGGTTTTAAAAATTCTTTCATTTTCTTTTCCACTGTTTTGTTTAGATGGGTGCCGTACGAGTTGCCAACTGTAATCTCCATAATCAGTCAGTTGGGGAAGGGATAAGTGCTGCAATCCAAGATTTCCACGTAAGACAGTACATTGAGCAGTTGAGTAATTGCAGAATTGGACTTCAGCCTGCGCTCCTACGGAGGGCTTATTGGCTCGAGGCGGGATCAGTCAACATAGGGCTCGTCACTGTGGACGTTGCCTTAGCTGCGGACCACCATTCCAAACACGAGGTGCAGAGACATTTCTTAGAAACTCATGACAGGAGAACCAAGAGGTGAGTGAAAGTGCTGGGAATGAGGACATTTCTTCGTTGGCTGTTTACAGTTGAGATGCGTAGAATGGTTGGGGCTTTTTATTTTGTTCCTTAAATTATTTCTTTGCTAATCACTATTGTAGCAAGCATTAGCTGGGTGAATAGAATGTCTCTGGCCAGTTGTTAATGAAGGTGATATTAATAAGTGTGATCACAGGCAGCCCAGTTTGCTTCTCATCCTTTTCCACTATTGGAAAAATCAATTGAAAGTGTATACTCTACCTAGAATAGGTCATACTATAATTTTTTTAAATTTAATGGTATTTTATTTTTTCCGATTAACATATAAAGACAATTTTCAACATTCAGTTTTTGAAAGAGTTTGAGTTCCAAATTTTTCTCCCTTCCTCTCCTCCCTCTTCCCAAGACAGCAAGCAATCTGATATCGGTTATGCATGTGCAATCATGTAAAACATATTTCCTCATTAGTCGTGTTGTGATAGAAGAAACAGAACAAAAGGAAAAAAACTACCAAAAAACAAAGAGAAAATAGTGTGCTTCCATCTGCATTCAGAGTGCAGCAGCTCTTTCCCTGGTTGTGGGCGGCATTTTCCATCATGAGTCTTTTAGAATTGCCTTGGGTCATTGTGCTGCTGAGAAGAGCTAAGTCAACCATAGTTGATTGTTGCACGGTGTTGCTGTCACTCTCATGCTGTAATTTAGATCCGTAAAAGACAGTATGAGATGGTGAAACCCTGTAGTAGAATGAAAGTCCTTCTATATCCAGAAGCTTGAATGAGTTGTGTTGAGTGACTGAATCTTTATACACAAGGTGACAATTTGAAATCAGTAATGTCTCATTAGTCACTTTAAAGTCTCTCATGTAGGTGGGAAAATGAGAGGTACACATTTCTAACAGGGCTGTCGATGGGCAAAAGGATAGACTGAGGAAGGTCTGCGTATAGTAATGAATAATAAACTGATTTTTACACGTTGGATACTCTTTTACCATTTTAAAGAATGCTGTTAATTATTGTGTTCATTCTTATTGTTAGACATCCTCATATTTTGTGCATTTAACTTCTTAAAGTACATTTAACTTTTGATACTGATCAGTCAGCCAGCATTTATTAAGCCAGGCACAGTGCTAGATACGAGGAATGCACGTACAAAAATATATAACGATCCTTACTCTAAAGGAGTTTGCGTTGTGTCAGGTTCATGAATATATGCAGAATAAACATATAAATAATGGGACAAGAGTAAGTGCCAAGTAGCAAAACACAGGTAATTAGGCAAGGGAAGGGGATGAAAAATGGGGGGAGGGTGTTGTCAGGAAAGGCGTTATGGTGTTTGAGAGTGACTGTGAGACAGAGATGAGGAGCGAGTGTGTTCCAAGAATGGGAGACAGCCAGTACCCCAAAGGCCCTGAGATGGGAAGTGGGGCAGAGAGAAGGCCATCTGGTCCGGCTCAAGTGTGTGCAAGAGGGAATTAGATACACCAAGGCTGGAATGATAGCTTGGAGCCAGCTTGTCGTGGGCTTTGGAAGACAATCAGGAGTCTCTGTTTCATCCTAGAGTCAGCTCTGTCTGAAGATAGATTATAGGAGGAGAGAGAGTGAGGAGTTGAAGGTGGCGCCTAGGTTGTGAGCTTGGGAGACTGGGAGGATGGTGGGACCCTTGGCAGTAATAGGGGGGCTTGGGGGAGGTGGGGGAATCTTGAGCTCAGTTTTGGCTATGTTAAGATTATGGTGTCTTTCGGATGTCCAGGTTGAGAGATGCAATAGGCATTTGGTGATCCAAGTTTGACATTTCGGTTCTCCTGTCAGGCCTTTGTAGGGCTGGATCAGTAGATTTGAGAATCGTCAGCATAGAGATGATGATTGAATCCATGGGAGCTGATGAGTTCACCGAATGAAACAGTATAGAAGAGAAGAGGGCCCAGTCCAGAGCCTTGGGGGTAGCCACCTTTAGCAGGCGTGACCTGGAGGAAGAGCCAGCAAAGGAGGATGAGAAGGGGGCTCACGGTCCAGGCCAAGAGATTGCTGGAGAGATAGGAGGGGAAAAGGGAAGAGTTCTCAGCGATTGCTGTCAGTGTACAGTGCGAAGAGCGTGGAGATGAAGTCAGAAGCCAGGAGTTCTTGTCCCGCTTCCTCTTTTTACTAGACTTTTTACTTCAGAGAAGTCGCTTCCTATTTCTGAGCCTCAGGTTTATGTCTATAAAATAGGATTGCATTTTACCTGCCACTCAAGCCTTTTTGGAAGAATAGCTAACATTTACATATTGGCAAAGTATTGTATATAGATGTGCTCATTCAGTCCTCACTCATCAATGACCCCCTAACATCGGTGCATTTATTCCTCAATTTATAAATGAGAAAAATGAGGCTGAGAAATGGGAAGTGACTTGGCCAGGGTCACCCAACTGACCATTGTCCTTGGTGAGATCAGAACACAGCACCACACAGAAAGATTGACAGTGAGTATTTTATAATTTTAGGTGAATAATTTTTGGGATTTGTCTTTGCTCCCCAGGCTGTGGTTTTTGTGGCCAGATGATGGTGTGAAGAGTAAAAGGGGCAGAAACAAGTGTGGCTGTTTAGGAGGCTGCAGGTTCTTTGGGGGCACGGCCACTGGCCTGGACTTTTTCAAGCTGGAAGAGCTTACTCCCTCCAGCAGTTCGGCCTTTTCTAGCACAAGTGCAGAGTCTGACAGGTGTTACGGACAGTCCCTCCTGCAGCCTGGAGAATGGATTATCACCAAAGAAATACCCAAAATTGTTGACGGTAAGAGCACGGATCGTCCTTTCATTTATAGTATTGACATGATCTGCAAATGTGTCCCATAGTAGCTGAGAGTGAAATCTCATTGCCCAAACCTCCTTATTGTTCAAGTTCAGTAAATCACTTCATTCTACTGGGACGAGGACAGAGGAAAAATAAAGTCAAGATGAAGCATGACAGAGTACGGCAAAAATAAGCTTGTCACGCTTGTTTATTTTGCAGTTTGCCCAGACAGGCACTCTGTGCCTTTTTTGACACAGTCTGACTATTGATCAAACCATGATACGATTTTGAGGCACAACTTCAGAGTTTTTGTGATTGAAGGTAAAAACAGCTTTCATGGCTTCTGTGGGGTTTTTTTGTGGATCATTTCTTTGAGAATGAATTCAGATACACCTTGCCCCGCATTATCACAACCTCTGTGGTTCAGTTTTATGTTGCCAAATGATTTTGAGGCGTTGATTTCAGAATTGTTAGATTGGAAATGTCTGCAGTAGAAATTTGGGGCCCTTAGAAGAGAGTCCCTCCTTGCCTACCTTCCTTGGCACTTCAGGATGGCCCAACATCAGGACCACTGATTTCAATTCCTCTGCTGCGGGAAGTACATCGTAAGGCATGAAACTGTACAGGTGTTGGCATTATGCAAACTGATCATGCTAACAACAGTGGTGACTGTGAAGGTATATTTATGGGCTCCCCCTCTCCGGTCCAACTTCTGTAGATACTGCACATCTGGATGGGGGGGGTCTTCTGAAGGGTTAGTAACATCTTAACTCAAAGCCACTTCTTATCTGTATACTTCCATCGGGGATCAGCAGAGATTGTTCTTATCAGTCATCATTGATTCTATTTGGAAGCTGAGAATAGAAAAGGCTCTGTTGTCCTTAGTGCTTAGTAAATCCAAGTTACTTGATATGGTAGGCAGTTGAGCTCATATTCCCTGTGATTTTTCTAATTTTTGTATTAAGTAAATCAAGTCCACTGAAACGGGCCTTCAATTCTTCTGTGGATTTGTGACTCTCCATCCAGACACTGGTGTCCTGTGGGATTCTTATTTGTGTCCTTCTTTAAATTCTTCACAGATAATCTATTTGAACATACTGGAGGCCTTCCTGTAGGTCACGGACCCTTAACCCTTTTGGTTTCATGGATCCCTGGAGCAGTCCGGTGAAGCCTTCTCAGAATAGTGTGTTTAAATGCATAAAAATAAAATGCACAGAATCACAAAGGAAACGAATTATATTGAAATAAAGATGTAATCTTTTTTCCCTCTCTAAGTTCATGGGCCCTCTGAAGTCTATCCATGGGGTCCCTGGAAGTCTTTAAACCCCAGGTTTAAATCCCTCCTCTGAGGTATCTGAGGGCACCAGCACCGCACTTGGCTCTCCATCTGAAACTCCATCTTTTCCAAGTATTCCTTTCCTGGATGTATCATGTAGCCCCTTTATACCACCATCTGTTCATCCGTTGTCCTCTGATTCTTTAGAGGTCTTCATGTTTCAAGTTTTGCAGCCATGTTACGTTGCTGGAAAGATGAATTTTTGTTTCATGAAGCCCTTTGGGATCATTGAATGTGAGGTATAGTTTCCCAGATTCAGTGTCCTCTACTATTCAGTCTAGTCGTGGCTGGTTGTCCATCCACAGTTAACGCCCAAGATTCATGTAGGGATGGACTAACTTGGCTTAGTAGACTTTCCATTTGACTGTGTGACATCGTTGGGCGACAGATGTTCTTCACGAGTTTGATTTTTCCTGTAGGTTGTTAGGCTGAAGCTGATCTTTTTTGAGAGATTGTGGTGTTCTCCAGGAGGCTTTGTGATCTGGGGCGTAAGGTGGGCAGCATGTTTGCGTCCACAGCAAGAGCATCCTTCGGTGTCAGAAGGAATCCCATGACTCACATGGTGAATACTTGTAAGCACCTGCCCCAAAGGTGGCTTATATGACTTCAGCATATGCTTGGGGGATTGAAAAGTAACCTTTATAGCTGGTGTCCTCTACCCATGGGTATGCCCCAAGGCTCTGTCATGGGCCCTCTTGTCTCTCTTTGTTATCTCACTTGGTTGTCTCATCAATGCCAAGAGGGTCACTTCTCTCTCTTGAGATGATTGTGTGACCTGCTTATCGAGCTCTGGTCTGTCTCATGACCCCCCCGTCTCACATCCGCAGCTGCCTGTGAGCCATCTTGAGTCATTTGGCCCATAGACATCCTAAACTCAGCGTGTCCAAAGCAGAGCTCATGAGCTTTCCTTTCAGTCCCTTCCTTCTTCTGAAGTTCCCTTGGCTCACAGCCCAGGTGCTGTCCTCATCTCCTCACTCTCAACCCATCAGTCCCATCTGCTGCCCAGTCCTGTCACGCCCACCTTCACCCTGCCTCTCATACATAGCTCCCGTTCTCTCCTGTGCCGCTGCTGCCACCCTTGTGCAGGTCCCACTGTTGCAAGGGCTCTCCGGGCTTCAGGTCTGTCCCCTCTTTTGTCCATCCTCCACTCACCAGCCAAAGGGATCGTCCTGTAATCAAGGTCTGACCCTGTCACTCCCCTACTCAGTAATCTCCAGTGGCTCCCTTCTGCCTCCAGCATCGCTTAGAAAACCCTCCGGCCTCTCTAGCCCCTCACCCTACCTGCTCCCTTCCTGCCTTCCAAGTCTGCTTACATCTTCCCCCCCACTGTACACTCTGGGCTCTAGCCGCACTGACCTTCTTGTTCCCACGCGACTCTCTGTCCTACATCTCCTGACTGTGCCTTTTCACTGGCTGGCTGTCTTCTGTGCCTGGGACACCCTCCTTCCTGTATCTGCCTCTTAGTTTCCTTCAAGGCTCAGCCCAATCTTGCTTCTGCCAGAAGATGTTTCCAACTCTCCCTGACCTCCTCCCTTCCTGCCAGGCTGGTGCCTTCCCGTGAGACCATCTCCAGTTTATCCTGCACGTATCATTGTCAGCATGCTGTCTCCCCAGTAGAGTGGGCACACCCGGAGGGCAGTGCATTACTGTTTGGATCTTTCTTTGTACCCCCGGGGACTTAGCACCTGTCACATAGTCAGATAACACTAGTAAATGCCTTCTGTATCCCAGACACATAGTAAGTGCTTAATTAATGCTTGCTGACTTGTCTACGTGCATTTTTATAATAAAAAGTCAGCACAGTGGGAGCTCGTATCCTGCCTTGGTTGTGTGACTGTGAAGATGGACCCAGTTGCAGACAGTCTGTCATGACAGCCTTACTGTTTCCTGCTCAGATGTTTTTCAGGAAGACTCTTGCTGTGTGTATGGTCATTCTCATGAAGGGTTTATGCAAATGAAAATTAGATGCATGAGCAGGCTCTTGGTGGTCCTTTTAATTGTTTTGTGCATCTGTCAGCCCCTTTACCTGGTTACTTTCCTTCCTTCTAGTAGATACTGGGTCTGTGGCCACTCTTCTCCTTGGCCTTTGAATTGCTATTTCCACTTCCTCACATAAGCACCTAAGGGACAGAAATGGAGAGCATTCAAATAGGCTGGCTCCATTGTCCCGGATGAACATGGTTAGAGCAGTGCTGTGATGCACCCTTTTCTTTCTCTTATCTTTCTTTCAGTTTCCTCTGTAAATGCTCTTAGCAGTCACGGTCAGCAAGCTGTGTGTGAGGCACTGTACTAGGTACTGAGAGTGCACATGTAAAAGGGAGGTCATCTTGACATATGTATAAGCTTAAGTAAGTATGGCCCGGCTTAATTGAGTCTCACGCCAAGGAAATAAAGAACTCCCAGATCAATAAGCAGTCATTTTCTGCCTGGTAAAATGTGGTCATTTTCACCTCTTATCATATTGTTTACTGCTTATTATACATAACACCATCTGACTTTTCTTCAAGGAAATAGTCATGATATAAAGAGGTGGAGAATCTGAGTATTGTAATGAACAGTCCTTGGGTGTTTTTCATTTCTTAATCTCAAATAATATTTTTCCTTTTTTTTTTTTTGCAGTTGAAGTTAAATGACTTGCCCAGGGTCACACAGCTAGTAAGTGTCAAGTGTTTGGTCCGAGGCCAGATTTGGACTCAGGTCCTCCTGTCTTTAGGGCCAGGGCTTTATCCACTGCGCCACCTAGCCACCCCTCCAAATAATAGTTTTCCGACACATTACTGTCATCTCCTATGCCATTCTTTAAATTGAAGTCTCAGTATTAACATATTCAGGTATGCTGACTGCTTTTACTTAAATTGTAATTTCCAGGAGCACCTAGATGGCAGAGTGGATAGAGCCCTGGAGTTAGGAAAATCTGAGTTCAAATTCAGCCTCAGAGACTTACTAGCTGTGTGACCCTGGCCAAGTTACTTAACCACTGCCTGCCTCAGTTTCCTTATCTGTAAAATGGAGGTAAAGAATAGCTCTCTCCAGGAGCTGTTGTGAGGATCAAATGAAATAATATTTATAAAGTGCTTAGCACAGTGCTGGGCACATAGTAAGCACCGTCTAAATGTTAGCCAGCATCATCATTATCAAACAATAATAAAACATGAATTAGGAAAAAATGGATTCCTACAGCTGTCACCCGCACAATGGATAGTTGATTTGGTTTCCTTTTGTGACAGATTCCGCTTTATGCCTCTTCTAGCCTCCCTCCAGTTTCCACATTTCGCAGTGGTGAAGTTTTGTGATCAGTAGTTTTATAGCTCTCCACATTTGTCCAAAAATCACCTAGTTCCCATGGTTCTCCTTCTAACACTGGTGGCAATCAGTCTGCAAGTATTTGTGAAGGGCAGGAACCAAGATTTTGTAGTTTGACTTGTAGGGTATTAAAATTATTAACATAGTTCTCTTAAAATACTAATCTTTTTATGTTTAGGTAAAATAAATGGCACGAAAAGGAAAGATTGGGACAGCAAGTCAGTAGGGATAGAAGTGGAGAGGAAAGCTCCCTCCCTGAGCCTTCAAGTGCCTCTGCGTTCCCACAGCTCCTCCTCTTCCTCCGAGGAGAACAGCAGTTCCAGTGCGGCGCAGCCCTTGTTAGCCGGGGACAAAGAAAGTCCTTCTTCTGGTGCGGAAGAGCCAATGGTTCAGAAGGATGCCTTGCTTGCTTCCAAAAGAGAAGATGGCCAAGGAAGGTGAGGGTTCTGAGGGAAGTGGGCTTTTGTTCAAAAACCATCAAATAATGGGTTCCTTTTGTAGCTCACCAAAGCACTGAAGGTGTAAACAAAGGGTAAACAAGTCTACAAAAATGTAGCGGTCATCCAAATTAGAGGAGGTTTTACCCAAGAAAGAGCCTGATGTCTTGTAAAAGTCCTTTTCTTTATTTGAGAAACGGATGATAGAAAATGACCAAAAGCTTCTTGAAGCCACATCTGGATTGCGTAATGTGAGCACAGTCATTCTAATAACAGTTTTGTTTTCTGTTTTAGTGTTCCTGCAGAAGTTTCAGGAAATAGTCCTGTTTCTCCAAATGCTCAGGATAAGTCCGGAGCTCAGTCTCCCCTCAGGTCCCCCTTAAAGCGACAGGCATCTGTGTGTTCCACCCGGCTGGGAAGCACCAAGAGCCTGACCGCGGCTTTCTACGGCGACAAGCAGCCGGTGACCGTCGGAGTTCAGTTCAGCAGTGACGTCTCCCGGAGCGACGAGAACGTCCTGGATTCCCCCAAACAAAGGAGGAGCTTCGGCTCCTTCCCGTACACGCCCTCAGCAGACTCGAATTCATTCCATCAGTACCGCTCGATGGATTCCAGCATGTCAGTGGCTGATAGTGAAGCCTATTTTTCTGCAGCTGAAGAATTTGAACCAATAAGCAGCGATGAAGGCCCAGGAACTTATCCTGGGCGAAAAAAAAAGAAAAAACAGACACAGCAAATTGACTATAGCAGGGGTTCCATCTATCACAGTGTTGAAGGACCACTTTCAGGCCATGGAGAAAGCATTCAGGACACGCACACGCTGCCAATCAAAACTCATCCTTCTCAGGCGTCTTTTGTTTCAGCTCTGGGAGGGGATGACGAGCTTGGAGAACACCTGTATATGACAGAAGGCGAGAAAACCACTGAAAAGGAGCAGATCACTTCTCAGCAGCCTGTCATGAGTTGTTATCAGACTTACCTTACTCAATTCCAGGTGATTAATTGGTTAGTTAAGCACCCCACAAACAAAAGAACCTCCAAATCCTCATTGCACAGACCATTGGATCTGGATACGCCAACCAGTGAAGAAAGCTCCTCCTCTTTTGAACATCTCTCTGTCCCAACTTTCAAGGTATGCCGTGCCAGGGACATTTGGGCAGGGGGTAAAGGGGTAGGGAGGAGGGTGGCAGCAGTTTGATTTTTTTATTCAATATCTGAGTATCAGAATATTTGTAGACAAAAATACAACTTAACGTACAATTGTGGAGAAGTGAGAGATGTTAAGATATATGTCTTTTGGAGACAGTAGAACTCACCAGAGTGGGGGCAGTGTCAGGAGAGAAGAGGGTACACCACACCAGATCTTTGCCAAGAAAACCACAGACAGGGTCACAGAGAAACGGACACAGCTGCTGAGATGACTCAGGGTGAAGGGAGACAGGGAAATTAAGTGGCTTGGCCAGAGTCTCAGGGGTCTTCTTGCCTCCTTGGCCAGTTCTCTCTGTCCAACGTGTGTCACTGTTTCCCTGTGTGTCGATTTTCAAGCTCGGAGTGACCTCCCCTGTCATTCAGTCTGGCTAGTGGTAGTGAGGAAATAGAGCAGCATTTAGGTTCAGGGACTTGCCCCAGAGTCACACAGGAAGCAGCAGGGGCCTCGCAAGACCAATTCTACCATGCCGGCCTCAGCAGATGCTTTGGATCAGAGCTTGATGGGTTCTTTTGTTGATTGGCTAGACTGAGCTTCAGATCCTAGCTCTTCTCTGCTCCCAGTCTAGCACACTTTGTGCTGCAGCATTCTGTTTCAAGATAACGTGAAGAGCTTTTGTTGTTAACCTAAGAATCAAACGTGAAAAAAGACACATTTGCCAGAGAAAACCAATTTAAAGCATCTATTCAGAATATGTATCATCTTTATGTGATTGACTAGTAAGACTCTTCCTTAGGCTCATTTTTCTGTGGCTGCAGGGGACCTCAGAGGCAATAGGGTATGGTCTTCTTCTTTTACAGCATATTTTCCTCCATTTACATGAGTCATAGAGAGTGAACATAAAGACATAGAGACTTCAATAAATATTTCGTGATAAGCTTTTAAGGATTATTTTGTACCGTTCTAGGTCATCAAACAAGGCCTTACAGCTAATTCTTTACTAGACAGAGGCATGCAGCTTACAGGGATGACTTCAAAGTGAGTAAAAATGGCCTAGCCTCCTTTTAACATTAAACTTGGTTTTATCCATAAAATTTGTTTTGCTGAATTCAGTTGTATTTACCTAATTAAATAGGAGCACGGGAAGATGCCGAAGCAACAATGTTGGAATCACCAGCCTCTTCTATTTATAGTATTTCTTCCACCAAAGCTGAAAGCATTAATAGCAGAATTTTTATTACACATATTGTGAGACAATAGTGTTAGTTAACAATTAAATAGCTCTTTAAGGTTTGCAAAGCATTTTGCACACATTTTCTTATTTGATGATTTATGATTTGATATAAAGTTTTATGTAGGACAATTTGGCACTGTGAATTTAGTATCTGACAGCAGTAAAATAAGGTTTAATAGCATTTTGGAAGGACTCCTATCTAATCTAGTTTTGCTTCTTATTCTTCATGTCTAATTTGCCGACCATCTGTGATTGACTTTGTAGCCTTTTGATGACACAGCCTATTCATGAAAAGCATCAGGTCATTATAATATGTACTTAATTGCTTGAGGTAACTCATTTAAGTGAATTTTAGACTCATAGGTTCATGCGCTTACATAGTGTGTTTTTCTGTAGTTTTTTTAGAATCAGTAAAACATTGCTCTTATAAAAATATGTTGCTGTCTGAATGCCTCTAGATCGATCCTATTTCAGAATCTGAAAAAAGTTAAATCCTTACTTGGTTTTACTTCCACAGTACTCCATACACTCCTTTGGAAAAGAAAGTTATGGATACCACAGATGATGAAACGTTAACAGAAGAGTGGGCCTTGGATCAGCCAGTGTCTCACACCAGGACGACAGCCATCGCAGAAGTGAAGGGGACTGTGGACGTCGTTCTGACCCCCCTGGTAGCTGAAGCCTTAGACAGGTATCTTCTTTTAAAGCACATCTCTTCAGTGATCAAATGATGCTCCTGTAAACGAATGTTTATGATAACCTCTTTGAATGACCTAAATGACAGAATTGTAACGTGCAAAGGAAATTAAGATTTCGCAGATATTTACCAAACATCTACTGTGTGCAAGGGATTGTGTCAGGAGCTGAGGCTGCAGGGCAGAAAACAAACTCCATTCTTCCCCTCAAAGACCTTACCATGGACTAGAACAGCTCTAACCTAGACACAGATAAGGAAGATGCAAAGCAAAACATGACAAGAGCCAGGGAGAAATCCAGATAAAGGATCAAAGGAAGGGTGGAGGTAGGTTCAGGTTAGCAATTACGGTCATCCCTTCCACAGCATGACTTTCCCCATCGTGGTTTCAATACATCACAGGTTGGCATAAGAAATTAAATGGGAACTTTGAAGAGTTTTGCAGAAGCACAGATGACACAGAAAACATTTCGAAATTCAGAAATGCATAACATACCTACATATAGTATTATAAAATATCTACATATTTTATCTTATAATACCATGATAATTGGACTTCTTTTCTGATATGAAGGGAGGGCCAAAAAATTTTGCAAGGATTTTCCAGATTGTGGGGACACTGTGCCCCAAATCCTTGCAGTGTGGGAGGGATAACTGTACTTATTTAGTTTCCGCAGACTTCCAAAAATGAGATTGCAAAAGGTAACTCGCATATTCCCAAACCATTGAGTCCAGAATTGTCGATCTACTTTTTTTCCTGGTATATCATGGTGTGTTAGTCATTCCCGTGCTGCACACTGGGGTAAAGAAGACAGTTGTGCCTGACCTTTCTCCTCAGAGCGTGTATGGTCTTCCTGGGGGGAATAGATAAGAAGATGATGACAGCATATAATTAAATCACACCATAAAACTGTATGACGAATTATTCAAACTAGTGGAGTTCAGCAGAGAGGAGCTTCATGAAGGCTAGAGTCAGCTCGCTCTAACAGAAGGTCACTTTGAAGGCTTCTGTATATAGTAGCAAGAGTTAGGAGGGGAATAGACTAGGGGATTGTCTGAATAATCCATGTGGGAAGGTGATGACTTCCCCTTGAGTTCTTGTGGGAATGAGAGCCTATCTCGTTACCCAAGTCACAGGCTTCAGAGTTGTCGCACACGTTCTCCCAACAGTGCTTGTTTACGTTGGCATCGCTTGCTCAGATCACGTGGGCCTCTTTCTTGCTACACGTGTTTGTTTTCCTTCCTGCAGATATATTGAAGCAATGGTTCACTGGGCGAGTACCCGGCACCCAGCTTCGATTGTGGACCATCTCCATTCCAAGGTCCTGAGAGAAGCCGTACAGAATAGCAAGACGACCTTCTCTGAACACGTAAGAGTGTCTCTCTCACAGTCAGCCAGCAAACATAGACTAAGCGTCTGCTGGGTCCCGAGCCCTGTGCTGAGCCCTGGGGATGCAAAGAAAGGGGAAAGGTGGTGCCTGCCCTCAAGGAGCTTACAGTCTAAGGAGGAGGCCAGCAGGAGAACACCTACTAACAGACAAGATGCGATAAGAGATAGTGAAGGTGTTAAAAGAGATCAGGAAAGGCTTCGGGGCTTGAAGGGAGCCAGAGAGGCTAGGCGGGAGAGGATTGCAGGGCTGGGGGGCAGCAGGGAAGAGGCAGGGAGTAAGCAATGTCCAGGAGGCCTGTGCTGCTTGACCAGGGATTTGGTTTGAAGGATACTCCAGTTCCAGGAACTGTAATATATTCAAACAGTAGTATTGACGTGATATTATTTAATCTGGAGTTTGTGGAACTTTCCTGTTATTTGGTATAAAATTGTTTTATGGGGCAGCTGGGTGGTGCAGTAGATAGAGCTCCAGCCTTGGAGTCGGGAGACCTGGGTTCAAATCTGGACTCAGACACTTGACTCCTACTAGCTGTGTGACCCTGGGCAAGTCACTTAACCCTGATTGCCTCACCCAAAAAAAAATTTGTTTTACCTTGTACTCCTCATAAAAGAAGACGTGCATAATTGGTATTGAGGACTGACAGAGGCAACAAGTTTAATTTACAAACATGAAGCTTTAATTTAATTCTATTTCTAAAATAGTTTATAATTCCAGGTTGTTCATCGAAACCATGGACTTCTGAGAATTGTCCTCTGCTCTTACCTAGCCCTCTTTTATTTAAAAAAAAAAATCACAAGTCTCTACCTTTAGAATCAGTTAATATATGCCTTAATTTTTGTGACAAGTCAGGTTTGGTGGAGTTGGGTGGGGGTTTAATTATTTGAATCTGACATTAAATAGTTTGGCTTATTATCTTTTAGAGCAAAATTTGTGATATACTTAGTGATTCCAGCCATGTGATTCATAATATAAAATTGAAGTTAGACACTAGAGTTTCTATAGAGATCCTTATTCTAGATCTCAGGTTCATTTCTAGCATTTCTTAATCTAGTTGGAGGGAGAACCTTGGCTGATATAGTGACATTATACTGGGGAACTGAGAGGGAGAGCAGAGGTTTCCTTTAACTGGAATCGGTATAAGATGCTTTCTGGACAGTTCCAGTTTTCTTATTTCCAGATCATAGGACGATAGATTCAGAGTGGAAGGCATCTTGGAGGCATTGACTTCTAGGGACAATCATGGCAGATGAGTGGCCCAGCTTCATGTCGTGCCCACTGTCTTTCTAAAGAGGCCAAGTCACTTAATCTAGACCACAACATCCCTCACCCAGACAGTGGGAATTATAGAGCGCTGAATAAGCTTTATAGAGTGCTGAATAAGTTCTAGAAGTGGATGCTGTGATTGTGGGAGAAGGGATTGGCCAGATGGAGCAGAGTTTTGTGGCCTTAGAGAGGGGTGGGACTGTTGGTTAGCAGTGTGTTTGCAGTCACAACACTGTAACCTTCTCTGGCCATTGCTTTTTGTACAATAAACGCAGAGTGATGCTAGTGCATGAAAGGCAGGGTGCAGAGCAAAAGGGGTGGCGCCAGCGTGTGGGCACGCAAGCTGGTTGAGGAGCCGAAGGACCTGTCTCTGTTCCTAGTACTGTAGGCAGTTCTCTAAGACTAGAAGTTTCAGAGAAGGCGCTGACCTGCATTGATAGAAAGTTTCCTTGTCTTGCATTTAGCACATTGCCTGGTACATAGTAGGCACCTAAATGCAAATCGATTGACTGAAAGTCCTCTACATCAGTGAACCACAGATCCGGTTCCTATCTTTATTCCTAACTACAGTGCAGAACTGCCCCCTATACCTAGAGTGTTTTCCCTGCATTTGTCTCAGAACTGACCCCTTGCTTCCCTTTCACGGAGCTCAAGTGTCACCTCCTTCAAGAGACCTTTTGTTCACTTATGTAATGCAGGGCAGGTCACTTAACTTCTCTGGGACTCCCACAGCTCTCCAGATCTGAGTGTTATAGACTGGTGTGGATCTCCGTCGGTGGATCAGCCATTAGTAGAATTCCTATACCAATAAAATCACGGTTTCTGAGTCTCAGTGTCTGTGAAAGAGGGATAATAATAGCACCTACCTTACAGGGCTTTCTGAAGGACACAAGTGAATCAACACATGTAAAGCACTTAACAAATTTTAAAGTACTATATAAATGTTAGCCATTGTTGTTCTTAATTATCATCATCATTATTGTTTTGACCTTTGATCATAAAAACTTTGATAAAAAGATGAATGAGAGATAGCAAGTGGATCATCCGGAAGAAGGCCTCCAGCGCTTTGGGTGACTCATCTGTGGAACTTTGTGCCACGTCTTAATCATTGCAAGTGCGTGGGGATGTGCAGTAATTTCAGTGAGAGGCTCATTAAATGCTTGTTGTCGTTCAGTCATGTCAGATTCTTCAGGACTCCATTTGGGGTTTTCTTGGCAAAAATACTGGAGAAGTTTGCCATTTTTTCCCTCTAGCTTATTTTACAGATGAGGAAACTGAAGCAAACAGGGTTAAGTGACTTGCCCAGAGTCACACAGCCTGTAAGTGTCTGAGAGTGAATTTGAACTTGAGACTTCCTGACTCCAGGCCCAGCGTTCTATGCACTGTGCCCCTAGATGCCCATTAAATGCTAGAATGTACCAAATATTTTGTTTCACGTGCTTCACAAAGTGAATTACTAGAAGGACTCTTGGCCTTCTCCAGAGTTAAGTCCGTTTTCCTGGAGATAGTGTAATTGTTATCCTAAAAGTTGTTTGTGTATCCATCCATCCATCCATCCATCCATCCATCCATCCATCCATCCATCCATCCATCCATCTATCCATCTATCTATCTATCCATCTGCCCTCCGTGTACATGCCAGTTACATAGCCATTGAGTTCTTTGCTCTTCAGATCACTTGATCAGTTTCCCATCTGACAAACTGAACTTGAGTATTAAGGCACCAGAGATTCTGAGCCGGGGAGATGAGCTGCTTGGGTGTCGAGCCGAAGTGACCTTGCAGACCTGCTTAAAAAGAGGCATTGTTGATTACAGCTGAAAGCTGTTAACCACATGCGTATTGGTAGAAGAGTCATCTCCAATTCGATTCCTTCTTTTCAGTTGTCCTCCAAGCAGGAGATCAGAGGAACAAAAACTGAGCACCCGCCCCCAGGACGCCCCAACCAAGGACAAGCACAGACAAATCTTGCGGCCCAGCAAGAGGACGTAGCCATCAAAGGTCTCCAGGCCAATGTCAGCGTGCCCAAGGTAATGGTCTGGTGGCGTTTGGGAGAGATTGTGCCGAAGAAGAATCCTAGTGTTTTGTCCACTTGGCTTTCCTGATTGTTGCAGTTGATGGATGATTTGATTTCTTTTACTTAAAACGAGATGTTATGCAAGTCATTAAAGACACAACAGGGACGTGAAATCAGACTAAAATGGCTGTGGCATTGTTATGACGGTGTCTAGACTGATGCGCAAATCAAGGCTTCTGACATGTATACTTGGATGATATAATTATTTACTTTGGAAATTTTGCACACTTGTCATTTAGCACTACATCAGACACAAACTCTGTTAATCTTAGGTAATCTTATTACTCTTACACACTTTGAAGTTCAAGGATAAATCCTGGGGTTTTGTCAGAAGTTTTCAAAAATTATAATACTACTTTAATTTTACTTTAGTTAATTCAGCTGATGTTACTGACATTTCTTTGGGACCCTTTATTTTTTAGGTAAACTTGTGTTTATTGCAAGCATCAGTGGAAGAATCGCCTACAGCTTCTGGGAGAAGTGTGACTCACGTTTCCCTTGTGGCATTGTGTTTTGATAGAATTGCTACACAAGTTCGTATGAATAGGTATAAAGAATGTTTTTTCTTGAACAAGAATACTATTTTCATCCTGCAATGTAATTTGATAGAGTGGACCTTTAAAAAAAAAATAAAAAAGAATATGATCTCTCTTACATCCCTGGGAAATGGAATTCATGTTTCACGGTATCTGCCCTGAGGCCACATGTGACTCTCTAGGTCCTCAGGTGCAGTCCCGCTCCGATACCATGTAAGAGTAAATTAGTTGTCAGAGTAAGGAGTCAGAAGTCTATTTTCTTTATGAACAAAACACGAAAATTGGTTAGTTATATTCATAATAAGTTTTTTTTAATTTAGAAATTGTTATCAGAATCAACCTTAGTTTTAATATAATGTAGAACTGTCCCCTTCAGCATTAGCGATAGTAATAATTGAATGACTCATACATTTACAGTAAAACTGCTTTTCCTTCTCTTGATAAGAGGTGTGGTTGAAGAGACACCAAGCAGTACAGAACCTGGCAGGACATCAAACTGGGAAAGATATGTCCAAGCCAGCAAGATGCAGCCTCAGTCTTCTGGCTCCCTGCGATCGAATGCTGGAGCAGAAAAAGGCAAAGAAATTGCTGCCAAGCTCAACATCCATAGAGTACATGGACAGCTTCGGGGCCTTGATACGACAGGTGGGATTATAGCACCACATCATTTGTCTTTGTCTTTAGAAAAGGTGTTCCCTGACCAACTGTGGCTCTGCAGCCCCGGACCAGGCCCAGAACCTTTTGGGGTGCCAGGCTGCTCTTCAACACTGTAAGTTACAGGTCAGGGGCTGATTGCCTCAGAGGAGAGAATGTCCCATTTGGGAGTCCCCATTCTGAATGAAATCACAGGTTTGGTCAGAAGGCAGAAGTGATTTTGTTTCCTCTGTACAATATGACTACTTGAGTCAGGTCACAGCAAAGAGTCCCATGTTAATATAATTAATTGTAAGTTGCTCATATGCCAGTGAGATTCAGACAGAAGGACCAGAAACGAGAGTTGCTTTGCTCACCTCCTGAATGTCCCTGGATGTTAAGCATTGCCCCTCCCCTTCTCCAGATCGGGTAGGAGCATGACGGTGACCATTTATGTTTTCTGTTCCCCCACGTTGAACACATTGGAGGCAGAGACGAAGTGTAGAAGCAGCTACAGGAGAAGCTGCTGGTGGTCGTTCCCTAGGAAGTTAAGTGAGGCCGAGGGTTTTTAAAGGAGTCTTCCCTCCTTTGGGAGGTGGCCTGATACCCAGAAATAGCAGAGAATTTACGAGTGAGATGCTGACCTTGTCTCTGAACCCCAGTTTCCTCTTCTGTAAAACAGAGAGCAATACTCACGCAGCCTGATTTCCAGAGTTGTTCTGAAAATGGACTGTGAATATGTGTGTATAGCAAATGCTAATGATCAAACTCAAAGCACTATATGAATGTAAGGTCTTGTTACTGTCTTGTCTGTGGAGCAAGGACTGATGGTAGAATGTGGAGGGGAAGGAGTATCCAGGTAGGTTGGAAAGACAGGTTAGAGCCAGGTGATGAAGGGCTTTAAAAGCCAAACAAAGGAGTTTATATTTGATCCTAGAAGCCATAGGAAACCACTGGACTCAGGTGAAGAGGGGAGTGACGTGGTCAGATTCGCAGTCAAGGAAAATGATTTTGGTGACATGCAGCTCTGTGGACTGCTCTGGTGACTGGGGAGTCACTCCCCACAAGTGGGGAGAACAGTTAAGCTGTTACACTGATCCAGGCGAGAGGGGATGAGGGCCTGGACCAAGGTGGGAGTAGAGAGAAGGGGCCACATGGCAGAGATGTTTGTGAAAGCAGAAACAAGAGGATTTGGCATCTGATTGGATGTGTGGTGTGATGGGGAATGAGGAGTTGAGGTTGATGCCAAGTTTACAAACCCAAGGCGGTGAGAGCTTGATGGTGCCTTTGACAGAAATCAGGAAGTTTGGAAAAAGACAGGTCTTATGGGGAAAGAAAATGAGTGCAATTTTTGAAATTGAGGTTTCATATGTCTCCATGACACCCAGTTTGAAATGTCTAACGGGTAATTGGTGATTTAGGACTAAAATAGAGGCTGGATTTGTGGAGTTGACAGTTAAAACCCATGGAAGCTGATGAAGTTACTAAGAGAGTACAGGGCAGAATTCTTAACATTTTGGGGGGGTCATGGACCTTTTGGCAGCCTAGTAAAGCTCATGGATCAGCTCAGAGTAATGCTTTTAAATATATAAAACATAAGCTTGCAAAGGAAGGACAGTGATATTGGACAAGTGATTGAGTGAATGGTAAGTTTTAAATGAAGGAGTGGATTTGGGCACATTTAGAGACAGTAGAGGAGAAGTTGGAGACTTGAGGGTAGGGGGACAATGGAGGATGAGGCCATTGTAGAAGACAGAGCATGATGTGATCAGATATCCCAGTAAAGGGCTTAGCCTTGACAAGAAGGGTTATCTCTTGGTCAGAGACTTCAGCAAGGGAGGACAATGTAGGAGATGTTGAAAAGGGGCTTGAGACAAAGAAGGGCCCGAGTTTTCTCCAAAACTTTGGAGGTAAAAACTCAGCTAACAGAGAGGGAGGAGGAAGGATAGGGGTTTCAGGAAGGGAGAGAATATTCACAGTAGGTTTTGTAGGGAGTGAAATAGCAGCTATCTTATGGAGGAATTAAAGGGCGTCCTTGTTGCAGTGAGGGCATGGGCGAGGTGTGATGACATGGATTTGTATTTTACCCGGGTAACATGGATGTGGGCTTTCCTCCAGCTTCGTTCAGCAGCTCCTGAGTGAGAGAGGAGGAAGGCAGATGATGGTGGTCATCCAAGGCTGAGGTTTGGCCAGAGAAAAGTGGTCGCAGGGCCAGAGGCAAGGGATTCGGGAGCTGAGGACAGTGAAGAACTGAAAAGGATATGAGATCCTACAGTGCTCATTGTTGGTTAATTGTGCAGAGCATTTGATTCAATAGAGGAAAATCTCCCATGCATGTGTTGAGTTCACTCATGAGTCCTCAGTGGTCACAGAGAGACCTTTTTAGTGAATCTCTTAGCACCATCATCAAGCAAGGCATGAAACAGGAGCCCAGAGGCGTTTGCCGCTCCCGCGGAGTTCTGTTCATTGAAGAGTCCAAATGGCAGGAGGCTGTCCTCCTGTCCCCAGTCAGCTGGAGTCTCTGCAGGGAAGCCAGCTGCTGACTCTTCCAAGAGACTGATCTTCTGGCCTGGGTCTGCATGCACCAGCAAGACTCATCAAATAACTGAGCAGTTTTGCTCTAGAATAAAGATGCATCTGGCTCAGGTCCAGGAAGGAGGCCCAGAGGTCCCCTGACCTCACCAGAAGGCCAGGGAAGACAAGTAGAAGCAGAGCTGCTAGGTCCTCTGTTCCCTTCACAGTGCTTGGGCTGGACCCTTTGTAGCTGTCAATTTAAAACTGCCCTACCTGTTCCTTGCCTTTCTCTCTGTTCTGTTCCTGCATTGATCCCCTCCACACCCTCTGTGGTCCCATCATATTGGTGTGCTTGCTGTCCCTTACACACAGCAGTCTGTCTCTGTCCCTGCCTGTACGCTGGCTGTCTCCCCATGCCTAGAACGGTCAGTCTCTCTCCGTTTCTTTCCCTTGGCATCTTTTGCTTGCTTGAATATTTAGCTCACACTCAGGAGCCCTTTCCTGAATCTTCAGCTTGCAGGTACCTTGGGAAGGTGCGAGTCTCCTACATTTCGTACTTAAGTCTCCTGGCTGTCCTCTGGTCCATTTGGGGAGTTCCCCGGGGCTTCCCTCTTGTGACTCCTCTCCTTACCTCAGCTGACTCACAGTCCCTTTATCAGAGTTTGTACTGGCTAGCCAGGTGGGACACCTCCCTGATTTCCCCAGCTTCTGGCCCATCTACCTAATGGTTTCTTTTCCTCCTGACCAGTTCTGGCCATCTTTTTGTGCAGTTCTGACCTGGGTGGAAGGGCTTATTTCTGTTTTTCTTTTGTATCCTTTATCATTAATCTTTCTGGGGCCCTTTTTCAGTTGTTAACGGGGATTGATGTGGAGGATCAGGCTTTCTCTACAATCTTTTACATCACCATCTTACCCAGAGCTCCTCTCAGAGCATTCTTTTTAAAAACAGTTTTATCGCTATCTTTTGTTTTTATGTCACTTGAATTTCCCGCTGTACTGATCAACACATCAAAAAGAAAATCTAAAAATAGATTCAGTATTCATAGCTGTGGCCCTCCCACCCACCTCTGCAAAAGAGATGGGGGTGGGAGGATGGGGAGGCTCCTTCTCCTGTTTCTTTGGGGCCATACTTGTTCTTTATAATTTTACAGCATTCTCTGCTGTTTGTTTTGTGCTAGGTTTTTTTCCATTTGTGTTACTGTAGTCACAGTTCATGTTGTTTTCTGTCTCTGCTGACTTCACTCCATCAGTGCGTATGAGTGTTTCCATGCTTCTCTCTTCATCGTCATCATTTCTTACAGCACAGTAAGATTCCATCACCTTCATGTCCCCGAACTGATTTAGCCTTTCCCCAGCTGATAGACGTCTGCTTCTTATCCTGGACACGTTGATTTTGTTCGTGCAGAAATTGTTTCAATTTCATGCAATCCAAATGATGTGTTTTGTCTTTGGTAATGGTCTGTATTCTTTGCGTGGGATCTGTATAGCATGTAGTTTTCTCTTCTTGCTTATTTGCTTTTGGGTGCCATGGAAAGTGTCGCTGCTGATTTTTTTTAATTCTAAATGACCTGTTCCTGAATTACCTTAAAAAATCTTTTACAGCATAATGAAGACAGAGCTCTAATTATCTAAAGGGCACTTAGATGCAGATAACTTTCTGAGGGGATCTTTATTTATGTACCTCAGTTTACTATGTAGTGGTTTTCTGGTTTAGTCCAAGCATGATTTTTTTTCATTTTTCACAAGTAGGGAGGCTGAGAAGTAAATGGATTTTGTTTTGCTTTGTTTTGTCTACATGGTGATGAGTAAATGGAATGTTCATGGTAGACATCTCCCAAGCTAAAATTACGGTCGTCTTCGGTTTTTTTCCCCCATCAGTTTTTATTCTAGATTTTTAGGGTAGTTTTCTTTCCAGAGCTGAATTCAGTCAAATTGCCTTTGAAGAGTTATATCCTATTTCTCAGATTTTCCTCTTTTAAAAAAAATAAACAAAAGCTATATATTACCTAAAGAGTATTTGAGAATTTAAAAAGCCTTTATGCCAATGAAATACATATTATCTTTTTTTTTTATAATTTTTGTCTGTCCGTAGTTAAAATTGTTCATAAGAACTTAAAGCATGGGGCAGTTGGTGGAGCAGTGGATAGAGCACTGGCCCTGGAGTCAGGAGAACCTGAGTTCAAATCCAGCCTCAGACCAAACACTTGACACTCACTAGCTGTGTGACCCTAGGCAAGTCACTTAACCCCAACGGCCTAAAAAAAAAATAATAATGACTAAAAGCACCAATGACAGAAAGGTGTCATCTACTTTCTTTTGGAAATAGATAATGGGACCTGTGCCATTACTGCTATTCCTTTTGAGAAGTCAAAGGTTTTATTTACTCTTGAAGAGTTGGATGAATTTACTTTTGTGGATGAAACTGATCATCAAGCCATTCCAGATGTCGCTCGGGTCGGCCCTAGCCAGGAAAAGTGGGGCTGGATCATGTTTGAGTGTGGCCTGGAAAACCTGACCATAAAAGGTGAGCATCACGTGGGGAGGTGGTGCTGGGGATTTTTACGACCAAATCCAAGAAGATGTTTGGAGTAGATGTGTCACTGCTCTCCTGAAGGCGATACCTGGAGAACGGTCGGCAGCCAGATCTTCATGAAGCACCCAGCCTACCAGGCGTTGGGGAGACAAAGTCAAAAATGAAGTAGTTGATATCCCCAAGGCACGCAGATGGTTCTGTTTGTTAGAGTGGGGGGGCGAGTGGGTGTGGGGAGCAGGAACCAGAAGAGGCTTTTCATGGAGAAAGTGGAGTTTGAGCTGAGATTTTAGGGAAACAAGGAAGAGTAAAAAAGGTAGAGGGTTTGGGGTACAAAGACAAAAATTGATGCCGTCAGGGGAGCTTGCATTCTGTCAGGAGAAACAACAAAGACCTTCTTAGCAGTTGTCGAGCTGCAGCCCGAGGGCCAGATCCAGCTGCCACTTGCTTTTTACAGCCAAGAATGATTTTTAGTTTCCTGAATACAGTTTTATTGTATTGCAGGCGGGATTTGGCACATGTGTTTCAGGCTGGGAGATGCCCAGTGAGAAGGCATGAAGACTATAGGACATGGAGGAGGGGTTGTGTGGGTGTGTTGCATGTCTGTGTCTGTGTGTTTAAAAAGAGCGAAGTTTAATCTTCATAAAGCTTTCAGTTGTAGTTCTAGAATACTATTGAGAATATAAGCTCTGCTTTCTTCAAATAGCAACTCCTACTGATTTTTTATGGAATCGTGTCTTTTTGGTAGAGAAAATGATAAAAAAAAACCCTTTGTTCAGGAATTTATACAGATACTTATGAGAATAACATTCAGACATTTTTCTGATCCTGGTTTAATAAGTGAACATCTGCCTTTATAGGAGGAAGACAGTCTGGTGCTATTTTATACAATACGATTGGAATTATGGGTAAATCTAATGCCACAGAGAGGGGCGGACTGCTGACGTCCAATAATTCTTCGGATTCCCCCACCGGCAGTGGTTATAATACAGACGTATCAGATGATAATCTTCCTTGTGACCGAATAAGTCCTTCCTCAGACATAAATGGAAATTCTATTTCAGATGAACAGGTTGGTGACTCAGCAGATTCCTGGAGCACTTTTGCTTGCTTTACTTTAAAAGTTTATTATATCTAATTAAATTGTTGATGTCAATGTTTTTTGAAAGATATTCTTTTGTCCACTTTATGGGTGGTGGGCTTTGTCTTTTCAGTCTTTGCGTTTCTCACATCTTAAATATAGTAAGCAGTCTGTTGTTGAACAAAAGAGTTAAGATGAGAAACTAAGGAAAATCAAGCTTCACTTTTAATACTAGAATAAAAGGCTTTTGTGGGGTTGAGACTTCATGGAAGTCTGCTCTTGAATGATGTCATTCAAGCACTAAATCTGTTTTTAGTCAGATTTTAAGTAACGAGCTTTGAGCGGGGCAGTCTGTTAAAATAAGCTATAGGTGGCACATCTTTTTTTTCCTCCAAAGACCTAAGATTTTTTGTTACTAAACATTGAATCCAAAAACAAATAAGCATATACAGAATAAGGAATAGAGTTGTATGTGCAACTTTGACATGTCATAACAGTTTAACAAAGTAAAACCAAACGATCAGATTAATCCTTAACAATTTTTTAAAAATATAGACCTTTTAAGACAATTCTGATTTTAATTTTTTATTGATATCCTTTGGTGTTTTTTTTTGTTTTGTTTTTTTTGAGGTACGGGGTTAAGTGACTTGCCTAGGGTCACACAGCTAGTGTCAAGTGTCTGAGGTCAGATTTGAACTCAGGTCCTCCTTCCTCCAGGGCTGGTGCTCTACCCACTGCGCCACATAGCTGCCCCTGATAACCTTTGTTTTTATGTTGTCTGTAGTTCCCAACATGTTCTTCCTTGCCCCTAGAGAACTATTCTTTATAACAAAGAATGGAAAAGGAGGGGAAAAAATAAAATTTAGGAAAACCAACATTTTAAAAATTCTGATTTGTGTATGCTGTTCAGTGCCCACCATCCCAGATTTGTACAAAGAAAGTGGAAGAGAAGAGGCGTCTTCTTTCTGTCCCCTGTGACCAAGCTTGGTCATTATTATTTGACAGCTGTCAGTTTCGATTCTTTTGTTGTTATCATTTACATGATTGCAATTGTGTATTACACAGTTCATTTTGTGAATTGTATACTTTGCTTTTGCATCGATTTATATAACTCTATGTTCTTCTGCAGTCATATTTATTTCTTTTTATAGCCCAATAATATTTAGTTACATTTATTTATGTATCACAATTTATTTAGTCATTCCCCAGTTGATGGGCATCTACTTTTGAAAAAACATTTATTAGTAAATGAATAAACAAGTACAGTTTCTCCATGTGCCCTTCTAAGTCCATCCAAAATTCTGTTATCTTTGGCATAATTTAAGAGTGTGTGTACACACACACACACACACACACACACACACACACACAAGAATTTAGTATATCCCTCATTGTTGCAGTGGTTTCATCTGTTTGATTGATTAAAAAAAATACTCTACATGTTACTACTTTTTCTTCCAATCTTAGAAATGGTTTAAAAATGTTTAGGTAAACAATTCCATTATTTCATTTTATGATGTTTTTGAGAAACAGGTTTTTCAGCCCTCTTCTTTTCATTGGGTTATGTGTCTGTGTTCTCTGCTCTGTTCTACAATGATACATGTGACCCTCTTTCTTCAGAATCAGACGGTTATTATAGAGAAGAGCTCTTGCAGGCTCATGCGTGGAAGAAAACATTTCTTCTGCGTCCGTGTTCTGGAGAATTTAAATACCAGAATCGACAGAGTATCCCTGTTGGAGGCACCGGAACTCTGAGCCACAAATTGGGACTTTGAGAAGTCTTGGTTATAGATAATGTTTTATTGTCACGGTTAAGAAAGAATGCTTTGCTGGGAGGTAGGGAGACCCATGTTTTTGTCCTCATGCCACCACTTCCTCCCTGTGTGACATGGGAGTCCTTTAACTACCCTGGGCTTCAACTGACTTATTGGTAAAATAGGCATAAAAATAATGCCCAGGCTAGCTGAGGGCAGAAGAGAGACTAGGTGATTGTCTTAGGATTTGTTACAGGCCTGCAGAATTTTTTCCCCTGCGAGGCAGTGGGGTGAAGTGATTTGCCCAGGGTTACACAGCTAGTAAGCGTCAAATGTCTGAGGCCAGATTTGAACTCAGGTCTTCGTGAATCCAGGGCCAGTGCTCTGTCCACTGCGCCACCTAGCTGCCTACAGAATTTTAACGGTAATTAATGTCTGTTGATTTGTGTCTTTTTGCGTATGTATGCAGGATGAAGGAGTTGAATCAGATGATTTGAAAAAAGATCTCCCTCTAATGCCTCCCCCTCCGGATTCCTGCAGCATGAAGTTGACTATCAAAGAAATTTGGTTTAGTTTTGCTGCTCCGACCAATGTGAGATCACCTGCACACACCTTTTCTAGGTGAGGCTACAAAAATTCATGCATTTGGATGTTTGAGTTCTGTTTCATACTTTGTAGAATGCTTTTTCAGTTTCGCATATTTCTTGAAATGTATGTTGCTGTGATCATCTGGGCACCTCCTCGTGATGTGGAGGTGACCTTGGATTTCGGAAGGCAGTGTGTACTAGCTGAGTTCAGGGCCAGACGTGTTCTACCCAGGGCGAGGCTTCAGACTGTGGACCCAAGGACAAACTGACTCTTCAGAGATCAGCTTAGCAAAGGTCAAAAAGGCCAATTGTCCAGTTGGCCACAGAGGAATGGAAGGTTTTGTTTTGGTTTTTTACCACTACAAGTCTCAAAGACCATCCACTAAGTTATTGGTCTCTGCCAGAGAGACCACTGTCCACTGAAGTGTGGGAAGAAAAGTTGGAACTTGTGTCTATATTGTTTTTATGAAAAAAGAAGAAAGAAATGGAGCTTTCTTAATATTTAATGTATGGACTGACACTGGTTCCCTCGCTTGGCCTAAATTTATGCGGTCAGGGTCTCCTGCGGGACAAGGGCTTATCTTGTCAAAGGCTCCTGAAGTCTTAGGTTTAGAAATCTAGCCCAACTCCATTATTGTAGGAAATTTGTACAAGTATTATTAGTTTTTATTGAGCAAAAATATTTCTGTGTCACTCATAAAATAAAAAAATTTGAAAATGTGATTTTATCTTCCATCTCATCATCTTCAGTTTCTATTTTTATATTTTAATGTGCACACTATATGATAGTTCAGTAGTGAACACATATCACTTATAAATAAAAAGACATGTTTTAGTAGTGCATGCCCCAAAATTGTTACTGATGAGAATGCATGATTGAAACCATTTAGAGACCACTGTCCTGAAGCATGGGGAAGGTTTTAATTTGCATCATTTGAATGCCTATATGGACATCAGGCAGCCTTGACATGTGCTCAGCTGAGTCTGAGAGAGAATTTTCATGGCAGAAAAGGCACCAGGATTCCTAGGATCACCTGCTAGTGGGTTTTTTAACCATTGGATCTCAGTTTGTCCATCTTTAAATGACTATGAAACTACCTTCTTGACTGAAGTGTTGAGGGTTAGTGAATTAATGATTCCAGTTCTATTTATCTGAAGCATAAAAATTATGGACTTACTGTGAAGGTACTTTGAGTGCTTCATTAATATCTGTATTACTACACTTTTTTGTAGACATTTAGGTGCTTTAAAAAGTTGTAACACTAAGTGAAACACGGTGATTGTCCAAAATTATTGGCTTTAAAGTTCTGTGTGGTGAGGATAAGGTCATGAAACAAGAGGAGTGTGGTTTTTTAAACATCTTGTAAAAATCACCCTTGCCATTAATGCCTAGAGATTTAATTATATATACATTTAGATTTTATAATTTGTTTTTAAGTAATGGACTCTGCATTTTTTAAACATTGTAAAAATATTCTCTTTGCCTGAATGTGTGTCAGTCAGCTAGCATTGATTAAGCTCCTATTCTGTGCCAGATATGGTGCTAGGGGCTGGAAATGCAAAGACAAAACTGAAACAGATGCTGTCCTCAGGCAGCTTACAGCAACATGGTGGAAACCAGCACATACACGAGGAGGCAGATGCCGGGCAGACTGGCCCTCCCCCTCTGCGAAGGAGCGGAACGGGAGCGTCGTCTTCCAGCTCGTCTTGTGTGGTCGTCGTCAGTGCGGACTTTACCGTGTTTATCCCGCTTGCTTTGTTACGTTAGGCTGTGTAACTGCTGGCTTCTCTGTCGTCGTTCCTTACAGCACAGTAATGCTCCCTTGCGTTCATGTGCTCCAGAATGTGTCTGTTTCTCATTCTTTCCTATCACAAAAAGTGCTTCTGTGTGTATTTCACTGTACATTCGGGCTTTCTTCTTGTCAGTGAATGCCTTGGGGTATAAGCCTCGTGGTAAATCTCTGGGTCCAAGGGAATCATTTTATTTGCGTAGTTCCCAATGGTTTCCATCATGGTTGTACTGATGAAGAGCTCCACCGATGCCTGCCTGCCCCACACCTCCAGTATTGACAGTTTCCATCTTTGGTCATCTTTGCTAACGTGCAGAGTGGGAAGTGAAACTTCAGTGTTGGCTTATTCCATATGTTGGCCTAATTTTTTTTTCTGCTCTTGTTTTCCTTCTGTCTGTATGAGTCTGTCTGCTTCTGGGTGACATGGCCTTCTTTTAGCTCTCCTACAATCACTCCCTCAGTGTTTTACCATCTCCCAAGGGGTCAAGTAGTATCTCTGTACAGATAACTTCTGTCTGTCTTTCCCAAATCTCTTTTGATCTGTGTTTCAGCATCTACAGCTCAGCTGCCTCTGAGATAGCTCTACTTGGAGGTCCCCTGGGCACCTCAGATTCACTGTGTCCTAAAGGAAGCACCTTATCCTACCCCCTCTTTCATACTTCTCAGTTGGTGTTGAGAGCACTACTCATCGTCCCAGGTTTCTGACTTCAGAATCATCTATGTACCCATCTACCCTTTTCCTGACCTTCCAATGTCCATTCAGTTGCCATATCTCTTAATTCTGCCTTTAAAACATCTCTTGTATCCATATCCTTTCTTTCTCACAAGCCTGCCAACCAAGGTCAAGTTCTCATTATGCCTCCTGGACTATTGTAACAGCCCCCTCATTGGCTCTCCTGCTTCCTTTCTTCCATCCACTCCGTCCTACCCACTCCGACCAAGCTAATTTTTAGAAGGCATAGGCCTTACCACAGTCTGCCTACAACCTACCTTTCTGACCTCATTTCCCACTGCTCCCCTTCATCTGCTCTCAGAGCTCACCAGTTTGGACTACCACATGTACCCTTTTCCCAGAAGACATTCCACCTCTCTCCTTCCCGTGTTTGCAGAGGATATCCTATGTGCCTGAAGTGTGTGGCCCCTCGTCTCCACTTTACTCTGACTCCTCCTGCTCCTCAAAGCTCAGTCTGGCTGCTGCTTCCTCTTAGGATCATAGATATAGAGCTGCAAGTGGTCTTAGAAGCCACCAAGTTCAGCTTTCTCATTTTACACACAGGGAAACTGAGGCCCAGAGAGGTTACGTAATTGCTCAAGGTCACATTAACTTGTAGGTGTTTGAAGTGAGACTTGGACCCAGGTCTTCCTTCCTCCAGCCCACCATCTTATTCACTCTCCCTTGAAGCCTTCCTCTTGTGGGAAGAGAATGAGTCATTCTTTCATTTCTCAGATTTCCTCACATTATACTCTTTGTTTTTGTCTTGATGTTCACAGCGTGGTGATATTTTCAGATTTGCCTTACGAAGAAAATGTCCGTTAAGACACTTTGTAAACCATGCGGTAGGTCAGCCGGCTTGAGAGCATCACATCCGTCTATTTTAGATTGGGTGAATAGAAGTCCACCCTTAATGGATGAGGACACATCATTGAAATATAAATGCAGGCTGCTAATGAGTGATGTTTCTTGTTACTAGGCAGCTGAACCTTCTGAGTACTGCTACTCCTGCTGTGGGTGCGTGGCTTGTCCCCATTGACCAACTCAAATCATCTTTAAACAAATTAGAGACTGAAGGAACCTTAAGAATTTGTGCTGTGATGGGATGTATAATGACAGAAGCCTTGGAGGTATGTACGTGCTATCGGCATTTTTTTTAGATTTTTTGTTTTTGTTTTTGTTTTTTGGTTTTTGCTTTTAGGCAATTGGGGTTAAGTGACTTGCCCAGGGTCACACAGCTAGTAAGTGTCAAGTGTTTGGTCTGAGGCCACATTTGAACTCAGGTCCTCCTGACTTCAGGGCCAGTGCTCTATCCATTGCACCACCTAGCTGCCCCGTCGGCATTTTTTTTAACAGAGAAAAAATGTAAAGCCCATTTTATTTGAGTAACTGCATTTCGCTTACGTTTTACCAGTACTATATTAGCCCACATGATATTTAATTACCAGTAAGTTCTTGTGTGGAGGGGGATCTTTGATTGTATCCATATGCCATTTTCTAATATTTGCTCTTTGTTGCAGAATAAAAGTATGCACTTTCCTCTAAGAAGCAAGTACAACAGACTTACTAAGCTTGCTCGTTTTCTCCAAGAAAACCCTTCATGTTTACTTTGCAATATTTTACACCACTACCTCCACCAGGCAAATTATTCCATCATTGATGATGCTACAATGGTGAGTTACTAAAACCAAGAACTAGTTTCCAACCTGGGGAAACCTCAGTCCTCTTGAGGGCCTCTGACCCACAGGGGGAAAAAAAATGAAGTCCCAAAGATCAACATTCAACTTAGGTTTGGCTTTGAATTTCGTATTTTAAATTTAAGTTTCAAAATTATGCATGCAGAATTTTCTTTAATGGGTATAGCTTAGTTTAAAAGATACTGTGTTTCCACATTCTGTCCAATTCAGGGGAACTAGAATAGAAAAAGAAAGCAGGGATGACAGAGAAAAAGCTGATGAGAGACATACATGAATAAGGGTAGGAAAAAAAAAAGGCCTGAAAAAGATTCAGTAGATTTAGGGCATCACTGTGAGCTAAGTTTTGTGTTTCCTGTCTTCAAAGCGCTGGTGGACTAGGCCTGCCTCAGGACATTCCCAGGGGTCCCTGGTTCATTAGGGGGACGGCTGCGAGAAGAAGTCTCAGAGCTGACTCTTGGGCTGTGCCCTCGGAGCAAGCCTCGGAGGCAAGAAGGATGCTCCCTCATGATGGTCTTGTACCAAATGAGCAGGAAGCAAGGCTGCGGCCAGAGCCCTCAGGGCCCTGAGCCAGTCAGATCTCAGGGACAGTTTCACTCCCTTCCAACAAAAGCCTGGCTTGGCTTGCGTGGGGCAGGGATCCACAGAGGCTCTTGCTCCCACTGACCATGAAAGCATTAAGACAGTATCAGTCGCCTTGGAAAAGCCAATTAACTGGTTTGTCCACTGGGCCCAGCTCTTTGCTTTTATTTGTGAAACTGTCAGAAGTGCTCAATGGAGCAGTTACAGTGAGGTAGAGTCTGCAGTGGAGTGACGGCATCCAGAGTGAACTGAAGTAGTTACATGTTGATATGATCTAGTTATTGTTTGTTTCTTTTGTTTTTTGGCTAGCAAACGGGGTTAAGTGAGTTGCTCAGGGTGACACAGCTAGAAAGTGTTATGTATGTGAGGTCAGATTTGAACTCAGGTCCTCCTGAATCCAGGGTTGGTGCTCTATCCACTGTGCCACCTAGCTGCCCCGATATGATCCGGTTATGTCTTGGTTTTGTTCTTTGGACACAGAAGGCCAGATTGGCCTTTTTTTTTTTTAAAGACATGCCTCTTGTTTGACTGAAGGACTAGTTAAATGGATAAACACAAAGGAAATCAGTCACTATCTCTACAAGGGCATTTTTTAAGAAAACATATTCTAACAACACATAGAGTAAATGCTTTTTTAAAATTGGAAACCTGTTCTTTTGAATTCCCAAACCTCAATATTAAATTTTGCTGCAAATACTTGTAATCCTCCAGAAAATTTGCCCTTCATTTGCATTCGACTTATCCACAGAACAGCTGTCATTTTTCTACCTTTGGCAATGTCACATTTTCCTCACATATTTAAAACAAAACTGGATGACCTCCAAAGTCTCTTCCGTCTCTAGTTATGATGTTGGTGATGACTTGATTTCTGTGTGATGGGATACTTAGCTACCTCATTGGTTACTTGAATTTTGCATCATTTTGAATCATCCTGGGGCAGGTATGAAGGGCTGCTTCCACTCAAGCATTATTTGTCATGTTACACACTGAGTTGCCCCCACCCAGTCCATCATTTCCTCTTCATTTTTGGAAGGCTGTTTTAAACTGTCTTATTGTTACAGAGTGATGGACTTCCTGCCTTAGTAACTTTAAAAAAAGGTCTGGTTGCCCTTGCCAGGCAATGGATGAAATTCATTGTGGTCACACCAGCTTTTAAAGGTGTCAGCTTGCACAGGCCAGCTCAGGCCTTGAAACCCCAGGCTGTGGTGAGCCATGACCATGAGGACGGACTGGGACTAGACAGTGCTGGTGGTCTTCAGAGCGATACCAGTGCTGATGGTGCCGAATTTGAATTCGATGCAGGTAATTTTGTAATCTGAGTTTTTGCCTACTCTTTATAGGATGTTTTCTCACAACAGTGAGGACACTAATATTGATGGTATTTACAATTAAATTAAAATATGTTTGGAGAACAAAATATGTTTGGAGAACAAAAAGGTCCCCAGCCTTTTTCATTGATGGATCTATTTTTTATTTTCCTAAAAATCTTAATATTACAGTGGAGGGGAACTAATGATATAATCACTGATGGTGCTGAATTAGAGTTGGTGACGGCAAGCCCCATGCTATTGATGCAGTCATTTAGATTAATTTTTGCTTATGCTTCTGCTATATTAAATAATTAGAAATAAATTAGAAAAGAGAGGCCAAATGACTGTCCTAATAAATATGAGTAACAGAGTGAAGATGAATGTCTTAATTATATACTAATTGCTTAGGGTACTACTTCATCTTTTCCCCTTTGGGGAAGCTTTAAAATTTATTATTTAACTACCCTCAAAAACATGTCCTGATGCATATGAAAATATTATGCTTCTTGAACATCAGTACAGGTTTCTTAGGTTCATATGATTTGTGTATGGATTCAAAGACTTGAATGAAAGATATTTATTTTTTTCATGATATTGAGGGAAGACAGTTATATTAGTGGAGAATGAAGGAGTGATTTTGAAAAGGAAAGTGAGCATTTAACACAGATCATTTGCCATGGGAGCATGTAAATTTGCATACAGTTGTCCCAGTCTGTACTTGGATTTGTGGTCAAAGACAGATCAATTTATAGTTGATTAATTGATTTTTAATGTTCTAGCTACTGTCAGTGAACATACAATGCTTCTAGAGGGAACAGCCAACCGGCCTCCGCAAGGGGGCGTTTCTTCTGGACCTGTAAGTGGAGCTGAGATCATGAGGAAATTGTCAAAGACACACACCCACAGTGACTCGGCTTTAAAAATAAAGGTATGTGACAGTTGCTTGGGTTATTTTGTTTTGCTTTGTTTTTCTTCACCATGTGCGTTTAGGTGAAGAGGTCATGACTTTTTAAAAAACGGTTTGGGATTTCCTATTAATATATTTTGTTAGGCCAAATGATTTTCAGTTTTGAATTAAATGTCACTAGAAATTATAAGCATATTCTTTTGAATAGATATAAGCATTAACAAATAATGGTACTCGGTGCTCAAGGCTGGACAGCAAGTACCAAATGATAATACCAAGTTTAATTTAATTTAATTTAATTTGTATTTTTAAGACTATACCAATCAAATTCCCAGAAGAATAATTTATAAAACTTGACAAAACAATAATAAAAATAACATCCATTTAAGTAATTTTTGGTGGTGGTTGTTTCCATTTACATTGTTGTAGTGGCTCTGTTTGCTTCACTTTTCATCAGTTCATGTAGCTCTTCCCGTGATTTCTCTGTGCTCATGTTTATTGTTTCTTATATCGCAGTTACATCCATGTACCACAGTTTATTTAGTCATTCCCCAGCTGGTTGGCATCTGCTTGGTTTCTAGCCCTTTGTTACTAAGAAAAGCATTGCTATACGTATTTTGGTATACATAGAACCTTTTTGTCTTTGGCCTGACTCAAATATATGTTTAAGAGTGGTGTCTCTGGGTCAAAGGGTATGGACATTTTAGTCACTCTCTTCCTTTCCAGAATAGTTGGACAGTTCCACTAACAGCCTTGGTCTACTTATCTTTCCACAAGCCCTGCAACAATGACCATTCTCAGCTTTTGTCATCTTTTGCTGAGTAAATTAAAAGCTCAGAGTTTTGATTTCCCTTTCTTTTGGCATATTCTTTCATGTGGCTATTAATAGTTAGCAGTTCTTCTTTTACGAATTGTTTGTTTATATACTTTGACCATTTATCTATTGGGAAATGAAATCTCCACCTTCGTTAAGTACACTCAGAGGACCCTGGGAGTAGGGAAGCTTTGTAAGCCTGGGTTGCCTCAATGAATAGGAATCTCCTCCTTCAGCATAGAACTTCACCTGGCTCCCTATGGGCTACCTAAAGTAACTTAGTCAGTGCCCTTTGACATCACTGGGGGAAGCCTCTTGGAACATCTATGAATTTATAGCCCTTTATAACAGCAAAAATCTGGGATCTGTCTTTCCACTGAGTATTGTGAATATGTTTTTTCTTTATTTCCTGTTTGGGTCTACATTGTTCAATGCTTTTGGTTTTATAAAGGAATGAATGGTGTAATGAATGAAAAAGTCGTTATCAAACACTCACTTTGTGATAAGTGCTGTCGATACAAACAGAAAAGCAAGGTAGCCCCATTGCCGAGGAGTTGAGAGAGGCCAGGAGAGAGGCCAGGTATAGAGAAAGTTTCAACTGCAAGTCTGATGAAGGTCACAGTGGTCCTTGGCATGCAGCATGGCTTCTTCTCGGGGGCCAGTTTAGTTCACAAAACCTTGTCAGTTTCTGATACTGAAGTATTTGATAGGGCCCAAGGACGTGGGCCTCCAGCTGTTCTGGCCCTTAGTCCTCGGGCTCCTCCAGAGGCAGTGGCCAGGTCCCTTCTCGGCAAGTGTCCTTCTTACGTGAATGATGGCTGTGGTGGCCAGGGCACAGCCAGGCCCAGCGGGCCGGTGGGTGCTGCTGTTCTGGGGGCTCTTGGCTTATTTTCCTGTTGGCAGTAGTGGTCCTTGGTGGTGGTGCAGAAGGCAGGCCCCTTCTCCACTTTAATTCGCTGTTGAAGGTATTGTGCAATGTGTTTAGAATCTTTACTTCAGTGTGTTTAAAACAACTTCTGTCTTCAAGTGTTTTAAATAGAGACAAAGTTGATAGGGCTGGCTTTCCTGGTTTTGCTTCCTTAAGTTAAGGCATGCACGTTACTGTGGTACATTGACGAAATGACAAGGCTCAGAGCCTCATGGCATTGCCAGTGTGTGCCCCTTGGCGAATGGCTTAGCTTCTCCGAACATCCTGTGTGTACATACACCGTGCCAGTGGCCAGTTGTCGGTTCTTGTGATTTCTAATCATTGTTAGTAGTGGCTAGACTCAGAGTCAAGGATACTCGAGTTTGAGTTTTGGTGCAGATGCTTACCCACTTTGTGACCCTGGGCACGTTCCTGAGAAATGAATTTGAATGACCAAGTATTTCTTAAGTGCCAGCCTCTCTGCTCAGTTCTAATAGTAGCACCTTCTTCATAGGATTCTTGTGAGCATTGAATGAGAAAATATGTGTAAGAGCACTTTGGGTACCTTAGAGGACTCTCTCAGTGCTAGCCATTAGCTGTTACCATGCAAACGTTAGCTGACAAGGTGTCACAGTTATCAGAGTGACTAGCACGAAGCCAGATCCTCGGTTACCCAGCAGGCAGTAGCCAGTCTGTGCTACTGACAGAGAGGAGGATAAAGAGGCATCCAGGCCAAGGAGGAGGGGCCATCCAAGGGCCCTGCTTGTCCTTGGATGGAGAAGGGGCAGGGAGGAGAAGGGTTCTGGGGGTGAGGGAGAGAATCCAGAAATGGAAATGGGAGACTGAGGATCCATTTCTTCTTATTCACAGTTTGGGGGTCAACCTGCCACCCAAGGGAGACTGAACTTGAACATCAGAGGCAACCATCGATTGCTCTTTGATGGTGGTTTTATTTATTTCTTTTTCCTGTCCTTAGGGACCCTATTCAAGCCTCCTTTTTATGCATTTATTGAAATTACAGGCCAGACTAAGATGGCTGCCAAGGTCCCTTCTGACTATAAAAATTCCATAATTCTTTCTGTGTGTTTCTTCTTCAGGGTATACATCCATACCATTCTCTGAGCTATACCAGTGGAGATACGGCCACCGATTCACCAGTGCACGTGGGTCGTTCTGGAATGCCCGTCAAAGAAAGTCCAAGAAAGGAAAGTCTGCTCAGCTATTTGACTGGGAGTTTTCCAAGCTTGCATAATCTCCTGGAAGGGACTCCTCAGAGAAGTGCTACAACAGTTAAAAGCAGTTCTCTGACAAGAACAGGTATTCCTTCTAGTTCAGCAAGCAAGCATTTATGAAGCACCTACTGTATTCAAGAAGCTGTGGTAGGTGCTTGAGATGTAGAGAGAAACAAATGAGGATCTATGTTCCCAAGAAGTGTATATTCTTGGGTTGGTAATGAGAAGGTTGCTCCTAAAGAAAAGTTGGGGGTGGGGCAGCTAGGTGGTGCGTGGATAGAGCACTGGCCCTGGATTCAGGAGGCCCTGAGTTCAAATCTGGCCTCAGACACATAACACTTACTAGCTGTGTGACCCTGGGCAAGTCACTTAACCCCATTGTCTAGCCCCCCCCCAAAAAAAGTTGGGGTTTGGGTCGTTTTTTCTTAAGGGAAACTAGTGTTTTTGGTGTAAATTTGGTTTTTCAGTGGAGGCTTCAACTGCACTGCAGCTTCGACTTAGTGCAGCTAAATTGTAAGTGTTCTGAGGGCGGGGATACATCACTACCCATGCCACGGAGGGGTCAGGACTGGTGGGTCGTGTCACCCTGTCATAGCTCATCTTTGGGAAACCGTTGTGTCAGTGGCAGTCCTTTTGTCTGTTTGTCCTCTCTGCTAAGTGCCTTTGGTTTTGGCATCATTGGCATTGATGATCCTGGTCATAAGAAGGGTTTCTTTCTGAACCAACTAGCAGATAATTTCATACCTCTTCCCAGTATGATAAAAATAAACTTTTGTGTCCTAACATCAGTATCACGTAGTATGATTTTATAAAAGAGACTGCAAAATACTTCGTGGCTATTGAGGAATAATTTCATGATAAGCTTTATTTGTCACTTTGCAAATAACACAATGAAAAATACTGTACTCAAGAAGTTTGTATTTACAGGAAACACGGTCGCCACAGACATGCTATCTGAACACCCTTTGCTCTCTGAGCCTTCCTCTGTCAGCTTCTATAATTGGATGTCAAATGCAGTGGGCAATCGAGGAAGCTTGGCGCAGGAATCTCCCGCTCCAAAGTCGGGACACAATAGTCTTCCAACAGGTATTGAGGAGTTGAGCTTCTCTTCATGTGCTTGGAAGTTTTTCGCTGTTCTTATTATCATGGAGTTCTACTTTTGAAATATGACAGATAGGAAGCTTGTGTGAAACATTTGTCTCTTCAAGAACTAGTTAAGAATTTGGAGGCTTTGAAGCACATTAAATTTTGTAGAAATTGATGTCGGTGGTTTGTGAAATGTGTTATCAATGCATTAAATAAGAGGATTTATGTCAAACTGTGTATCTTTGGGAAAGTAAATTTACCCAAATATGTAACCATATATAAATGACAACTTAAGACAAGATCATAGTGTATGTTTGAAGAATAGTTTCAAAAGAGAAAAAGAAAAAAAATGCAAGATAAAATTTTGATATTTTATACAGAGTGTGAATCTCTCTTTTTTTTTATATTATTGAGATTTCTCTGAGGCATAATATTCAGAACCAGCATTCATTCATTGAGGAACTATATAATGAGTGAATACTTTGTATAATGTCATCATTAGTCCTTGTGTAGTTTGCAGTTAAGATGCAAAGGACATTCCCTTCCATAAAAGTGAGGATTTTTTACTTGAAACTTGCTGTCTGGTTGTGGGGGGGGAAATCAAGACTTAGCAGCTCTGAGGTATCCCATCTGTAAGTAATGGTTTGTGGCAGGAGCAAAATTGAATGTTAGTTTCTTTAACTAGACTCTCCAGTTTGTTTGATGTATAACAGCACCATAAACATTAGTATCTAAACATTATTTAGTAGACTCAGAGGGATTACGTGATTTGCCTAACATTATACAGGGAAGTACTAGATCAAGGGGAATGTAAACCTCGATTTCCCTATTCCAGATCCCGTGTCCATCGTACAAAAATGTTGTTAACCACAAAACATTTTACACCCAAACGGGTGTGTGTCGCTTCATCTCACTCCTCTTTGCCTCTGCAGAGGCTGTCACTCCAACCCAGAATGAATTTTTCCTTACCTCTTTTTCCTTCAAGAGGCTTTTACTAATTTCCCCAGATGGTAGGGCCTTCCCCCTGCCCCCCAAAATGCCGCGTGATCATGCTGCATTGTTCTTATATGGACTTACCTGTGATTGGATCCTCCCTCATGTAATGGAAGCTCCAAGTTTTTTTCTTTGTATACCCAGTACCTGGCATGTCATAGACGTGTAATACATGCTTATGGATTGAATGATGATCACATGTGTATGTACATGTGTGAATATGTGTATAGATATAGTTGTATCTGCCTATATATTTACACAAACATAGATATTTCTGTCTGTCTGTATCTATATATCCACAAAGACACACATTGTTATTATTTTTAGGTGTTGCTCCCAACCTTCCTACAATCCCCTCTGCTTCAGATTTCAATACCGTTTTGTCAAGTGACCAGAACACCTTGGATGGAACCCATTCTCAGCACAGCACAAGTCAGGATGATGTCGCAGGGGTAGAAGAAGCTAACCAGGGATTTCCTGCTGTCCAGCTTGCGGATGCCCAGGTGAGTGATACTTGTGGCTGTGCTTGATTCAGGCTTTTTCTGAGCTGTAGCCAGCTCCCAGGCAGCTGCCATCTTCAGCATCTAGCAACTTTGGGTTATGGGGACAAAAATTGTCCATGTAAAGTCAAATAAATAAAAATTCTACAATGGCTTTTAAAGTGTTCTATTATCATGGCATTTATGCATTAAAAACCAACTACACCATGATGCAGTTCGGTCAGCTGCCCATTTATAACTATACCAGTATATTTTAGGCTGAATGCCTCTGTGTGGATTACAGATACTGAAACTCCTGAAGCAGAAGTTTCTCTGTACACACTCTGTCTTGATGACCTCATCACTTGCCTTGGGTTGAATGATAATTTCTGCAGATGAATCTCACATTTCTGTCTCCCGTTTTTAATGTCTCTCCTGAGTTCCGTTTTCATGTCTCGAGCTGCTTATTGGATCGGTATTTCAAGCTGGGTGTCTCATAGGCACTTCAAACACAACTTAAAGCAGAATTCATTATATTTTACCCAAAACTTACTCCTTTTCTAAAATTCTCAATTTCTGTCAAGGGCAACACCTTCTTTCCAGTCAGTAGGTTCTCAGCCTTGCTCTTTTCCTTGACCCCTCCCTCTTTCTTACCCAACACGTTCATTCAGTTGCCAAATCTTCTCTTTTCTACCTCCATAACCTTTTTGCACTCATCGCCTCCTTCTCTTTACTCACATGGTGAGCATGTGGATGAGATGTTAATGGCCCCTGATTATTCTCCCTGCCTCAGGTCTCTGCCTCATCTCCAACATAACAGCCAGAGTGGATTTCCCTAAAGCTCAGATCTGACCATGTGACTCCCGGTTCAGTAAATTCAGATCTCTCTTCATCTCCAGGGTCACATACAAGCTCATCTGTTTACCTCTTAAAGCACTTCACAACCTATCTTTCCAACACCAGTATACATGAATTCCCCATCTTAGCCAGCCTTGTTAAAGTGTCAAGGTACCGTAAGGGAAAGAGAATAGCACCTCTACCACCTTACCCATGCAGACCACCAACCTGGCTTCTTTCACAGCCCCTTCAGCCACCATTGTAGGCATAAAGAAAACCACATGTCAGCTCCCCCCACCCCACCCAGGGCAGGACTGAACAAAAAGATGGCCAGAAGTCTCACAGGTATGGAGGAGGGGGCCCACTAGGGAATCCAGCATCCCCTGTACTAAGCTTGTCTGAAGCATGAGGCCACTGCTGGTCTTGGGGCTTGCAGGTAGCAGGACCTCACGCCCAGCCTGCTGCAGCAGAGGCTGAGAGCAGAGCCAGCCACTCTGCTTAATACACAGGAATGTGTGCACTCCTCAGAGCATTTGCTGAGAGCCATAGCAGGAGTCAGAGCCATCTCAGCTCCTGGGCACACACTGAGAGGCCTCGTAGGAGGCCTGAAGCCAGTGTGATCTGGGTCTTGTCAGGGCCACAGGGAAAGGAGCCCGCTCCTAACTGGGGAGTGTGCAAAGAGAGACTGAGACAGAGGGTGGCTTTGGCCAGAGCAGCAGAGCCTACCCCGCCAACATGGGAGGACAGAGGCCTAGTCCAGGAATTGAGTCTGAATGTATGAAGAAAAGAAGAAAACGGCAGACACACTGAAGAACCACTGTGGGCTGAGAGAGAAGCGTTGACTCTCTGGAGGCCGAGGCCCCGGACTGAGATCCCTTCTGTGATGCTTCTTCCTACGTGTGTGACCTCAGACGGGTCCCGTGATCTCCTTGAGTCCTCGTTTCCTCGTCTCTAAGATGAGGGGATTGAGCTTGACCACCTCAGAGGTCTTGCCTTCCGTCTCTACATGTATGACCCTATAAAACCAAGAAACAAATTCAGGAGAAGTGAGTAACCACAGAAAGTATAGGGAAAACCTCAACAGCGAAAAAATAGGTATCCTGGCCACAAGGACTACAGAAATCACTGGGAAAATTGAGACACAAATGAAAATAGAATTAAAGTGAGACCCCTGGAGGAAAGAACTGTAAGCAAGATAAGTAGCTTAGAGCAGGTCAAGAACCTCATCCAAGTAGGGGGCATCCTGAAAACTGGACTGGGGCGGACAACTCAGTGAGACAACAGGAAATAATAGAACCAAGTCCAAAGACTGAAATTTAGAGGACAAAAGAAGGTATATGCTGGCAGCAACAACCGTCCGGGAAATGAGGGTGAAGAGAGCTTATTGGTATTTGTTATATGGAGAGGAAGCAAACCTTTCGAAATTGTGAACATTCTGGAAGAAACCTTGGGAAATAGAATGGAAGCCACATGGATTATATGGGGTTTCTTGCTTTGTTTTAATCTTCTGACAAATATACTGAATGGCATCCTCCAAAGTTAGAATTTTGATGACTTTGTTAGTAAGGGGGTTAGGCACAAAGTTAATGAAAATATTGTGTATGTTCTAGGTTGTCTTCAAACCACTGCTGAGCCACACAGGGATTCAGTCACAGGACACGATGCCACTCTGCTACCGAATGTACTTTGGAGAACATCTTTCGTTCTCTGGGACATTAGATTGCCTCAGAGCAGACATTGTGGATTCAGATACAGCCAAGGAGAGAAGAAGCAAACGAGCAAGACGGTGTGTTTAACATTTTTTTAAATATTTTTTCCCTGAGCTAATAAGGGGGAAAATTTAATTTCCTATTTTCAGATTTTCCTTAGGAACTGTTATTTATCTGGATGGAAAAATCTGCCCTCCTTAGTTCAGCGGTACAGCTGAAGGTCCACATTTGATCACGTTTTATTGTTATAAGGCATTAAGAAAAGGCAGGCTTTTTTGACACGGGAATGTTTGAGGCCAACCCGAAGCATTTATGTACACATAATGCATACTAATACTGGAGTACATCCATGTGTTGTATTGTCCTATTTAATCACATAAGGGTCTGCTTTTCAAGCATTCTAGCAGTGGCCTTTGGGTGACCCCATTTGGGGTGTTCTTGGCAAACATACTGGAATGGTTTGCCATTTCCTTCTTCAGCTCATTTTACAGATAAGTAACTAAGGCAAACAGAGTTAAGTGACTTGCCCAAGGTCACACAGCTAGTAAGTGTCTGAGGCTAGATTTGAATTCATGAAGAGGAGTCTTCTTGATTTCAGGCGCAGCACTCTATCCACTGCACCACCTAGCTCTCCCAGAAGTGACCTACCAAAATCAGAATAGGCATAAGTGGACTGAAATGGGACAGAGTGCCAGTGTAGAAACCTAAGAGCCAACCTCGATGCCCACCATAGTGGTGTGGTTTTGTTACTGTGAATGAGAATCTGCACTTGCACTCTAAAGACTGGACCTAATCCCCCACCTCAGATATTTTGCTTAGGGAGTTTATCCCATACCTACAGCCCCTGCCCTTTCTACTTTTCTGTCATGGTGGCTTAAAGTGGAATGACATTTGTCTGAATTATAATCAAGTGAAAGTACTCTCAGCCCAGGAAAGTATTTGATTTGCCGAGTCCAAATCAACTTTTTGATCAGGATTTGCCTTTTTATGTAGATTTGCATAACATAGAGGAATATAGAATCGTAGAATATTAGAGCTAGAAAGGAGCATGCAGCAGATGAAGAAACTGAGTCCCAGAAAGGCTGAGTGATTTTCCAAAACAACCACATGATCATTTCAGTCCTGTGTGCTTCCCCTTAGACTGCTGTATAGAAAGACATAAATTACATCTGATTTATTCCAGATATAAAAGACTGACATCAGTCTAATGGAGGAGCTTGAACAATGTAGTTTTTACTTTGTCTTGATAAAAGAAGAGTACAGTGGGGAGAGGGAGAGGGGTTGAATCTGTGATTTCACTTACAATAGGAAATCTTGGGTGAGGAAACTCCCCCCTGCTGTATAAGTCAATACCTTCTCTATGTAGAAGCAAACTATTCCCCTTCCCACCCTCACCTCCCCTTTGAAAAGTAAGAAAACATTTTTCCCAACATACTAATCTAAAGCCTGTGGGCTAATCTTAATGAGGAAATTATCATTCATTCTTTAATTATCCATTCAAATATTGTCCTAAACTGAATCCTTTTCCCCCATATCAAAAGCCTAGCCACTTTCTTTGAAGAATCTGGGAGACATTCTGTTGTCCCTTTTGATAGAATGAGGTGGTGATCCCATGGCAAGGGGCCCTTGATGGGCCCACCTAAGACTAGTCCCCTTTCCCCATGTTTTGATTGGATTAGGGTAATAACCAGACTAATAGAGGAAAAAGTCTCTGATTACTTCAATTGTTGGCCGTTTCTCTTAAGCGAATCTTTGAACAGCTAGAAAGGAGAGTTCTTACGAGTAAATGTTTGAATGGTTTTAGGAATGTGTTTCTCTAGACTTAACCAGAATTTAAGCCAGTATCATTCTGTTTGGTGAGGCAGCCTGCCACTCTGTCTGGACTGTGGCATGTTGGCTCGTGTCTGGGAACGCTTGACCCTGGAGATCCAGAGAGGCATCCGAGGGCCTGCGGAGACTCCAACCAGCTTGAAACTTCTCCCTCTAAGCCGAAAAATGCTTAGATTGGAATAATTTTAGTTAATAAAAGTGATTTTGTCCTATTTGTGCCTAAAACACCGAGTAGAGAATTTTCTACCACACCTGCACCTTCTAGTCTTGCAAGAAAGGTTATGTGACTTGTCCTGTTGGATGAAGCAGATGGTTAACTGAAACCGTTAATTAAGCTCCAATCCTGTGTTGCATCTTAAGGTGAAATGTTGTCTGCTGTCTGGGAATACTATACATTTTAGCTCCAGAATGGCTTATGTTAGAGAGTAGAGTAATTTTATTCATAATTAATTATAAATAATTGTGGGGCAGCTAGGTGGCAGAGTGGATAGAGTGTGGGGCCAGGAGTCGGGAAGACTCTTCCTGAGTTCAAATCCAGCCAGCCTCAGACACTACCTGTGTGACCCTCAGCAAGTCAGTTAATCCCATTTGCCTCAGTTTCCTTATCTGTAAAATGAACTAGAGAAGGAAACGCAAACCACTCCAGTATTTTTGCCAAGAAAATCCCCCAAACTGGGGTCACAGAGAGTCAGACACGATTAAAAACCAGCTAAAATGTAAAGTATGTTAATTATAAAATAATAACGATTAATAATAAAGAGGTTTCTGGCAGACTCATATTTAAAACACAGAGTAGAAAATTTCCTTCCACACATGCACTTTTGGTCTTGAGACTTCACTAGAGCCCTCCAACGTGCCATGCCGGGCGCACAGTCACAAGGGCACCGAACTGGAACCCGGGTGCTTGTGGCTCTGAGGCCAGCTTTCCAGCTGTGCCCTAGCAGTCAGAGTGTTAGGTGGTGGGTAGGGTCTAGCAGCAGCAGTGGCGGTTAGTGAGCATTTATTCACTTATTCTCAGTCCTCACGGGCCTGTAACATCTATCTCAGTGCGCATCCATGTAGTACACCCACGTGTGTGCGTGTGTAGATTTTACTGTCGTTTGGCATAATGAATACTGAAACGTTTGTTAGTTTCTTGTTCAACTCTTAGGGAAAATCTGTTGGCGCCTGCTTTTGGACAGCCCTGCCTGCCTGAAGTTGCTGGCATAAGCTAAGAGAGAATTGATGCACTGTATTTCATTTAAATCAGCAACATGGTAAAAATACTTAATATTTTCTTTGAGAAAAAATCAAGCAAGAGACTTGTCCATTCAGCTTACTACGATGACGGATAGAAAAACAAGCAAAAAGATGATTTGCATGTTTGGGATGGGGAGACAGTGCAAAGGTGTGCCAAAGCTGTGTTCTGGGGTACAGAGGCTGTGTGCTTCTAATGGGATTTCGGACTGGGAGGTAGATGTCCAGAAACTGTGGAGAGGACAAAGGGAGTGTGAAGACACAGTGAGCCTTCTGTTTAAGGGCCTGCATGTGCTACCATCTTTGTGGCTTACGTAGTAGCCTAGTGTGGTGTGGGGCCTGCAAGTAGAATGGCCATTTGGTGGCAGAAAACACAGATGCAGAGATGGAGATGGCATGGGGTTTACCGGAGGTCACACCCACAGTGAAGGGCGTAAAGGAAGTACTCAGTAAGGAGAGCTTGATTCATGCATTGTTTTTGACTCCCAAGCCAAGTGCTTTATTTGAAAACAAAGCAACAGACCCCAAACCAAGCTAGGACCCTTGTTGTCTTTCTACCAGTAATTGGCTAGTCACTGACTTCAGGAAGGTCACTCAGCCTCCTGTGTTTCCATTTCCTTGTTTATTAATAATAATAATCATCTCATCTTTTTGTGGGTGTGTATGTCTAGACCCTTGATTTTGTTGATGGAATGGACTCCATATGTGGGAAGATCCCTTCACTGATGCAGAGTAGGAGCTTCTCTGTCCTTGAGAATCTTGGAGAGTTTCCTGAGGTCCTGGGAATTGAACTGAGAAGTTGAGGGACTTGCCTGTGCTCAGTCACACAGCTCGTGTGTGTCCGAGTCAGGAGCGGCATCCAAAGTGTCCATCTGCTGGGTCAAGTGGTTTCCCAGCAAGAAGAAAAGAATTTTTTATAGCACTTTAAAACTAACAAAGTGCTACTTGGCCTTCCCGCCTTAGGGATATTATGAGTTTAAAATCAATGATAGGTGTGAAAGCATTTAGGAAACGAGAAAGTATGTTCTAGTTGCTGGGAATGGATTGTGACCTGCCAAATGTTCTTCCTCTGCATTCCAGAGGGATGAAGAAAACAATTTTCCACTCATTTCAAATAAGCTCCTTTCTGAAATGATAAACTCATTTTGAAATTTACTGTGACTGAAAGGGGATGGAGTAGGTCCAGAAATGACAGTTGTAACAGACTAGAGAAACTGATTTTAATTGGCCAAAGGGGAGGAAATATACCTTCCACTATATTTGATGGGTTTAATAAGTGATATCATTTCACCAAGTAAAAGCAATGCCCAACTCACACTTAGAACGAATAATTCACCTATTCTCTAGCTCACATTGCCTCTTATGTAGATAATTTGATGGTGAATTAATACAAATTGAGCCACCTTGTATTGCTTGCCTTCTCAGATGGGTGGGGGAGGGATTAGAGGAAGAGAGAGAATCTGGAACTCAAAATTTAAAAATGAACACTAAAATAAAAAGCAAGTGAATGAATAGATGGATAGACAGGCAAACAAACCAACTTTACTTGGAATTTTAAATTCTTTCCCTTAATTTTTAGGCAAGGACATGTCAGCCTTCCTCCACTTGAGTTCAAACCAGCATTAATGTTGGAAACCTTCAGCATCAGTGCTGTTGTAATGGAGAAGTCAACATGTACCCCTCAGAACTCAACCAATGCTTTTTCATTTCACGACCTCAACAAACGTTACTTCAACACCTTTCACTGTAACTTTACTATTTCCTGTCAGTCAATAAGCCAGCATGTGGACATGGCTCTGGTTCGCCTCATTCACCAGTTCAGTACCATGATAGATGACATCAAGGCCACTCAGACTGACATCAAACTTAACAGGTACACGGCGGGGTCAGCTTCCCCCACCCCTACCTTCAAAACCCACAAGCATCGCGACTTCCGCTCCTCCGACTTCAGCCGAAGCTCCCGGGGGAGCCTCAACGGTGGCAGCAGAGTCAACAATGCAAAGGGTAAACGCACCAACAATGAGAACAACAAGAAGGAGTCCCGCAACAAGAATTCGTTAGGACGGTCGGAAAGAAGGACCTCCAAGGTGTCAAGGAAGGGTTCCAAGGAGGTGGTGGATCACATGGCCATCCACATGGACGACTCCGATTCCATCACAGTGTCCGAACAGAGTGAGCCCTCAGCAGAGTGCTGGCAGAACATGTACAAGCTGCTTAACTTTTACTCGCTCATCTCTGACCCAACTGGGATATTGGAGAAATCATCAGAAACATTTGGTCCAACTGGTAAGGGACCATTTTCAAGTTTGGAAATTAAATGCTCAGCTTGTATTTGTCATAAATAATCACCAGATCTTACCTTAATTTTACAAATACGGTGTCTGAGATGCACAAAGATTAAGGATCACACATTGGAAGGAGGCTCCCTGCTGTTAAGGTGTTCCATCTCCTTTTGGCCATCTCTCTCTTGTGTTGGATTGAAAACAACTTGTAAATCCTGAGGGCTGTACCCCTCTGAGTCCGTATTGCTCTCTTATCTCTCCTACTAAAATTCATGTTGTCGTTGGTGGCGGGTTCAGTCTTTGCAAAATGCAAGATACAATCAATTCTTAATGACTACAGATTTTTCAGGTAGAATTAACCGAAAAGCTTTCTGTTAATGCACACATTTTGTAATCTAAGTCTGGATATTTTTGTTTCAGAATCTATACACAGTATAGTGCTAATGATATATTATACATATATTGTAATGCTAGTGATGAATTTTACCTGTTTGGGTGAGATTTAAGTATTACAAATTAAAATTATGTTCATCTTGCAAGCCAGAAAAACCTCATTTAAAGAAGTATCTTAATGTGAGCCAGAAAGGTTACAAAAAAGGGTGCTTCAAATACCTTTGTGTTGTTCCTGTTTTCTTTTGCTAAGCTTCGATATGTCAATTTGCCCTCAATGTAGGAGTTCGGAGCCCTACAGAGCCTCCGTGTAAAGTTGTGTTTGAGAATGAACAGGACAATAGCAGCTTGACCAAAACGCACAGGAAGCGGAGCTTGGTCACTTCAGAGCCTCAGAATGTCACTCTCATAGTTTTTGGCATTGGCATGGTGAACCGCACGCACCTGGAGGCCGACATTGGAGGACTCACAATGGAATCAGAGCTGAAAAGAATTCATGGCAGTTTTACCCTAAAGGAAAAAATGAAAGGTATGATTTTTAAAAATCTTATAATGCAACTTTCCCACTAACAATGTTTTCATACCATGTTTGCAGAATTTCTCTTTGCACTTTCTTCTCCCAGAATGAGAATTCAGAGCATGTCGGGCTCTGTCAGCAGCTGGGGACTCATGCTGGTCTGGCTTCTTTTGGGGGCAGCTTCATGACTTGGTGAAAATGGTGAAATGACTTGTTAGGACATGTGCAGCTATAACGTGCCCTGCTGCTCGAAGGCCCTTGTCTTTGTGTGTAATTTCTGACCGACGCCTAGCAGCTCTGTGACTGGGGGCAAATCACTGAATTCTCTGGCCTCCTTTTCTTCATCTGTACAATGGGGAGAGTGATGATTAGACTTTCTCCTTCGTAGGGTTTCTGTGGAGCTGGCACTTGCTTGTCCTAAATGTTTTAGACACGTTTAGATGCAAGCTTCAGTCACTCCGAGCAGCAATGCCCCAGGAGATCGAGCATTTCAAATGGAAACAGACGGAAACCATTGTGACTGTGGCGTGTTCTAGTGTGACTTCCGACGTTGCCTAAATTGACCAGCAGCTCGCAGAATTTCAGAAATAGGTCAATGAAAAGCTGCTTCACAAGGTCTATCTTTTTAAACTTGTATTGACTTTTATGAGGCATTTGGTAAAGGCAGGACAAGGAATGATAAAGAGGCTGCTGGAAGCCTGAGCCCTGAAGCCACAGCACCTCCTCCTACCTGGGGATTTAGAGCAGAGGCGTCAAACCCTGCGAGCAAGATTTTAATATAATTGGGAAATGTGTAACAAAAAAAGTAAAAGCACCACCCAGCATAGGTAATGTGAATTTGTGTTTTCTAAGGCAGTATGCATCCAGGCAAGATTTGATTGTATTTGAGCGTGACAGCACTGATTTACAAGGTCTGTAGTCTCAGAGAAAGGGCATATGGCATGTTCTGCTTGACGTTACCCATGCACCTTGTGAAGAAAACAGCTCATGTTGGTGGAGGTCTTCATCATTTATAAAGTGCATTATGCACAGCAGCTTGGTGAGGGAGTTAGTACAAGGATCATTCCCCCCTTTGTATTCAGGAGAAAACTCAGGGTCAGAGAGGTTACATAACTCGTCACAGAGCTAGCGATAGGACTTAACCCATCTCTTCTGGCAGTGGGACCGACAGCTTTTCTCCTGTACCATGACAAAGTGCAATCCACGAAAAAGCGGCCGAGCATCTTTATAGTGCCTGGATCATACTCATAAAAGCTGTATTGGCAATTGAGTCAATACATGTAAAATGCACTTTGAAATACAGTTAACACTCTGTTTTGCATACTGTGCAAAGTTCATTCCAGTTGTTTTCCTCCTTGTTTTTAAAGATGTTTTACATCAAAAGATGACCGAGACTTGTGCCACTGCTCATATTGGCGGGGTTAATATTGTGCTGCTTGAAGGGATTACACCAAATATACAGTAAGTACCAGAGCTTTTTCTTTATTCTTATTATCATTGTGTGGTTTTATAGAAAGAAAATTAACCTTCAAGAGCTATCTATTTCCTATTCCAACTTATGGTTCAGATTTCATATGCAATATTAAGTTATTACATTGCTTTAGAAGTTTTGGAAAATACGGTTGCTTTAGGCAAGATTTCTTTCCTTTGCAAAATGTTATTCTCTGACCAGAAACAGCAGTAGAATTTGGTACCATTTCTATTGGTATCATTGTCATAAGAAGACTTCTCAGCCCCCATCTCATGACCCGCTAAGTTCAGGCTGCTGAGTGGAAGACAATGCCAGCAGAGTACAAGGATGGCAGCATTCTCTTTGAGCAGAATTCAACCTAGATTTATATGGGATTGTCAGTAATTTTTAAAATAATTTTTTTTTAATTTATTATAGAGGCCAAGATTAACACATTGAGAATTAAAAGCTGTAACATTAGGATGGGGTAATAGTGACCTGAATTATAAATAAGTAAGGGTTTATGTGTGAATATGTCCCTAGAAAGGTTGCTTGGAAAGAGACAAGAAATAAAAACATGCACCATTACCATGTCCATGAAGAAAGAAAAATGGGTAAACATGCAGTTATTAATTAGATGACTTAAGTACCCTAAGTAAGGATCATCACTGTCATAATCATTGTGTCTAGTAGTAGACTGCAGAGGAAAAATAAGTCAGGAACCCTGAAGACACCCAGTCATGCTTCATAAAATAGAATAGAGATCAGAGGTTACAGTTGAATTGTACCCCTTCTCCCAAATGCCAGCATTTCAGATCACTGTCTGTTTGTGGTAGATTCAGCTTATTACCACACAGTATAGAGAAACAGAAACAAAAAGCCGACTCCATGTGCTTGGGTGAGGAGGTAGTGCGAAGGCCATCTGCGAGGCCTCTGTAGCCCAGCATACAGCTTTGGCTCCCACAACCATTCATCGATCAGGCAGAGATGGCAGGTAAGGAGCTGGGCAGTCAGGGTGCCAGTGGCCATGTGTCCACACCTCAGTTTGGCTACAGCAAAATGAGGTACCTTTAAGGAGTTTTATTGAAAAACTGTGAGTGAATGTTCTTGAGTCCCCAAGGCCATCAGCGTCTCTTTTTTATACTGGGCCTGTTTCCCTTTGGACCTTGTGCCTCTGATCTCCAGGGAAGAGAAGGGAATAATGCAAACTCAGTGAGGACTTAATATCAAAACGTCTTAGAAAACTAGCTTAACGTGGTTATGTTAGAAGAGTTTTTCAGATTACTTGGCATGTTGTGACTAATGTTTGCATGAATGTTCTTTATTTGCTTTCTTTTTCTCTTCTTTTCCTTCCATCTTCATCTGTAGACTGGAAGATTTCCCTACGTCTCCTACAAGCACTGCCAAACAGGAATTTCTGTATGTCATATTCTGCTTCCTTGGCTTTCCGTCGGCATGAGAGTGTGTGATTGAAAGACAGAATGTCTCATGCTGTTGCTTTGTGACTATTCAGTCCCTTGAGTAGAGCTTCTTCACATTGTCTGCTTTCATTACTGTATCAGAGTGTCACATTAGAGGTAGATGAACATACCTTGCTCATGAATCAATGCTCCTTTTCCCCTGGGGAGGGACCAGTACCGGTAAGGCTCTGGTCATGTGGACTGATGGTTCCCTGACTTGCTAATGGTCGGTACATGTCTTACCATAGAGGATGTTATCTCAAGCTTAGAACATAAGATAGAAAGTTCTCCTTCGTAGTCAATAGGTAGTTCTTTATCATAATTACAACTAGAATTATTAAAGCACTAATACATAAAAGATGATACTCTCTTTAATTTTTTTCTCTTTTAAAATTAACTAGAGTGAAACTTCTAGCATTGGTGCCAGGGGGACAGAACTTTTGTCTTCTCTGTCTTCAAACCATATTATATTTGACTTATGTTTTGAGGGATTTGATTTTTATCTGAATCTGTTTAATAATGAGTAGTGGGAGGTAATATTTAAATATTTGAGATAATATTTAAATATTTGTTATACAGTAATCTTTAAAGATATTAACTGGCCAGTTTAGCATTAAGAATTAAACATACTTTATGTGCATTTCATTTCTTGATTTTAAAAGGTTTAATACTTCAGTATGCTATTGAACTTAACATTAAAAGTCTTTTTGAGAATGTAGCCCTGGACATATGCAATTGAAACTGGAAATACAGAGTAAACACAAGTCCTTTGGAATACAGATAGTTTAAATAGGTCATATAGAAGGTAGTTTCTGAAAGTACATTTTTCTTTGAACTGATCCAGGAACAGTATTAGGAATCAAGAGGGAAAATGGAGCAGAAGGTATTAGGCCCAGCTTTTAAAATATGGATGTTAGTTGGCCCTATATTTCTTACTAGTCATTCCTAGGGGAAATGGCCTAGGAGTCTTTTTTCTCCTCCTGACCATTCTGATCTTTTCCAAGGGGTGAAGAAGTTGTTAAAGGCTTAGTAATTGATAGCCTTGTTCATTATCTGCTTGACTTTATAGTGATGTTGTCATTTCCGCCCTATTCATTGTAGAAATGATAGAAGCTAAAAAGAAGATTCAGAATTTTTAAAAACAATTTCTTCTTTTCTGTCATTTCTTGTCTTTTTTCCCAGTGCTCTGTTTCTCAGTTTGTTTAATGCTATAGTAGCGATCTTTAACGTAGTTTTTTGTTTCATAACACAGCTGGGGGATCTTTTGTCTTTCATTGTTCTTAAATGTTAATTTAGTGCATGTGATTTCATCATGTGTTTGTCAAGTAGTTAGAGATGATGAGAGTTACAAAACAAAAGATCTGTGTGAGATTTAATGTCTGCATGCTCATGTTTTCTTGCACATGTATATTCATGCTGATGCCCTCTTAGAAATCCCAGACACATGATTAAAACTGGAATAGATACATTTTTTTTTTGCTTATCATGAATTGAGTAGATTGCCTTAAAAGCACACATTGCTTCCATGTTTTATCCCATGTACATGTGCAAAGTCTGAAGACATGTATAGTTTCTTAAAGTCTAGTTTGCATGCTACATATGTGCTCAAAGGTACTGGAAAATATCTTCAAACAGTATATTTCTTCTCTGTTGCTAGAACTGTAGTGAAGTGTAGCATCGCCAAGTCCCAAGCCCTCTACAGTGCCCAGCGAGGGTTGAAGACCAACAATGCTGCTGTGTTCAAGGTGGGAGCAATCAGCATCAACATTCCCCAGCACCCGGCCACCTTACATAGCATGATGGTCCGGAGCTCACACCAGCTTTCCAAGCAGATCTCAGACCTCATCAGACAACCATCGACAGCGTAAGTCCTTTCTTCACTGGCTGTGGTGTTGTGGGCCTCATTGAGGCTGTGTAACTGTAAGCTAAGGAAGACGGGTCATGAGGAAGCAGATTTTTTCTGACCAACTTTAGGGGAAGGATGCAGATCAGAATGACATCCTTGGATTTGAAAGTGGCATCTTGGCATCAGTGGAATAATATCACCAGCTAAATAAACTACCCCATACTCTTCCAGTGTCCCTGTCCTGTAGAAATGTGGCCCTGGAGGGTAGTGGGCTTTATGAAAGGTCATTTAGGTGTTAATACCAATGGCATGTACCTTTGAGTGTATTAGAACTATATGTATCCCAAAGATCTATTAAATGTAAATACAGTGGGGAAGAAATTAGCCACCTGTGCATGATCTGGGGCTGTGCTTTGTTCAGAGAAAATTAAATCTGTTTTAAGACAGAAATTAGTCATCCCAAGGGATCATGTCAGATTGTAGCACACCATGACCTTATCTTTTGCCATCCATCCCTCTCCAGGAAGACAACACTGATGGTTGCCCAAGTCATCATTCTTAACCTTGAGAGTCTGGCACCAATGTCAGAATTATGATGTCATATTTTAGAGTTGGGAAGAACCTTAGACATCCTCTGATCTAACTTCCGCCTTGTATAGATGAGGAAACTGAGGCCCAGAGTGGTTAAGTGATTCAAAGTCACATAGGTATTAAGTTAGTAGAGCTGGGATTTCAGTCTAGATTGAAACATAGAGAAATACAAAACAAAATTTAGATTTTTTTTCCCCATTACAATGGGGCAAATTTCATTTGTTTCTTGGATTACCTAATTTCTTAGGGTTTTAGAATCCTTTTAGATTTTTTTAAACCCTAGAGCTCAAACTCCTAGGAGTGTTCCTAGGCGTGTGTTGGGAGGAATAGTGGTGAGCATGCTGCCTTTGGAGTCAGTAGCCCCAAGCTTGCCAGAGTTTCCTCTAGTTCTGTGTGTTATGGTCCTACAAGGAGAGGGGACAGATACATATTTGGCATTTCCCCTTGTTGTAGTATTTTAAAGAACCCCTCAGAATGTCTCAAGGAATCCTGAATGACTAAGGACAGAACTTGATAGCGCCGCTTTAAAGAAGCTTTTCCATATTTTAAAGTAAAATGAGATAGAATGATGTGAAATCAAAAGCCTTGGTTCACCGACTTTTTTTTTAAACCTGAGACAGATGATTATTGCTGGGGTTCAGGGGCACTCTAAAATATTAGGGTGCAGAATGACGAGTAGTAGACGCATGGGTCACAGTGCCTTGAATGAATTTGCTCAGACCGTCTCCAAGTTAAATAAAGGCATTAATTGGGGTGATGCACCCAGCAGACTCTGTTCTTTATAGGAGGCCAGAGTGCTCAGCCAGCCCTACTTCCCATGGGAGACAGAGCACTTAGCCAGGTTACATGTCTGGTGTATATAGAGTTTGACAGGATAAGAGGAAGGGGAGAAGGGGGAAAAGCATGGCTCTGAAATGTCAGGCAGTCCACAGTATCTTTGTAAATGCGTACAGATAAGCAAGGGAAACAGGAAAGGGGGAAAGGAAGAGCCGTTCTGGAATGTCAGGTAGTCCCAGGTACTTTGTGAATGCATACAGATAAGCCTGAGGTAGGGGACTTCTATGCATAGTCTTCTTGAGCACTTTCTGCCTGGTCACATCCTGCATGCTGTTTGCCCCATCTGCCTCAAATGTTCTTTTCACTTACTATAGGCAACATCAGTAAGTCCTTGGCAATAAAACCTCAAAAAATTCATTATAAAATGCTACTGATGATATTCTGATTCTAGATTACTTTGTCATTTTTTTTTATGGCTACTACGGTGCTCCTGGCCCTAAGTATCAGTTGTTATCTTAACAGAATTTATATCTTTTTTTTGGGGGGGGTCTGATCTGTGCAGAGGTCTGATCTGTGATTTCATTAGTGTAAGGAACTCTTGGGTAAAGGAAATCCTTCTGCCAGGACTAATATTCTGCAACTCTTCTGCAACTAAAAGTCTTAGAGGGTGCCGGGCACTCTGAATGGTCAAGTCACTTACCCAGAGTCACAAAACCAAGACGTAGGGTTTGAACCCAGCTCTTCCTCATGCTTTGGGTGTGTCTAGATCTGCTGACTCTATTTATATCTCCATTTATTATGTGTTTGCTATTGAGAACTCATTTTTAAAGTAAAAATTGGAACTTCTTACTGTGATTCTTTGTATTAAACCAACAGCCCACAGTCTACAAAAGAAGATATTGCAACCCCCTTGCCTTCTGAAAAAACTCCAAGTGTAAACCAAACGCCTATTGAAACCAATGAATTTCCGCAGCTACCTGAAGGCTTGGAAAAGAAGCCTATTGTTCTTAAGTTCAGCGCCATGTTGGATGGAATCGCGATTGGAGCAGCCCTCTTACCATCTCTGAAAGCTGAGTATAAGATGGGAAGAATGAGAAGTCACGGGATGACAGGTGATGAGATGGCTCTGCGTTTCTGTTCCATTTCAAGGGCCTCAGGCAGTGGCTGACCGTGTCACCTTCAGGTCTTGCTGTTTACAGATGCATAGGCCTGGTACCTCAGGCCGGCAGTAGTAGTTTTGGGGTGCTTGCAGTATACGAATCACACCCTTCATATCATAAACTACTACAAAAGCAGGAGATACGTCTCCTGGGCCTGAGAAACTTGAAATTTCATGGAGAAGGAAGAGGCTGTAAAGCAGAGGCAGTATATATAAGTTCATTGTCAAGCTTTCATAGATTTGATTCACATAACAATATTTGGGATAATAAAAGGTTAAATGATTTCATGTGATTTGCTCCCCCAAGAAAGAACTTGAGCAAATGAACCCATGTTGTTGAAGTTTTTTTAAAGGCCATATATTTTTCCCAAATCTTTTTTATAGTTCTTAAATTGTTTGGAGCACTGACTCATTGGTGGCTGAGAGGGTGTAGTGGGAGGAGATGAGACCTGGGAGAGAAAGCCTTGTTCTTCACACCCATTTAGCTTCTGGCTTCCTCTCTAGCCCTTTGTTTTAGCTGCTTTCAGAAGGGTCTGAGTTGTCAGCTAGAGCCAAGGGTGCCATGCTCTGCAGAGGCTCTTTAGTTGGGATGGGGGTTTTTGATTCTATATAATTGGTTGCTCTACTGCTTAAAAAAAAAGTTTGGTACATCTAGACTGCTTTATGAAGTAAAGTCACTGTGGTCTTACTTAACTCCACATGCATCTGTTAGGCCCTGTGGGAATTGCTGGGGGGTACAAACCAAAACTGAAACAGCCCTGCCCTGGAGGACCTTGCTTTCCTGGCAGATGAGTGTGCAGACTCTCCCTGGAGTAAACATGGGACAGTTTCGGGGAGGGGGGTGTGGGCATCGAATCTGGCACGGCCAAGCTTTGTGCTTTGTGGTATGTCTCAGGAGCCCTCCCAAGCAGACCGATCCCCGCGCCAGAATTTTTCTGTCTCTAGCTGCTGACATTTAATACAAAGGTGGTGGTTGTCCTCCTTCGCCTTGTCCCTTCGTCTTTGCTTCCTTTGCTTTGCATCTCTTTCCCATGGTTCTCTGAGGTCTTCATTATTTGTCATCCCTTATGTCAAAGTAAGATTCCATTACATTCAACAAGCAAGCACAGTGTGTTTGGGCGCTTCCCAAGCATTGCAAAAATGTTTTGTTTCTGTTTTTTCGGGTATCACAAACAGGGTTGCTGTGGATACTTTTATTCTTAGGACTTTTGGTGCACCATCCCAGCAACAATGTGTATAATCCTCAAGACTGTGGTTCTAGTAATGAGATCTCTGGGTCAAAGAGTGTGATTAATTTAGCTTTTCTTACAGAATTCCAGATTATTTTCTGGAACTGTTGAATCAGTTCACAGCTTTGGTTTTCCCACTGGTTTCCTGCTGGTGAAGCTGGGAATTGACTCAGTAGTTATGGTAGGGTTCCTTTTGTTGCTGTTGTTATCTCATTTTTCTAATATACTTCCGGACTTCACACTTGATGTTAGGGCCATTCTCCTGGCACTTCTGGGAGGGCCGTGCTTGATCCTATTATGCGTTTGGGTTTTGCTGCTGCTGTTTTCTTGGGTATTGCTGTGTTTTTCCAAGGGACATCTTAAACAGGGAAGCTGCAGGGTTTTACTTTGTCTGAAGCACTCTGCTCCAGAATGAAATCTGAACTCTGCCCTCTTGAGATCTGTCAAGTTCCTGACTTTGGTTTGGGTCTGAGGAACACACCTGTAGGCTTGCCCTTGGTTTGAGCTTCAGTAGATGACGGCTGGACTCAGCCATGGTCGGCCAGCTGAAAAGCTCCGCAGGAACCATGGGCCCATTGTCTGGGCTCCTTGCCCTGGTTATGATACTGCAGGCTTCAGATTGGGCTGGATCTGCGCTCCCAGTTCCCTCCTGGGGTTAGATCCCATGGCTGCCACCTTCACTTAGTGCCCAGGCTGGTGCTGTTCTCCTTGCCTGTGCACAGTATGTTGGTGCAGGATCACTCCGCTGTTCCCACTGGGTAGAGACAGAAATGCCAGTTGGCTCCTAATCCTGCTCCCCATGTAAGGGCAGGACCCTCTGCCCATTCTGGGAGAAAACGGGAGAGGATTCTCTCTCTTTAAATTAGTCTTTACGAGGAATGTTAGTAGGGAACACAGACAGGGCAGCTCACAATAACTTGGATTTGTTGTGTCTGTGGAGGGAGAAGCAAGCTATACACGACTGGAATTCGTGGCAGCATGGGCGGTCCTCTAGTTCGGCTTGGCTTTGTATATGGCAATACTCATCTCGGTTGGTTAAGTTCAGAATTCGTGTAGAAGGGGGTGGGAGAATTATGTCCTGAAATGAATGTGATGTAAAAGCAAAAAGCTACAGTAAAATCGGGCCTAAAAGTTGTGGCCCTATTTCTAGCCATTTCTGAATATCAGTAATTACTGTGCTCATTGCACATAAGTTCTTTTTTCAATCAAGCAAAATCTCCTAGTTATTTTATTAGCTATAAATTATGTTTCACGGTATTGATACTATTTCTTTCTTCTTTTCCTCTTCTTTATTTTCAGGTGCACAGACGAGATTTACATTTGAACTGCCAAGTCACCGATTACGCTTTACTTCAAAAGTTTCTGCCACAGATATGTCAACTATTCCTCCTTCTGCTAGTCTGAACCTTCCTCCTGTCACCATGTCTGGGAAATACATAATGGAAGAGCATGACAGTTATTCAGATCAAGTGTGGAGTATAGATGAGCTTCCCTCTAAACAAGGTTACTATTTACAGGGAAACTACTTGCGTTGTGTGGCAGAGGTAATGCTTTTACCTTATTTCTAAAATTAAAGTTTAGTATAAAAATTCTAAAATTTCTAAATATATTTCCTTAAATTATCATACACGTAATGTACATATGATAGGGTATGTATGTGTCTAAATGTATGTAGACACGTATGTATGTATGTATGTATGTATGTGTGTTCACTTAAATCATGTTTTTGTAGTTTACACATTCAAAATTCACAAATTTGGACTAATTGGGAAAAGACCTAATTGAATTAGTATTAGCAGCTATTTTTAGAGAAATGTAATATTTTGGTTTTAGGTAGATGTTACAATGTTAATTATAGCTAATTAAAAAAATTAGGAGATTTTGCTTGATTGAAAAAGGAACTTATTTGTAATGAACTCAGTAATTATTGATAAACAGATATATAGTATTTAATGGCTAGAAATAAGTGTACGACTTTTATGTTGCGTGTGCATGCATGTGCGCACACACACACACACACACACACACACACACACACACACACTCCCCCAAACCTCCTGACAAAGACTAGCACTGCTTGGTGGAAGTTTCCCACCTGAACGCTGGTGCATTTGCATCTGCTCAGTCACTGGGTATTTTTAAGCACCAGCTGTGTGCCATGTTTTAGGGAGTGGTAGGGGTGAGGTGAGATGTAATATGTCCTTATCTGCTCATATAATGCAGGAAGTTTTTTAAGTGATTGGCCCATTGGCATAGAGGGCAGAAGGAAGGCAGGTTGTTGAACAGCATCAGCACCTGGGCAAAGCCTTCTAAGTAGCGGAGTTATACTTACTTAAAGGCTAAAGATTTTATGAAGTTTCCTCATTTATTCATTCTCTTTGTGTTTGATAGTTTATGTATTTTTTAAGCAAGTGTGTCATATAGCTGTAGTAAAAGTGTAAACCTAGTTCCTTTCACCAGATTCATCATTGTTATAAATAAACATTTGTCACCTTGGGAAAGGCATATGAACATTATGTAAGCCACTAAAAATGTTAGTACCTCTGAAGATTATTTTTAACTTTTTTAGAGGATTACAGATTACCTTTTCGAGTAACTTGTATGCAATTAATTTTACTTTTAACATAACATTGTGTGGGATGCCTGTTACGTAAGAGATGCATTAAAATCTAATGTAATCACAATTGTTTATTGTTTAAATTTGTTTTGCAGGTTGGCTCATTCGAACATAATCTTACAACTGATCTTCTAAACCATTTGGTATTTGTGCAAAAAGTTTTTATGAAGGAAGTTAATGAAGTAATACAGAAAGTTTCTGGTAAGAAGAGCTGACATTTGAGTGTAAAACCTAAATTTTTTTTGGTTCAGTATCAAAAAGTATTGTTGCCTTGAAGACCGAACATGTAATTTTCTTTTATCCATCCAACAAATATCGATTGAGCCAATTACATACACGAGATGATATCCGCGCATTCAGATTGGAGGTGCTGCTGGGGAGGCGGAGTACATCAGTAGAGTGCTTCCCTCTGCCCTCTAGATTCTGGTTCTGACTTTCCCTGGCTTCTTCAGGCATATTCTTCTGTGTAGCTGAGAGGCCACTGAAATGTCAGGAAAATTCAGAGAGCTGTGGGCTGTGAAGTGTGTGACCATAAAGGAGTGACCCCTCACCCACAAAGCATGTTAGACATCATTGTTGCTTTGTTGTCCTGCCTGTAGTCAAGAGGGCTCACCTAATACTGGCCAGAAGTGCAGTATTGAAATGGACCATGGCAGTCAGGGAAATAAATGATACTTGGAAAATCACTTTATTTACCTAGGCCATTTTAGGGTCATCGTAGGAACCAGAGTTTTGGTGGTGGCTTCTCCGCCTTTTAACCTCAAACCTGGTGGTTTTGACTAGCCCCATTATTACTGATTTGTGTTCTTTCTTTCTCTCCAACTAGCTCTTAAGCCTCTTGATTTTTACCTCTAGCAAAATTAAGTATTAAATATCCTATTTGATGATTTAGTGGGGTGCAGAAGTCATGACTAAGCTGTGATTAGTGTACTACTCACAGAGCAGAGTATTCAAAGGACATACGATAGTCCTACACGACACTGTGTATGGGCAAGCGCTTTAATAATTAGTATTAAATATATCCTCCAAGTCACATGTAGAGTATCCCCTTGCAGTAGGGGTGGAATCATTCTGATGGAAGACAAGTACATAGTGAATATAGATGAATCAATCTGTAGAGAAAGCTTTGCAGCAGCCCAGATCTCCTCAGTTCTGTGAGATGCAAGGCTTCCCAGTTTTGCTGAGTGTGACTCAGGGACATCAGGGAATTGGGAAGTCATCTCCATGAGGGTACGAAGAACTCTAGTTGAGCTGTGAGATGCCCATATTGAGTGAAAAAATGTCCTTTGTTGGTCAGCCTGATGTTTTCTGCAGAGAATTGGCTCAAACCCCTTCTCAATGCTAGCCCCAGATTTTATCCTGACCAGCTTGCTGTATCATTAACGTCAAAGCATAATCTGTTTTGTGGAAGCTGGTCAAAATGTTTCAAGATCATAAATTTGTGTTGTTTCAAACACAAGACATATATTGGAGACTGATTTACTTATAATGGGATATCAGGTGTACTTTAAAAATTTTAATAACTCAGGCTAGTGTCATATCTCACAGGGTAAGAAATGAAAATGTTAGTAAAGAAACTAGTGTTATTAATGTTAGCCTGTCATTGTAAACTGAAAAGATGATGTCGACAGTTTGAAGCAGCACTTTTCTTTGCTTGTAACCATTATGGAGATCAGCAGGAATGTGTCTAGTCTTTGCAGGGTGTCAGTGAGGTGAGACAGATCAATCTTTGAAGTCTAGTGCTGGTGAGAGGATGCAGAGACGGGCCCTCCAAGCAGCCTGACCCTGGCACACGCTAAAGAGCAGCCACAGTGTGGGCGATGGGGAAGTTGTGACTTGTCTCAGTGGCGGCACTAGGGGGAAGAGTAGGCATCTGGCTAGTTAGGGGGACCTGCAGCCACGCGCTGTGGAGAAAGAATGCTCCCTTTCTCTGGTCCCCCAGACCTCCTCATTTTCCTCCCTGTGCCGTGCTTCTAAGATCTTTGCAGGCCATTTCATCACCTCTTTGTTTCCTGCTGACTTTCCTTCATACCACAGTGAGTCAGCCATGGGACGGTCGCCATTCCTGTGGGGCTGGCGTCAGAAAAGCAGCAGAACAGGCATCTACTTTACTGCAAAGAGAGTTTTTGAAGAGTATTGTATTCATATTGTAGACTTTGTGAGATGGGGGGTCGTGTGCTATGGATAGAAAGCTTGGCAAGCCTGCGTCAAGCAGGAGTCTCCTGTGGACGTACCTGAGTCCTGGGGCTGGGACAGCTGTGTCCTGTGGGTTATAATGAGGCATTTATGGGCTTAAAGTGAAATGAAAGCTCTCTAGAGTCGTATTTTTTTAACCAAAAATTTAGTAAAATGTGTCTCTTAACTGATGTTTTGATTTGAGATGTGAAGATGTCCATGAGATTGTAGATGTGGAGCTGTACAGGTTCCCTGAGGCCATCTAGTCCAATCCTGTCATTGTACACGAGGAAACTAAGGCCCAGGGAGGCTGCGGGTCCTGCCCCGGGTGCCGCAGGGAGCAGCAGAGCTGGCACTGGAGCTTGGTCCATGAGATTGTCTGTACAGCACCAGCTGAAGGAGTCTAGAAATGAAGTGGCTCTCTAAGTGGGCAGTGGGCTTCTTTGGCACATTATTTTATCAGGAGAGTCTGTCTGCACTTGGGCCTGGATGTTCAAAACCTAACAATACAAAAATTGAAAGTTTCTTTTTTAAATTAACTTTGTGTCTACAGTGTGAATTTTGTAAAACAAGTAAAAAACGTCAATTTATGAAATAAGTGAAATACCACTGCTTAACGTGCTTGATGTGAGCTTGATGCGTTTTGAGGGGTTCAGGGACTCCCCCCCCCCCGGGCTGAAATACAGGACAGGGTTGTCTGGAATGAATTCAGAGATGCAAGCATTCTTTAAGTCAAGTTGGCACAGGTTTATTTTTACACAATTCGGTGGGCAAAAGTTCTTAAGGAACTTGCAACCTTGGAAGGTTACAGCTAGTTTGTATAGGATAAACTATAGTAAAACATGTGCCAAATATGCTAACTAGGTGATTCAAGGTAGGATTGGGGAGTGGTTAAGGAGTGGTCAGTTCTTAAAGGAACATGCACTTTTTGTATCTACTGCACAGGTGTTTTACCCAGAGTTCACCAGGAGAAACCCAAGGTGGGACTACATGGAGGTGTGGTTTTTAGGGCCCACCGAGGATCGTCCAGTCTGCCACCATCAATGTCTTGTTTGACAAGATAGATGTAGGGAGTGTACATATGTCTTCAGTCTAGGATGCACGTGGGGAGTCCAGATTGCAGATAGTGAGATAAGACGTTGGTATAGATAGTCCAGTGGGTACGAATATCTTCATGAGCCAGTAAGAAAGCCAGTTCAGACTTTAGTAACTCCTGCAGGTGCGGTTTGTAACTGCACCAGGGAGAGAGAGAAGTGTGTTGCTGAGGCCAGTTCATGAGGAACTGCTAGGCATAGTGTCCTCGGGCTGGGGAGAAACTGGCACAGATCGTGGTTTTGAGGCTAAAAGGACGTTTGGTCTTGAAGCTGAGGTCCGAGTACAAGCATCCAAGGACCCCATCAAGCTCATTGATGTGGATTATTTCAGCAGAAGGTGTGAGAGTAACATTAACATTAGCACTTACTTGTAAATGTGATTAAAGTTTCATTGTCAGGAGGTAAGTGAGGGCATCAAAATAGGCATGTTTAGCCTAGGCTAAAAAGGATAAAATAGAACCATCTGAAGAGCCTGGAGTCCAGAAGGTGCATCGCCAAGGCAGGAGAATGGGTACCGACGTGATGAGCGTGCCTCACCGAAGTGCGTGTAAATCTGCAGTCCAGATGAGAAGCCCCCAGCTTTTTTCAGAGCACTAATCAAGGAACCCTGGGAACCTCTGAGAATATGTTTGACTAAGGCACAGGAAGCAGGCGAAGCACCTGATGAAAGGGGAAATAGGGTGCCAGATTTAAAGAAGGGTAACTGGGAACAGAACTGGCCTGGCTCACAGAAAATGATACTATGTTTTTAAAAGTAGTGCATTTAAGAAGTTTGTTTTATCTGGAAATTATTTTAACTTTTTATTTATCATGAGGAAAATATAAAAGACATTTATTGTCAAATTAAGAATTGAAAAGCAAAAAGAATGACAGAGCCCAGTCTAATAATGAGCATCCTGTAATGCTTACTTTTCTTCAGCCAACAGATTCATTTGATTTATGGCACAAGTACAAAAGGCTTTCATTTAAAATGATAGTTTAAAAAACACCATCTTACCTAGCTTCTACTTGACCAAGAGTCTCTTGAATGATGTACCCCCATGGAACAAAGAAAGGGTGGGACAGCTGAGCCTCTGGCAGTGATATTTAAAGGATCCTTGGTTCACTCTGCCAGTCACCACCAGCAGTCTTTGAGCTGAGAGTATAAAGAGTTGCCTCATTAATAGAAATATTGAAGTCAGAAAAGGAGCATAGCTTGGTGAAATTGATGAGTTTTTGTTTTTTCCATCTGCTTAATTTGAAGTATCAGCAGAATAGTTAGGTGGAAATTTCTAGCAGGCAATTAGAAATGCAGAAGCAGAGCTCAGGATCAAGGCTGAAAATAGAGACGTGGGGGTCATTCGCGTAGAACTGGTCATTGGAGTCATGAGTACAAGTGGGTTACCAGAGAGAGAGAATATAAAAAGTAAAATGCAGAAAACCAAAGACAGATCTTTGGGGGAAACATTTATTAAAGAATAAAAAGGCGCTGTGAATGAAAACTAAAGCTAGGATAATCTAACAGCATTGGAAAATTGGGAAAGCAGGATGGACTACAGTAGGGAAGATGGGAAAAGGTGGAGCTAAAGTAAATAGGGTTTTTTGTAGTTATTGTTCACTTGTTTCAGTCATGTCCATCTCTTTATGACCCCATTTGGGATTTTCTTGGCAAAGAAACTGGAGTGGTTTGGCATTCCCTTCACCAGCTCATTTTACAGATGAGGAAACTGAGGCAAACAGGGTTAAATGACTTGTCCAGGGTCATACATCTAGGAAGTGTCCAAGGCCAGATTTAAATTCAGGAAGATGAGTCTTCCTGACTTCAGGCCCAGTGCTTTATCCACTGCACCACCTAACTGCCCCAAATAGGATTAGTATCAATATAAAGGTGAAGTTCAAGAGATGCCATAGTGGGGGTGGGGGGGACAGTAGAAAGGCAAATGCTAAATCATTTTGGGGTAATATGAATCCAGTAAGGCAGGTGGAGGTGTCTGCAACAGCATCTCAAATTGAAAGTAGTAGAAGAGAGATACATAGTGGAGGTAGCATAAGAGAGAAGCAAGTGCAGAGAGATCTTGGCTGAAGGTGAAAAAGAGGCAGAAGGTAAGGATTCGATTCACAGAGATGAGGAGCCTCCCTGCAGCCACAGAGATACACGTATATACATATACTTTCACATGAGGACACGTTCACATTTGACTGCCTGTCACAATAGTAGGAAAACACTTTGAACAAGCACATTCTAGTAGTATTTACACATTTTCAAAACATAGACTATTCTAGGAAAAACAGCAAGGCCACAGCTTTTGTGAGTAAATTGGTTCTTAGCTGGTCCTGTTTCCCCCTGATTTGATCCCTCCGGTTGACTCCATCTCACTGATTCCCCCCTTTTTTGATCTCTCTGTGTTTGTGTGTCGTCACTATTCATTATGCATGTATGTATGTATGTGTATGTCTGCCTGCCTCTCCTCCTTTTTCTTTCCTTCTTATATTTGAAAACTGGTAGGAGTTGTTTCTTTTTTAAATATTCAAGACTTTATGTTTCTTGCTGTTAGTTTCCAATCAAGTGAGTGAAATTATTTATATTTCTCTTTTTCAAACCAATTAAAACTTTTTTATATATGCATCCACCATTTTTTTTCTTGATAGGGAAAGCTTTCTGATCCCTAACATGCAGTGTCCCCACATAAAGTAAATAGCACATCTTAAAAATATCAGATGTAAGTAATATGTTTGAAAGGTAATACCATAGACAGTCATGTGGGAAAGTTTTCCTCTCAGAGGGTGAAGAAATGAAAGTTCAAACATGCTACTGGATTGTCACGACATCCTGTAAATTCATAGTCAGGTTTGACTTAAGATCCTGTCTTGTGGCATTCAACAGCAAATGGTAAAGAGACAGAAAAACTACATGTATTTCATTTATTTCCTCATACAGGACTGGTTTTTCTTGCTGTGTCCCTACCAGTGTCTTATTTTTTCTGCCTTTTTTCTTTCTGTATTCATTTGCTGTTTATATTAACATTGATATATGTAAGAATCATTTCTACACAAATGGTATTTTTATGTAGGAGTGCTTAATCTGGACTTTCTTCTGAACTCAGTTCTTAATTACTTTAATAACATCCTTTATTTTTTAAAAAGAAATTAATACATGAAAGATTATTTCTATTTTACATTTTCCTTGAAGATTTAAGGCTGATCTCTAAATTAGAGAAAGCTTTCATTTGTGTATGACAGAATGACAAATAATTTGTCTGAGGAAGGGGTAAGAAAATGAACATGTTAAATGGAATTTGAGTTGAGTAGTTGAAGTGAAAAAAATCCCCCGAGCCCTCAATCACTTACTTAACATCTTTTAGGTGGGGAGCAGCCCATCCCTCTCTGGAATGAGCATGATGGCACAGCAGATGGAGATAAGCCCAAAATTCTCCTCTATTCCTTGAATCTGCAGTTTAAGGTAACATAAAAAATATCTTTAATTTTCTAACTTGCTATTTCCCAGATAGGAGAATAGGAATTTAATTTAAAGAAAAATTCTTTAGTTTGAAACATTCAAGTGGAAATTATTTGTGTTGAATTATTCTCTTTAATTTTATCTCACATTCATTAAATGAAATATACATTGATGAATTTTACCCCGAAAGCTACTCGTATTTGTTAAGCTTCAGAAGACACAGGTAATTCTTTAGGGCTTCTCAAATGGATCTTGGGCTGGCTTTAAAGTGGATTTCTTTTCTTCGATGTACATTGAGAGATTGCTCTTTGGTGGGCACTATGGAGAAGTAAAAGTTGACTTCATCTTTTTCACCTTCTCTCAGGGCATTCAAGTTACAGCCACGACTCCCTCAATGAGAGCCGTGAGGTTTGAAACGGGATTGATTGAACTGGAACTCTCAAACCGACTTCAGACAAAAGCCTTGCCGGGGGGCAGCAGCTATCTAAAGCTGTTCGGTAAATGCCAAGTCGACTTAAATCTGGCATTAGGACAAATTGTCAAACATCAGGTAAGTTCAGGTTGGTGTTACGAGGTCCTCTGTAGGATACTGGCTGCTTTAATTGTCTTTACAAAAATGCTTTACTGATTTTTTTTTAAGCTCTTCAGATTTTGCATTGTAAATCTCAATGATGGTGCCACTGCTCCTCCCATTCCTTCCATCTGAATGGTGCTGCCTTCCTCTTCTTCATCGATAATTCCCTATCTCATGGCCAGTCTCTTCTCCACTGGAACCTTTGTCAGTACCTTCCAATGTTCTTAGGCCCTTTGTTCTTCAAAAACAACAGCAGCAACTTTCTTTTGCTGTGCCAGACACTTGAGCTCGCCTTCAAAACTCCCTGTTCCCCTTACCTGACAAACTTGCAGAGAAGTAGTCCACACGGTGCCACGAGTTCGGACTGGCCTTTCACTCCTCAGGTTCCTCACCATGTGACTTCTGTCCCCAAAACCAGGGAAGTGGCTCGCCAAGGTCAGCTTTGTTCATCTCCTCCTTGATGATGCCTTTTATTACTGTTTCATTGGTGTTTGGGCCAAATCTTCTCTCTTCTCTTCGCTAATATCTCTTCTTGCCTTCCAGACATAGGTATTTGTCAAGGTTTTCTTCATATCTTCCTTCCTTTGTCCCCTTTAAGCCCCCTTTCTTGCCACGGTCATCCATCACCATCGCTACAGTTATAGGTGATTTCATGATCAGACCCCTGGATTTCGACTCAGAAGACTCGATTCCCAGCTCTGCTGCTGTTCCACCTCAGTGACCTTGGGCACTTAACTTGTCTTAGCCGTATTTTCTTAACCCATAAAAAGTGGAGGAACTCACCCAGAATCTCAGAGTCCCCACCCCTTCATCCTCCCTACACACTGGCATTCCCCATGAGGCACTTATCTGTCCTGGTGGCTCTCCTCTGTGCATCAGCCCACAGGACTGAGCCCCCGTGCTCCAAAGTGGTTGGACCAGACCAGAGCATAGTAGGACTAACACTTCTCATCCCCCCGGCAGGGAGCATAAGTACTCAGGGACTTTGCTAGCTGCTGATGACTCATATGGAGCTTGTGGGACACAAAAACCGCTAGATCTTTTTCAGACAAATTTCTGTCCAGCTATGTATTCTCTACCTCACACTTATAAAGTTAACTTTTTTAATCTAATTGTAATATGTTATTTTTATCCCTATTAAATTTCACCTTATTAGATTTGTCCTTTTCTACACTGTCTGTCTTTTTGGCTTCTAACTAATTCAGCATATTAGCTGTCTCTCCTGGAGGTGTGTATCGTCCATATATTTGTTAAGCATGCCATCGAGGCCTTTATCTAAGTCAGCGATAACAATCTCAGCAGTCCAGGACCAAATACAGAGCCTTGGACACACCACTAGAAACTTCATGCCATCCAGCACCCTTGGAGTCAGGCCATTCACCCGGTGCTGAATCCTCCTCAGGGGGCTGTTGTCCAGTTTACTCTCTTGTCTCTTGTCCACAAAATGAGCTTGGGAAGCTTTGTCAAATCCTGGGCCAGAATCTAGCTGAATTCTGCCCACTCCGTCTGCTCTGCCCTTCTCTTAACCCTGGCAGCAGGGTGATTTCTTTCTTTTTGGTTCTTCCTTTCTTTCTTCGTTTCTTTTTAGTTTTCAACATTCACTTTTATAAGATTTTAAGTTCTAAATCCCCCCCCCACTCTCCCCTCCTCAAAATGGCATGCAATCTGATATAGGCTATACTTGTATGATCATATTAAATATATTTCCACATGTTATGAAAGTAGAATCAGAACAAAAGGGAAAAACCATGAGAAAGAAACAACAACAAAAAAAGAGAAAATAGTCTGCTTCGATCTCCATTCAAACTCCATAGTTCTTTCTCTGGATGTGGATTGCATCTTCTATCATGAGTCTTTTAGAATTGTCTTAGATCATTGCATTGCTGAGAAGAGCTAAGTCTATCAATATCAGTCATCGCACAGTGTAGCTGTGTACAACGTTCTCCTGGGTCTGCTCACTTCACTCAACATCAGTCCATACAAGTCTTCCCAGGTTTTTCTGAAGTCTGCCTGCTCATCATTTCTTATAGCACAATAGCATTCCATTGCATTCATGTACCACAGCTTGTTCAGCCATTCCCCCGATGGGCATCCTCTCAATTTCCAGCTCTTGGCCACCACCAAAAGAGCCAGCAGGGTAGTTTCTAACTTCTCTTCCTACTCTGCATCTTATAAATCTGGTATAATCATTATAAAAATGACTCTGAACTCTTTATCTTCCACCATGGCTTATCCTATGAACTGAAGGCCAGTGTTTTCAGCAATCTACTAAACATCTCTCTCCACCCGTATGCCCTCGGAGACCTTAAATTCAGCATGTCCAAAATTGACTCCTAGATTTACATTTTACAGGTGGGGAAACTGAGGCCCATGGGGGTAAAGTGACTTAGCCAGAGTCACACAGCTAGTATCTATAATATGAACCCAGGTCCTCTAATCGATCAAGATGCATTGATTAGGCACCTCTTGTGTGCCTGAAACTGAGCCTCTGGGAGTTAGAGAGAGAGGGAGGGACTGAGCCTGTATAGTACCTCCCAGGTGAAGAAACACCCTCTGCCAATGCAGATAGCATCTTGTCTGCACCTCAGCAATGAGAGATGAGGTGACAGGCCAGTGGTAGCTGAGGCATGTGTCAGAGGTGGATCCAGCCTTTGAGGATGTTATTGAACGATTTTCTCTTTACATTGTTCATTTATGACCTGAGTTCAAATCCAACCCCACACACTTGCTAGCAGTGTGACCCTGGGCCAGTCACTTCACCTGTTTGCCTCAGTTTCCTCTTCTGTAAAATGGGGGTAGTAATTGTACTGCCTTCCAGGGTTGTTGTCAGGATAAAAGGAGATAATAATTGTAAAACACTAAGCATAGCACCTGGCACATGGTAAGAGCCATGTAAGTGTTTGCTGTCATTATTATTATTATGGAGATTATTTTATTTACAGCTGTATTGTACATATTTTCAAAGAAGTTTTGACTATTATGAATTTTTAAAAGATTTTTAGCTTCAATATTCAATTTACTATATCTTTTAGTGGATTATACCATAATGTTTTTAAAGATATCAGAACAGTTGTCCTCTGACTTGAATTTATTCTGTCTTGAAATGTGTTTTAGGTTTATGAAGAAGCTGGTTCTGATTTTCATCAGGTTGCCTATTTTAAAACCAGAATTGGGCTAAGAAATGCCCTCCGAGAAGAAATCAGTGGTTCTTCAGACAGGGAAGCTGTGCTCATTACTTTGAATAGACCGATTGTTTATGCTCAGCCTGTGGCCTTCGACAGAGGTACTATGAATTCCTTTATTATTGTAATTGAATTTTTTTATTTTCAAAATTCTGTCGGCCTGCTAAGTAAGGTTTCCATTTTGCTCTATCAGCTCTGATGTAGCCAGAGTCTGAAATGTAAGTATGCCCCAGTGATATTTCCTTGCATGTTCCTTATATGGTGTTTTGCTCCAAATCTTTGTAAGAGTTCCATTGCTTTTTGTAGATGTGCCTACAATGCCCTACCCCCTCACCGCTGCCCTGCTTCCATGCTCTCTCTCACTCCCTTCAGACACAGGACGCATTTCTGGTTGCTCCAGGGATGAGCACTCTGTCCTTCTGGTAGTTCCTCTCTCTACACTCTGAACTTACTTGTTCGTGTGTTTTCTGTATCCACTCGGTACAGTGAATCAGCAATCAGGAAGCATTCTTTTCTGTCAAGTTAGCAAACATTAAAACAAACCACTATTGTAAACACCTGGGATTCAGAGAAGGGCAAGGAGTGCTCAGAGAGCTCAGCCATCATGGAAGACCAAAAGAGGATAGCAAGCCACTGGAGTCTCTTGCACGTGGGAGTGATATGGTCAGAGCTGCCCTCTAGGAGTGTTAGTGTGACGGGCGGGCCTGGAGAGGCAGAGACTGAGGCAGGCGCACCCGCCCCAGGCTGCCACACTGGTGCATGGGTGAGGTGAGGAGGGCCTGTGCCGGGGCAGGGGCAGTGTCTGATGAGAGGACGGCTCACACGTGAGGTAGAGTCTCCAGGACTTGGCTGGTGATTGAATGGGGACGTGAGCCTGGATAACTGGCGGGAAGGACGGTTGGAAGAGGAAAGGGCTTGGGGAGAGGGGGGACATGAGAGGGGAGGAGATAATGAGTTCTGTTTTGAGCACAATGACTTCCAGATGCCGGTGGGACATCCAGTGTCTAAGGGGCATTTGGAGGTGAGAGCGTGGAGGTTAGGAGAGAGGTTCGAGGTGGGTAACAAAATGTAGGTGATAACAGAATCCATGGGGGGGTTGATGACCTCCCAAGCCAGGAGGGCCTTCCTTAACCTGAGCTTTGGGGGGCACCTGTGGTCAATGGGCAGGACCTCGTGAGTGTTTGTCCTGTGTCAAGCACTGTCCTACACACTGGGGATGCGAAAGAAAGTGGAAACCATCCCTGCCTTCCAAGAGCTTACACTCCAGTGGAAGGACACTCACTGAAGAAAACTAACACTAATGCTGCCCATTATTTGTGACACTTTTTCTTCTTCCTTTTCAATAGCTGTGCTGTTTTGGCTCAATTACAAGGCTGCTTATGACAACTGGAATGAACAGCGGATGGCCCTGCACAAGGACATTCACATGGCTACAAAGGAGGTGGTTGACATGCTGCCGGGCATCCAGCAGACGTCTGCCCAGGCTTTTGGGACACTTTTCCTCCAGCTTACTGTTAACGATTTAGGAATCTGCTTGCCTATCACAAACACTGCCCAGGTACAAAGTCATGTCAGACCCCAGAGTTCAGTGTAGGAGTATTACGGTGACCTTTGTTCATACTGTTATGTTAGGTTAGTGCCCCATACCAGTATAGAGGCAGAGGCATGGCTCTAGAGCAGATGGAAAATCACAGTTTGAGTGAAACTTAGCCATCAATCCTTTTGATGCTGTGGAATAGCTCCTTAAAGTTTGACAAAATTATATGTGATAATTGAATTTATTTCAAGTGACTTAATTTTAAAACATAATGACTTCCCAATTTAAAGGTACTTTGAAGTTAACATTCCTATGCTTAGGCCTTTCTAAAGTTCATTTCTTTCAGTCTCTCAGGAGCAGAAATAAAAATGGTGCTCCCTTCTTGCCATGAAGGCTGCACTTGTAAGTTATCTTTCTTTTCTCTTTTGCATCTTCCTTATTTGCAGTCGAATCACACTGGTGACCTTGATACTGGCTCTGCTTTGGTATTGACCATTGAGAGTACTCTCATCACTGCCTGCTCTTCAGAGTCCCTCGTTAGTAAAGGTCACTTCAAAAATTTCTGCATCCGCTTTGCCGATGGCTTTGAGACAACTTGGGATGACTGGAAACCAGAAATTCGTGGGGATCTTGTCATGAATGCCTGTAAGTTCCTTACTTTTCATGGGGGTTTGAACTTAAAGGAAGAAAATGAGTCCCTCTTGTGGAAACCAGGTGGTCATGGAGATAGAGGCACATGTTAACCTTCTCTGCTGAAAAGGAGCTCTTGACCAAATTGGATATGAAGAGGTTTTTAAAGCTATTAAAATGCAAATTAGGCATGTGGAATTGCATGTGAGAATGCCATATATTCTTGTCTGAAGACAGTATTCATCCGTCTTCCTTGATTATCATCTAACAGTTGATTAATGAGCAGTCAGAAGTTCCAGCACCCAGCAGACAGTCGTATTGACACTAAGTCTGTTACCCTATTTAATTCTATTTCAGGTATAAATAACACCAACTTTCCCAATTTGTGATTTCAGTGGCATATTATTTTAAGTATGACTTGGAAGGATTCTTACATTTCCACAATATTTCCCAGGATGAGGAACGAATGGGAATTGAATTCTTGAAATCTGAATTTTATAAGTGCAGAAAGAAACCATAAAGAGCATCTAGTTAAACACCTTCACTTTTACACTTTAGAAAAATGAAACCCAGAGAGGAAAAGCAATTTGCATGAGGTCACCCAGCACCCACTTGTCAGGGCTTTTGTAGGTCCTATCTGTAAAGTGCTGTGCAGACCTTAACACACTAAGTGAATGCTAAGTATCCTCATCATTATTATTTATAGTTAGTGGTTTGGTTTGGTTTACTTTTAGACAGTCATCTTTCTAGTGAGAGTGTAAGCAAAATGTCTTACCACAAGGTTAGTCGTGGTGTCAGAAAAGCTTATGTAATGTGGTTTTGTTTTCTTGATCTCTAGGCGTGGTGCCCGATGGCACTTACGAGGTCTGCTCAAGGACCACCGGGCAGGCAGCGGCTGGTAAGGGGACATCTTTTTTGTTACACGAGCTCTTTGTAGAATTTTGTCTTGATCTCGTCTTCGTGCTGCGTTAGTTAAATTCATGTTGCTGGTGTTGTTTTTGAACTTGCCTATTCTGTTATAACATGAATATCTTTCCACATTTTAATTCCTTCAGTAAATACTTACTGAAAAGTTAGTCAAGTTCTGGGTCAAGTGCTGTGCTGGAGATTTAAAAAATGAATAAGCTATTCCTTGTTCTCAGAAAGTTTACAATCAAATAAGGGAGCTGAGACACAGACAAATAACAGTAATACAAAGTCGTATGTGATCAATGCCAAATACAAAGTTCTGTAGGAGTTTAGAAGAAGGAAGAATAGCCTGACTGGGGATACCAGGGAAGGCTTCATGGAAGAGAGGGCATTTGAGCTGTGCTCCAAAGAATAATTCAGATTGGCATAGAGGGAGAGAGAGTAGAAGAAAGACTCTTCTAAGGAGAGAGAAATCACTGGAGAAAGATGGAGATGAGAACGCGTAACATGTGTTGAATGATCAGGAAGCAATCTGATTATGTGCACACACGCATAATGTGCATGCACACACATGCATGTGTACCTGTAAAGACACATGTGTATGTACACATCCCTGACTGCGTGTGCGTGTGCAAACACAGTCATGTACTTACTTTGCTGCATAGTTGTAGTCAGTGTGTATATATTGTAGTTTTAGTTCTCCCCCTTGCTTCCACTTTGTGTACAGCTCCTCTTATTTCTTTGAATCCATCGTGTCTTATTAAGTAATAATATTCCATTACATTCATATTACTAAATTTATTCAGCCATCTGTGAATTCTTGGGCATAGAGTTTACGTTTTGTTATTACCAAGCTTGCTGATAGAAACATTTGTATGCAAGTGTTCATAAGGTGGAAATTTAAAAGTGGAATCATTAGGTCAAAGGTCGAAGCATTTTTATAACTCTTACTGCCTAATTCCATGTTGCTTTCCAAAGAGTCACAGCTCTGAATAATTCAGAGCTACTGAGTTTTGCAGAAAATGTGCCAACCTGCAGTTGGCAGATGGAGTCAGAGAGATACAAAAGCACCTAAGTTGAGGACTGTTTGCGTTTGAAGCCTTGAGACAGTCCAAATTTGTGTGTTTAATTTTCAAAGACAGCGCAGAATGCAGTACATAATGCTGACTTTTTCTAGTCAGTATGGCCAGTGTATATAATAGTCAAAAGCAAAAGGACAATTTGCAGCTAGATTTTGGACTGACTTGGTCATTCTGAGGAAAGATAAAATGAGAGATTTGTAAAACTTTTTGCAAAACTTAAAGAGCTATGTAAATGACACCTATTAGTATTAGCGTTAAATCTGGACTTTATTTGGTAAGTAATGTGGTACTGAGGTTTCTTGAACGAGGGCAGCACTTTAAGAAAATTCTCTTGTTCTGGATAGCTAGGGTGAACAGGAGGGTGGAGTCAGGGCCTCTGTCTCCTGGGAGCAGTACAGGTTTGAGGTAATAATGACCTGAGCTAGGGAAGTCTGATATAATGGCCGTAATATAATTGTGTGTCTTGTTATGGTGAAGAGGCACCATTTGATGTAGTATGCAGAGAGGCAGCCATAGAGCCAAGAAGACCTGAGTTAAAATCCTGCCTCTGACGTGTCCTGGCTCTCCAACCTCTCTCCTCTCTAGGCAACTCCAAGACTATTTTTTGCAGAAAATGTGCCAACCTGCAGTTGGCAGATGGAGTCAGAGAGATACAAAAGCACCTAAGTTGAGGACTGTTTGCGTTTGAAGCCTTGAGACAGTCCAAATTTGTGTGTTTAATTTTCAAAGACAGCGCAGAATGCAGTACATAATGCTGACTTTTTCTAGTCAGTATGGCCAGTGAGCTCAGCTGTGGCACACATAGCCAGCATGTCTTTTTTTCATTCATTCTGTCATTTGTATTCATATGGGTAAAACCTGCAAAAACTGCATCTTCCTTCCCTCTTTGAACAGAAAGTAGCAGTGCTGGGACCTGGACACTCAATGTGTTGTGGAAAATGTGTGGAATTGACGTCCACATGGATCCTAACATTGGGAAGAGGCTGAATGCTCTGGGGAACACCCTGACCACCTTGACGGGAGAGGAGGATGTGGACGACATTGCTGACCTCAGCTCAGTGAATATCGCCGATCTGTCGATGAAGATGAAGCGGACACGATGTCGCCTACTGTGCACGCTGTGAGTCACCCCAGTTGTGCTGGGATGTCTCAGACATTGGCCTTACCTAGTGCCAAGGGCAGCGCTGGCTCCAGGTCCTTGGCCATGATGTACTCAGTACCGCAGAGCCGTCTGCTCATCGACTTGGTGTTTCTGCTTCCTCGGGCCTTTGGGTCTCCCAAAGTGAAAACCCAGAGTGAAAAAATAAGTTTATATCTGGAGGGTCAAGTTGTTAGGATTCATTAGCTAAATTTAAAAAATCATTGTTTTCATTCTGATTTAAACAAAATGGATTTTTTAGAACAATTAGTGTTGTGCCATGAAATTGCTTCTGTTTGCAGGAGAGAAGGAAGAAACTAATTGTGCTGTTTATCATTTAGAATTCAGGTGGAAGTTCAGTATGTGGAGATGGCGACAGGCTCACCTTTGGGCAGCGCCTTGTAAATCACCTGCTGGGACTGACGCCCCACAATCAGCACTCTTCTGTCCCTGCAGAATATCTGTTTGGATCAGAGACGGGTGCTGCCTTTCAGTCCAGCCAGAAACATACGAAAGCATGCAGGGCTCACTCATGGGGAAATGTAGGTGGTAATCAAAGAGTCTGAGTGAACACGATCAGACGTAGATCACTAACGAATCTCTAATTGGCCTTCTTGATAGATTCTCCTGATTCTGGCATGCTCTTTTTGATTTGAGGTGTTAATTTTGTATTAGTCTGGATACACTTTTTCGTAATGGGAGAGGCGTTCACAACTATGTGTTTGATCTTTCAGGAAGTTGTAGATTATCGAAGGCAAGGAGCGTCTTGTACCCAGTCGGGAGAACTGAGAGGCAGGAAGATCATGAAGCGCATTGTGGACATCAGGGAACTGAATGAACAGGCCAAAGTAATTGATGATCTCAAGTACGTGCAGCTGGTTGGTGTTATTTTCATTGCTGATTCTGGTAAGAGTAGAGTCAGACTCTGACACGGAAAGAACTTTGAAGATGCGATTGCTCAGCCCCTTTCTTTTACACATGAAGAAACCAGGGAAGGGGCCAAGAGGTTGAGAGACTTGTTCAGAATAACACGACTAGTAAATTAAGATCCAGGGATTGGAACCCAGGTTTTTTGACTCTTCCACCAAATTACTTCATTGAAGACCTTACCTCTCTCTCTTTTTCCCCCCAATATATTTTCATTTACTTCATTAAATAGTTCTCAATTACATGTAAAAAAATTTTTAACATTTGTCTTTTTAAAATTTTGAGTTCTAAATTCTCTCCATCTCCCCCCATCTTCTTGAGAAGGCAGGCAGTTTGATACAGATTGTACATGTGAAATCATGCAAAACATATTTCTGTATTAGCCATGTTGCAAAAGAAAGCACAGAGAAAAAAATTAAGAAAATGAAAAAAATGTGATTTGATTTGCATTCCAACTCCATCGGTTCTTTCTTTGGAGGTGGATAGCATCCCTCAGAATTGTCCTAGATCATTGTGTTGCTGAGAAGAGCTAAACCATTCACAGCAGATCATTGTAATATTACTGTTAACGTGTACAGTGTTCTGGTTCTGCTCATTTCACTTTGCATCAGTTCATTTAAGTGTTTCCAGGCTTCTCTGAAACCATGCTGCTCATCATTTCTTACAGCACAATAGTATTCCATTACATTCATGTACCATAGTTTGTTCAGCCATTTCCCAGTTGATGGGCATCCCCTTGATTTACAATTCTTTCATCTCGCAATAATGATTAGCAATTATGTAACACTTTAAAGTCTTCAAAGCCTTATGTTTGGGTTTGTGTATATCCATGTACATATACATATATGTATACATTGCATAAACATGTACATATATACATACATACATATGAGATAGGTGCTCTTATTCCCATTTTATAGATTAAGAAACTGAAATATACAGAAGCTAACTTAGTAAAGTCAGATTTGAACTCAGGACTTCCTTCAAAGTCTAGCGCTTTATACAGATGCATATCTTTGCAACACGTAGCTCCTATTACTGTTATCATTTAAATATGTTGAATGCAAATTTTTCATTTCCCAATATCATACCGTTTTCTTGTAAGGTAAAATTCTCAAGCCCTGTGACAACAGTTGCCCAAGAATGAGGTACTGAAAAAGGAGAGCACAATTCCTTATGTGTCTAATGCCTATATAATGGTGTCCTAACTTGGGACTTCCAGTCCTTCAGGAACTGAGAGAAATTATCAGATTCAAGGAAAATGTACGCTTCATGAAGATGAGTGTGCCATTCATCTCTGTGCACTAGAAATGTATTAACTGCTTGGCAAATCAAAGACTGTTCAGAGAGCTCCATTTCACTTTAATTTGCTAAATAGTTATCAAAAGGAGAAAGTGGAAAGCATCCCCTCCTTTTGTAAGTGCTTAGTAATAGTAAAAATATTTGTTGCACTGGTTTTTCTTGCAGAAAACTGGGTGCAAGTGAAGGAACCATAAACCAAGAAATTCAGCGATACCAACAGCTAGAGTCTGTTGCAGTGAATGATATTCGTAGAGATGTCCGCAAGAAGTTGCGCAGATCCAGCATGCGAGTGAGTAAATGTTTAAGAAACTTTAAGAAGAGAAACACAAAATGTTCCTAAACTTTTAAATATATTGAAGGAACAGGTGATTTTATAAAGTAAATAAATGTATTATGAAGTAGGTAATTTCTGGTTCTGGAAAAATGGGTTTTTCTGTCCTGGACAGGAATGCAGCACCCTAGTACCATCATCTCACGCAGGTGATATTCCCCCCATTGGCTTCCTCATCTGTGTTCTTCCACAGGTCCACCATAGGATCCACCCAACATGGTGGAATCCCTTTTCTAGCCTCTTTTCTGACATTGTGTGGATACCAATAAGACATGCAGCCTTGTCTTTCTGTTGTCTTTCCTTCCCACTGCATTAGCTGCCCACCTGCTCCTTCAAAGATACATTTCTTCAGTGGTGCCCCTCAGGCGTCTTCTTCACGAGCCCTCACATTTTATTGGCAACGTTCTACAACCTGTTTGTAGCCACCCTCTATCTCTCCTCTGGCCTTTGGGCCATCCTCAACTTTGATTCATCAGAGATTTGGGTGTTTCAAGGTTCATATCTAGGAAAACCTTTGTATTAAAGAGATGGTTTTGTGCCAGGATGTGACTCAGGATCATCCCAAGCGCTGGGCCGAGTCTCAAATGTAATTAGGCCTGCTCTCACCTTCTTAAGTACAGCGTAAAACACTTATGTTCCAAATACGTGTACTAATTTAATTCACAGCCCTTTCAGCTACAGAGTATAATCTGAATTATGTCGTTTTTCTTGTGTGCGTTTATTAAGCTCCTACTCTGTGCCAGGTGCCATCTTGGGCCCTGGTGATACAAAGACCAAAAAAAAGAAACCATCTGTGCTCTGAAGGAGCTTACATTCAATCCAGGGAGACAGCGTGTACATATATAAATATATGCCAAATAAATGCAAAATAAACACAAACTGATTATGGAGATCAGGAAAGGCTTTATGTAGAAAGTTGTGTGTGAGGTACCCCGTGGAGAAAATGAAGGATTCTAAGGAAGAAGTGAAAAAGAGTGCATTTGAGATGTGGGGAGACAGCCAGTACAAAGGCATGAAAACAGGAAATGGAGAGCAGAAGGGGAATAATGTGCAAACTCCCTGGAAAGGTAGTTTTGGGCGACAATGTGAGAGGCATTAAAAGCCAATCAGGAATTTATATTTTGTCCTAGAGGCAGTAGGGCACTACTGGAGTATATGGAAGAGGAGAGGGTCATGGTCATATCTGAGCTTAAGGAAAATCATTGTAGCAGCTGTGTGGAGGGGGGTTGGAGCACAGAGACCCTGGAAGCAGAGAGATCCCTGGGGAGTACATTGCAGTAGCCTGGGAGGAAGGTGATGATGGTGGCCTGCACTGAAGCTGTAGCTCTCTTAGTAAAGAGGAGGGGTCAGAAACAAGAGCTGTGTTTAAGGTAGCAGTGGAGTCCAAGGTAATGCAACTGTAAATCTGGGCTACTGGAAGAATGGTGGTGACCTTGACAGAAAGAGAAGTTCAATAGAGAGAGATTTGGGGGGGAAAAGACAGTTTAATTCAGCTTTGGGCATGTTGATTTGGAGTTGTTCTTGGAACACGTAGTTTAAAATTTCTGGTAAGCAGCTAGAAATGCATTAGTCACTCATCTTTAGGACCACAGGAGAGAGATCAAGGACAGACTGATAATCTGGGAGTTATGGCATAAAGAATAAAGTTAAACCCATGCGAGCTGATGAGAAAAGACTTTATGAGTAAGATTTTATGAGAAAATCTGGTTTATTCTGTCTTATCTTAGCTTGGTCTTCACTACATCAAGGCTCCCACTTCAACCTCCCATGCCACTCACTCTTCCCAACCCCTCAAGTGGAAGTCTTCACCTCTTACTTCACTGAAAAGAAAATGAGGCCATTTGCCAAGAGCTCTTTCTTCCTTCTTCCTCATCCCCGGTCCAGCTGACTCCTAATTTCTGCTCCTTTATGCCAGCCTCAGAGGATGACGCCACAGCCAGCCACTCTTCATGTGCCCTTGATCCTAACCCCTCCCATCTTCTTTAGCAGATTGCATCTGCCAATATCCTCATGCTTTATAATCTTCTGTCTTTACTGACTGCTTCTCTGCTGCCTGCAGACAGAGCCAAATCATCTGTAGCCTTGAAAGAGCTTCACATCATCCTATCATCCTACTTTTCTCTCCTCCTCAGTTAAACTTGAAAAAGCTGTCTCTACTTGGGGCCTCCATTTCCTCTCCTTTCTCTTGTAAACCCTCTGCAGGCTGCCTCCCAGCCTCATCGTTCATCTGAAGCTTCTCTTCCCAAAGTGCCTTGTTAAGTGCCAAATCTAATGGCTTCTTAGTCTTCATCCTCAGACGTGGTTGGACACCTCTTCCTGGGTACGTACCCTCTTCTGGACTTTTGTACTCTCTCTTGTTCTTGTGATGATTTAAAAAGTTCAAGAGACATCGTTTCTGAGTGATTTGATTATTTTGTTAATAAGGCCAGCAGGTTATTAACAAAAGAATAGTTATTTGGCTGTCTCTCTTAGACCAAAGACCCAATGGCGGTGGGATCACAATTTATCCGCCCTTCCAAGAGGACGTATTAACTATGGGATGCCTAATCGCCTCTGATTGGTTAATCAGATGGGAGGTGGGCTGTCATAGGGTACGTGACTTAGGTCTCTCAAATCTTGGTCAAAGAGCCTTCAGTTTCCGTATCACCTGTCTTGATAATAGAGATAATCAACATTTTCCCAGGACCTGTCTGAGCAAACACAATGAGCAGGAATACACCCATTAGCCTAAACTGAGAATGTCTTTTGCTCTCTGATTAGATCTTGGCCTGGGTAAATCTTTGAGAGATTTCCCATATTTTTGATTTCTGAATGAGGAAGTAGAAAAGAGGAAAAACTTTGGTCCTAATACAATAATTAGTTATGAAACATAAGAGACAACTATTCATTTCTCACATTCTTCTCTGGCTTTCTTACTACCTCTCCACTGCTCTGTCCTTTGCCTTCTTTTCTCTGTCTCTGTCTCACTTGGGGATCTTATCAGCTCCCATGGGGTTAATTATTATCCCTACACAGATGACTCTCAGATCTATTTTTCCAACCCTTTTCTCCTGAGCTACTTACGGTCACACATCCCCAAATGCCTCATGTGTATCTCAGCCAAGATGTCCTGTAGGCATCTCAAATTCAGTGTGTGTAAAACAGAGCTCCTCTTTTCTCCTCCGCTGTCCCCTCTTCTGAACTTCCCCTTTACCGCTGAGGATGCCCCATTCTTTTGTCCCCCAGATTCACAGCTGTGTTGTCATCATTCCCAAATCTTGTTTCTTCTAAATCCGAAGCACTTGTAGACATCTGCTTACTCTCCTCACACGGCTGCCACCCTAGTTCAGCCTGAGATGGTGAATAACCTCTCTCCTGGATTTTGGCAGGAACCCTCAGTTATTCTCACTTCTTCAAGTCTCTCTCTACTCCCAGTCCACCCTCCCCTCAGCTGGCAAAGTGACTTTCACAAAGGGTAGGTCTGACTCTGTCACCCTCTTCTTTCTCTCTCCTGCCTTGACTCGTTCTCCCCTCCTTGCAGTCACATTGGCACATTGCTGATTAGGAGTCCCGAGGTGGGGGGGGTAACCTTGGTTTGAGAGACCTGTGCTTTTACCACTCAGAGCTGTAGTTCTTGAGCTTCCATTGGAGTGTTTCCAGTTTAATTAAGTTGCCCGAGATGACACCATCAGCTTTTTAAAATTATTAGTAGACACTATTAGTAGACAAATAGACCCTATCAACTCTTAATCAGAAACTTTTACTGAAGAGAAAGCAAAACGTGAATAATCACAAACTAGCATCCCCTCATGCCCTCCCCCAACCCGGAGAATTCATAGCTCATCAAGGAGATTAAAAATGAGAGGAAGGCCATTTTTTATTCACTTATCCTCTTACGCATCTTTTTCCTTTTTCTCTACCCTCAATCCTAGACCTACAGGTGATATATATTGTGATACTGTTTAGCTTTGCTGATTGTATTTGGGAATTGTCCTATATTGTATTCTCATCAACTTTTCACTTGTTCGTTTCTTACTCCTAAGCAACTGAACCTTACCTTTCTGAGTAGAGAATATGATTCTTGGAGTGTTTCTATTGTAACAAAATTCTGCTTCTTGGAATACAGTGGAGTCATGTGTCATGAAACCTGTAGTCTTCATTGACCATCTTTTTTTGTAATTTTTAAAAATTCACAATACATTACAGTGTCTTTAATTTATCACTGATTAGTCTTGAAAATAATAAGTAGAATTTCATTCTTTGTGTTAGAGAAAAAAAATTTTAAGTAATCAATAATTTACAAAAATGCTATTTTTTTATCCCTTTTATCAGGCTGCTTCCCTGAAGGACAAATGGGGTCTAGGCTATAAACCCAGTTATAGCCGGTCAAAAAGTATTGCTGCTTCGGGAAGACCACCTCTTAAAAGAACAGAAAGAGCGAGGTAATGGGTTGAAATAGATGAGAACTGATGGGTTAGCTAATAAAATTGTGGTCTCCAATAATAGGTTATTGACTGTGAACTATGCCCTCCGTTCCCCTTCTAAAACCTGTTGGTTGTGCTCCAAGAAGTAAGGGAAAGCATGACTTTTTTTCGGATGGAGAACAAGATATTTGATTAGACAAATAACAGTACTGGTGTTTGTTGCCAAATTTTAAAATGAAATTTATAGTGTTGTGTATCAAGTGCAGGAGGACCTGAAAATGGGTGTTTTAAACTGGTAGGCACCAGAATGTCTAGTTGAAGAACAATTTGTGTGAGGAAACACAGATATATTTTTAGTCTTTATGTCTGTCTACACAGAGATACACACAGTTATTGCTAGAATAGATATTCTATCTAATAGGAGCATATAAAGTAATATATGTTCTGTCTAAAAGGAAAACTTATATGTTCCTGGAGCGACATGGCATGATTAGCATCACCTTTTTTTAAGTGAAGCAAGTGTGGATGGTTTGTGGTCTGGCTCTATAAAATCACAAGGTTTAGCATGATGTAAAGAGCTCTAGGGCTTTTATGATTTAGTTTCTAATTCTTGCTCCATCTCTGATTACTATTATGACCTCGAGGAAGGCAATACTTCTGGGTCCTTGTGTCCCATCTATAAAAGGAAGTGGTTGGACTAGGTGAATATAAAGGTCCTTTCTAGACCAAACTTTCTCCAAGTGTCTGTTGATTCTTATTGAAGTGATAATACCAAAATGAAATCAGTGAATGATGCCAACTTTGAGGCCTAGAATGGTAATGTAGTTGCCTGTCTCCTTTCTAAATTTCAAGCAGAAAATTCTAGTATTTAATGTTTGTCTCTTTTATATTTGGCTTACAGTTCTCGATTGGGAGAAAATGAGGACCTCCCAGAAATCCGTGTAGATGCAGCATCTCCTGGACCCAGAGTAACTTTCAATATCCAGGACCCAGTAAGAGAAATCCTACACGTTATCTGTTAGAGCTGGGAACAGTTTGACAGCTTTTGGTAACTTCAGTGACAATTTAAAAACAAGTATATGCCATTTTAAAAGGCACACAACAGAGTACAGGCCAGAGGTTCTCAGACTTTTTTAAATTCACAGAGATCGACTTGGACAAATATTCTGCAGTCCATATAACTAACCTGCTTCCATTTGTTATAAACACCAAAAAACAGTGCACTGAAATTATTGAGAAAATGAAATTTGTTTATGGCAAAGTAGGATTTGGTTCCTATGAAACCACAGTTTCTTGACAGAAACACAAAGTTTATCATATTATAAACTAATACTATGAGATATTGGCTAACAGACCACAAATGGTCATTAGGAACACTTTGAAAACCAATCTGTGATAACTACCAGTTAGCAAAAAAATTTTTTCAGTTGATTACCTTTCCTTTTAGGTAAATATCCACTTCAAGCTATGACAGCTTTTTGCATGATTGCATCTGTAATTATCTGTGTTGTCAGAGGTTAGTAGGTATGTGACTTCAAGCATATAGATCAGATGTAGAGGTAAAGTGAATTTGGGGTCAATGTGAATATTGTCCAAGTGACCATCACACTGCATGTGAGAACTGAGGCGAAGACGTTTGTTTCTTTCTGATCACCGTGCGTTTTGTGAAGTAACTGCTGTTTTCATTTTATGAGTTTTGTTAATTTTTTTCTTTGTCATTTTAATTAAGTTGAATAATACAGTTTGGGGGAATGCACAACAATCCCGATGTCCAGGGGAAGTGTATTTTAAGGTACTGGTAAAAGAACACGAATTATGCTATAAACCTAATTAACTTTCCGCAAAATCTGTTTTCAAATTATCTTCCTCTTATTTCAGACTAAACTCAGATTTTAAAAAAACTTTACAAAGAATTTTTAAATTCCTCTAATAATTTCATGTGTACATGACACCATGTATAATTCATATAGTACACACACGTAGGAAGTTAATTAACAGCTTTTTAAATTTTTTTAATATTAATTTAATATTTTTAACATTAGACATCCCTCCTTTTAATTTTTATGATTTACAAGTCAAGGACTTGAGCAAATACAAATATTGAACCAAAAAATGGAAGCAAACTCTACCAGTTTGGTGAATCCCTTACTAGATCCAATTATCATCATCATCATCACCATCATCATCACTAACTCCTTCAACCCAAGGCAGAAAAAAATCCATCTGTAACTGAGTAGAGAAGTCCTTAGGAGTTCCCTGAACCACACACAGGTTAAATGACTTGCCCAGTGTGCCACGTAGCTACAAGAGCTAGATGTGATAATAGCTATAATAGTAAACAAATGTTTATGTAACATTTACTGTGTGCCAGGCACTGTGCTAATAAGAGTTTTACAACTGTTACTTCACCTGATCTTCGCAGTAGCTCTGGGAAGTAGGTGGTGGTGTTATGCTCATTTTACAGATGAGGAAACTGAGGTAAGCAAAGGTTACATGACTTATCCAGGGTCAGACAGGTAGTAAGTGTCTGAGGCTGGAATTGGACTCAAATCTTCCTAACTCCAGGTTCAACGCTTTATTCGTGGTGCCACCTAGCTGCCCCTTGTAAATATCAGAGGTCCAAATTTGAACCCAGTTCTTCCTGGCTGTAAACCTGGGGTTATCCACTACCGTGCTACCTTTTGTCCTAATAATACATGTCACAGTATCAAATATAATCTTTAAAATAGACAGACTTTCAACATATAGAGAGATCTAGAAGAAGAATTTAAAACAAGGTGGGATCAGAACAGTGTGTCATTACCCTCATCCAATATGCTGAATAAATCTCCCGGAAGATGATCTTAGAGTCTGATAAGTCTTTTTTCATTATAAAGGGCAGTTATCTTACCCACTCAGTAGTCCACAGAACATTTAAACATAAAAGAGTAATAGCCAGATAGCTACTTGTCCTCTGACCGTTTCTGTCAACTCCATCCATTAGTCATCCATAGGAGAATAATAACAAATATGAAAGAGTAATAGCAGGATAGAGACTTATCCAAGAAGAGTTTTTAATATGAACTCTCAAAAGAGGTAAGAAGGAAATGAGTAGTGGTTAATGAAGTGAGCTTGAAATGTGACTCTTCCCTTTTGTCTGATAAATGAAGTGAGATCATGCAGCTGTTAGAGGGTAAAGTCAGGTCACAGAAAAGCAAAATGACTGTAAAACCCTATGGTTGTCAACAGGAGAAATAAAGCAAACTGTTTAAAAATTATATCAATTTAGAGCCAGAAGAGGCCTTTAGATATTATCTTGTCAAATTCGAATGTTATGCTTGTATCGTTTTTATATATATATAAAATAGATTTATTTATATAGACATCATGTGTATTTTATGTAATATATAATATATACATATGAGATTATATATTACATATGTAGGGTTTCCCAAAGATCTTAGTGTAGTTTTAAGATTTGATGGTTATATATACATACATATATATGTGTATGCACATAAAACATATATATATATATACACACACACACACACATATATGCATATATACACATATGTTTGTGTGTATATTCATCTCTCTATATCAATGTATGTGCTTATGTATATAAAAGCCTCACATTTTAAAAAAAACCTTAAATTTATTTGAACCATAAATAAAAAAAATAATAAATAAAACTCAAAAACTTAAATAAAAAACTCAGATGAGCTGCAAGAGTTTGGTGGGTCTGAATAGAAGTGATGGCTCAAGATTTTGCTTTTAAGTAGAAATATACCCCATTTGAAGAACATAACGTACATATATCTAAACTTGAAAATAGTTAATTTAACAACGATTTGTATAACAAAAGCTTTCGCAGAGTTCTTTTAAATCATGAGCTTCCAAATGAGTATAAAACATGATTTGGTATACAAAAACACAAAGTTAGACTTCCGTTCAAGAGCACACGTCTTCTAAAGTGAGGTCCACCTGCATCTGAGAATGGTTTGAAATCACAGTGTAGCCAGTCCATCATTTAATCAGTAATAACTTTAAGTGTCATGGAGCACTTCATATTTCTGATGGAAGTGAACATTTTTACGTTTTATAAATGGTAAGTTACACAACCACTTGACTACTTTATCTTTTTCAAATGTTGATTTTATGTTTACAAAACAACAGTTAAAATTACTGCCATGAGATTACCAAAAATTCCACAGTGACACTGCATGCTCTTCTTTCACCAGCTCACCCTTCTGCATTTCTGATCTACAAGTGATTATATACTTACACTGTTGCTTCTGCATGTCTCATTTTGCTTTAGCTTAAAAATTAGCATTTTCCATTTGTCATTTATTGACATAAGGCGAATTTTCAGTCTGTTTACTTCAGAATGCAGTGATCGTGTAACATTGCATTTTCCTCCCTCTTTTAAAACATGTACAGTGTCTCAAAAGTTTTAATGCAGTGTTAAGCTTTAATAACTATTAAAGATAATACCTGTTAAGTTGAGACACGCACATGCATAGATATGTGCATGTATGTGCATGCATGTAAACACACTCATTTCATGCATTCATAAGTCTGCTGGTTTTTTCTAATCAAATTGAGGAACTTTAACTTGCAGAGATTTGTCATTGAGAAATGTATGAATTTTAATAATGTCTTTGTGCCACCAGTTTCCTGAGGAAACAGAATTGGACCTTTTGTCAGTAACCATTGATGGACCGTCACAGTACTCATCAACCAGTGAAGGATCGTGCTCCGTGTTCAGTTCGCCGAGAACTCCGGTTGTCTTCTCACAAGGCATTCCTTTCCAAAGTGAAGAGGGGAGACGGGACGACAGTTTGTCTTCTTCCAGTGAAGATTCAGAAAAAGATGAAAAGGAGGATGACCATGACAGGGAAAGGCTCTATTTTTACAGGAAACCCTCGTAAGTAGTTACTTGTTTATTTTTATTTTTAAAAAAATATTTCTAACATTTATGACAGAGCCCTAAAACCATATGTGAAAGTGTGAAAGTCTGGAGTTGCAGAATTAATAGCTTTTTGTGGATTTATTTTGTTGACTGCCTGTGACTTTGCTGAAGCTACTAATTACATCAGTTTGTCTTCTGATTCCTTAGGATTTTCTGAGTAAACCATTATATAGTCAGCACATGGAGATGGTTTTGTCTCTTCTTTGCCTGTCTTTGTTCCTTTATTTTCTTTGTCTTATTGCTGTCACTATAACTATGACAAGTAAGTACGTAAAGGGGGCATCCTTTCTTTACTCTCCTGTTTTTAGTGGGAAAGCATCAAGTATTTCCCCATTGTGTATAATGCCGGCCTTTGGTTCTAGATACTTTTTACTGTATTTAAAAAAAGATCCTTCTTTGCCCATACTTTGTAAGTTTTTAGTGTAAACAAATGTCATCCTTTATCACAGTCTTTCTCTGCATGTTTTGCTATAAATGTAGTTTTAGATTTTTTTTCCTAGTATGATTAATGTTTTTCTTAATGTTTAAACTTTTTTGCATCCTTAGCACAAATCCAACTTCATCATGCCAAATCATTATTTTGTTTTTTTTTAATAAATTGCTATTATCTCTTTGCCAGAATTTTATTTTAAATTTTGCAATCTATTCAGTAATGATATTGGCCTATAGTTCTCTTTCTCTGCTTTATCCTTCCTTTGTTTAGAAATTAAGAATGTGTTTGCCTTATAAAATGAGTCTAATAAAAGACTCAGTTTTTGAGAATGATTGAGTATAAGTATTAATAAACTATAGGTAATTTATAATCTGTATATAGGTATTAGTTGTTCTTTAAAGTTCTGCTACAACAATCCATCTGGATCAGTATTTCTTTGTTCTTTGGTAAGTCCTTTACAGCGAGTTCATTTGTCTTTTCTGAGATTGGATTGGATTTTGCATTTGCTTTGTGTTTTTTTTTAGGCATTTTATATTTTTGTACGTAAATAATAGGTCTTGAGAATTTTCAGTTTGCCTGGCCGCTTTCACACTGTCCGGTTAGAAGGAAAACAGGAAGTAGGATTATTTCCAGTAGCACAAGTTAGCCCTAAGTAGTATAGACGAAGCTTCCTTTCCCTCTGTTGTAAATATCTAGAACATTAATATCATTTTAATTTGTACCTCAGCCTTGAGAAAGGCTGATTTTCTTTTCGTCACTCCCTACACTTGGACCTATCTTACAATTTCTCATTCTCCCTTCAGAGAGGGCTCCAAACCCATCAATCGCAGAACCTGTTGGAAGTGCCCTCAGAGGCCATCTAGGCCAGAAAAGCCATAAGTCAGGTGTAATCAACAAGCTGCATTAGGCCCACACTGTCCAGCCACGGTGCTCAGCACTCCGTATGCCAGGAGAACGAGCAGAACGGTCCCTAGCCCAAAGGAGCTCACATCTGAACGGGGGGGATGTTTTGGGAGGAAAGGCCTCGTGTGGAAGAGGATGCTTGGGACAAGAGGGATCCTATGAGGGGGTGCGTTCCAAGCCTCTGCCAAGCCACAGGCAGAGACGGGGCGGCATCAGGACAGAACAGAGGGAGGGTCAGTTTGGCTGGATCTCAGAATATGCGATGGGGGGGCATAGGTGATGGACCTTGAGGGGACCAGGATGGGAAGGGCTTTAAATGCTAAAGAGAGGAGTTTTTATTTTTCGTAGAGGCAAGAGGGGAGCCACTGGAGTTTATGTGTCAGATCTACCCTTAAAGAAAGCCACTTTGGCAGCAGTGTGGACAAGAATGGGGAGAGACTTGAGGCAGGAAACCAGTTGAGGCTATGGCAATAATATCAGTGCAAGGCAGCAAGGACCTAACCAGGGGTGCGGAACCTGTGGGCCGGAGGCCACATGCGGCCCTTTGGTCCTTAAGTGCGGTCCTTTGACTGAATCCAGACTTCACAGAACAAATTCTTTGATTAAAGGGATCTTTTTATTGAGGACATCCCATTTGAAGTGTCCAATAGGTGATTGGTCTGAAGCTCAAGGCAGCCTGGGCCTGGATAATGGTGACTCTAAGTCCTCTGTCTGGGAGATCGTTAAACCCAGTGGTGAGGTGAGCAGAAAAGCAAGTATGGGCCTAAAGAAAGAGAAAACGGCGGACAGGTGTCATGGGCCTTTCTGGGAATGTGGCACCGGCGCTAAGCACAGTGGCTACCTAGATGTGGGGTGCCCAGGGCAGAAAAGAGCAGGGCTCTCCTATCCAGAGCCTCCCTGCTTGATGCCAACGTCTTGGCTTTCAGATCCTACAGTTGACTCACTGACGTTCTAATCTTCTGAAGTCCCAGCTTCTTTTCACAAGAACTGCTGTCTAGTCATGCCTCCTCCTAAATTATATTTGGGAAGGGGCGGCTAGGTGGCGCAGTGGATAGAGCACCAGCCCTGGATTCAGGAGGACCTGAGTTCAAATCCAGCCTCAGACACATAACACTTACTAGCTGTGTGACCCTGGGCAAGTCATTTAACCCCATTGCCTAGCAAAAACAAAAACAAACAAACAAACAAAAATTATATTTGGGAAGTTAATTATTTGGATCCACACATTTATTTTTATGGCCTGGTATTTCATGATGCATGCTGAAATGTGCTATTTTAGCTATTACTTTCCATGTATAGGAATCTTAGTGTCTTAGAATGGTCCTACTTACTGCTCATTATGGTTCAATGAATTTTAGTTTATATGAATTTGTAAAATATATGAGTAGAAAAATATTAGCACTATGTTAACTGTCATAGGTTTTTAGAAATATTTTATAATATTTGATTTGATGAGTAACTTTATGAGTAAATTTAATGAGTGAATGTTGTTTTGTAGGCATACATCCCGCAAAAAAGCAACAGGCTTTGCTGCTGTGCATCAGCTATTTACTGAACGTTGGCCAACAGCGCCTGTCAACAGGAATCTGAGTGGCACAGCCACAGAGAGAAATATTGACTTTGAACTTGATATTCGAGTTGAGATTGATAGTGGAAAGTGTGTCCTGCATCCAACAACACTTCTGCAGGAACACGATGACATGAGCTTGAGGAGGTGAGAGGCCGGCATCCTTCACTGTCTTCACGCTTGAATTAAGGGGGGGGGGGGGCTGCCCAAATTTAACTTTAGTGTTTTAAACACAAATTAAATATAAATGGTTCTTATCATTCAAACTTCTAAACAGTGGTGTGTGACATTTTATGGCAACTTGAATTCAGATAGCAATTTAAATGGGTGTCACGAATAGTCTTCTCATTGGTGATTTTAATAATGTCCATACTTCTGAAAAAATGTGAATGAATGCAGTCACTGTGATTTATCTTTACTTGTTAGAATGGACCGGATGACATTGCCTATGGGAAGGCTATCCTGAGTGTCTTGGAATTTGGTAGTTCAGTTGTGGTCTTGAATCTTTTTCAAGAAGGACTAAGAAAAGATGATCAGATTGGGCAGCTAGGAAATTGTTGAAAGAGCAACGTCCATTGAGTGATGGAGTCAGAGGCCAGATCCCAAAGGTCCAAGAAATGAGTGAGAGAAGAAGTTGGCAGTCAGTGGAGACGGAACTTTTTCTGGAAACGTGATGTGAATGATAGGAAAGATCTAGACAAGGACAGCTTCACCTCATGGTGAAGCAGGAGTTCTTAAAGATGGTAGAAACGTTGGCGTGTTTGTAAGCAAAAGGGAATGACCCTGTAGATTGAAAGAATTAATGATGGAAGAGTCAGAGAGGGCCCACCTGAGAGGAAATGATAGAATATCATTAAATCACATAAAAGTGCAGTGGTCTGGTCAGTTGTTGTCTAACTTCTTTTAGCAGCATGTGAGTAGGAGCAGACAAGAGGGCTGAAGAAAGTAATCCAAATTGAGGTTTGATGGTGTGGGGACAAAGTATTGAGGAGTGGAAAATATTAAACAGTGTGACATTAAATGGGTCACTACTCCAGGTACAGACTGTGAAGGGAGGAGAGTGCAGTTAGGTCAGGAGTTTGGGACTGTGACAGAACCATGTGCTGGAGTAACAGGCAGTCTTGATGAGCTAAGCCTCCGAGAGAGATGGAGTGATAGAAAATTATGGTCGGCTAAGGAATTTCACACTTGTTAATAATGAAAGTGGAACGCTAGTGGATTGTCAACAGGTCAGGAGTGCAACCGTCCATCCTGCTGTGTGGCTAAGATGTGAAGGGAGGGAATAAGTCATGGGAGCTCAGTAGATGGAAGAACTGAGAGGCTGGGGTGTCTGAGCGAATGTCAGTGTGTGCATTGAAGCCTGAGAGCATGAGAGCATGAGAACAGGCGTTGGGACGGGGAGGAAGACTTTGAGCCGAGCGCTGAACTCCTTATGAAAGGAGGGACAGTGCCTCAGGAGCTCAGAGACTGCGTCATCAGGTCCCGGATTGGAGGACATAACTTGATGTGGTCAGCCTCAAAAAAGAGATTACTAAGTGATGGTGGTAGGGGGAGAGTGTGGAAGTCACAGTGGGAAACAGTGAGTGTGCCAGCTTTTGCAGGACTAGGGGGAGGGGGCATGAGAAAAGGTATATCCAGTACTGGAAAGCATGACCAACGAAGCAGTGTCTTCTAAGGAAAGTCAGGCCTCCCCGAGTGCCAGGAGATGGAAAGAGAATCAGTCAGTCAGTCGAGAAAGAGCTCAGCACTTACACCGTTTCAGGCTCAACGCTCAGTGCTGCGGATATGAAGAAAGACCAGAGGCCGTGCCCACTCAAGGGGCTCACAGTCTGATGACGGGGAGACAGTTGTGCAAGCAGAGAAGAGGCATGATAAATTGGAGACCTCGACAGAGTGGAGGTGCTAGAATTTAGGGGGCTCAGGAAGTCGTCCTGGAAAAAACAGGATTTTAGCTGGGGCATAAAGGAAGCGAGGAGGGAGAGCATTCCAGGCCTGAGGGACAGCCAGACGAAATGCCCAGAGTCAGGAAATGGAGTATCCCAAGAGGAACAGCAGGGGGAGGCTGTGAGGTGAAGGGACATGTGTTAATGATCGAATGGAGATTCGGAACACCCCAGGCTCAGAGAACAGGGGTTGCTGACAGCAAGGAGGAGTCACGGCAATGGAAAGAGTGAGAGGTTGGGGTTTGCTAGCTGTAGGCAGTCTAGTAACTTTGGCCCTGTGAACCACAGAAGGGCCACCATTCTCTTTCAAGTGTCAGGGCACAGGGGCTGGGCTGGGTCATAGTCTCAGAGGGCCTGATAGCCAAATGGCCAGGGTAGATAGCCTTTAATCTCCATAGCTATCTCACAGTTATTTAAGCCTCTGCCTTGGGCCTGATTCCCATTAAACTCCCGCAAACCAAGCCAAAGACACTGATGAAATTTTCTTTTTCAAACATCCTAACAGTTGAAAAAAAATACAGTTGATTCACTTTCACTTTAGCGTTTAGTTTTACCCTGAATTTTTCCTATTTAACCATCAAAAAAATGTTAATTAACTGATTGCTTAACGTAAGATAAACTCAGAATTTTCTGTCAATGATAAACAATATATTTCTGTCTGCAGAAGTTATGACCGGAGTTCCAGAAGCTTAGATCAAGAATCCCCCTCAAAAAAGAAGAAATTTCAAACAAACTATGCTTCTACTACCCATTTAATGACTGGCAAAAAAGTGCCATCATCTCTGCAAACCAAACCCAGTGACCTGGAGACAACAGTCTTTTATATCCCTGGAGTTGATGTAAAGGTGAAAAACATTGTCCTTGTGCTGAGGAATGAGATGATAACACTGTTTGTCTTCTTCCCTTCCACAACATGTGTCCATAGGTTGATGCTAAAAGTGGCATTGATGATTAAGTCATCTCCTCCGTCCTCCAAGAAGTCTCCTAATTTGTTATTTCTGCAGTTTCTGCTGCTCACTTTTTCCATAAAAGTGACGTTTGGCAGGAAGTAGTTGATAACTTGAGAAATTTAACAGATTTCCTGGTGCTGCTTCTCTGGCTAAGTGAGTTGCAGTAAGAGAACATTCCAGGAGAAGGGACAATGGCTTCTCCTCGCGACGTGGCTGCCTTCTCTTTCACATGCGTTCTCACACACACAAAGATGGTTTGCATAAATATTTCCTGAGTTTCTGCTGGGGGCAGGTGCTCTACCTAGTGCTGAGTATGCAGAGGTGACGATGAGCTGAGTGCAGGGAGTGGCTTAGAGTGGGATGACATATCCACAGATCCTATTCTTCTGGTTTGTGTTGTTATTGTGAACTTTAATATCAAACTCAAATGCCAGTAGTTGTATGAGTAAAATGAGGAACCAAATCCTCTTTTTCTGGGTTTTATTAAGACTGTACAAGAGAGAAAAATAGTCCTGCAAGTAAAAAAAGTTTGCTCGTTCAGCAGGAGAAAACAGAGTATAAAATCACGTCTCCTCGGCTTACATGGAGAGGAAAAGCTGCTGCTATTTCAGGCCCCTCAGTTTAGAGTGTCACTAATAAACTGTCCCCTGTGCAGAGGAGAGTAGACAGGCTAGTAGAGAGGGCCGTAGAAACCAGCCAGCCCTCAGCAAGATGAGTGGATGGCTGGATACCTTTAGCCTGAAGAAGGAAGATTTAAAAGAGGAGTGGTAGTCATTTGGGGGAATTTGAAGGGGTGAGCACTTTTCAGGGTTGAAGAGATTTCTTTTCAGATCAGATGCTGGTTAGACTCACAGATGTCTAAGTTTTCAGCCAAGATGCTGAGTGAGTGGCCTCAAAAGACATCTCTGGTTTTCATTTCGTTGTTGAGACCACATCTCCCAGAGAGGAGACTCCCTCTCCCCATGTGGATCAGGATTTCTCTGTCCCTTGGTCTTGGCGAGTACCCAGGGCCCTGAGCATGACTCCTCAGAGTAGTAGGTAGGTGTCACAGAGGAGATTTAAACCCTTGTCTTCCAGAGCCTCTGTTCGCTGCTTTCCGCTGCCTCTCTGATTATTGGAAATAAATGGAATTTGGAGTTTCAGAAGGAACTTTTTAAAAAAATAGCTTGTTGTCCTGTTCTAATAAATGAATGTAATAATTATTTTGTACTTACTCAGCATAATGTAGTGCTTGCCTTAACCCAGTAAGTATTTACCTATAGAATATTTACATCCACAGAAAATGAGGGAAGAAAATAAATTGTTGACCAAAAGCGACCCAATGTGTGAGAAAGGAAGCTGTAGGTCATAGCTCGGTGCCTTACTGTGGAATGGCTAGCATCTGGCTTGATGTCCAGTCCCACTCTCTGTAAATTCTGCTCAGTGCTTTTAGAGTAGCCATGACCTGGGCTGCGCAGGAGGGCCATTCTGGAGGCTCTTAACTGCCTCAAGGTTCAGACATGGCCACCACCCTGGACCCCAGGCTTCACCCTTGGTGTTACCCAAGAAGGCACTGGGATAAAAGTGTCAGGTGACAGATCCTACAGATTATTGCTTTAACCCAGCCTTCTAAAGTAAGGAGCCTTGTGGGTCAGGCTGGCGGCTGTCCAGTGGGTAAGGCTCACCCAGAGACTGGAAACTACGTGAGCTAGAAAGGCCTTAGCAGCCATCTCATGCAAGCTTCTCATTCCACAGATGAAGAGAGTAGGCCAAAACAACGGAGGTGACTGGCCCAAGGTCACATATCTAACTGATGGCAGAGCTAAGGCCCAAGGTTCCCCCCACTTAGTCAGCTTTTTACCTCATTGTGCCTGAATATTTTGGCTTAAAGAGCACACAGTTCTCTTTTTATCTCTTTTTGCTTGAATGTCTTAAAGCATGAACATTTTGATTAATGAAATTTTAATTTTTCAAAGATTATAGTACAATGAAGATTTTACTATAAGGAAAATTGTATCATAAATTAGGCCCCAAGTTTTTAACTAGGCCCTCGTTTCTGCCTTATTTGACTTTTGAAACTTATTTTTTTTCAATGCAGCTACATTACAACTCCAAGACCCTAAAGACTGAGTCGCCAAATGCTTCCAGAGGATCTTCTTTGCCCAGAACCCTTTCCAAAGAGTCCAAGCTGTATGGTATGAGAGATAATGCCACGCCTCCTCCTCCTCCTCCTCTTTTACCTAGCACTTTCCAGAGCAAGACTAACACCTTACTTCCTCCCCAACCCCCACCTATTCCCTCAGGTACTGAAGAAGAGTATACTATCTGTGTTCATTATTTTTTTCATCACCTACCTGCTCTAGTGTCTTTTTCTTACAAAAGTTGATGATAAATGGTCACAGACTTACAAGTGCTAATTCTTAAAAATCATATTCAGGATCCTAAGCACAGTATTCCTTTGGCCATTCTTCAGATTGATAAGCTGTTAGCATAACCAGTAAATTTTATCACCGGTCTTACTCATAGACATCCACTGCACATGTGTGTTTGAATGATTGATGAAGTCAGGGGAAGTTGTCCTTTAAGTAACCTTCCACTTTGTAATCTGCTAAAGAAGGCCCACAGTAAATGTGACCTGACTATACGTGAGGAATTTGGGAATGGGATGAGCATACCTTTCCCTAATCGGGCCATTTTTGTTCTTTGGAAATCTGATCCTGATTCAAAATAGATAGATGACCAGGAAGAGGAATGACCATCCCCAGGGGGATCATCCTTCAAAAAGAGAGGGTGAGAAAAATTTGAATAGCTCACATTTCTGTAGAACTTCATAATTACAAAACACATTACATACACAAATGATGGTGGCCCATGTAGGGGATGATAGAGAGACCTGCCCAACTAAATTCTGCATGTTGGGAAATAGTGGAAATTAAAATTTGGGAGGTTGGACAGACAAAATCAGGCAGAGAAATGTGGACATTGTGTGACCCAGCCAGGCAGCAAACATGTCTTACCTCCTTTCTGTGTGGAGATCCCCACACCAGATATCGGGGGTGATACAAAGGTTAACTAACGATCCCTGCTTTCACTTAGCCTACAGTCTGGTGGATGAGGAGACGCACAGATAACATGCCATGTTTTGTCTGATAAGTGAATTGTAGAAGAACACTTTTCAGCTCCAAAGTGAAGGAGTAACTTAAAGAGAGCTGGCTTTGGACAGAAAGACAATGACATTGCTTGTACGCCTACTGAATTTGAGGAAGTGCAAGTGGAGGTGTCAGAGTTAGGACTCGTCCTCACTGAAGCTGCGGTCACGAGAGTGGAGAAGCATACTGTAGAAAGAGGAGAGTGGGAAGCTAGGAGGAAAAGGGCCAGAGAGGGAACTGGAGAATATATCAGGCCATAGGTTAGCATCTGGTAAGCCCTTGCTGGGACCAACCACTGGCTAGCCATATAAAGACGGAAATAAAGGAGCTACTGCAGAGATGAGCAAATGGCCTTAGCCTTCCTTGTTTGTTTGCTTATTGTCTTGTATCCCCCAGGAGAATAAATGATCCCAAGGGAGGGGTGATGTGTGAAATCGTTATCAAGACAGAATTATCACATCTTGGCAACTGATTGAATGTGGGAGCTAAGGAAAAGGGGGACAAATTAAGTGACTTTGACATAATACTTCCCTCTCCCTTTGAGAGAGGGTCTTTAGTTGTTTTGACATATTTTTCTAGATTTAGTTTCAGATAACCTAAAAAAGCATGTTAAGGATGTACTGTGCTTATAATTTTCCTTTGCCATTTACTACAATCATTCGTGATTTACTTCACCTTCTAAGGTGGAAAAAATAATTAAAGTTGAGAATTAAACCAAAGTATGTGACCTAGAGCAAGTAGGAAGAACCATTGTATTAGAAATTGCTGATAATCCTTGCATTGTAACATCGTCTTATCATTCCTTCCAACCTACTGTTTTATGTTACTGCTTTGTTGTGTTACTCATGAGTAAAAGTGGTCCTTAATTATTAGATGGTTCACTGTATTAATATGTATCTTGTAATTGTGACTTCTCTAACAAGGAAATCTGTGTTTTTACTTTAATGGAATGATTTCTCAAATATCATTTAATAAGTATAACACTTACAAACGTTTCAGCCAAAGGGAAAGGAAGTGGAGGGGTGAAAACAGCAAAATTATATGCCTGGGTCGCCCTTCAGTCACTACCAGAAGAAATGGTGATTAGTCCCTGTCTGTTAGATTTTCTGGAGAAGGCCCTTGAAACCATCCCTATTACACCAATTGAAAGGAATTATACTGGTAAGCCACTTTTTTCTTTCTTTTATATGTCTATGGGGACAGATTTACCTCTTATTTTTTTCCCTTAATTGCTCTGACCACATCTAGCATCATATAACCATAAGAGATAATTAGATGTTATCCAGCCCAACTCTTTATTTTATAGATAAAGAAATTGGAGTTTAAAAGAAGAAGTTAATATTCAGCTACTATGTCATGATTTCTGGGGAGCTTAAGTTTGCAGAGACTAGATGGGGACATGTGGGATCTAGGCACAGATTTCTGGGACTGGAGAAGGAAGAGAAAGGCTAAGAGGGACCATGAAGCACATCTGGTGTTTGAGAGGCAACATGGTCTGAGTGACCAGAGCCCTGGGTTTGGGATCAGGAGAAGCCAGGGTTCACACGCTACCCTGAACATCTCCGTAGGCGTGAGCGTCAGTTTCCTGTCTGTAAGGTAACAATAACAGTGATAACAGCCACAATACTTGCCTCAAAAGATTTGTTGTGATAAGCGAAAAAATGATAACCATCAGCACACCTACTGTGTGCCAGGCACTGTGCTAGGCTAGGAGCTTGGTATGTAAAATATCAAAAAATGAATCACAGAATTGGAGAACGGACGTACCCTTAGTGGGCATCTAGTCCAACCCAACCCCAAAGGAGTCACCGCCACAATATGCTGTCTTGAGCTGCATCTTATTAGTCAGAAACCTGCTGAGATCTTTTTGGGTCCTGCCCTTCAGTGTCCCATTTATTTCTTCCAGCCTTGTGTCATCCACAGATTTGATAAGCATGCAGGTCACTGCAGTGAGTTATCTGTCGTTGACAGCAGTGTTGAACAACCCTAAGCATAGATCACTGGGGTTCCCCACTAGAGACCTCCTGCCATGTTGACATTGGATGACAAACTCCTGCCGCGTCAGCCAGCCAGCCAGGTCTCAGGCCTTCAGGTTCTATCACCACTTCGTCCGTATCTCTGCATCTTCTCCACCAGATGAGCGCAGCCAAATGCGTGACCAAACGCTTAGCTGCGATCTAGGTCAATTCTGTCCAGATTGGTAAATGTCAGAGAAGGAAAGGGGGCAAGTCTTGTGTGACCTGTGCTTGTCGAAGCTGCCAGGCTGGCTCTGGTTCATCACCAAACCCCCTTTGCAGATCGCCTCCGTTAGACATTCCAGAATTTTTCCAGGCGTCACAGACAAGTTCCTTGGCCAGCATAGAGCGTACGTGTCAGGCCCTCATCAAATCTCAGTCAGCTCGCTGTGCGACATAAGGGTCTACTGTTTTTATGGCTTCTCTTTTTTGAGGAGATTCAGAGAGCAAAAGTTCTGGGACAAGTTGCTATCTAGATATTATTCCTTTATATTTAATGCTTCTTGGACTTTTGCACAGGTTGATAAAATAACTATTCATTACAGTTGAAAGTGTTAAAGGAGGAAGAAAAGGAATATGTATTTATTAAGTGCCCACTGTGTGTCATCACAGCTTTACAAATATTATCTCATTTGATTCTCACAACCACCTTGTTGTTATTATCCTCATTTTACAGATGAAGAGACCGAGGCAGACAGAGGTTAGGTGACTTGCCCACGGTCACGTAGTTAGTAATCATCTGAGGAATGATTTGAACTCAGGTCTTCCTGACTCTGAGTCTAGTGTTCTATTCAATGCCCCACTGAGCTACCTCGAGGGGCATGTGGCCAAGGAGGTCTGACAAAGGCAGAGTACAGTGAGATTTGTGCCTCCCTACTCCTGAAAGCCGTGCCCCTCTTGATGTAGCCCAAGATCGGAAGAGGCTTTTTTGATCGCCACCTTACCGTGTTGCTTCACAGTGGGCTTGCAGTCCACTAAAACCCCCGCAGTCTTTTTCAGAGCAACTACCATCTGACCATGACTCATCCATTTTATACTTTGCAAAGTTGAGGGTTTTTGTACCCAAGTGCATTTTCCTTGTTTAATTTCATCTTTTTAGATTCAGCCCAGTGATCTAGCCTATTGAGATCCCTTTGGATCCTAGCTGTCATCCAGTGTTAGCTATCCCTCCCAGGTGTGTGGCCGCCACAGGTTTGGTAAGCATGCCACCTGTGCCTCCATACAGATCGTTGATCCAGTTTCAAGAAGCACCGAGATCTGGGGCACATATTCCCTCGGAATCCATTCTAGATCCTGTTGAAATTGAACCTTTAACAAGGTTAACCTTTTACTTTTAGAGTCCAGCCTCCCAAACAGTTCTGATCCCTTGCATTGCAGTACTGTGTAATTGGGAGCTTTGCTGAAATCTAGGCATGTTCTTCATCTGCTTCAGCCTGGCAGAACCCATGCTTGCTCAACCTGCCACGCCGGCTCCTAGACATCCCTGATTCTCTTCCTGGATATGTGCAGCTGGCCTTTTAATTCGCATTTCTAGAATTTCCCCAGGAATTGAAGGCAAACTCATTAGCCTAGAGTTTGCAGAATCTTTTCTTCCCTTTTTTGAAAATTGAGCCTGTGGCCCTTCTCCGTTCGTGATGATCTTTCTCATATCCTTCAGAGTGGCTTAGCAGCCCCATCTGCTCATTCTTTGAGGACCTGAGGGCAGAGAGCATCTGGGCCATGTGGCTGAAATTCGAGGTGGTGAGGCCCTCTCTTACCAGATCCTTTCTTCTGAGAGGATCAGTGCCCTGAGAATCATTACCATCCTTTCATTTCCAGGGGAAAGCTTGTTCTCCTTGGCAAAGAAAATAAACCCAGTAAATGGTGCTTTCTCTCCGTTGTCAGGTACCATCACCCCCTCCAATCCAAGCCAAGTCTTGAGTCTCCTTTTTCTCCCCGTGTAGCTGAACAAAACCCTTTTTGTTGTCCTCAGTTCATTCTGAGTTTCAGCATTGCAGCACTGTGTTCTGGGACGTGCTTTTATTCATCCTGTGTTACTTGGCCTTGCTTCCATCTTCTGACTTTTTTTTTTTCATCTAACTTGTTGAATCCTTCGGCATCCCCATTTTTCTTCCTCGTTGGAATTGTTTCCCTTTGTGTCTAAATTTTCTTTCTTGAGCATCTCCCATCCCACCTGGGCTGCCTTCCCCTGAGGCATTTTAGTTTATGGGATCTTTTTCTGAACTCTTAGAATGAGTCTGTTTTTCCAGACACTAGCGTGCGTGTCAGACTATGCTCAATTTTCTTTTTCTCTATCACAAACTCTAGCTTGAAGTTGTCAGATCAGATCCATAACAGAACTTACCTTTGTTGATACTAAGGAAATGCAGAGAGCTCTAGCAGGTGTCTGGATCCTTGGGGTTCCCCACTATTACCAATGCTTGCTACTAGGCCACACTCAGGATCTGTCTCCCAGACTCCCTTTTCTTTGCTCTTTCTCCACTGACAAAATCACTTCCCTTTCTTCCTCTTATAAACTTTCCCTCGAGGGGTTGTGAGCCTCAAGTGTGATGATGGATGGTAAAGCCCTTTGCAAACCTCACAGTTCTCTATAAATGCCAGTTGTGACTATTGGCATTATCAGCCTCCAGGCCTCCAGTCTGGGGATGACTTCATTCCCTCAACCTTCTGCTGTCCACCGGTTGGGTTCAGGTAGCGTTTCTAGAGCAGTAACCACAGGCCTGTGCTGGCAAATGCTTAACAGCTGGGCTGGAGAACTGGGGGGAGGTATGCACATATGCTTTTCATGCTAATATGTATTATTGACACTTTTCTCAGCTTCAAACAGCGAACAAAACAATGAACCAAGCTCTAATCTGTAGCGATTGCCAATTTCTGGGGACGAAGTGCTTCAAGGCCACAGGTTCCCCACCCCAGCACTAAAAATTTAACAGCAGACTCTCAAAAGATGGCTCCAGCATAGCTATCTCCGCCCAGATGTTCTCTGTCATACTTCCCTCTTTGGTTCCTGAGTATTCTTTCTTAATACACAAAGCTACCCCAAACCTTTTCTGCCTGCCATGATATTCCCCTCCACAGCCATGGTCCAATCATGCCTGTCATCCCACCAAGTCTCGGCGAGTGCTCCTTTGTGCTAGGATCCCTAGTTCCTCTTGTGTGCAGCTTGATCTTTGGGTATATGTGTAGACTCCGTGGAGGCCGTGGGGCTGGTCCTACTGTCTCCTTCCCTGACCTGTGTCTCCTGTGAATTTCTAGGTGGCTGCACTGCTCTTCTCCTTCCTTCTTAATGACTACTAGTGTCTCACTAGTATGGGGGATATCTGTGAGGCAGACTTCTGTCCTCCTCATCCTTCTGATTTGATTTGTAAGCCGCGACAGACTATTTTTTTGGATTTTGCTAGCTTTTGTGAGATGCATTCTCTCTTTGGCCAGTCCACCCTTATGGTGAAATGGCTCAGCGGGACACAGAGTTCCTTGCCCTACATCGCCCTGGCTGGCATTGCCCTCCTTTGCCATTCCAAGCCTGTTGGCACAACCCTGGATTGGACTTGGGGAGGGGAGGGGATGGTGGTTGTTTTTATTGCCATTAGATGGACGTTTCTTGGAGGGGCCTTAGAGCCCAGACCTGGTGTTGCTTTATAAAGAGGTGTGTTGCAGTCACAGTGTTAGATAGTTGTTTATTATTTTAACAGCTGTTAGCTCACAAGATGAAGACATGGGGCACTTTGAAATCCCAGACCCAATGGAAGAGTCAACAACATCACTGGTGTCATCTTCAACCTCTGCCTACTCCTCCTTCCCTGTCGATGTCGTGGTCTATGTCCGAGTTCAGGTGATTTTATCATTGGTCTAGTAGAGTTGGGTCTGGTGTTTTTTTTACTTTAAAATGATTCTTACCTAAACCTGAAAAAGTCTCAGTTATTAACCTTGCTTGAAGGCTATAGTTAGTTTCCTAACTTCACTTAGTGATGCTTCCCTTTGAAAAAATTGTCACACTCCCTCCAACACTTCTCATAATAATTGTGATTCAAAGAATATTAAAATGTAGTAGAAATGTTATGACTCAATCTGAAGAATAGAATAATGTAAATAAAGCTGTTTAGCATTCACTCTCCTAGATTCATAGTATCATGGACTTACTGCTGTAAGGAGCCACAGAGATGATCTCGGCCAGCCCTTTAGTTTTACAGTTGAGAAATCCGAGACCCATACAGATGAGATGATTCATCCAAGATCACACAGCTTGGAAAGGGGCAGAGCCAGAATTTTAACCCAGTCCTGCGATCCCAGATCTAACACTCTTTCCATGTTGCTTTACAAAGGGGAGGAGGAAAACATTATTGGGGGAGGAGGAAGAGCCTTCAGATTTTTAAACCTTCTTGACAGGACTCTGTATATATCTGTGACATAAGAAAGTCAAGTTTTCTTCCCACCCCCAGGAACCTCCTTTACCTACAGGTGAATGGCAGGTCCAAGATAAAGCTTAGCAAACCAACCCCAGTCTAGTCTCATCCTCCGGATCCAGCATGAGTTCCAGCTCTCCCCACAGTCAAGCAAGGTGGGGGTGGAGCGGTGTGCCTACAACCTGAACCCCTTGGTCCTTGACTGCACCCCTGCCCACAACCCCTGCCACCATTTGGAATGGATTGTCTGTGTTCATCTCGCTTTTAGTGACTCTGACCGTTGCATAGAAGATGAGTATTTAAATCCATAACCTTATTAATCATGCCTTTTTATGGTGAGAACTTAAGGCATAATAGAAAGTCCTTAGTTGGCACCATGGATACAGGAAGTGCTTTCCCTTTCTTTACTACCACTGTAGCTCTTTCTGTGCAGACTGCCATTCCTTATCTACTTGACCAAGTTGCTGTATACGTGATGTCTCATTGAATACTATAAGGAAGCATAATGAGCCTGTGAGTTTGTTCCACAAACACAGATAACGTGTATAACCTTCAAGAGCCCCTGTAGACCAAGTTCTTCCCCCTGAGGACCACTTGGTGATGGGCTTTGCCCAACTCAAGCAGCCTGGTTCTTGGGCCCTAGCCCCCCCCCGACCTTACCCAGCAGACCAGAAGGAGTGATACACCAGCACACACACTCGCACATGTGGTCATGGTGCACACCCAAGAGGAGGGCTTGGGAGGGCAGGAGGTGCTGTCCCACTGAAATACCAGACCAAGAGCTTTCTAAATACTTGTGTGTAAAATTCCGATAAAGGCATGGGCATTGTTCAGGACTGGGTGGAGGACAAGATGAAAGTCCCTGAGGATCTTGACTGCCTTGGGCTTGGGGAATGAACAGCGTTCTTGAGAGGTCCCTCTACCCTGCCCGTTATCACTAGTGCCAACATGGCTCTGCTGTCTTTCCAGCCTTGCTGCCTGGGTTGGGTTTTTTTAATTGTTGTTATATGTGACAGCCTTTCTTTTTTCAATCACTTTTTGATTGTCCGGTGCCCAGTCTGAGAGTATCAAGTGGCTCTTGATACAGAGTGCGTTTTTTCCTGGAATCTCTGCTGGTCTCTGGCCTTCCTCATTCTGAGATACCTGTTACCTTCTAGGAAAATATATCATTTATGGGGGCTGTGGACTTGTGGAAGACGTAGTCATTGATGCAGAGTTAATTCTTCTAGAAATTTGATATGATGGGGAAATGAATTTTTTCCAAATCCGAAGGTTTGATTCTCAGCGATCTGTATAGACATTCAGCAAAAAAGAATTGTAAACACCTTCAGAGACAATTTAAGGACATCACATCATTTGTCACCTGAATGTTTTAATAAATATCTTTCATTACCTTTGTGGGCAACTGATTTTCTTTTTAAAGAAAATTACATATTTCTTAATCCTTTTTTGTATTAACTTTTTTAGCCTTCTCAGATCAAATTCAGCTGTTTACCAGTATCAAGAGTGGAATGTATGCTAAAGCTGCCTTCCCTGGACTTGGTATTCTCCTCAAACCGAGGAGAACTGGAGACTTTAGGTACCACTTGTCCTACAGATGCTGCATCTCCTAGTGGTCACCCTACTCCGAGTGGATCAAAGACCTTCACCAGTAAAACGGGGATGCCAGGTAAAGGGGGTAATGCCATCAGAGTCTTTTCCCCCAGGTTAGGGAAATCAAGGAGTGGTAAAATAAGGCTGGTGCTTAGACAGAATTCTGATCTAACTTGGCTGTGGAGTACTTGCTCCTAACACTAAGATTAGTTTCCTGCTCAAACAGAAATAATGCAGGAAAGCATTACTCATGTTCACTGTTGGCCCAAATGTGGAAATTGCCTCCTTCTCAAAAAATAGATATTATTTTGGTATTTGTCATAGAGGCCTCATAACATTGTGGACAGACTGCTAAGTGGGGTATCAGGAAAATGATCCCCCTAACTGCTAGTGCCTTCCCCTCCAAGATCACCTTCCATTGCCTCCGTACGTCTCCTCTATATATTTCTTGTCTCCCTCATTAGAATATCTGTTCCTTGAGAGCAGGGACTGAGGTTTGTTTAAAGCTCTGTTTCCATCCAAACAATGAAAAAGCGAGCTTGTTTCAAGGTGACCTCAGACCTAGCCATGTTGTTTGATCCTATGGGCTGGCGCGTCTAACGTTTGCTCCCTTTAGCTCATTTTGATCTGTTTTTTCATTATCCTAGTATATGTGCGTGTGTGTGGTGAACACTTGAGGGTAGAAGTATAGTCATCCTGGCTGACCTTCTAGATGCAGAGGAGCAGATAGTTATTTAAGCAAGCACACAGTTCACATCCTCTGGATTCTCTTGGGAGATAGACATTAAATGACTGGGGCGTCACATTAAAGTGTGATGGGGTGTGGCAAGGTGTGGTGAGGTGCTAGGTCCGGTTCTGGCCACTACGTTGTAGAAAGGACTTTGCTGCACGTGGTGGAGCATGTGAAGAGAGGAAGCAGTGAGGGTAAGAAGGGACACACCATGCTGAAGGAGCTGGCGATGGTAGAGGAGAGACATGTTAGGGAGCAGCTGATGGAGCTCTGCGGTATAGAAGGAACAATTCAGTTGGTTCCATAAAGTAGAGAGAAGGCGTATAACGAGGCCCATAACTGAACAGTCAGGTAAGTATGTGGTTGGGGGAGTAGCAAAGGGTCAGAAAGACTGAATTAAAGGAAAAAGGCATTTTATTTCTTTTCTTTTTCTTTTCTTTTCTTTTTTTTTTCCAGCTAGGCTATGGGGTTAAGTGACTTGCCCAGAGTCACACAGCTAGTAAGTGTTATGTATCTGAGGCCAGATTTGAACTCAGGTCCTCCTGAATCCAGAGCCGGTGCTCTATCCACTGCACGACCTAGCTGCCCCAAAAAAGGCATTTTAAAATGTAGCCAATTCCATGGGATTCGATCACATGATGCTTGAGTACTTTGTGATTTTTAACTTTTTAGCTATTTACTCCAAGCTGGGTGATTCTAGATGCCATTTATTTTTGTGTAATTATTTAATTGTAGCAACAAATTTTTAAAGTGATTTTTCCCTTAGTTTGTAATTTCCTCCTCTTCTTCTCTTGATTCTAGGTTCCTCTGGACTAGGCAGCCCTCTTGGCAGAAGCCGCCATAGTAGTAGTCAGTCTGACTTGACCAATGCCAGCAGCAGTTCATCCGGGTTGAGTTTCACTGCCTGCATGTCGGACTTTTCCCTTTATGTATTTCATCCATATGGAGCCGGCAAACAAAAAACTGCTGTTACTGGCCTCACCCCTGGGTCTGGGGGCCTGGGTATGTGTGTGTGTGCACGCGCTCGAGAGCTCATTCTTGTCTTTGGGGATTTCATAGCGCCTTCTCTGGCTGCACCCTTTTAGGGATTGTGGGAACTAAGGTCATGAACTGAAATGGCCCATGGCCATCCACGTGCCAGCTGGGTCATTGATGGTTTGTTTTTCCTTTACAGCCTTATCTTGTAGTGGCAGGATCGCTTGATAAGCACAGATAAAGGAGCCTGAACACACCATTTATGCTTTTTTGCAGATGCATAAACTATTGTAGCTTCGAATAAGTTGTAGCACATGTGGTATAGTCACCTCTTTGAAAACCAGAGGTGGAATATATGTTAGGCTTTTCTAAGTGAAACTCCCTGGGGATCAGCTCCCAGCCCCACTGAGGAAATCGCTGACTTCACCTGTCAGCTCACTAGAAAGTTCTTCCAGCTCGAAAAAGTTCCCTCTCTCGCTCAGATACTCCTGTTGTTGTAAGCTCCTCCTTGATGAACCCTGTGGTAGCAGAGGTGGCTTTTTATCCATTAATGTGATATCACACACAGAGGGTGTCATAAAGGAGAGTGAGCATGTTTGTTTATTTCAGATGTAAGTAATACGTGTGTAAAAACCCTACCAAGTACTGCTACTGGAGCGCTGAAGTGTTCTTACAAGTTAAAATACCTAAACGGATGGCTTTTTTCAGCATGTGCTTTCTGTCTTTCTTTTGTGGGGACCAGGGAATGTAGATGAAGAGCCTACCTCAGTCACCGGCCGCAAAGATTCCCTCAGCATAAATCTGGAATTTGTGAAAGTGAGCTTGTCCCGGATACGACGCTCGGGAGGCGCCTCATTTTTTGAAAATCAGGCTGCAAGCAAGTCGGCAAATAAAATGGACACTACATTGATAAACATATCTGGTATTTTATCTCGTTCTTGTATCATTGATTTTCCAGAGTGAGCTGAATGGGCTGTCAGTGTTGAGTGTTGTTGAGGTTTTCATGGTAATTTGGTTTTTTAAAGAATGATGAAAATCTAACCACAAGCACTGTGTGTCACTAATTACTGGTGCTAAAGTTTTACTTGGGTGTGGGGCTAATATAATGTGGAAAACCCCACGTCAGCTCAAGGCCAAGCCTTTTCCGGTGTCAGAGCAGCCAGATTATAAATTAATGAAGACCCTAAATCAGTCAAGAGAGAAACATGTTAGCTTTGTGCCCCAAAGGAGAGGCTCTCTGTGTCTGTCCTTGGCTTTGTGCTAGCTGTTATCTTTAAGCAAGTCAAACTTTTAAAAATTAACAAACTAAAGGTCATCCTCATACTCTGATTTTGTACTGTGTAGAGAAAAAAATACATATCAGCCTTTAATCACAGCGGAGAGACTAGCACATTCCAGGAGTCCTCCACAGCCAGTTACTGGTGCCATTCCTGGTACAGTTGCCTGTTTCATGTGAAAATAGAGTGAAGGTCTTCAGAATTAGTTCCAGATCCTAACATGTGCTTTGTGTGTCTCAGCGGTGTGCGACATCGGTTCAGCTTCCTTCAAATACGACATGCGCAGACTGAGCGAGATTCTGGCCTTCCCCAGAGCCTGGTACAGGAGAAGTATTGCCCGCCGCCTTTTTCTTGGCGACCAAACTATAAATTTGCCCGGTAGGTCACTTATTTACATTCTTAATTACATTAAAGTTATTGAAAGAGGTTACAGAGCATAATGTCTATCAGGCAGAAAAACTTGGGTCTGCCCCAGACATGCACTGAGCTAGAGGTGTCTGACTCCAGTTGGATAGCTGAACTGGAGAAAAATGTAATGGGGAAATGTCTAACAAAAGAAATTAAAATATAGTGCAACAGAGATGATGTCAATTTGTGGCTTTCTGTGTCAGTCAGCTGCCCACAGCCATCCATTTCTGTTTGAGTTTTTGACACCCCCAGCTCTCTACGAGTGAGCCACGGAGAAGGTGCCAGCCTGCATTAGTAAAGGTGGGGTTCCAGTGCAATCATCAATCTAGGATCCACCCCCCAAAAAAAAATGTTAATAAGATCAAATTTTGATTTTCCATCAGTGTTCTTGATGAATGTAGAGACGGGCTTCCCTCTTTGAGCTTAGATAAAACCTAAGGAGAATGCCCCGGAAGCTTCCCTGCCCCTCCTTTACCTTCCTTTTGTTCCCTGTAATCTAATCCCATTCTCTTGAGTTGGAAGAAAGATCATGAGACTTTGTAGAGCAATCTTATTCCCTTGGAAATAAAGTGGCAGGAGAAATTTGGAGCATGGCTGGGCAGCTGTGTTGTGGTTGTTTGGCTGTGTCAGACTCTCTGTGACCCCATTGGGGCTTTTCTTGGGGAGCTGCGGTTGGGTGACAGCCACCTCAGCAGTGTGTGCCGGGCTTTGCTCTGTCATCCACGGCGTTTCTCCCTTCTCTGCTAGCGTCGGGCCCTGGGACGCCGGATTCCGTCGAGGGAGTGAGCCAGCACCTTTCTCCCGAGTCATCCCGCAAAGCTTACTGCAGGACCTGGGAGCAGCCCAGCCAGGCGGCTTCCTTCACCCACGTGGCCCAGTCGCCTACAGTGTTCAATGAGCACGTGGCAAACAGCGGCATGACCCCCGGAGCGACTGCTCAGAACCTGAAATCTCCCGCCTCCATGAGATGCAGGAGTGTGTCTGACTCCTCAGTTCCCCAGAGAGGTAAGCAGAAGCCACACGTGCCCTTGGCTCCCCGCCTTTAGGACGAGATTCCAAGTCTTTAGCGTCACCCTCGAGGTTGTCTTACCCCGTGGCCTCCTCCTTCACCAGAACAGCCTGCCGCAGCCACACTTAGCCACTCGCTGTGCTGCTGGGCAGGCCTGCACCCCACACTGGTGCCAGAGGGCCGTGGCAGGCAGCTATTGTCGTGGGCCAGCGTCTCCATCCGAGGCTTTGGTTGCTGAGCTGTCTTTCTGAGCAGCCGTCACATGCCGTTGTCTTCTCCCCTCCTCTGATTGCCAATTTTAGGGGAAAGGCTGAAGCCATCCCACAGGACCTCCCTCACTTGCCTCCTCTATTCACAGTCCCCTTCCTGTCTCCTAGGAACGAGTGTCCCTGTGCCCCTCACTCTGTTTCCCTCCTGTCTCCTCCATGACCATGACCTTCTATCTCTTCCTTTCTATCACCCCCTTCCTATTTGCCCAGAACCTTTAAAAACACACACCTCCTTCCTTTAGCTCTTCTGGTCCATCTGGCCGACATACTTAGGTTGTTGAAAAAATAACACATACCACACCTTCCTTCTACACCCCTGGTAATCTGGATTTTCTTCCCTCTTTTCCACTGAAACTTCTTTTTCAGAGGCCATCTGGACCCCATGACCTTTGTTCAGTCTTTCTTCTCATTGACCTCTCTTTGGGGAACTTGTGATGGTGCCAACCATGCCCTCTTCCTGGGTCTGCTGGGTTCCGCCCACTGCCCGATTCACCTGTTTGATTTCTCCTGGGAAGTCTGGTGCCCCCTGGAGCACTAGCACTCCTCACTGTAACTGGCTGTCACCCCCACACCTGGGTAGCTCCATCACTTGCCCCTTCCAGGCGCCCAGCTCTTGGCCACGTTTCTCCTGCTCTTCCTCCTGACTTCACTGTTTCTTTCCCAGGCACCGCCCTTCATCCATCCATCACCTCATGTTATCTTTGACTCGGTCTTCTCTGTCCATACCCAGCCAGTTACCAATCCATGCCTGCTCTGCCTCGCCACTCTTTCCTCCTTTCTGTCTCCACTTCAGCCACCCACCTAGATTGCTAAAGTAGAGTCTTTTTGTTTCTCTCCCGTCCAGTTTCCCCTGCATACCACTGTGAGGCTTCTGGGAAGATGGTGTCCTCCTTGGCTAGAAATCCTTCAGGAAGAACTAGAGATGCACCCAAGGGTTGGCTATGTGTAGAGAAGGTTCTCCTCCGTGTCCTACTTGAGTGGGAGGTCCCTCCTGATTTTGAAATGTGCTTCCTTATGTCTAGATGTGTCACTGCCTAAGGAGCTAGGGAGTTGCAAGTGGGCTCCCCTTGGAGGCAAGAATAAAACTCCTCGTCCTGTGTGGCCAGGAGCTAGCCACTGAGCCAGCCTCTCTGGGCCTCTGCTTCTCATCTGTAAAGCAGAGTCAGTGATACCTGTAGCATCAACCTCACAGGGTTGTTGTGAGACTCAGGTGGGCTGAGGGAGCTGAAGCACATCCCACCTCCCAGTCCTCCGGAAAGGTCACTCTGCTTGTTGTCCATCACTTCCCAGCAAGCCTTGACTGAGCTCCTGCCATGTGCTGGGCACCTTCCCAAGCACTAGGGAGACAGAGCAGAACAAACAGCCCCTTCTCTGTGGTCTGATGGGGGCGATGATAGGCTTGTTGGAGAAGGGGGGATTTTAAGGAAGTCGGGAACAGCGAGGAAAAATACCCGGAGCCAAGAGCTGGAGTGTTTAGTTGGGGGAACAGCCAGGAGGACCTGAGTTCAAATCCAGCCTCAGACCCTTGACACTTGGCACTTAATAGCTGTGTGACCCTGGGCAAGTCACGTAACCCCGACTGCCTCAGCAAAAAAAAAAAAAGCTAATTAACATCTTTTTCTTACTTACAACATCACTAATATGAATATATGTTTAATGTATATGGAATGTATATGTATAGCCTGTATCAGATTGTGTGCCGTCTTGGGGAGGGAGGGGGAGAAAAATTTTAAACTCAAAAGCTTATGGAAGTGATTATTGATAAATCAAAATAAATTAATTTAAAAAATTAAAATCAACACTCAAAAAAAAAAAAGACTGCAGAGGTAGAAGGGGACAGCTTCAGAAGGACTTCGAATGCAGAGCAGAACATTTTGGTTTTGATTCTGGAGCTGATAGGGAGCCACAGGAGGTTATAGAATGGAGGAGTGACAGGATCAGACCTGTGCTTTCTGAAGGTCGCCATGACAGCTGAGTGAAGGTGGCCTGGAGTCAGGAGAGACTTGAGGCAGGGAGGCCAACAAGAAAGCCGTTACCGTTGCCATCGCCGAGAAGACTCGAGTTTTAATCCCACTTCACACACACTGGGCAGGCCTCTCTTGGCCTCTGTATCCTCATCTGTAAAATGGAAATAACAACAACAACAACAACAGTGATAATAAGAGCACCCATTTCACAGGGTTACTGCGAGAATCAAACACAAGAATGTTCCGTGCTTTGCAAACCTTAAAGCAAATCTGGTGCTGGTCGTGGCAGCGGCAGTAGCTGCAGCTGTAGTTTGGGTGTGAGGTGATGAGGGCCTAGGGTGGGGGTCGCAAAGGCGAACTCCGCAGGGCTTGGCGCCAACTTAGATATGGGGGGTGAGAGATAGTGAGGAGTCCAGGATGACCCTAGGCTGCGAGCCGAAGGCCCAGGAGGGCGGTGTAATTGGGAAAGTGGGAATGGGAGGAGGGTTTGGGGAAAAGATAATGAGATTAAGACGTCTACTGGACATCCGGTTGGAGATGAGAGATTGGAGGTCAGCAGAGGGTTTGGGGCAGGAAGGGTAAATGAATCATCAGCACAGAGATGGTCGTTCAGTCCGTGGCAGCCGGTGAGATCCCCAAGTGAAGTAGTCTAGAGGGAGGAGAGAAGAGCCCTGAAGGACACCTGTGGTCAGAGGGTGTGATCTGGAGCAGGATGCAGCCACGGAGATGGAAGGAGCAGTCAGAGAGGGAGGGGGACAACCAGGAAGGAGGGGCATCTGGAAAACCTAGAGAGAAGAGAGTGTCGAGGAGGAGAGAGGGGTGCGCGGTGTCAAAGGCTGCAGTGAGGTCAAGGAGATCGAGGACTGAGAAGACCATTGGAGATTGTTAGTAACTTTGGAGAGATCAAATGCAGTGGAATGAGAAGGGTGGAAGCTGGGTGGTAAGGTGAGGCTAAAAAGAGAATGCCAGGCTGCACCAGAGTGCTTCCCCTTGCTGACGCTCTGCCGCCTGCCCTTTCCCAACACGAGCTCTCTGTCACGCTTGCCCTTTTTCAAACAGAAACGACCCCCGAGAACGTGAATTCCCATCTGCTGGCTGCTCCCCGCCAAGGACCCCAAGGGAGGCCTTGCCGGCTGACTTGCCACAGGAACCCCTGTGTGTTGTCCCCCCATTAGACGTGAGCTCCTTCACAGCAGAGACCGCTTTGCTTTTATGTTTGTTTCTCCAGCAGACAGCAGAGTGCGGGGCATACCCTAAGTGCTTAATACAGGGTTTCCCATTCATTCACTTACGAGTCTTCTCCCAGGAGATGCTTCACGTCTGCTGTCTGCATTTCGCTGAGTTGAAGGGAGATGTGTAACTCTGTGTGTGTTGATAGTGGCAGGTCCGGGCCCACTTTGGTAGCAGAGGCAATGGTGAGCCTGCAGCCCCGGCCTGCCGTGGGATCTGGCCAGGGGGGTTTCGCCATCAGGAGAGGCAGGGGACCTCTTGAGAGCTGGAGATCAGGAGACCCCCAGACCCGGAAGAGGGGAGAGCGGGTGTAGGAAAAAGCATGAAATGCCTGGCTTGCACAAAACAAGCTGCTGCAGATCTCGAGACTAGGTTGTGTTCTGGTGTGTTTTTAGTCAAAGTTTTCTTATGAAAGAATTTGAATCCATACTGTGAGAGAGAACAGCTGGGCCACCGGGCTACGTGAAAATACATAAAAGGTGGGCATTAAATTGTAACCGAGAACATGAAACCACTTAAGAGTTAGAAGCTGTGAGCCAACTATCCAGGTTGGGACGCTCAGAGCAGTGGAAAAAGAGGAGGGCGGTATCCCCTAGTAAGCCATCCTCAGACCTAGGCAGCCCCTCGCCTTCAGTGGTTTCTCCTAATAGGACTTAGCATACATATAAGGTGGGGTATTCTAGATCATTCATACACATATGTGACATGTGTGTTGCATATACACACCCCCCACCCCCTATTATAAGCAGGAACAGCTCAAGTCACTTAACATCTCAGTGCCTGAGAGATAGTAAAAACTCCCTCCTAAATGATAAGTGAAAGAGGCAGGTTTGATGAGGAACCAGAAATCCTTTTGGCCACCCCTCTCGAAAGTTATCAGGAGGCTTGTACCTGCTGCCAAGCAAGCAAGCAGGAAGCCGGCTGGCCTCTTCTCTGTCCTGGCGCAGTAAAGCTTGGTAAACTTACCAGTTCATCCAAACACTTGGTGTAACGGAAAATACTGGATTTAAAATCAGAAGACTTGGGTTCAAAACTAGATCTTCTTTTAACAAATTACCTCTGAGCTGCAATTTCCTAATTCAGCTCAGTTCAACAGATGTTTACTGAGTGTATGCTGTACAGGAGACAGTGTGCGAGAGTTTGGGGTAACAGACAAAGCCAGACTAGTCCCTGCTTTTGATGCGTTTATTTCTACTGAGGGCCAGGGGTGAAGAGGACAGCACATGCACACACACAGATAAGCTAATGTAAGTAACTCAAAAAGTTAACAGCAAGGCAGCTGGGGGATCCGTAGAGCCTTCCTCCTAGGAAGTCACACTTGAATGAAGCTAAGGTGAGGAGGGGGTACCCTGCCCCTCCCCAGATGAGAGCCTGGGCAAAGGCACAGGGAGGTCAGAGACGAATTGCTGTTTGGAGAGCAGCCAGTGAAATGAAGGCCTGTACTCCATTGTCTCTGAGCAGAGTAAGCTGTAGACCAGTAATGGGCAGCTGTGTACTGAGCACTGCCCCAAGAAGCACCCGCACCCCTCCCCCGTGCAGCCGCACCAGCCCAGTAATGCAGGGCCACGGCAGGAGCAGCCCGTTGAGGGCTGGGCAGAAGTCAGCGTCACTTGGCTGGGCTCCATGTGGCCTCAGAATTGCATTGAGCCCGTGAACAATTAGCTGGGGACTGGAGCTTCATCCTGGAAGAGTGAGCTTGCAAATGCCATCTCACCGAGGTTGGACAGTATCTGGAGGAATTGTTGATTTTCTTCTTTACCGCTCACTCAGGCGGTAGATGCAGGTATTAACATGAGTGGACCACTACTGATTTTTAAAGTACTTTTTAAAGTCATGTGCAAAAACTTTTATGATTTTTTTCAGCTCTAATTATTATAGCCACAAGGTTTTTATTAGGTTTTGCTTTGAAATAACCCCAATGTCTTTTTGACACAAAATGTCTTTAACTTTTTTTGTTTTTAGATTCACTTTCAAGAACATCTACTCCTTTTAATAAGTCCAACAAAGCAGCCAGCCAGCAAGGCACCCCATGGGAGACCCTGGTCGTGTTTGCTATCAACCTCAAGCAACTGAATGTGCAAATGAATATGAGCAATGTGATGGGTAATACAACGTAAGTCATCCGTATGTTGTAGCATCTTTAGTATAAGCTTTATTTTAAGAGTGGCAGCAGAAAGCACTGGACTTGGAACCAGGAAGACTCTTCTTCCTGAGTCCACATCCTGCCTCAGATACTTTACTAGCTGTGTGACCCTGGACAAGTCACTTCACCCTGTTTGCCTCAGTTTCCTCCTCTGTAAAATGAGCTGGAGAAGGAAATCGCAAACCTGGAGTGGTATCTGTGCCAGGAAAACCCCAAAAGGGGTCAAGAAGAGTGGGACAAGACTGAAAACAGCTCTTTTTAGATTGGGAGAGCATCAGGTGTTGCTTACTGCCTCCCTTTCTATAAAGTTAGATTGTCCACCGAGCTGTTCCCGTTATGCTTTAGGAGTACAGCTCAGCCAGCAGATGAACTGTGTAAATTGCTTAATCCACATCCAGGTCTACACCTGCTGATGCCATAATCCAAGGCCAGGGGAGTGGGTGATTGAAAAGAGGGGAACAGGCATTGGATGACTGTGGCAGAGTCCTTGGCAAAGTTAACCCTTTTTAAACCTCCATTTTCCTAATTTGAGACATCAAAATCCATCCATCTCAATTAGGTCCCATTTCCTTTTTTTTTTTCCCTCCCAGATGGACCACTAGTGGTTTGAAAAGTCAGGGTCGTCTCTCCGTAGGAAGTAACAGAGACCGGGAGATCAGCATGTCTGTTGGCCTGGGCAGATCCCAGTTAGATTCAAAGGGAGGCGTGGTTGGAGGTACCATTGATGTCAACACCTTGGAGATGGTTGGTATGTTGAAACCTGCTGACTGAACTGCTGACCAGTGACTAAACTGGTCTTTATACTGTTCTCCAGCTCCTTGAATCCTGTTCATTTAAGGCTTCCTTTAAGTGCAGCGCCCTCCTCACCTCTCCTCCGTCCAAATGCAGCACAGGTGCTACCTTCTGCAGAAAACCTTGCCTGATTCTCCCCACCCCACCCTACCCCCGCTGCTGCAGCCCCTTCCACTAGCGACCTTGTATGTGTTCTCTTTATATTAATCTGTGTATCCTTCACTCTGTAAGTACTTGTTATCTCTCCTGTTAGAGTGTAGGCTTAGTTTGACTTACAAATTAAAAATGTTTTATTCTGATTATTTCTTGAAAACTGACAGCTTCTTTAAAAAGTGACCAAATATGTCTCTTTCAGCTCATATTTCTGAACATCCAAATCAGCAACCGAGTCACAAAATTCAGATCACTCTGGGTTCCACTGAAGCTCGTGTGGATTACATGGGGTCGAGCATCCTCATGGGCATCTTCAGTAATGCGGACCTCAAGCTGCAGGATGAATGGAAAGTGAATCTGTACAATACCCTGGATTCAAGTATGTCAGACAAAAGGTAGTGTGACTCAGGCCTTTCTTTGAATACCTTGCCTTTTTAGTTTGCGTTCTTGTCTATTTTATAAAACTCGGTTAAAAACCCCAAGCCTATATTTTTGTTCAGCTAGGTATTTTGTATGGCATAGTTAATTTGAAATAGGGAGAAAAAAGAATGGGAAAATCTGTTTTGTGATATGATCTAACTATTGTCATATTCACTGAAATATTCTCTTTTATCATTTAGTGAAATTTTTGTCCATGGAGATTTAAAGTGGGATATTTTCCAAGTAATGATTTCCAGATCGACCACTCCAGACTTGATAAAAATAGGAATGAAACTCCAGGAATTCTTCACCCAGCAGTTTGACACAAGCAAGCGGGCTCTCTCCACCTGGGGACCAGTTCCTTACCTTCCCCCAAAGGCAACAGCCAGTCATCTAGAGAAGAACTCGCAAGAACTGTGTAAGAATTATGAGGATGCTTTCTCATGTGCTGTGTTTTGTATGAGACCTGTTAATCACAACCCAGAGAAAAAATCTATGTTAGGCCATATTCATCAAGAATGTCCTCAGTCATAAACTTCTGAAAAGCCCTTTCCTAAAAAAAGTGGCATTTCTGTTCATTAAAGAAGTAAAAAGTTAGATACATATGCCTGTGCAAATGAGATTCTTCATTCTGCCTCAGAAAGAAGTTTGAAAAGGAATTAGCTGGGGGCAGCTAGGTGGCACAGTGGATAGAGCACCAGCCCTGAAGTCAGGAGGACCTGAGTTCAAATCCAGCCTCAGACCAATCCAGCCTTGACACTTACTAGCTGTGTGACCCTGGGCAAGTCACTTAACCCCAATTGCCTAAAAATAAAAAAAAATTTTAAATTTTTTAAAAAAAGAAAGAAAAAAAGGAATTAGCTGAATGTTTTTGTTGTTCCAAAAAGAGATCCGTGATGAAATATTTTCATAACGAATTCCACTAGCTCTGGATTAATTGTATCCACCCAAATTTTAAACACTTTTCAGATAGCTTTGTCATTTCTGTCTTTTTTTCTACAATATCCTTTTATACTTGAGAAGCAGCTGGTGGCACAGTGGATAGAGAGCCAGCCTGAGGTCAGGAAGATCTGAGTTCAAATCTGGCCTCAGACACGTAGTGTCTGTGGGACCCTGGGCCAGTCACTTAACCCTGTTTGCCTCAGTTTCCTCTTGTCTGTATTAAGGATAATGATGGCACTTAGCTCCCTGAGTTGTTGTGAAAATCAGATGAGATGGTGGTTTTAAAGCCCCTAGCCACCCTTGTTGTTATTGTTTCGTGATTATCATTGTCATTATCACTCTTACTATTGAAGCGATAGTTTCATCCTGTTGCCTGCTCTCTCTAGCAGTCCTCGTCACCCAGCCGTCCCGTGTCACTTTTGTCCCTCTTCTTCCACATATGCTTCATCCAGGATGTGCTTGGTGCACTGGAGGCCTTCCTGTAGGCTTGTCCCAGGGCATCTGCCCCCCATTGTTCCTGCCACTCCAAACCGCTGGTGACATGTTGTACATCTCCTTAGACCCATGATTGTCCTTTGGGGTGCCCTGTGGAGTCATGGCACTTCATGACTCACAGCCACATGTCACCACTGGGAGAATTTTGGCCTCAAAAGAAGGAGATCCTGTGGTGATGAACAGCTGGGAAGCATTGAAAATGCCCCACGGTTTCCCAGCGGCAGTCCGGCCCCTGCTGTGCTTGCAGATTGGTGCCGGTCTCCCATAGGCATCAACGTCGGCCCTCCTCCAGAGCCACCCTCTCGCTTTGCTCGCACCCACACCCCAGATCCCACATTCCCCACTGGCAGTGGTGGGCGGCCATCGAGCTCTTTGTGTCCCTACCTTGTTCAGATTCGGCCAGACGCCGAATGGCAAGCTTGCTGCTGCTGCTGCGTCTCTGTTAACAAACAAGGCTCCGAGGACAGGGCGCCTCTGAATTAATGCCTCACCATTCTCTTGCAGTTCTGGACGCTGCTCATCACCGCCACTGGCCTGGAGTTTTGAAAGTCGTGTCAGGATGCCACATCTCCTTGTTTCAGATTCCGTTGCCGGAAGACGGGATGCAGTTTGGGGGTTCTATGAGCCTCCACGGAAATCACATGACACTCGCTTGTTTCCACGGGCCTAATTTCCGCTCAAAATCCTGGGCTCTTTTTCATTTAGAAGAGCCAAATATTGCATTTTGGACAGAAGCACAGAAAATCTGGGAAGATGGTAAGCATTAATGTCAATTTTGGTATGTCTTCTGATAGGGGTGCAGAAAACAGAATAATTGTCCTTTATTCTTATAATGCTTCAAACCGTGTCTCACTGAACTGATAACATTTATTATTTTGTTCCTCACTACGGGCAGACCAGACCACAGGTGGATGGACAGTTTAGAGAGCACAAGTGTGTCTCTTTCTGAGTTTAGCCACTCTCTCCCCTGACTCGGTAAGACCAACAGTATTAAGAAATCCCTGACCCAGTTCTCGGGTACGCGTTTGGAAGCTGAAGCTCCTCTTGCCGTGGTTAACCGTTTCCTGACCGGCAGGGGGAGGATTGGCCTCTTCCCCTCACCTTTGTGTTTCTTTTCTGAACCAGCTTTTCCCAAGATTTATCATAATCACATACTTTGTCCCAGTGTGCTATAGAAGCACTGTTGTTACTAAGAAAGGAGGCAGTTTAACAGCAAACCCATGAGCAAGAACAGCTGCACCCTGCTGCCTCGGGCTGAGCATCATGGGCATCCTTAAGATTCCCTTTATTCCAAATACTAACATCAGGGGAAAGCAGGGAAAGTAAAGACAGAGAATGAGGGTTGGAAGGATGTAGAGTCCAGAGGGAGAACGGTGAGTCTTTGGAAAGATCACCTGTCAGCTCAGGGCTGAGAAGAGGAAAAGGAGGCAGGGGTGACATGTTGGGAGAGAAGTGAATTCTGGATGTCACATTGAGGGGGCCCTGAGGAGGCCCAGAAAGATGAAGTGACTGGGATTCAAACCAGTGTCCTGTGGTTCCCAGTCATACCGTGGGGCCTCCAGAGGGGAGGCCATGTAGGTTCTGCCAAAGGAGGAAAGATGGGGAGGTAGAGGAATAGGAGGATGGGAGAACCTGACCAGAGAAAGATTTGGAGTTGGAGGCGTGAGGGTTCAGGGTGCCGGTTCTGAGGCATCGCTCTTCTCTTGGGCACCCAAAGAAGAGGTGAGCTAGAGATCGTGAAAGATGGGCAGGATGCTGACCTAGGAGGCAGAACGTCCAATGGAACATCATGCTCGATGTTAAGGTCCCCAGGTGTGACAGCAGACGTGGGGGGAGCAAGAAAAGCTGCTGCCCATCACCTACGAGGTCAAATATTAAGTTCTCTAGTTAGCTTTCATAACCTCGCCCCTTTCATCCTTACATCGTTCCCCCCACCCCCCGGCCTGCTCTCTGATCCAGTTAATGGGGCCTTCTTGCTGTCCTCACACAAGATCCTCCATCCCTCAGCTCCAGGCATTTTCTCTGCCTGTGCCCCTGCCTGGAAGGCTCTCCCTCCCCAGCTAAAATCCCTCCCACTCAGGAGCCTCTCCCCACTATCTCAGTGCCCTGCCTCCTTTTGACTGGGAGCTCCTCAAGGCTAGGGACTGCTTCTGCCTTTCTGTGTATCCCCAGCACAAGGCCTGGCACACAGTAGGCACTTAATAAATGCTTGTTGCCTTGACTTGACATCAAGGGAAGGGAGATTGCTCAGGGCCAGGGTTGGAGTACAGTGGGGAGCAAATGCCCTCTAGCCCCAAGGCACGGGGGCTTGGTATGTAGCAGCCAGCAGTGGTCACAGTGACAGGGAATGTAGCATTTTCTGGAGAGATTCCACGAGGGCAGGGAAATGGAAGGCTTGGGAGAGGACGGGTTCTGTGATGGTAGCATGTGAACAGCAGGGTGGGGCTCAGAGTAGAAGGGAAAAGGGTTTTCACCTCCACAAATGGTGACCTGAGATCCCAGAGACAAGGGGGACCAGGAGGGAGCAGTTTGTGAGTTGTTGAACAGGGAATGCCAGGTGACCAGGTCACTCAGTCCATCAGACCAGAGGTGCAGAGAATCAGTGGCAGTGGTCTGAGGAGGTCTTGTGTGAAGGAGCTGGGTCGTGGGTGGGTAGATGCAGCCCCATCATGCTGCTGCCTTTGGGACAGGAATGGTGGCCACAAGGACATTTGGGTATGAGGCAGTGATGGTAGCAGGGCCTCTCCCTCTGGCTCTGGAGCACCTACCTTCTCGGGCCCATGGCAGGGTCAGAGATCAGACGGAGCCCCTTAATCTCTGTATGTAGAGGGAACAGGGCCTACATAGCAGGCAGCTAGGAGTGCCTTGGGAACAGAGGCCTCCCGTCCCCATGGGGCCAAAACTAGGACCTTGCCCCACACATATACCTTCCGCGTATTCAGAGCGGGTGTCAGGGATTCAGCGCCTCCTGACTCCTCAGGGTCGTTGGTTAGCACCCACGAGGACAGAGCATCTCTTCAGCAGTCATTGTAGTGAGCCAGTAGGAGGGGAGGAGACCTCCCATCCCAGGCACTGAGTGGGGCCTACCCACCTCTGGCTAATGCAGTAATATCTAAATATATTTACCTAGTTACAAGAAAACCAGAAAAATTAAACGAAAATCTAAATAGCTATGGATTTACCCAGTAGTGAAAATAGCATCTTCAACACGTTTTTCTTTTCGCCTTTGGGTCAGGTTCAAGTGATCACTCGACGTATGTTGTCCAGACACTGGATTTCCACCTAGGTCACAATACCATGGTCACCAAACCCTGTGGTGCTTTAGAGAGTCCTATGGCAACAATAACCAAGATCACAAGACGCCGCCACGAAAATCCGCCCCACGGAGTGGCCAGTGTGAAAGAGTGGTTCAATTATGTCACTGCCACAAGGAACGAAGGTCAGTCACTCAGGGCGTCCTCCAGCTGGGAGCCGGTTTATCATGTCTCAGAGCTTAAACGTTGGTAACGTTGTTGGTTTTTTTCATTTTAAAAATTCATTTTACTTGGATACGACAGACCTATTTACATGGTATTTGAAGGTTCATAAAAAACTCCATAATGGTCGCATGAGGTAGGTAGTGCAAATATTGTTTCCTTTTTACCCAGGAGGAAGCTGAGGCCTAGAGGGGTTGTAAGGGTTGCTTATGGTCAGTGGGAGGAGGACAGAGGCAGGCATTCTTACTGGCAACAGCCAGGATAACCTGGTCAATGCATTGTGGTACAAGAACCCCAAAATATGCAGGATAGCCCCCAAGGCTTAGGGTCGTTCTAAGCTGCACTGAGTTCTAAGGAGGAGGAGCTGCCCCAAGACTTTGAGGACACTTCCATAAACTGCAGGTTATCATTTAACAATTTAATAACCTTCAAGATCTGGCTCTAAAATGCTGTGAAGTTATCTCGCTGAAAGTTAGAGAAACTTATTTGAAAAAATTAATGGAATGACCTAGGGTCATTATGTCAGTTCCACTTTGGTACTGATCTAGGGCTGATCTCACAGTGTTTGCAGTCTAATCTGTTTTTAGAGTTTTTATAAAAGTTCATTCATCCATTATTTTTCTAATTTGAGCAAGCTCACGTATTTTCACTAAGTTACATTCCAGAAGGCTCATTGGAGTTTGACTCTTTAACTGAACATTGATCAAATATTATTTTTCCTTTTACCCATACAGAGTTAAACCTGCTTCGAAATGTTGATGCTAATAACACAGAGAGCAGCACAACTGTGAAGAGTTCTAGTCTGTTGAGCGGCTTCAGAGGAGGTTCTAGTTATAACCACGAGACAGAGACCATCTTTGCCCTCCCACGGATGCAGCTGGACTTCAAATCCATTCATGTTCAGGAGCCACAGGAGCCTTCCTTGCAGGGTGGGTGGTGGGGACTTTGGGTTCCCTATCAACTGCGATAGAATAATTCATCTGAAATAATTAAGTTACTGCTCTTGGGAGAACACAGCCAGCCCTGAGTCTAGTCCAGAGGCCAGGAACGCCATCCTTACTCAGTCATGTTTATTAATTCTCCTTTTAATAAGATGTATTTTTTGTTGAGGAGGTATTTATCTAGTCAGATATTTAGCATTCACTTGACAAATATTGTCAAGGGTTGAGAGCAAAAAATTTAAAAATGACTATTTCAGGATTTATTATGCATATTAAACAATTTTTATCCCTTAAAGTCCTGGTTTCTACCAGAATTAACCTACTGTCTGGCAAATATGACATGTTGTAAGTAAGGTACCTGCTACCTTCCTGGTATGCTTTGTGTTCAGCGCAGAGTTGTAATGATTTTTACAATTAAAAATTGAATTCTAGGGAAATTCAAACTTGTTTTGTTTTCCTATGTAATTAGATATAAAAATAAAGATGAAGATAGTTTATATGTGTGTGTATATGCATACATGTATAGATATATAGATGTACAGCTACATATATATATATATATGTATATATTTAGATGTATATCAGCTAATGATGAGGATAATAAATGCTGGCACTAATTCCCATAAATTAAATGTAAAATTAATCACCTCTCTGTGTACATGTATACACACCCATATGTACTTACCCTGGGAAAGAGCAAGGAAGCTTATTAAATAAAATTGTTTCATTTCCAGACACGAACATCAAGCCGAAGGTGGAATGTAGTGTGGTAACGGAATTCACCGACCACATTTGTGTGACTATGGATGCTGAGCTGATTATGTTTCTTCATGACTTAGTGTCAGCTTATCTTAAAGAAAAAGAAAAAGGTGGGCAGTGCACGCTCTTTTAAAAATTCATTGAAAATGTCTTCATGGGGCATATGTCATTTTCCAAAGAATTGTAAAAGCAGAACGTGGCCTCCTTGAGGGTGGAGATTTTTTCATCATTCATTGTACTTGAATCTTCAGGAGCTGGTACGTGGTGGGTGCTTAAAAAAACAGCAACATGTTGACTGATTGGTAGGGACTGAATGTTTTAGTTGCCTCAGTCATACGCAGTCACGCAGACTTGATTGGCAACACATTAGTGTGGTCACATAATCAACACTGGGCATGTGCTAGGTCCCATGGGGGATACCAGAGAAGCAAAAAAAAAAAAAGGTCTCTTACAGTGTGGATAGGAATTGAAAGAAAGAGGCCAGATGTGAGCGTGTACACAATACAAGGGTTGCATCTGGAGTGTTAGGTTTAGTTCTGAGTGTGAGCTACAGGAGGAACTGAAATGGTAAGAAATTTGAAGTCACCCTGGATGGAGGCCAGCTGGAGGAACTGGCGGTGTCTGTCCTGGAGAAGAGCCAGGCGTAGAGGGGGCATGATGGCCGACTGCTAGGATTTGGTGCATGGCCTTGTGAAGAGGCTGTGACTTGTTCAGCTTGGCCCTCAGAGACAGAACCAGCAACTATAAGGAGAAGTTTCATCGAGGCAGAGTTCAGCTCAATGTAAAGACAAACTTCTTCCTGATTAGAGGTGTCCAAGAGTGGAAGGAGCATCTCTGGTGGTAGTGAGGTCTCCCTTTGATAGACCCTTGAAGGCAAGTCTGGATTTCCACTTGTTGGGAAGATGATAAAGCACAGAGCAGCTGACCTAGGGGACGACTGGTGCTCTCTTCCCTATCTGAGCTTCTGTCATCGATGCCTTCTAAGCCACATTGAGACTAGAACTGGTGAGCTCTGCCGAGCTGGAAGTGAGCGTCCAGAAAAGAGGGAGGAGAAGGACGGGGGATTGAGGAGGAAGTAGAAGGAGAATGTTGGCCTGGCAACCAGAGGGGGCCAAGGAAGGAAAGATTTTGAAAGGTTCAGAAGTGGAGCCTTGGTTAACATCTGTTACGGCAAAAAAGTAAAGTGTTGTAACATAACACAGCAGAACTAAAAGCTGAGACCTAAGGACAGTCTGAGAGGCTCAACTGAAGCATTCCCAAGAGTCCACATGGAATCAGTGGCTCTAGTCCACTGGAGGGGGCTCTGGAGCCAAATGGATACAGCAATCACAAATATAACTAACTCAGAAGTAAAGAATGTTTGTGTCAGAATCCACCTCTTCCAGCAATCTCTAATTATGTCCAAAGGGCCATAAAACTATGCATACCCCTTGATCAGCAATACAACTACTAGGTATGAACCCAAAGAGAGCTCCCCCCCAAAAAAAAGGGTAGGGGGAGGGAGGAAGAACCTATGTGTACAAAAATGTTTATGAATTGGACATTGAAAGGATGCCCATCAATTGGGGAATGGCTGAGCAAGTTGTGGTATATGAGTGTAATGGAATACTACTGTTCCATAACAAATGGTGAGCAGGCACACTTCAGAAAAACCCAGGAAGACTTACATGAACTGATGCAAAGTGAAGTGAGCAGAACCAGAAGGATATTGTACATAACGATAGCAATATTGTACAGTGACCAACTGTGAATGACTTAGCTGTTCCCGACAATACAAAGATCCAAGACAGTTCTGAAGGACCTGTGATGCAAAATGCCATCCACCTCCAGAGAAAAAACTGATAGAAGTTGAATGTAGATCAAAGCATAAAGTTTTTACTTTATTTTTCTATGGGTTTATTTTGTCTGTTTTCTTTTACAGCATGACTAATATGGAAATATATTTTGCCTGACTGCATATGAATAACCTTTATCAAGTTTCTTGCCTTCTCAGTGATGGGTGAGGAAGTGTGGGAGAGAATTAGGAACTCAAAATTGTGAAAAACAGAGGTTAAAAATCATTTTTACATGTAATTGGGGAAAAAAATTAAAATTTTTTTAAAAATTTAAAAAGAAAAAAAAGAATCCACCTCCTCATATTTCTAGAGCCACTGGTAACAGCATTTATTTTACTGTTTGTACAAACAAACCTAACAAAAATGTAGCCAGAAGTTCATCAGTAGAAAGATTTTTCTTTAATTTCAGATTAAAGAATCGTCACCTTTTAAAGATCGGCCTGAAATAAAGAAAATTTCAAGTTTTATTCATTGTGAATCAGAAAAATAGTGCTTTCTATGGCTGTATTTTCCAGGTCATGAAAAAAGATCAACACTTGTCCTTTCTGAAGGACAGATCAGATATTTGTCTTGTCATTGTTTCAAAAATAATTTCCTGACAAGTCTGACTTAGGGAAGAAATCTGCCAAAAGGCAATCGAGCTCAGGAACACATTTGAAGGACAGCCTATAATAGCTTTGAGCAGTTCCTTTCATCCCAGTGCAACCTCCTCATGCTAAAAATACAGACTTGGAGACGCCTCTGAGACTCAGCTAGAATTTGGAGGAAGTGACTGAACCATGGAACAGGCTCCTGACATAGACGTAGTGGGTAGAAATTCTTCATAAACACGTTCGAGCCGCGCTTAAATTTCATCTTTTCATTTTTGTTTTCTCTTTTTAGTTTTGTTTTCTTTTGTTTTTTAATGTTCTCACCCAGTCTTGAAAGGCTTTCAGATTTTTGTTTGGCTTTTAAAGAGTGACAATGGGCTTTACCAAACGTATTTGTGTATAATAGTTTTTATAGATTTTAATATTTCTTCGATATTGTCTCTACCGAATTCACAGTAACTGATACTTAAAATACATTTTGTCCTGGGTGTTTTAGGATGGAGTTTTATTTTTCATGAAATGACAATAAGTATAAATATTTTAAGAACTGAATAAATAGAATGCTCAAGAAAATTTCAATTTTAAATTAATACTTCCATTGAGTACATACAGTGGCTCTACCTCCAGGCATTGTGTCAGACTGAGAAGCCTGTCTTTGTTAACCTGTTAACTTTATCAGTGTCCTGCAGAATTACTCTGGGGAAGACGTGCTTATGAAACTGCCATGTGTAAATACCACTCTCTTCGTCCGGGGTCATTTTGAAAGTCTGGCTTAAACAATGGGAAAACAAATTCTGTCGACTCTCTTTACACACGTTCTAAGTACATGATTTTTTATAAAGATGTTTTATTTGTAAAGATGTTAGCCAGAAAGAAATTATGGCACATTCTTTCTAATTGGTGTTTCAAGAAAAAGACCTTCAGTACCTGTGCTTCATAACTTTAAGAGAGATGTTAGAGTGAGTCTTTAGCTAGCTCTTAAAGGAAGTGAGACAGAAGTAGATAAGGGATGCTACAAAGAGTTATCTGATTGGAGCGTAGAGAAGATAAAGGGTAAATAAACTTTAAGGGCGCTGTGTCAGTCAGAACAACCTGAATTTGCAGGTGTTGGTCTTGTGTTTTCTCATCTTTTGATCCCTCTTGATTTGAAAAAAAAATTATAATTTCCTCATTCTGTCTCCTGTTGATTTCAAATGAATTTCTGAAATTCACCAGTTAACTTCTTTTTGGCTCCAGCTATTTTTCCGCCTCGACTGTTATCCACTCGACCAGGACAGAAAAGTCCAGTCATCATTCACGATGACAATTCCTCGGAGAGGGACAGAGAAGAAAGCATCACGTATACTACTGTAGACTGGAGAGATTTTATGTGCAATACCTGGCATCTGGAGCCCACGCTAAGGTGTGTGGTCCTCTATGGGCCGACCGGCACGGGGTCCTTGGCTCAGCATTCTTCAGAGGGGCGTACTACAGAGAAGAGTTTGTGAAAGGGCAGCCTGTTCAGTGCCACTGATTTACCCAGCGGGTGGACTGTCTGGTGTAAGAGGCTGGCCACCACCACCTGGGGTCTCTTAGAGGGTTTAAGAGTGGCAGTCAGTGAGTCCTTTCCACCTCGGAATGTTCACAGTCATTCATTTGGTCTTAGCACCCCCGGAAACAGTGCTTTGTGCTTAGCCCGAGTTGGCATACAGCACTTGGTTTACATTGACAAACGTACTCTTTTCTCTCAAATTTGATAAGCAGCCTAGTTTTCCTGATTTTTTTCTGAATAATGACATATCCACAAGCACTTTTCTTGAAACAACTAGCTCACTGAGGAGTCTTACCAAGCCTGGAAATAGGGGTACCTGCCTCCCTGGCCCTAGCTAAAAGGAAATACCCATTGTTTTAGAAAGGCTGTATTATATTAAAATGTTAGCACACCAAAAATAATACAGCAAAATAGCAAAATGTCTTGTAACCCATGACCTCTCTGTGGACAAGGGCTAGCGACTGCTTTGACAGTGGGAGGTTTTCATTCAAGAGAATGTACCGTGATCAGATCAGCAGAACCCTCATACGCTGGGTAATGTGAAACTGTGGCCCTTTCTGCCGAATTGTTTGAAAGCTTTAAAATATTACAGTCTTTTGGATGATGCTGAAAATTATTCGGGACAATCTGTTTTGTAAATGCAAGTGGACATAATGAAAAATGCTGTGAATTTTTTTTTTTTAGATTACACATAAAGTAAAGGTAAAAATGATCTAATTTTCCATTACAATAATCTAAATTTCCATTCCATAATAGCAGTTTCTCTTGCCAGCTTTTTGCGTACTTTATCTTGTGGGATCCTCACAACAGTAACAAGCTCGTGTATTTAGAACTAGAAGGATCCTTACAGATCTTCTAATTCTCCTCTCGTTTTACAGATAAGGAAACTGAGGCACTGAAAATTGAAGTGACTTGCCCAAGAGTATTAAGTAGTAAAATCAGGATTTGAACCCAGCCCTTATCTCCAAATCCTTTCCACTATGCCTGCTGATTCTAGAAACTTAAGGGGTTCCTTAAAACTAAACTGATTTTTTGCTCTTTGAGACATTCCAGTTAGTATGTGCCCCAGGCCTAAAAAAGCTTTTGGCAAGATCCTTAAGTGAATTAGCAAAAAGGAAAAAATGTGCCTTTTCTTTGGGCTTTCTTAAGAACCTATAGATGCATTTAATCTCATTTGGCTTTAAACACATGCAACACTTAATATACTCTTAGCCAAGTAGATATAAGACTGTGGCCCAGCTAGCTCGAGACTAGAGGTTTGGGTTACGGTTATATCATGTTATACAGTGGCTACAAATTTTGTGCACGCCAAAATTTGTATTAAGTAGAAACGTGGTTTTGTACCTATATTCAAGATTTTAGTTCTGTGAGGGGCTTTACTCCAAACTTTTTATTTTCTTTTTAAGGTTAATTTCCTGGACTGGAAGAAAAATTGACCCAGTAGGTGTTGATTATATTCTTCAAAAATTGGGCTTTCATCATGCCAGAACCACTATTCCTAAATGGCTTCAGAGAGGAGTCATGGACCCATTGGATAAGGTTCTCTCGGTCCTCATCAAAAAGCTCGGTACCTCACTGCAAGACGAGAAGGAAAGGAAAGGAAAGGACAAGGAAGAACACTAAAGAGTAACTGTCTGTGAACGAACTGTAACTTTGTGTCCGTTGAGTTTACTATACTGAAGGGTTTTATTGTATAATAAAAGTATTTTCTGTATAATTTAAAGATGATTTTAGTGGGGTTTTGGCTACTGTGTTCAAACAGTTTGTGAGTTTATCTGTTTAGTATGGTAGCACCACCATTCTGTATACAGTGAAGTATTGCATGATGATGTAAGTTTTGTGGAAAAAAAATAGATTAAATATGTAAATCTTTTGGTTAGCATTTATAATTGTATTATGTGCAATATGATTCCTGCATCCTTAAAATATTTGCAGATTAACTGTGAATTTTTGTGACTAATTAGCTGTAATTTTTTTTTCAAATCTTGCTGATAATTTGACCTTCTTTTTGGTTGGTAATGGCTTTTATCCCCCTTGGTAATGTGTAGACTTGTATAAATTCCAGTATGTATATAGTTTCAGAAACTGTGATATGATTGCACAGCATTAAAATGTTGTTTGTTACAGTTGTAATAAAAAGCCACGATAACTTATTTTCAGTGTGTGATTGTCTCAGTCTTCATGTGTGTATCTTTGTTTTCTTTTGTAGCTTGTTATTTCACAATGGGTAGGCTTGCCATCTTGAACTTTAACCACTGGACCCTGTAAAGAGCATGTCTAAGTAACACTTTCTAACTCTTTATGCCCCGGATAATTAGTTAAGCTTCTAAACTCGGCCATACAGTCACTAGTAGGTACTAAAGGCAACACTGCCTACTGTAACCACACAACCGTATTTCCTGCCATTCCCCTCCACTGACTGTGTACACCAGGAAAACAGAACCACTCTGCCCTTCCTTCTTGGTGTGCCTTCTCTCATTGTGGCTTTACTCTGCCATCCCTCGTGCCTGGAATAGACTTCTTTCTTCACTTCTCATCAGAGGGGATGGCGTGGAATTAGATAAATCTATGTGCCAATGGATGTCTTCAGCGTGGCTATTGTCTCCATGGGACTGGAAGCTTTCTTTGCATTCTCTTCATGTTACATGGACATGGGAGAACACGGGCCGTTTGTTCAGCAGATGTCCCTCTCTCTTGCCATGCAACAGGCTCATTGTTTTCTCTAGTTGTAAATTCCCCAAGGACATCCTTTACATTACTTCTGCACAATTTCTCACTAGTAACATGTTCCGGCTAGCTCACATGTACCATGTACCTACTCATATGCAGCCATATAGCATGAGTGGAAAAATATTGGTATTAAAGAACAGAGCCTTGTTTCAAGAAGTTTGAGCTTCTGTAGAGATGTGTCCAGCTTCCCAAAGGCAGTCCAACCCACCCTCCTTTTCATCTCTGGCCCCAGTGCATTGTCTGTTTGCAGTGTCTATCTCTACATACTGATCAGTGAGTGGGATCCACTCAAACACACGTAGGGTTAATTAATAATGTAGAACCAAGATGATAATATGGTAAAAACTAGAGGAAAGAATATTCTGCTTTGAATGAAGAATAAGTGAATCTCATTAAGTGAAGAATAATTCAATTCGCTAATAATAAGAGAAATGAAAATTAAAAACAACTGAAGTTCTACCCTCAAACCTGTAAGATTGACAAGGATGGAAAAAAGGAAAATGGCGGTTGTTGGATACCAAGTGAAGTGAACAGACCTAGGAAAACAATTTCATCCAATGACTACAATACTATAAAGGAAAACTTTGAAAGACTTGACTCTGGTCTCCATGCAATGACTGTCTTTGATTTCAGAAGTTGGATGATGACTCAAGGTTCCCACTTGGCAGAGAGGTAATTAACTAGAGATTCAGAATAATGCATACATCTTTAGACCTAGCCAATGTGTGCATTTGTCCTGCTGGATTTTACTTAATTGTTAGAAAGCAGAGCTTCTGGGGGTGAGGAGATGGGACTGTGGGTAGATGGTACAAAGAGAAAAGCATCAGTAATACCTTTATATAAGTATAGAAGAGAGGTCTGCAGTGGACCTAGATAAGCAGGGTAATTTTGTGACCTCCATGTTATTTAATAAACATTTTTTAAAGCCATGCAAACAAAAAAAAATGCAGGGAGAACGGGTAATCCCAAAGTAACATGTATTTGGGAAAGTAGAAAAGGCAGACCTGCTGAATTTTTTTAAAAAAATATTTTATTGATGCAATTTTTTTTTACATCACAATCACTTCCCAGTAACCACCACATTACCCATAGAACCCTACCTTGTAGGAAAAATAAAAACAAGTCAAATTTTTTTCCAAAATTTTTCAAAGTTCTAGTAGAAATTTAGAAAATCTGGTTAGTGTTAGTGTGCAAAGATAGGGAATATATTTGTTGTCATTCAGTCATTTCAATTGTGTCCAACTCTTTGTTACCCGATTTGGGGTTTTCTTGGCAAGATACTGGAGTGGTTTGCTATTTTCTTCTAAGTGACTCGCCTACACACAGCTAGTAAGAGTCTGTGGCCACATATGAACTCAAGAGGATGAGTCTTCCTGACTCCAGGCCTGACACTCTATCCACTGTGCCACTTAGCTGCCCTAAGGAATACATTAGTGTTAGTCAAATAAGGTAGAACATATTTTGCATATATACCTGTTTACATACGTGTTGTCTCGCTTGATAAGAGTGCAAGCTCCTTAATGACAAAACCGTCCATTTTCGTCTTGTGTCCCTAGTACCTAGCATAGTGTCTAGTACAGACTCAACAGTTAAGTATTTGTTGGTTGCCTTACTGACACCTTCCTTATTAAAAACCAGATGAAGTATGATAAAGGAAAATGTCAACAAGTCTTTGTGAAACACTTGTATACCAGGCTCTGCACTATACAACCTTGAATATAAATGAGTTGGGTCCCCTTTTCAAAGGAAAAAAGATTACAGAATCAATAGATAGGACCAAATGTTTCATAAACAAAAGATATTCGGGACAGAATGATTATTAAAGATTTAAAATTACAGGCTGGAATAAAATTTACTATGTGTGAGCTGACTCCAAAAACTCAAGAGTTTCAATTAATGTTACTGGACAAAACTAAATTCAAATTAGAAAATATATCATGTGCTCTCAGAAAAACTTACATGAACTGATGCAAAGTGAAATGAGCAGAACCAGGAGAACACTGTACACAGTAACAGCAATGTTGTATGATGAAGAATTGTGAATAAATTAGCTATTCTCAGCTGTGCAAATGATTCAAGACGATTCTGAAGGACATGATATACTTTCTAATTTGAATTTAGTTTTTCCAGTAACATTAACTGGAACTCTTGATTTTTGGGAGTCAGTTCACACATAGTAAATTTTATTCCAGCCTCTAATTTTAAATCTTTAATAATCATTAATTCCATTCCATTAAAACGGAAATAACTAACTGGGGGTGGGGAATCTTTGCAGCGAATTTCTTTGATCATGTTCTGATATCCGAGGTGAATGAGGAATAGGTTCAAATATTCAAGCAATCAAAATCAATCAATAAACATTTTTTAAGTGCCTACTAAATTTCAGGAACTGTGCTAAGCACTGGGGATACAAAAAGAAGCAAAGACAGTCCCTGCCCTCATGGAGCTTACAATCTAATGGGGGAGATAACATGCAAGCAAGTATATACAATGCAAGCTATATGCAGAAATAGGAGAAGTAGGAAATAATTAAGTTGGTAAATTCCAGTTAATGCATATTTATGATTAATAATCTAATCAACACAATTACTTATTAATAGTGATAATAAATTAATAATTAATTACTTGATTACTGATTTTAAATAGTTTAGTGGTTTGTTGAATAATTAATAAGGGATTAACAATGATGATTAAATTAACAATTGAGAAAGGAAAAACACTGGAATTAAGAGAGGTTAGGGAAGGCTAACAAAAATACTAGCTGTTCCCCTAATATGGTCAAAGCATGTAAACAAGTAGCTCTCAAAAGAAGAAATGCAAGCTATCAATAGGCCTATGGGAGAAAAAAAGGGCTCCAAATCACAAATAATTTAAGAAACACGAATTAATACAAGTCAAAGGTTCATCTTACAGCCAGCAGTTTGGTAAAAATGACAAAAAATGAAAGTGACCATTGTTAGAAGAGTTTCAGAGGGAAGAGCATATTAATGCACTGCTGGTGTAGCTATGAACTGCCCCAGGCATTCCAGAAAGCAAACTTAAGTTATCCCTGAAAAGTTGCTAACATAGGTGCAGCTGGGTGGTGCAGTGGATAGAGCACAAACATGGTGAGTGAGCCAGAAAAACCCGAGGCCAAAGCGTCAGCGTGACCTCCTCTTGGCTTCTCCAGATATGGCTCTGAACAGTCAGTCTTGAGCCCAGCTCCTCCTCTTATTAACAGATGCACTGGTCCTGCCTGGGTCAAAAAGAGTTCAGCCTACCTCCAATCCAGGAAAACAACAACAACAAACAAGTAGATAAAGAATGCTTATTGTCCATGCAATGACTTGTAGTTGGACCGTCCATGGAGTTGAATCATTGATACATATCCCTTGATAGATCCTATGCATGAACAATGAACTCAGTCCAGAAAACAGGAGGAGGGTAGGGGCTAGATAACATTTGGGGAATTGTCTACTGCTTTTAACAATCCCAAGTTTCTCTTGGAAGCAAAGGCTCAACTTTTTTTTAAAAAAGAGTATTCTTCCAGTGATGCTCTATGATTGTGAAGTCACATAATACTACAGTCTCCAAAGACATTTTTCTTCATCCAGACTTCATCACCTCTAGAAACTCATCACTCTGCAAGATGAAATCCACTCTGAAACTCATTGCTCCTGGAGCCCTTCCCTTCTTCCGGGTGGAAGGAGTGTGGAGTGGACATCTGGGAGCTAGTCCCTGATCCTCCATCATTTAAGGAGAACACGCAGTGAATTCACTGTCTCATTCACCGTGGCTGCTTTCTTGGACTTCATTGCTTCAACAATCTTGTCATTCTGCAAGATACAATTAACTTGGGAACTTTCACCTCCTTAGATCATTTCCCACCCTGACTATAGAACTTCCTCATGCTGATGTCTTGTTTCTCCCTTCGATTTTCAACTCCTTGAAGAGAGAGACTGTCTTGTGCTTTTCTTTCTATCCCTAGGGCTTGTGCAATGCCTGGCACATAGTATTTGTTGCTGTTACAGTAGTTTCAGTTGTGACTGACTCTTCACGACCCCATTTTGTGTTTGCTTGGCAGAGATACTGGAGTGGTTTGCCATTTCCTTCTCCAGTTCATTTTACAGATGAGGAAACTGAGGCAAACAGAGTGAAGTGACTTATTGCAGGGTCCCCCAGCTAGTAAGCATCTGAGGCCAGATTTGAACTCAGGAAGATGAGTCTTTCTGACTCCAGGCCTGGCAGTCTACCATTGTGCCACTTGGCTGCCCAGAATGTTTATTTACTCTGACTCTAAAATTGTGGGTCACCCACAGAACAATGGTTGGGGCTGTAATGTGTGGAGAACCCACTTGCTCCAGTGGGTAATGTCAAGAGAACTAGAAGAAAGCTCTCAGTATGCTGGGTGGACCCTGGGTTCTGGATTTACAGGAGGAAATGG